TGTACCGGCACGACCACAGTTTGGCTCCGAGTGGGTCGGTGGTGACAAGCGGTAGTGCGGCTGTTGTTGTGAACAGTACCAGCAACGCGACATCTTCCGCAGCCAATGTGTCCGCGCAGCTCGCCGGCATGGATTCCGACAATTCCGAGGATGTGAACGTGACGGTGGTCGATCCTACGACAGTTGTCACCACTTCCACCCCGATGCCGTTTCAGAACACCTACTTCAGCCTGCAGTTTCCCTACTGTCCCGGGCTCAACGCGTCCGACACGGGGGCGAATTCGGCCGGGTTAGTGTACCTTTTGGAGGTGTACGCAGAGGAGGAGCAGCAGTCCGCGATCGTGGTCCAGGGGGAAACCTTTCTGGACGACTTTGCGTACAAGGCGAGCATCTTGGATGAGCAAGCACTGTATCACTCCCAACCAGAGTTGACGATGAACGGGAAAAACATCTCCAACGCGTTGCTCCTCGCTGACAACTACACCGAGGGCGTGAACGTCGAGCAAATGACCAACAAGCCTGTGCTGAACACGGGACAATTGGAGCGGGTTCTCTTCACGCCGAAGCAGGTCGGCGCGTTCACCCAGGCGCCGTTTATCTTCGTGGAGGAGATCACGGTGAACGGTATCCGGTTTGAGTTCACCACGCGAAGGGACGGCATGCTCACTGCGGGGCTCGTGAAGCAGACGGAGTTTTCGCTGTACCTGGAAACCTTGAACGCCACCGCGTACTTCCAGGGCGCGAAAAAGGACTGCCAGCGGCACTTGTCCAAGGTGATCGCGGACGTGAAGAACATTCAGTATTTTTACAACTGTAAGCTGGAAATGGGCAGTGAGTACTTGCTGGTCGTGTTGATCACGGAGACAAACGACGAGGTCGGGTTGCTCCCAGATTTGGACAACTACTACAAGGTGATGACGTCGAATTTGACTTCTCCCCTGCAACGAACCACGATGAGCGACAACCGGCTGCTGTGGTTCGATTTTATTCGGGAGAAGTATGGATCCGGGGACATGCGCCAGCTATCCAAGATGAAAGACGCGACCGGCGTTGAGAAATTGTGGATTGACAGTCTGGGCTCTGCTTTGGCGCTCGCTACCGCAGTGCCGCAGCCTGCATCCGATATGGCAGCTGCGAGCGCGATTACTTCTGCGCAGCAGACTCTACAACCGGCGCCACAGGACATGCAGGACCTGTTCGCCAGAACGAATCCCGAGTACGGCGAAGTGGAAGCGACTTCCTACCTGAAACGCCGCTACCACCCCTGGATTCTGGAAAAGGCGACAGAGGGCACGTGGAACTACGCCCCGTTCGTCGTGCAGAAGCGCCCCAGTTTGGAGTTCGCCGTCGACCCGTCCGTCGCCAGCAAGGACGCGGTAAGGTCCGGAACTCTCCCCGTGTCCTTTCAGCTGACACTCCCCTCCGCGCTGGACGGAACCAAAGTGGATCTGTTCGCTGGCGGGCTCGGTTTCGTCTGGGTCTACGTGTTCGACTACTTGGACAATTCCATTTTCGACATCATCAACAACATCATGGCAACTTTACCCGAAAGCGCGGACGACGGGCTGAGCTCGAACGATACGAATGACACGACCAGTAGTGGCGGTAGCACGTCCTCTCGTTTGCTGCAAGAAGCTGCAACTTCTTGGACCGACACAGTCCGTTGCTTCGTCCAGAAGCTTCCCGTCGACAACTACACCATGATTGTGAACCTGCCCAACTGCACGCTGCTCGCAAACGCCTCCTACGACGTCTATTTTTACGCCGCGAAGTCCGAGCAAGAGGCCGGCTCGCTGTTTGTCCGGACTTTTGGGGTGTCGCCCAGTAACGAGTTCGTCGCCTACCCGCTGGTAGACACGACAAAAGGGACGGGGCAATTAGGGATCTCTATTAAGTTGAAGCAGGCCGGATACGTTTGGGCAGGTTTGTTCCACTGCGTCGCGGATTTGACGTGCAACGTCGATGCCTTGACAAACCCGATTTCCCTGAAAGCGATTTTGGATGGGACGATCGCGAGTCCGAACTTGATCGTGGGCGGCAGCACCTGCGCGCTGAACGGAAAGCTCATCGGCACTTTGTCAGGAACAGCTACTAGTAGCAACAGCAGCGCAAGTAGTACCTCTGTTGTTGCTCTCGCGAATCAGCACGAGTCGGAGGAAGTCACCTTGGTCTGTAAGGGGTTGGAGGCGGCGACAACGTACGCGATCGTCGCATATGCGGAAAACGCCATGAATTTCGACGATGGAAAGTCGTTCGGCCCGGTGGACGTGATTTTCCCCGAGACGGCGAACTTCCTGGTTGAGTTCCCAGACTTTGCGCACGAGCTGGACAGCGACCCGTTTGATCATGACTTGTCGACTGTGGGCGATTTAGGGGTTCTGTTCCGCGATCAGTTTTCTTTCCAGTACGACGGAAACCACTCAGACGCGCGAGTGTTGTTCTGGGCCGAGTCGAGCACGGGGAACCAGGACAAGGTAAACATTCAGAATTACCTGCAAGATGGCGCATTTGACACAAACGACACGAATGTGTTTTGTTTGTTCGATCGGCAGCTGGAGTCGCTTATGGAAGGAGAAGAAGGAAGCGTCAGACGGATCGCTTGTTGGCTCGATGATCTGTAAGCAAGATGATGGTTGATATATAGCACCGTCGTGCGTAATCTTAAGCACGAGGATACTACGTGCATGATTTGTATCGGCCACAGTACCGTCGGGGGTAAGATTACTCAGCACGGTGTGAGGATTTCAAACTTTTTGTGTGCATGAGAGCGTCGCGAATAACGATATGCGCGATGGTGTGTTTCGCAATAAAAGACACACTTCACCGAGCCGTGCAGTACACCGCTGTGCAGGAGCATGCTTTCAGTTACACTTTCATATGAACTTTGCTGAAGCAAGTATGATCCTCGTGATGTATATCTAATTTTTCCTTTTTGCAGCACCAGAATACGCCAGCTTCTGAAGGCGCTTTCGTCTCCTTTCACTTTTCATACTTTCCTACAAGTTCTACCAGTCGAACAACATTATTTCGACCCAAGACTTCAACGTCACAGAAAACCGGTCCAACTACACGAACTTCACCGACGAAAATGGTACGATCGAAACACAAGAGACGATCAACCAATTCAGCTACAGTTACACGTATGCAACAGAAAGTGCCATTTCCCGTACATGGACAATAAACTGCGTTACACAAAACTTTTTCAACTTACTACTCGTGCTGAGTGGGTGTGAGATTCTTGATGAAGTTGAAGAAAAGTTTGTCATGTTGAAAGTGAAACTGCATATTCAAGTGAAGTGCTGTACGGGAAATTTCCAGTGGATAAGACTGTGACGAATATCACAAACCCAATCAACTTGACCGCGTACCTGGAGGCGAATCGAAGGAACGTCACGCTGTCTTGCGGCCCAAATGTGTTCAAGTTCTGCGAAACCTACACCGCGGTCCTCTACGTGGACGCGGGTCGCGCGAACTACTGGGATGGGAGACTGTTTAAAAGAACCTTCACGCTCCCCTGCAGCAACGAATTCCTGCCGCCGGGCAGTAGTGCAGCAGCGACCACGATGACGACGGCGGGACAGGTATCCGGTAGCTCCTCTGGCGGGACGGAACAGTTCTTGCAAATCGACCTATTGACGCAGGAAGGCGCGAGCGTGAAGTTCAAACCGGTGAGAGACGGAAAAATCTGGATCGCGGTGGTGGACCCCTTGATAGAAAATTCCGGGGTGTTTTCGACCGGGAAGGAGCTGATTCAGTTTATCAACAGCAGGAACAGCAGCGCTGGACTGTCTAACACTGCCTTCGCCGGGACAAACGGGACGCTGTTTCATCCGAAGTGCGCGCTGCAGGCCGATTGGGTTCTGGGTGGGAGTGGCTCAGCATCAGGTAGTTCAGCATCTGACGACGATAACTCTACGAACGACACCAGTACAACCACGAGCAGCAGCGGAGCTGCAGTGCCGGACGACATGACGTCGTTGCTTCCCTTTGACGTCACGGGCTCCGAGCTGACTGGCGTCAACTTGACCAAGTGCAGCTTCCGCGCGGACCAGCCGTACACGATTTACGCCTATGTCGCGGACACGAATGGGCTGGAGATCGACGGCACGCTGATCGCGCAGAACATCACCGTGCCCAGCTCTAACTCCTTCACCGCTGGCCCGTCTCTGGTCCGCATGGCCCCGATCAACGAGCAGAACAGCGTGCTCAAGACCATGCTGAACATTTCCGTCACGCCGGAGCGGTCTGGATTTATCTGGGCTGTGGTCTTGCCAGAAACGTCGTTGCCGACCAGCTCCCACTCCGGGTTTGATTTGGATACCGAGAACACAAGTCAACCACTGTTGTACACGACCGCGGTTGGCGGGAGTGCGGAAGCGGTGTCCTACGTCAACTACGAGGACGCGTTGTACTGGAACATTAAACAGCTAGCGGCCGACAGTTCAAAAGGCGTGAAAGCGGACAACTCCGTGGGCACTGCTCCGTCTGTCTTCTCTTTCCCGCCGGTAATTGCAAATTGCTCCATCGCGGCCGTTCCGGTGGAAGTGTCGATTGAGCTGTTCTTCACGATGAACTGCCCCTTGATCCCTGAAAAGATGTACAGGATGTACGTGTACATCGAGGGAGTAGCAACCACCACTGACGGCTACAGCACCTACAAAAGGGGGCTGCTGTCCGACAAGATTGAGCTCGCGCAGCACTACAGAGAAAGAGTTTCCAACGCGTTTGAGCTGTTCCCGCGTTTGCTCGACGCGAGCACGCAGGACCGGATCTTCTTCGAGATGCGCCCCCTGATCGACTCCTTCGCCTGGGTCAAGGTTCTGCGGTACGAGACCGCGGTGCAGAGTGGCGTGATCTCCAAGGCGTTAGATATCGGGAAGAACTTCACGCGGTACAGCTCTCTGGACATCCTGACCATTGACGACATCAAGGCCGGCGTCGCGACGAGCTTGTGCGAGCTGAAAAAACTGCCGTGGGCGACAAGCCTCTCTTCCTGGACGCTGACGAACTGCAATTTGCTGATGGGGGAGCGGTACGTGCTGTTCGTGTACGTGGAAAGCTTATCCGGCATGTCGTTACCGACCATCACGAGTGGCACTTTGACAAATGCAACCGCAAGCAGTGCTTCCGACGACGGCAGCAAGAGCAACGACACCAACAGCACGACTGACGACGACAACTCGACGGGGAGATTGCTCAGTGACATACTGCTTCAGGCGGACCAACAACCTCACAAGGTGGAGCCCACGTACGAATACGTGGAGTTCATTGGGCCTCTGACGCGCAAACAGGCGCGCGGCCTAGAGCCGATTCCAGAGCGGGTTCGTCGCGTCGTGCCGTCGTCGCTTCGGGAATACGTAGACCCTAGTACCCCAGCTGTTGCTGCGTCTGCAGGTCCCGCTATGTTCGACAAAGACTTCCAGGATAACTTCTACGGCCAGCGGCGACAGCTCAGTAGTGCAACTCCAGTCGCGGGTCTGATGGGTCCGGCCATCATGTTCCGACCTACGTTTTCTAACAGCTTCAAGACCAAACCCTACCTCCCGCCCAACTTGCAAACCACCGCAAACAGCATTTTCGTCACGTTCCAAGCCTCCGAACCGACGGGCCGCGCGTGGATCACGGTGGTGGACCCGCTCCTCGGGCCGGGTGGCTCTAGTCTCCGTAAGGGGAATGCTGCGAGTTACCAGTTCGACGAGGCCGCGCAGTCTCTGTCCACGCCGGTGACCACAGCGGTAACTTCGCTCTTCCCTCCAGACCACACGCTGGACGATTTGCTGCAAGCCACCCCGCACAGCTGCTTGATCTCCAACCTCGCGATTGACGATTCCCTGCAGACAGTGGAGTTGAAGGATTGCCAGCTTCTCGCGGGCCAGAGCTACGAGGTGAAAGTTTACATCCAGGATAGTATGAAAGGCGTCTTCGACGGCATCATGTCGGAATCGCTGGAGGTGAACGTTCCCTACAGCAATCGGGTCCAGAACATCTTCCTCCAGTACCCCCTACCAGCGACGACACCGAACGCGGATGGCTTAAGCCTTACCTTCGTGCCTTCCTCCAGAGCGGGGGTCGCGATCGTGAACATCCAGCCGAAGGAGAACGCACGGACAGCCACAGTGGAAACGGTCCGCGCTTTTGCCGGGGCTCTCGGCGATCCCGTGACATGTCGGAAGACGAACGAGCCACTGCTTCAAGCGGGCGTGACTCTGAACGACACAACGACGCCGGTTTTGTTCTCGCTGTCCAACTGCCAACTGGAGTCGTACCAGGAGTACGCTGCCATGGTGATGTATGGATGTGTCAGGTTTGAAATCGTCAAAGTTGAAATAGTTTGCCATACATAAAACGGATACCAGTTAGACCTACAGTTTGTATTCGGCGCATGACAAATTTTCCCGGTCCTGGAAGCGAGTCTGTCATGCGGTTTAGGGCAAAAGAGCTGCCTTCTGTCATGCTAGTCAGAAGTCCAATTCTTGACCCTTACCAGGACTATAATCTGCCTCCCGTGCGTCCTCTGCAATAGAGCCACTTTTTGTAGTCGCATTTTATGCATGACAAATCATCTCAACTTTGACGATTTCAATCCTGACACTCCCATATGATGCTGATCGGGGCGGACGGAATGATCGAGGGCGCGGTCTTGTCTTCTCCGCTGTACTTCAAAGTCAACCCCTCGAATGTGTTCATTGGCGCACCGGTCATGTCTTCGACGCCCACCCGAGACACGGTGAAAGTCACTTTCGAGTCGCAAAACGCGGGCGCGACCTTCATTTACGTGGTGCAGCAGGCCGTCGCGATCTCGATCGCCGACAGCAAGGCCTTGATCGCCGCCCAGGGCCCGCCGAGCTGCCAGCTGCAGGAGGTCGCGATTGTGAAGGGGGGAAACACGTTTGAGATGACAAGTTGCACCCTTGCGTCAGGCAGTAAGTACAAAGTCGTCGTGTACATCGAAACGAGCTACGCGACGACCTTACAAACCATCAATGGCGTGCAGAGGTCCGCGAACGACGGGACGTTGACGTTTGTGAATTTCGAGCTCGATTTCGCAGCGTCGAATACGTTTCTGCTCTACCCAAAACTAACTTCAGTCCCGACCTATCGGGGGGTCGAGTTCCAATTTTCCGCGGAGTTCACCGGGTACTACTGGGCGCACTTCTCGAAGACGCTTTCCTGTCTCTCCGGGGCCGAGATCACGCAGGGGGCCTACCAACAGAAAAACGCGATCCAGCGGATTCCGCGAGTGCAGACCATCGAGCAGTTCTTGGCGAACAGTCAGAATCCCAATGTGACGATGACGTCGATCACGGTGGATGGCTGCATCAAGACGGCAGTCCCGGTTACGACCCCTGGTCTGATCACCGCGAAAATGACCGATTGTGCGTTCAGCTTTAACGTCACGTACCATTTGGTGGTTTATCTCTCTGGCCAGTCGCAATCCGACGGCGTGGCGGCGCCGCTGCCGATCGAGATCGTCGTGCCGCCGAAGTCGAATGTGTTCTTGCAAGAGCCGGAATTCTTGCAAACCTTGTCAATGTGCTGCGTCGGTATTCAGTTTCAAGGTTCCCAGCCTTCTGGGCGCGCGTGGGTGAATGTGGTGCTGAACGACAAAATTCCCTACATCAACGTCAACACGATGAAAGGCTTACCGAACACCTTCGCCGGCGCGGAGCTCACGATGGCAGCCATGCAGGTCGGCAACCCGACACAGTGCAGTTGGAGCGGCCGGGCGATCGATGATTCGGTGCAAAACGTCCGACTGGAGGGGTGCAACTTCGCCGAGAACGGCATCTACGCCATCTTCATCTACATCGAAGATCTCGACGGCAGAGGGGACGGGTCCTTCTTCGGCCCCATGGTGCAGCGCGCGCCGCGCTTTCCGGTGGTCTCCAACGAGTTCCAAGTGTGGCCCCACTTGCTGACCGAGTCGACCAGTGGGCCTGGCGGGCAGACGATCCGATTCACGCCGCTGTACGACGGACTCTACTACGTCTTGATTGTTCACATGGACGACAAGCACCGCGTCTCCGTTAACACCTTCAAAAACGCCATGGTGGACTACGAGTATCCCGATGCGGACCTGTTTCCGAACTCCGAAACCACGTGCCGCGCGAACCGCATTCCCTGTGTGGGCGGACAGCAAATCACGTTCCAGATGGAGCTGTGCCGCCTGCGCATGGGTTTTGACGCCCAGATCTACTACCTCTACGTCTTCGTCGAGGGACCGCCCTTAGGGGATTACGGCGCACTGCCGGGCACTCTGTCCTGGCCGATCAAGCTGGTCGAGGAAAACATGCAGGTCACCTGGGCGGGCGACGGCGCGCCGATCGCGTACGGCACGCCGACAACCCGCGGGTTTCAGTTCTCGCTCCGGCCACAGATCGTCTATTCCCAAACCGCATTCCGGAACGGCCGGACCCCGACACCGACCCAGGGAGTGGGGTTGTGGGCGGCGATCTTCCCGTCGACAATTCTGTCGGACCTGCAAATCGAGTACGACATCATTCTGCCGGATTTCACCATGCCGCGCGCCGTGAACTTCTCTGCTACTTCGGGCTGCGGGTACTGGGAGCACCCCATCACCGCGTTCGACGTGCGGTCGCATTTCGAATTCAAGAACTGCTACCTGCCCCCGGGGCAGCTGTACACCGCAGTCTACTTCGTGGCGCCCATTGGGCAACTCGCGGACAACTACAAGGGGGCGCTCGCGGTGACGAAGATCTCCCCCGTGGTGAGGGAAAGAAGCAACGCCTTCTACGTCGCTCCGTATGTGTACTTCGTGAACGCCACGCAGCTGATTCTCCGCTTGAAAGCCGAGCACTCCGGCTACGCGTGGGGTGCGGTGGTCGAGATGTCGGCGCTGAACGACACGACGCAGAAGGTCGTCCGCGACCGGCCCTACAGCTACGCGATTGGCGGCACGTATGGATGTGTCAGAGTTGAAATCGACAAAGTTGAAATAATTTGCCATGCATAAAATGGAACCCAGTTTCCAAGTGGCGCATGACAAATTTCGGTGGTCCCTAAATCCAGTTTGTCATGCTGTTTAGGCAAAGAAGAGCGATTTTCTCATGCTACTTTAGGAGCTCGATCTGTAATCCCAAACAGGCTGACAATCGGCCTCACTTGCCTGCTCTGCAACACACGTGCCTCGGGTCATGCATTTTATGCATTTACAAATTATTTCAACTTTGACGATTTCAAACCTGACACTTCCATAGCACGTGCTTCTTCGAGGGTCCGATCATCGGACAGGACAACAGTGATCAGCACAGCTCCTGGACTTTGAACGACAAGTGCCCGATCCAATCCGGCGTCAGCTACTTGTACTTTGCGTACGTGTATCAAATGTAAAAATGTCTGGGTCTGGAACATTCTAAACTTGTGATGCTGTCTCTGGATTCTGAAAAAATTTGTATTGCATGACCAGCAAGAGGACTCCAGTTTGTGCTATGCGGAGAGGTCATTTCTCATGCTGTAGAGGCATCACAAAGCGCTCTAAAAATCTGTGATGCTACGGCATGCATCACAGACGTCATGGGTCATGGAAAATATGCATGACAAATCTAGAAATCTTCCAGACCCAGACATTTTTACATTTGATAACGTGTCCGGTCCGAACTTGGACACTTACGGCCGCATGTCGCTCGGGCACGAATTCTCGCACAAGTTCAACACGGTGTTCATCCGCGTCGCCTGGTTCCAGGGCATCCACCACACGGGGGGTAGTCGGATTGACTACTACCGGGTGTACTTGAACGGCACCCTGGAACAGCAAACGCCGTATATCGAGGGGGTGTCGGAAACGGGTTATTTGGATGTGTTATGCATTCTCGGGCGGTTTTACGACGTTGCGGTCTCTCCGCGGAACGCCATCGGCTGGTCCAATTACTTGTCCACCCCTGCCCGAATCCTGTGCGCGGAGCAACCGTCGTTGCCGCGCAACGTGCGGATCGCGGAGGATGCAGCCTTGCGAACGCCCACGACACTGCCTCTCCGCTGGGACGTGCCGCTGTTCGACGGCGGTACGCCGATCACAGGGTACCGGGTGTACAAGACTGTCGGCACAGACGAGTCGCTTGTGTACGACGATAGCTTCAATTATCTCCCGAAAATTAACCATCCCCAGCCCCCAATTTTTCATTCGAGACATGAGGCAAAAGTAAAATCGGCAGCTTTTCTTCTTTGCCATGATGCAAAAAGTGGATGGGGATGGTTAATTTTCAGGGAATACCAATGCCTACGGCGACCGGTCTATCGACGCGATTGTCGTCCGCTACCGCGTGTCCGCTATGACGGACTTCGGGGAGTCTGGAAAAACCATCCCGCTCACTGTCGAGCTGACTGCAGTGCCGCGCGCGCCGGCACGCGTGAACATCACGAGAGGCGGTTTGTCTGCAGTGATCATGCGGTGGGAGATCCCGGAGGATGGAGGCAGTGGCGTGCTTGGCTACGAAGTGGTGAAGGATGAAAAAGTGGTGCTGTACCCGCCGCAAAACGCGTTCTTGATGGAGCCGTTCGTTACGGAGGTGACTTCCGAGACATTAGAGCTAGAATTCAAGATGAACATGTCTGCCGGTTCGGTCTACGTGATGGCGCGGCCGCTGATCAACGAGTTTCCGCAGGCCCTCTCCCTGAAACTGGGCCCCGTGGAGACGCCCGACGAAATGCTCGCAATCTTTGACAACGTGACAACGACGTACATCCGGCCGAACCCGCTCGGTCCCGGGATTTTGCCGGACATTGTCGTCTCCGACCCGCCAGGGATCAAGAAAATGGCCTACACGCCAAACGCCGTCGGCACAGTGACCCACCCGAGAGAATCCGTCGCTTGCGTCTTCAACGAGACCTTGGTGGAGAACCACGAGAAGTACACGACCTCCAACGGAACGCTGACCGGCACAGCGTTGGAGCAGTTTGCGCAACAGGTCGAGTTCGATCCGGTGATCGTAAACATCAAGCTAGAAAACTGCGACTTCGTCCCGGATATCGACTACGAGGTCTACATCCTCGTAACGGACGGGAAAAATTACAACCACGAGCAAACCAAGCGCTACCCGGTGTTCTCGCGGAATTTGGTTTTCACCGGGCCGCCGGCGCCCTTGTCCAACGAGTTCTTCTCGCTGCCGGAGTTGAAGCCGGGCTCGACCATCACCCGTGAGGGCACGACGATCCGCTGGAAGATGCGGCAAAACGCGACCGCCTGGGTGGTCGTCGCGCCCGCGACCGAGTCTGTGCAGGTGCAAGGTGCGTACGAGATGAAGCAGTTCCTCGGGCACGCCGGGAAGGGCAGTGCTTGCTTCGGGGATAAGAAACCAAGCTTCCTGCAGCAGTCCTGGCTTTCGCCCGACGTGAACGGCACGAGCGCACAGACGACGCAATGGAACCCGCCGACACCCACGACGAAGCCTAGCTTTGACACCTTGGCTTACGTGGAAGTCACTTTGACTGGGTGCGACTTCCAGATGGGCGTGGAGCACGTCGTGATGGTGTACATTGAGGACACCTACGCGTACAACAACCCCAACACGCCGAAGCTGAACACGCAAGGGCAATTTTACAAAATGACGAGAACCCTCGGCATCCCTGCGTTCATGAACAGCTTCGAAATAATGCCGGGTCTGACGAAAACCATTTCTCTCGACGACAGCAACAACGGCTTCGACATCGCCATCCACCCACGGCAGGCAGGCAAGCTCTGGGTGTGGATCATGCACCGGCACTACCCACGACTGCCGGCGCAAACGCCGACAAAGTTTCCCTTGCCGCTGATCAAGGGGATCCCGGAGGGCGAGGTCTCGCCGTTTCCGTTCCGGCAGGCAAACGGGCTGGCAAGCACGAATGCGCAGTGTCTGAAAATCAACGTTGACGTCCCTGCAGGGGCGCAGCTGGTCCGGCTGGCGAACTGCGGGCTGCAGGGGAATTTGCTCTACTACCTGTATCTCTATCTAGAAACGCCAGAGCAGGCGGGGTCGACGCTTATGCGGGGCGAGCTGGTCGGCGGTCTTCCACTCATGCCAGCGGGGGTCGATCGTGTGAACTTCTTCACAAAATTGCCCACGATCGTCACCTCTGGGGCGCAGGACATCACGTTCCAGCTAAACGTCAAGTTCACAGGCAAGCTGTGGGCCTACGTCCTCCCCGCGTTAGAAGCTCGCTACGTCGACGGGAACGCGATTCTGACACTTGGTTCCGCGGGCGCGGCGGACACCAGCCGCGCGGTCGGCGACGCGAACACGTGCCAGATCAAGGGGCAGACGGTTTCCGTCCCAGCCGGCGGCGTTCCGATCGAAATCAAGTGGACCAACTGCGGGCTTTTGTCCGGAATTGAGTACAGGATCGCCGCACTCATTTCCGACACTGCGGCCTTAACCCGGTCGGCGACCAGTAGCATTCTCTACGAGAATATGCAATACAAATTTCCCGTACATGTACAAAATGCATCACAAATTTCACCAATTTAGAGCGTAAAACTTGTCATGCTAAACTAGGATCGAAGCCAAGTTTTGTCATGCGGAGACCGCATTTGTACGTGTACGGGAAATTTACTGTGTATAGAGAACGAGATGCCGCTGTTCTACGTGCCGACTTCGTCCGTCACGTTCGTCCAGGATCCAAAAATCTCGTCCGCGCTCTACAAGCCAAAGAGCCCGACGATCGTGCAGGACATGTCCGTCGGCCCCGAGGGGGCTGAGATTCGCCAAATCGACAACACCCTCTCCCTGCAGGCGAATGTCGGCTTGATCACCAAGGAAGGCTTCAATATCACTTTCGCGCTGAACGACAGCGCGACAGTGTTCAGTTTCATCACGACCGAGGACGAGTACACTAACTACAACCTAGACACTGTCTCGGATGCCACGTTGGCGACGTACGTGACGAACACTTTTACCAATAGAACCCTGTCGCTGCAGTACAACAATTACCTGATCACGCCGCTGACGAACCGCAGCTCCTGCTACCACGGACCGTTGAAGTACGAGAAGACGCGGACTGGTCAGTTGGAATTCCTCAGTTTCAGCAACTGCGGTTTCGAGCAGGATCTGACGAAAACCTACCGCTTCTTTTTCTACGCGGTCGGCCCGAGTGGCGGGCTGGGGTCCTTCGTCCGCGGGGCGCCCTTGTCCATTGCGGAGCCGCCACTGGAGACCATTTCCGGCTTCGAGTCCAACCCGGTGGTGATTGTGGCGAAGAAGGAGTTTGGGAACACCAACCGAGGGCTGTTGAGGGCGAACACAACCGACAAAGACTACGAATTCATCGGGTTCGACGGGCTGTCCGCGTTCATGTCCGTTGCGGTTTCCGCGACCAAAGAGTACAAAGTGGTGTTCACCGTCTCCCGGACCATGCGGGCCTGGATCCACGTCGCGAGACGGGTGAAGCACGAGTTGCTCTACCTGAAGCACACGGACACTGTCGTGGAGGACATTTCCTTCGACGATTTGATCCGCGGGTACCGGCAGGCGGGCGGAACCCAGTGCCGGGTCGAGGAGGAGATCATTTACTACGGCAAGTCGGAATTCGATTTGAAGTGCGAGGAGCTGAATTTCGGGATCTACGAGGTCCGTGTCGCCGTGCAGGACATCGTGGACTTGGAGCGGCCGGGCAGGATTGCTTTCGCCGGGATCATATCCTGTGCAAAAGCATCGTACTCGTACGTAGTAATTGCAGTCATGATGCATGACAAAGTGTGTCGCACTTCTGTTTAGCGTGACAAATCTGGTTCCTTAGATTATTCAGCATTACAAATTCCATCTTTCCTTCTGGAAAAATTTGTAATGCTATTTCCACTAGTACGATACTTTTGCAATGGATAGATCATCTCGGTCCCCTACGAGGTGCCGACCATTGACACGGTGAATCTGCAGTACAAGGACCAGTTCCTGTACCCGTTCTACGGCGTGCAGCACATCTACCAGATCCGGGCGGTGAACCGGTTAGGCGTCGGGGTGAATTCTATGCCGTCCGTGCCGATTCTGTCCGCCGGACCGCCGCCCCCGCCGTTTCTGCGGGTCGTGAACCGGACGTCGACGCAAATCGCCTTCGGCTGGGGCACGCCTTTTGACAACGGCGCGACGATCGCGGCCTACGCCGTGTACCGGGATAACATCCGGGTTTTCTTCGGCATGGAAAATGCGTACACCGATACCAATGTTCTTGGTGGTATCACGTACAACTACCGCATTTCCGCCTGGAACGCGGCGGGGGAAGGCGAAAGGAGCAAGGAGTACGCGATTTCTTCCTGCCGATTACCGAACAAGCCCGCGGACTACAAGATCCAACACGCGTACAGTGGGTTTCGCCTCACGTGGACCATGCGTATGCAGGGAAGGGTGCTGAGCTTGAGTGTTTAATACTCTGATTGTGTTTTTTTATCTGGGATCGAGTTCCAGTCCCAGTGTTTAGTTTAACACAGACATCATTCATCGGTGTTGTACCCGAGCCCAACTGGAGGGTTTTTCTGGGGAACAACGGCGTGGGCAGCGCAGCTTCGCGCACTTTTTTCTTTTATTTTCATTTTTTTTGCCCGAATAGGTGTGTTTAGCAGAGCTATTCTGAGCACCCGGGTCCACGCTTGCGCACTTCAGCAGTGGCGCGGGTAGCACTGAGACCGACGGGTCGTGTGCAATCCTGTCATATGCGCACGCCCAAGAGGTGGTCCTGCGGGTGCGACGCTCTAGGGACTGATCATCCCAGTGAGAGCGACGCAGTGCGAGGAGCCGCCGACAGATCTCTGGCATCGGATGCGGCGATATGATGGCGACCCCCCAAAGACCAGAGATGCTCCGACAGTCCGCGCCCGGGCGCCCTTTTTGGTTCTTTCGGCGGACTTCGACAGCGGGGACAGAGAGATGGTTGACAGCCATTAAACGCATTCGATTGCGTTTGTGGCTTTTTCGTTTTATTTTGCTGGTTTTGCCCGAATGGATGTGTTTAGCACAGCTATTCTGGCTACCCAGTTCTGGGCTTGTGCAAATTGTCAATAGCGTGGGTAGCGCAGATATCTGAGCACATCTGTCATATCCGCACGCCAAGCGGCGACCTCGACAGCCCAGATCAATGGACTTGTCTGAACGTCGGACTCAATCCGACCGGACACGAGGGGCTGCTGGTCCTGCGGGTGCGGTGCTTGAGGGATTCGCGACCCCGATGAGAGCGACGTGGTGCGAGGGGGCCGCCTCCAGATCTCTGACGGTCGGCGAACGGCCAGAGATGCCCCGACAGTCCGCGCCAGGGCCCTTTTTTCTGTGTCTGGGCGTTTTCTGGGGGTGCTGAAATGTAGGATACAAGACCGAGCTGTGGTTGTGGACTTGCGTGTCGACTCTAATTGTGTTTTTTCATTTCTGGATCGCATTCCAGTGTTTAGTTTAGCACCGACATTGACATTCTGATTCTGGGTCGTGCCCACCCTGTGGGTTTTTGTTTTTTTGGGGACCAATGGCCTAGGCAGCGCAGCGTCCGTCGCGCACATTTTCCATTTATTTCCCTGCTTTTTGCCCGAATGCGTGTGTTTAGCAGAGCTATTCTGGCTACCCCGGTCTGCGCTTGCGCCGGTTGGCAATGGCGCGGGTAGCATTAGAATGCAGTCCTGTCATGTGCGCACGCCAAACCTTCCTTTCTGCGCCTGCCGCAATCCTGATCCGAAACCGCACTTTCCCTGGTCCTGCGGGTGCGCCGCTTGAGGGATTGATCACCCTGATGATAGTGACGTAGTGCGAGGGGCCGCCGCAAGATCTCTGCGAGCGAGGTGACGACCTTCGAGCCAGAGATGCCCCGACAGTCCGCGCCTTTTTGGTTTTATTTGGCGGCTCGCTGCGCCGGGGAGGGAAAAACGCCCGGCATCCCGTCCGCGCTTTTCTGTCAGATTTGTAACTCAGAACGTTTTTCGTTGTTCCTGCTCGAGGGTTTCGCCTCACGTGGACCATGCTTGGTTGCCTGCGTATGTGATGGAAATAAAGTAGGCTGAGGAGCTTGCTTTTGGTTTTTCATTTTTTTCAATGTTTTTGCCTGGTATGGAGTCAGTGTTTAGCTTAGGTATTCTGGCTACCCTATTTTAGGGATGTTCTCCTTGGCACAGGCGCGGGTAGCACGAGTAGTTGTGCAGAACTGTCATAGCCGCACGTCGAGATCCCTCGTGCGAGCCACGAGGGTTCGGTCCTGCGGGTGCGACGCTCGAGGGGTCACAGACCCCGATGAGGGCGATATAGTGCGAGGGGCCGCCGTCAGATCTCTGGTATGCCCACCTATGACCCCGGAGAGCTAGAGATGCCCCGACGGTCCGCGCCCGGGTTTTTCTCGCTTCTGCACCGGGGTAGGGGACAGACGAGATTTCGGGCAGCCCGCGAGCGCTTTTCGTGTGTTTTGTTCGCTCAATCCGAGTGTCTTATTTTATCCTCTGTGGACTTAGACTGTGTCAAGGAATGCGCTAAGGTTACTGAAAACGCACGGACAGTAACGAAAAACGCTAGCGCGAGGAACAGGCACGGCGCGGGGATTGGTCTTTAGTTTGTCCACGTTTTTGCATTTATTTCTTCTTTTTTGCCCGAGAGCCTGTATTTAGCGGCGATATTCTGGGTACCCTGTTCGCGCCTTGCGCATCTAGGCAGAAGCGCGGGTAGCACAGAATGTTGTGCGAAACTGTCATGTCCGTGCGCCGATTGAGAGCCGGATGCTACCTGCGTCCCCAGCATGGCCCGGCCCTGCGGGTGCTCACCAGAGGGACTAGCTATCCCGAAGACGGTGATGCAGCACGAAGGGAGGCTGTCGATAGCCGTATCACCTGCTTGGCAACGCAATTGCCACAGAGATCCCCGGACAGTCCGCGCGCGCGCGCATTTTGTTTTTGCTTGGCTGCATGGCAAGAAATTGATAGCGACCCTGTTTCCGGCGCGCGCGATGTGTCTTCAGCTTGTTCTACAAGTACAGCTGGCCGCTCTTCTTATTCAAGCAAGGGGGCATCGTCATAGTGCCCGAGAGTGGTCCTTGCCCAGGAGCTGCAGAAACAACAAGGCGTGGGGATTTATTCGGTACCTCGCGGGGACAAGAGTCGAGCGAGAGTCCGGTCCTGCGGCGGCGACGCACGAGGGGTTCATTAAAACCCTGAGGACGGTGGCGCAGCAGGAGGGAAGGCCTTCGGCTTCGCCACTTTTCCAAACCACGGCTGCGCGACCAATCACCCTGCCAGGCCAGCAGCGCTCGCTGCCTCAGAGATGAAGCTTCACAGTCCACCGCGCCCGCGCGCCCTTTTTCGCCCTTTGCGAATCTCGAGTGGGAAAGGAACTTTCCAGCTGTGTGGCAGGGACAAATGCCAGTGAGATCCCCGACAGCCCACGCTCGCGCGCGCTTTTTCGTGTTTGCGCGTTTTCTATTGTGACAGTGCGCTTCTGGTAGCTCGGGTGGCTTGGAGCACGGGCATAGCGTGGGACGGTCACGGTCCTCCGCATTTCTACAATTTTCATTCGCCCAGCTCTTTTCTTTCATGTGTGTTTTTCTCTGCAGAAGTGTTTTGATTTTCCCCCGAAAGTGGGTATTTAGCAAAGATGATCTGACTACCTAGACACGGGCTTGCCGCTCTGAGCAGTAGCACGCACGGGGAGCACACATACGTGTGCACTCCTGCCTTGAACGCACTGGATTCCCTCACTGTAAGTTGCGAATCGACGGACAGGGCGAGGCCCAGTCCTGTGGGTGCGACGCCTGAGGGTCTAATCAATCTGCTGACGGCGACGCAGCGTGAGGGGTCACGAAGAACTTGGAGACAGAAGTCAGCAAGGACTTCGAGACCCGGCGGCCCGTGCGCTTTTTTAGATTCGTGTCAACTTCGTTTGTCACCAAGGTGTGTCTGCTCTTGGGCTCTCGCCTTCTTAGGTTCAACCTCATGGCTGGCGCAGGTTGAGAAATTTGTTTCTCCACCTCGTCTTCAACAGAAGGCAACTCAGCACCATTTTCCTCGCATACTCCCTCCGTCCAACGCCTGCGAGATCATGTCCTTCAAGGTCTACCTCGATGGCACTGTGATCGACGAAATCAGTAGCCTGCGGTCCAAGCGCCCTCCCTTCTACTACGAAATCTCCGCTGCGAAGAACAATCTTCTTATTGGTCAGAAGTACAACATCAGCCTGGCTTCCAGCTCCCAGGGTGGCGAAAACGCAGCTGCGTCGGAAGAGAGCTTTGTCGTCCCGCCGACCGTCGGGCAGAATGTGCTCGGTATTCACGAGCAAAGGCCGAATAGCATCGTGCTGGAGTTCTACTTGGAGGACGACGGCTACGCCAATTCCTACCCGAGCTACAGCACCGGGCTCGGAGAGTCGCAGCAACTGCCCTCGGAGCCGACAAACGTGACGCTGAACAAGATGGGGCACGCGACGATCCACAGCTACGAGAAGATCGAGGAGACGCAACACCGGACGGTGTGGTACAACCAGGACAGAAACGAAAATTCGCTTGTCGCGAATCTGTACTACGAGAAGCGCTTCGTCGGCAGTCATAGCCTCGCGAAGGTGCCGAATCTGCAAATGAAAGAGACGGACTCGCACATCCATCATTCCTCCGTCGACGGGCCACGGATCCCCTTCGACGAACTTCCCCCCGCACCGCCAATGGACCCGCCGTTCGAGCGGTTCCCGCCCGTGCCGGAGTACCGGGCGTTGCGAAGACTGAGCTACCACAGTGGTTCGGGCTACGGATACAGCACACCGACACCGACTCCAACGCCGAGCTACTCCCCCTCCCCAGTCCCGGTTTCGAGCCCTTCGCCTGCCCCGGTGTACAGCGCACCAACGCCCGTACCGACGACGACGGCCGTGAGCTCCTCCGGCAGTTCATCTAGTGGCTCCACCGGCGTAGCAACCACGGGGGGCTCTTCTGCGAGTAGGACCACCGTGCTCACTTCGTCGTCTGAGTTGGAAGCGCGCGCGCAAATGCAAACGGAGGACACGATGTACTCGGTGTTGCCGCCGGCGAGTGCCAGCTTGCGCCAGGTCGTTGCATCGACCGGCACAGCAGCTTCTGGAACTAGCGCGTCCGCTGATCAGCGGGAAACCCTTGGCAGTCTCCTCCCGGACTTCACCTTTCACGCTGTTGATGCCCGGGGAAGCTCCGTCGACTTCCGAACCCATTCGACTGTGGAAGAGGTGAGAGTTTCAGATGCGCTGGACTCGATTTCTCTGTTCATCGAAAACGAGCAAGTGCGCGAGAAGCACCTCGCCCGCGCGAAGCAGCGCTTCGCGTTGCAGGTGCAGAACTTGGATGTCAAGGGCCCGACGGACAAGCAAACCGAGATCAACAAAGTGCCCAAAAATCTGCAGTACGTGAACCCGCGGAAGGAGCTGAACGTGGCGCCAAACGTGTTCGCGAACGTGAACCAAACGGCCGTGTTCACCAATCCGAATTCGAAAACTTTGGAATCCCTAACCGAACTCCTCGACCCATCGCGCGTGTACAAGTCCGCGATCGTCCCGGACAGCACTGTTTCCCCGGTTGCTGTGTCGGGTTTGAAAACCATCGACACGCTGGGCAACTACTTCAACCCCGAGGGCATTGAGCAGTTCCAGTCCATCGGCAGGCTGAAGCAGCGGGGCAAGTCGCAGGCGAATCACCCGTCGGGGTTGAGCTACCGGAAGGACACGATCTTGGAGGACAGTTTGGAGACTGTGAAACTGAACGAAGACCCAGACGAGTTCTTCACGGAGGGGATCAATCCCTTCGCCAGGTCGCAGTTGGTGAAAATGGGCCTCTTGTCTCACGCGCTAACGAACGACGGGCACCCGGCCGACACGTTTTTCGACGGCGATAAATCTCGAGTAGCTTCTGTCCGACCGTCGAAGGTGCTCACCCCGAAGCCGGCGACGTCTCGCGTCCCCGACCGGAGGATAATCCGGGTCAGGATGGAGATTTTGGATTTGGAGTACAAGCAGAAATACTGCTTCAAAGTGTTTGGCAAGAACCCCAAAATCCCGAATGACGCCCTGCACTCCCCCGAGATCTGCGCAGTCTCCGCCCCGGCCCCGGAATTAACCTACGTCGACCTAGTCGCGAACGAGGAGGGCCAGACGCGGGCGAACCAGTTCCGCGTGAAATTCCCGCCGGCGAACGGGGACGACGTGATTGGCTACGAGGTGCAGGCACTGTACAGGTCGGGACCAAGGAACTTGATCGACAACAGTGTGCAGCAAGAGAATCTCCTGAAGAAAATCTCCCGGGTCGTCCCCTCGGAAAAAACTCGCGACATTCCGCTCTCCTGCGACTACATGCAGGACGTGTACGAGAAGGTTTCCGTCCGCGGGATTTCTTCCACGACCGGGTACGGCCGCCCGCAGGTGTTTCGAAATGTTTCCTGCACTTTGAAACCGGAGGTGTACCCGCCGCGGATCCGGCATACGAAGCTGATCAAGAACAACGGGGAACAACCCTACTGCCAGCTCACCGTCGACTTTGCGCCGGCCAAGGGAGACGGGAACGCGGTCTACGAGTACAGTTTGTATTTGAGACCGTCAGGGACGATCGAGCCGTTCAGGTTAGTTGGGATGGCGACACGGAAGCCGGATTACGACCAAGTGAAGGCCATCATGCTCGCGGCGGCGAACGAGAAAAACACGGTGTTGCTGCCGGATTTGGACTACGTGAGAGACATGCTGGCGAAAGCGCAGGAGTCGGAAGCACAAGGGTCTTCTCGCAACATCTCTCAACCGATCGACTACGAATACAGAAAAGCGGAAACTTACGGCCCGTACAAGTACAATTTCACGACGGGAAAAGCCGGGCTGATTATCCCGCGGCTTTTACCGAACGACACGCGCGAGTACTGGTACCAGTTTGTCAGCTCGTACTTGGACAAGTCCGGCCAGGTCGGGGCAAATTACGGCGGATCGACGAACGTGAAAGTCCCGACCGATTTTCTCTACGACAACACCGTCTCCACCGACAACAAGATCGCGATTGAGTCCATCGCCGAGGTCACGCCGGACTTCACTTCCTCCTACGAACAGCTAGAGAAGGAATTGGCGCGCCGCGACACGTACGAGCAGCACGAGTCGGACAAGGAAGTGGAGGAGGGAAGGGAGAAGCAGCAGGTGCTTGCGCAGCTGAAATTTTCCAAGGCCTACAGCTACGACAGATCTCTACTGCACCAAATCACGGTGATGGAAAGACTTCCACTAAGAGGGAATAACTTGAACAGCTACAAGTTCTCGTCGGAATCGGTGGTGCAGAAGTACGACGCCTTTCTCGTCGCGGCCGGAAAGATGGGGCGCGGGATTTCGGAAAAAGTCGAGCTAGCCTGCATGAACATCCCGTCGAAGCCGCTGAGTGTGCGGGTTTCCGACTACGAACCGAACGACCGCCGGTATGTTCAGGTCGATTGGGACGAGCCGGCTTCGGACGGCGGCTCGCCGATCACGGCGTATGAGGTGTTTGTGAACAACAAATTCGCCGTCCGGACGATCGTGACGCGGGCTTTCATCCCCATCGCGAAGTTTTTCCAGCACGAAAAAGCCTACGAAATCGTCGTTACCGCGTTCAACGCCATGAATGACGCAGCGATGCGGACGGGGGACAGTCTGCCCGACGAAGACGGAATTCTGTTCAATCAGCACGACCCGGCGCACGCGGAAGGCAGAGACTACGCCCCAGCAGTCTACCCGGCCGCGAAGCAGGTTCCGGTCAAGGACGCCCCTTCGGGGGATCGCAGCCGCGGGCTTTCCGCGTCAGATCCCGTGGCCTGGTACGCGATTCTGCGGCAGACGATCAAGGCTCCGAAGGTGTACTGTGCGGATTTGTCGGAAAACTATCTGAAGATCAATTTTGAGACGGTCCGGGTGGATGGCGGCGTGGAAACCGCGATTTTCGAGGTTTATGTCCTGCACTTCGAGGCGTCTGCGATTCGCGAGCGGCTGATCTACTCCGGTCCGAGGAACTACGTGGAGCTGTTTCAGCTCACTGAGGGTTTGGAATACAACTTTCGCGTGCGCGCGAAGCTTGGGAGCGATGGCCTGTGGTCGAAGTTCACGGAGTTCGCGCAGGCCCCGTGCGGCTTGCCGTCCGCGCCCACGAACTTGCGACTCGAGCTCTACAACCGGTCCACGGTGAGCCAGGAACTTTTCGAGTCGAAAGGCGTCCACTTGACCTGGTCGCCGTCGCGTGAATCCAACGGCTGCAAGGTCGATCGGTACTTGATTTTCGGCATTCACACGTACCGGCCGGACGCGAAGGAGCTGCTGTTCACAAGAGACGAACGACACAGCCACTACCGTGAATTCCTCGGCTTCACCTCGTTCAACGAGTTCTACTTCACGAACGACGACCGGGTGCGGAAGGGGGAGTCGTGGCAGTTTGCCGTGTTTCCGGAAAACGCGAGGGTCCGGACTGGGCAGGAACAGATTCTCCCCAAGTTGAAGATCTACCACCACTATCCGAACGCCCTCAAGTTCGACTGGGCGTATTTGGACGACAAAACTTACTACGCCTTCGGCAACAGCTATGTAAAGACGAGTAAGAAGCCCGCGCCGCGAAAGGGCGTGGCCGGGTCGAACGCGAACTACTATGACACGCGGCTGAAATTCGGCGAAAACATCCTGAACGAGCAGCCGGAGGGAATTCCCGCGAACCTCGGCGCGCAGCCGTTGTCGGACCCGGTTTATGCCCAAGTTTCCACGGTGCAGGCGCTCAACACCGGACTGGCAGAAACCGGCTACGTGCACCCGGGCTTCAACCAACAGACGTTCGAGCGTCAGTGCATCGCGATTCCGGAGAAGAAGAGCTGCGGCACCAATATCGAGTCGAAATACTCGGAGAAGATTGTGTTGGATCGCAACCCGGACGGGACGCCGTTGCGGGTCCGAGAGATTCTCACCAACGGCATTCCCAACCACGAGTACGACAATGCCGTCGAGGAGACGAATCCGACGCTGGCCTGCGAGCAGCCGACAAAGTTCCGGCTGCCTCTCTACCCGAAGGTCGAGTACCACGGCATTCACACGAAGGTGGGCGAGATCACGGGGATTCTGCGAACGGGAGGCTTTGTTCTGAACCACCGGCAGCAGCACAACCCGACCTCGACGTTGGAGAAGACAACGAAGGGCGTCGCGATGCACATCTCGGTCGAGGGCAAGCTCCTCGACACCTGCAACGCGCACAGCAACTACTACTGCCACTACGGCTACCACTCGTTCGTGAAGCGCGACGAGTGCGCGCCGGACTGCCAGTGGCGGCCGTGCAAGTTGATCGGGTTCATGCTGGACGGGTTCCCCATCTATTCGCAGTGCCAAAATCTGAAGTCCTGCTACCACCTGAAACTGGTGCAGGAAGACGGGGTGTACGGCGACTCGATCTCCGACTTCGTCTACGACCCGGTCGGCGAGAGGTACGGGAAGCCGTGCGACCTGGACGACGCGAACGGCATGGACTTCACGGGCAAGGGCATTCTCGACAATTTCGGGGTCGAAATCGCGGGCTACGCGTACGTGGCGACGGACGAGTACCCTTTCGTGCCCCCGATGTTCCGCGGCGTTCCGGTGAAGTACGGGAGCGTGGATTACCACGACATGGACGACAGTCGCGACATTCCGTGCAACTCGCCCGTGCTGTGCCCGAAGGACGTGACCGCGACGGACCACTTCAGCGACGAGGAGCTCGCGGTCGCGATGACGCACGGCTGGACCAACGTGACGGACTACTACCCGCTGCGGTACGAGGACCACGATTCGTACCTGATGCCGTACGTGGTGCCCACAAGCTCGCACATTTCGTCTTCCGGGGTGTTGTCCACGACGAAAAATTTGCTCCCCTACCACGGCGAGTCGGTTCCGAGTCCGATCGACTACTACGTGCTGGGGCAGCAGCTGGATGACGCGTTCAACCAGCAGTACACGTGGCCCGTGCCGGCGCACAGCGCGGTCACTCTGGCGCTGCTGCCGGACGCGCCGCGGAACGTGCGAAGGGTGTACCCGCCGGACACGTTCGCCACGGAGTTCTGCACGTTCGAGAACCTGATGAACTACAAGGTCGAGCCCTACACCGTGCCGGTCAACGACAGCAGCTGGAACTACTTCAACACGATTGAGTCCTCGAACAGCGTATGGTGAGAAGGAGGGAATGGGGTGGTGTTTCTTTGCATATACTTTGTACGGTGTCAACACGTGCCGGATCAGCACGACGGCGCTCTCGGAGTCGAACAAGTGTCAGACGCGTCTGACAGCCCAGAGCTGATGTCAGACGCGTCTGACAAGTGTCAGTCGCGTCTGACAAGTGAAAGTGTCAGACGCGTCTGACAGGTGCCAGACGCGTCTGACAACCCAGCGCTGATGTCAGACGCGTCTGACACCCCAGACCTGATGTCAGACGCGTTGCCCGGGCGCCTTGGGCTTACTCATTGCCCGGGCCTACGGACCCAGACCTGTCGCGGACTCTCAGCGTATTGTCCTTCTGCTACTGTGCACCTGCCGCCGGGCGCGGCTACTCCTGCAAATGGCAAAAGTCACCCACCCCACCCTCCTCCTGCCCCTTCTCCATATCCTCTCCGTGGCGGTCTGATTCCCATCGAGTGGGAGCCGCCGCTCTTCAGCGGCAGCCCGGAGCTGCAGGGCTACACCGTCCAGATCAATCTGGACGGCAGCCGCGGGAACGAGATCTACCAGTTCGCCAACACCAGCGGAATCAGCTACTTCATAGAGAAGGACCGCAAGGACAAGATGGTGGTGAAGAAGCTCCGCACCTGCATCCACTCCCTCGACGACAACTTCGATAACGTGCTGGGTGGCGGCCGGCTCTACGGCGTCCGGGTTGGCTCCTTCAACCAGCTGTTGGGGCAGGACCGGCGCGAGGTGTCCGGCTTCGAGAAGGCCTCGGAGTACAACCGGACCGAGCTTTTTGGCACCGACTACAACTGGCGCAACACCTTCTACCCGAACGATTTCAACCACCCGGAGCTGATCAAATTCTCCGAGCCCAACTACTTCCTCTCCTGCTCCCCGTCCGCCAAGCCGCCACAGCCAATCGACGTGAAAATCGTCCGGCGGACGAAGTCCGCGGTCTTCCTGGCGTTCGACTTGCCGAACGCCGCGACGAACTTCACGGACGCGATTCGGCAGTACGGAATTCAGCAGGGCCTGATCGTGGAGAACGAAACCAGTTCTGCGACGTTGACCACCGCAAATTTGACAAACGACACAGGCCTAGAAACCATCCCGTACTCGTACTTCATGGAGAAGGCGCAGCAGAACCAGCACAACACGTATCTCCAGTCGCCAAGCAACGACCTGCACTACGACTTCCAGGTGCCGACGCTGCAGTACTTCGCGAACGTGTCAAAAAGGCACTTTCCGAAGCCGGTGCCGGAAATGATCGCGCTGAATCAGTCGAATTGCACCATCAACGACACGATCTTCGCCGACTACGAGTTCATCGACGCGAATGGCACTCTGCAGTGCGTTTACAACAGTTCGCTGCTCGCAAATGTCACACTTCCGGCGGATTCTGTTGTGACCAATATGACCGAAGTAGAGCCAAGTAACGAAACCAACGCGACCTTCCCCGTCTCCCCCTTCCGGCCGATCTGTGATTACTACACCCGGTGCTTCTTCACGGTGTACGATGACAGCAATTTGGAGATGGATATTCCCATCGTGGAAAACCAGTTCAGCCAGATCATGTGGAACGGCGGCTCCCGGCTCGCGGTGTTGGAGAACTTGATCCCAGGCCAGAAGTACAACATCTCGCTGACTTTCTCCACGGACGCGGGCGAATCCGACAGGACCAACTACGAGTTCGCAGCCGGGTTCGTGCCCTTTATGCCGGAGGAGGTGCTGCGCATCGAGTGTTTGGACTGCACGCCGAGCCGGAACGTCAGCGCGGAGGGCGGGGATGTGTTGAGCTACAACCTCACGTGGTCCGTGTTTGGGGAGTACGACCCGAGGTTCATGCACTTTTTTCCGATTCTGCAGTACGAGGTCTTGCTGATCGAGTACTACAATGTATCCGTCGTCTCGGAATCCGGCACCACGGATCTCGAGTCCTACGACCACCTCGGCATCGACCCCGCGACCAACAACACGATTCCGATCGGCCATCCGGCAGTGGTGGCGGGCTGGCGGCAAGAGGGGCTGGACTACTTCTCCTCCGTCTTGGACGAGCCTGGCGTGACGCAGCAGGGATTGAACTACAGTGCGAGTTTCACGAACAAAACTTACAACGTGACGAAGTTCACGGTGGATGGCAACGACCAATTTTTGGAATTGAAGCTGCTCGCCGATCGGCAGTACTCGGTGCGGATCCGGTCCGAGAACGTGGTCGGGTTCGGCCCGTGGAGCGCGTTGCGAGATTTCTACGCTGCGGTGATTCCGACTAAGGTGCAGAACGTGGAGGTGACGCACGACAGCGACAATTCGATCATTCTCCACTGGCAGCCGCCGAACTACAACGGCGGGCAGAGCTCGACGGTGGCCATCCTGTACTACCAGGTCTACGGCATTCTGGCCGATGGGACGACGAGCGACGGGCCGGTGGCGAGCCTGAGCGGGACGGACTTGCACTTGATCCAGCCGATTCTGAGCAAGGTGGAGAACAACCACCTCCGACTGGACAATCTCGGCCCGGGCGCGTACCGGGAGTACGCAGTGACGGCCGTGAACAGTGGCTACCAGGAGTCGGAGTACACAAAATTCGGCACGTACATTGGGCTTCCGCCCAAGAAGATGGACGAGGTGGGCTTCAAAAATGTGACGAATTCCAGTTTGTTCGTGGACTGGACGACTCCTCTATCCGTGTTGCCGATTTTGGAATACGAGCTCAGCACGGATCCCCGGCCGTCGTACCGCTACGAGGTGAATACAACCACGGAGTTCAACGACACGACAAACGTCACCACAGTGACCCACGAGAAGCAAACCGTGACCATCCCCGCCGGGAAGAATTCGACGGTCTTCTACACGGGATTGCAGCAGTTCTTTGAAATTACCGATCCGGCGTTCATGGTGCCCGGGAATTCCATCCGGTTGAAAGTCCGCGCGAGAAACGTCAACGGGTACAGCCCGTACTCCGAGGCGAAGCAGTTCCTCATCGGCGATTGGTACGTGAATTCCATCCTCGCCGCGCCGACAGTTTCCATTTTCGGCACCACGGCCACGTCCATCACTGTGCAGTGGCAGGACGCGGAGGGAATCAGCACCGACGAGCTGGTCGAGTACGAGTTGACCTGTGTCAGCAAGCGAGACAACCGGCTGAATGAGCGGATCCGGATCCGACGCTATGGCCTCGGGATGCAGAAGTTTGAGTTCACGAACTTGATCAAGGGGCACTTGTACGAACTTTCCGTCGCCAGCTGTGATGTCAACAGTTTGTGCGGCACGCCGGCGCGAATTGAAAGGTACTCTGCCCTCGTTCCGATGCCGCCCCTGCAGCCGTACAGAGTGTTTGTGAACAACCCTGCCAGCGGGACGCGGGACCTCTGTCCGACGAGCCAAGAGTCCCCGGAAATTTTCTGGACCATGGAGCACGCCGACAAGTACTGCAACAAAGCAGTGTACACAAACGTCAGCAACACGGAGCTGAAAGCCACTAGCACAATCACGCTGACGAACAGCAGTACGAACGAGACCTACGACCAGTTCGTATATGAAAACGTCACGACGGTGACAGAAGTGCTGCTGCAGGACCGGGAGATGCTGCAGACGACGGTGGTTATCGGGTGGGATTTGAACGACAACCGGGAGCGGGACGGCGGGTTGCCCATCGAGAAGTACAACGTGTACGTTTCCGACAAGTCCGACGCGGAGCAGGGCGTGGACTTCCAGCTGCTCGGCTCCGTCGAGCAGCCGTTTTTGAAGGGCAGCACAAGCTACAGTGGCGGGCTGTTTGTCTTCCAGGGCTGCACGGACGAGGACATTTCTGATGCGTTCGAGGCGGCAAACGCGGAGAACAGCTACAGCGACACGAAATTTGACGCAAACTTACTCACCCCAGCCGCCGCAAGAAACAGGACCGTCACGAACAGTTCGCAGTTCAGTCCAACAGGGTCTCTCGGCAGGTTTTACAAGATCTCGGCAGTGAACCTTGTTGGTGAGTCGCCGCTCTCCCAGGAAGAGCTAATCTACTGTGGCCCGATCCACCCGCAGCCCGATCCGATCGCGCGGAGTGAGGTCGAGGTGGTGCAGCCGAGATCAGATCTGAAAGTCAAGCTCCCCTGGACCTACAACGACACGAGGGACAAGTTCCAGCCCCTTCCCGGCCAGAAGGCGTACGAGACCAAGTTTGACAGCAATTTTGCGGTACCGGGGGCCGACTTGTTCGATCAGGGCGGGACGAGTGTTAACAAAGCACTACCGCCGATCACAAAGATCCACATGGTTTTGTACATTGAGGAGACGACCGAGTCGCTGGGTGACAGGGACAAGCTATGGGTGAACGCGAACCAGCAAGACCACTACAAGCACGAGGAGCAGTACCACCGCCGGATCATCGACAAGTACAGCTTCAAGTCGCAGGAGCATTTGCCCTTCGTCATGTCGACCTTCACGCAGCCGTATTTGACGGAGCTCACCTCTTTCAAGAACGCCGCGTCGCACTTCAACTACAAAAAGCCGTACAAAAACTTTGCCGGCTTTTACAACCACTACGCGGAGAATCCCTACCAGAAGATGGTGAACACTTTCTCCCTCTGGAACCAAAAAGCGCGCGAGTTGATGCTGACCGGCGGGAATTTCGCGTACCAGGAGTTCGACAACGTGACGATCAGTGATACGACGTTGTCGCACTTCACGTTTGAAAATTTGAAAGAGGGCTACTACTACTGGATCAAGTACCGAGTAGGGTCGAACCTCGGCTGGTCGCCCTTCTCCGTCCCGAACCGGTTTTACGCGTCGAAATTGCCCACGAAGCCGATGCAGCCGTTCGGAATCAACGCGTCGCTGACCAGCCTCGAAATCGGCTGGGCCTTTGACGATGACGGAAGTAAAAACCTGCAGAACGAAGACATTTTCTACTTCAACGTCTACATCCACGAGAATCCGGTCTTTCCCCACCGGGAGTTCCCCGTGCGCGACCACTACGACGGGGAGAACAAGAACCCGTGGGAGCCGTTCACCCGGTCGCCGGGGAACCGGTACCTCCACGACTGCGTCGCGAACAACCACAGCCAGGCGCAACTCTACTTCTGGGTGGCGGGCGTGAATGCCGCGGGTGAGGGCCCGCACTCCGACGTTTTGCGGTGGAGCTGCAGCAACATCCCGGACCAGCCGAAGCCCCCGACGATGTACTACTACCTCGGTGCGAGCGGGTTCGAGTGGGATTTGTTGCACCCGAACAAGACGGATTTCATCACCATGAACTGGACCCACAGCAACACGTACGGGGCGAAGATCGTCGGCACGAAGCTGTACTGCTTCGGGAATCAGGGCATGTCGCTGAAGGTGTTCTACACGCGGCAATACGAGACCGTGGAGGCTGGTTTTGGCGACGGGAAGCTGGAGCGGGCGTTTTTCATCGAGGGTTCGGACGTCACCATGGTGAACATCACGTCCTTCACGCCGACGCAGCAGTACGAGTGCTCTGTCACGACCATCTCCGACGTGGGGGAGTCGATAAAGTCCTTCCCGCCGACGCGGTTGGAGATGGCGGGGAAGCCGCTGGCGCCCCCCTACCCTCCCAAGTACGTGTCCTCGCGATTGATCCCGACCGCGCGCTTGACCATCGAGTACGACCCGAGCTTATCCACAGAAAAAAAACCATCCCCATCCATTTTTTGCATGAGAAGCACAGGATTTTTTACGTGTTTTGCATGACAAATTGGATGTGGACGATGGGTGTTTTTTCCTGGATAGAGCTCCATCGACGCGAACGGGGGGAAAATCGAGGCGGTGTACGTGTACGTGTCAATAGACGGGGTCGTGTGGGATACGACGTATCTGCTCCAGCCGTACATCTACAAACTCGACCAGGTGTCCGCGCCCTACCAGCACGTGCAGGAGTGCAACGACGCGAGGCTACAGGGCGACCGTGCGCGGCAGTTCCTGTGGTTCAAGTACGCGGGGTACAGCTCCTCGGGGTTGGGCGGGTTGTCGCCGGCCTTAAAGAAGCGCTGCTCCAGCTTGCCCGCGTTCCCGCAGCCGATTCTCGCGGTGGACAGAAGGTACAACCCGGAATCCGAGCGCGGCGAAATGCTGATGAGCTGGAACATGCCGGACTTGTACGGCGCGCAGCACGTCGCCACCAAGATCTGGTGGGACTATGGTGCGGGACTGCCGTCCGGGTACCGGTTTCTGGCGACCATCACGGATACGAAGCAGACGACCTTCTGGATCCGGAATCTGATCCGCGGGCAGTACTACCGCGTCAGGTACTCGATCCTCTCCGACGTCGGCGAGTCAGCCCGGTCCGACGGGTTCGGCCGGCTGTTCGCCGGGCCCATGTTGCCGCCAGGGAAGCCGACGAGGAAGAACTCGCTCTTCAACGGCGTGCAGGTGGAGTTCAAGTACACACCCGACGAATTCTACAACGTGGGCGAGTGTCAGCCGGGAAATTGGGTCGTCTACACGTCGCAGACGGGCATCGACTGGAACTTCGACTCGCCGTTGGCGACGGTCGGGTGGTCAAACGCCGGTGCGAGCATGAACGTGATTCAAACTCCGGGGACTTACGTCTGGGTGCAGGCAAAGCTGCAGCCCGGGTTTCTGTGCCCGGATGGGATCGAGGAGGTGTTCACGCCAGTGGAGAAGTTCTTCATTGGGCGCATCCCGGCGACGGTCGGCGCGATTAGGAAGGTCTCCTCCAAGGAAACGTCGATTTTGTTCCAATTGATCCCCGGAAATCTGTTCGATTGCCCGTTGGTCGGTTTCGAATTCAGGTGGCAGAAGGCGTACTTGAAACCGGGCGACTTCGGCCTGACTATCGAGCACTACGTGCACGTGCCGGCGGCGAACTCGCAGTACAACCTGACGAATCTGGAGTACGACGTGCCTTACCGAGTGCAGTACCGCGTGATCTCCGAGTGCGGCACTTCCAACCGCCAGGACGACTTGTCCGCCGCGAGCCTGTTCTACACTGGCGGGGACATCGACCCGCCCGACGACGCATACCCGGACCGCGACCGATCCACCGACGCGCAAATCACGCTCGTCTGGCCCAAGTGGGGGTTGTCCGAGGGACACAACATGTACCGGGGGACCATTCACCAGCCCAGCTATTATGTCTACTTGTCCGCGGACCCGAACCACTTTCCGGATCTGCCGACGACCATTATTCCGCTGAAATCCCCGGAAGCTGGGGACTTCTCCACCACGGCGGACCCAGAGTACTCGACCAACTGTCAGTTGCCGGATCACGGTCAACTGGCTGCGGGGAATTCTGGCGCGGCGAATCTCGACTTCCGGAACGGCGGGGCGGTGTATCTGAAGATGCAGGTGTACGACGCAGTGACGAGCCGGGTGGGCGTCATGACCAGAGTGCAGAAGTTTGTCTGCACTTTCTTGCCCAACAGACCGACGATGAGTGTCCTCGAAACGTCGAACAGCACGATCACGGTGGGGTGGACCGGGGTGGATGTGTTCAACGCAGATTTTGTCGCGTCCCAGCTCTGGATCGACGACGGGCTTGGCGGCACGCTGTACAACACGCTGAACATCACGGACCCGAACCAGCACTACGCACAATTCGTGAATTTGACCAACGCCAGACTGTACACGATCCGGATGAAGACGCTGTCCACCGCGGGCGCCTCGCTGTACGCATCGACCCAGGGCTACAGCTGCTCGCTTCCGGCCCGGCAGCCCGCGCCCTACCCGGTGCCCTCCTCGGTCGCGAATTCCTTGTCCGTCGGCTGGACCATCCCCGGCTACGACGGCGACTGCCCGCTGGTCGGATGGCGCGTCATCGAGCGCGCGAACGTGTCGACGACAAACGCGCAGGGCGACTCCGTGTACGAAATCCAAGACGTGAACATCTGGCCCGCCAGTCTCCCCATCACCGACCCCTTTGCCGCCGGCATGGACGCGCAGTCGCGGCAGTACGGGCCGCTGACCACCGGCTTCACGAATGGCGAAGTTCGCGAGTTCAAGATCCGCGTGTTCAACTTTGGCGGCTTCGTCGACTCACCGTACATCTTCATCGAGATCGGCCCCACGCCGGAGCAAATGGATCCGCCGGCGATCGACACGCCGACGCTGTCCGGCCCGACAAGCATCTTCCTGCAGTGGAACATCACGGAAGACACCATGCGTGGCGTGCCGGCGAAGGGCTTCGCGGTGTACCGGGACAACGGGCATCTGAACAGTACAAAGATCGACTACGTCAATCTGCAGGCGGTGGACTTGAACGGAACCCTGTCCGACGGAACGGTGCCGGATCCGGCGTGCACGGCGCAGGCCTACGACGGCGTGTGCTACCCAGAGCTCCCCGATTGGGATAGCAGAAGCTGTGTGCACAAGCCGGTCTACGACGTTGCGCATGCAAGGAATTGCACGATCACCGGACTCGAGCCGAACACTTACTACAGGTACTGAAGGTTTTTTCGTATCTATGTTGGCATCCCCGTCCTCTGCTTTATTTTCTTTTTCCATGCATGATTCGCAATTTGTTGCACCAGCTTCGCTGCTTGCTGTCGACAATCTCTTCAAACATGTGCGATAAGATCTACGCAAGTTTTTCCGCATTCCATACATAATCTCTGCGATGGATGAAACTGCCAGCAAATGCAATACAGGTTCCGCGTCGCCGCCATCAATCGCCTTGGCCGCGGACCAGTGTCCGACGACGTGATTCTGAAGACCGGCTCGGTAGGTAATGTGTTCAATACGGTGCCCTTCTTTTCCGGTGCGACTAGTGGCGTACAGACGATGTTTGCCCCGGGTGCGCCGCAAAGCCCCTTGGTCAACGACACGTCTGCCAGTATCACGTTCTCCTGGAATCAGCCCCCGCAGGAGGACGGCGATTTCATCTTCAATTACAAGGTAAAGATGTTGCTGAATTGAAATTGTTATATGCCGATGCTGGCACTGCTTTGGTACAATTTGATTTTGTATCAGTTACTTTGAGTTCCGCATTTATTTTTCCAAGCATACAGGATGACTACAGTCCTGAATACTCACTCAGTGAAATAACGATTTGCTTTTGCGAGCTTTTTCATCATCTTGAATTTACGAAACTTCCAAGGCTCTGCTCACTTACATTCCGGACACGACGCGGCCGCTTCCCGACGACCCGCAGACGACAACCTTCGTCTACGCGGCAAACGGCTCGCTGCAATACCCGCTGCCACTCTCCACGAGGTCGCTGACCGTTCGCGCAAACGACTCCGCTGAAGCGAGCGCGTTCCTGAAACCTCGGAGAAGTTACCAGTTTCAGCTGATCGCGGTGTCCGAGCTCGGTGATTCAGAGCCGACGGTGGCGTCCGACCCGGGCTACATTATCAAATGCAAAAATGTCTGGGTCTGCGAGATTTGTCACGCTGATCTGGCATGGCCCTCAAATCTGTATTGCGTGGCCACAAACAGCCTCTCTCGCCTGTCATGCAAAAATGCAGTTTCTCATGCGGAATACGCAGCACAGAGCACGAAGCAACTTGTCATGCTTGGCGGCGCATTACAGTGCATTTGTATATTGACTGACTTGCATCACAAGTTTCCAGACCCAGACATTTTTGCATTTGATATACATCGTGGGGGCACCACTCCCCGCAAGCGGCTTCCGACAGGACACGTCAAAAGGGTATCAGGGCGCTGTGGTGCACGTGATGTGGAATCCGATTATCGACATGAGCTACGCGGGCGCCGCGCCGTTCGCCACGTACACAGAGAGCGCGCCGCCCGGCTGGACGCCGCCGACTTTGCGTAGCTTGCAAATGGAACAAGCTACGTCGAAGGAACTGATCTTGGACGGCGCGGTGATGCACTACACTGAGGAGGCGTTCGCGCACTTGCCGCTAGCTGGCGATGACGATCCGCTGGGGAGAAAGCGGCAACTGCTGGAAGAGGACGTGAGAAGGCAGGTTTCTGCTGACGGCAAGAAGAGCTCGCATCTAGAAGGGACCATGTTGCGTACCAGTGACGAGGATACAGACGACGTCTTGGTTGGAGAAAGAAGTCTAGACACACCTACAACCGGCGCCCCATCGACCGCACAGAAAATCCGCCGAGATTTGCTTTCCGATGAGGACGACGAGGGTCAACAAGACCCCGCTCGAATTCCGGCACCGAAAGCGAACAAGAGTAAAAAGGGAAAAGCAAAGAAATCAAAATCATCTTCTTCAAAATCCGGCACTAGAAGGCAGCTTTCTACTTCAGACTTTGAGCAGCAGCAGGATTTTGAGGACGAGGAGATGCCGACGACAGAAGCGCCCGATCTCCTGCTGGATGAGGAGAACGAGTGGGCGCGGTTGCTGAGTGCAAACGACACCGGCGACGGGAGGCCCGCGTATTGTGCCGGTGAAGACCCGATAAACACGACCAACATGAACTGCACCACGACTTCCAGCACGAGTTCCACCTCCACCACGACCACGCTGCCCTCGGTTGACGTGTACTTCAGCAGCGAAAGTGGCGGTGACTTTTTCAAAAACACCTTCTACGAGGTCTGGGCGAGGGAAGTCTTCAACGATGGCCCACTGTATCGCACCAGCAGCAAGGGCGTCACCGGCGAGTTTGTGTTGCGGTACAAGGAGCCGATCAAGGTGGGACACACAACGAGTATCATGACCAACAGCGATAATCCCGGAGCGCTGATGGAGTACAACAACTGTGGCACTTTTGTGACTTTTTGATCGTTTATTTTCTGACATTTTTCGTGTGGGTTTTTCTTTTTGTACACATTCGCTTTGTGGTCGAGTCAGTTGGTGTACTAGTGGGTTAGGGCTTTTTGTTTTGATTCCATTCGAAGACACGTTTCCAAACAAGGGACTTACCTATGATCAACACTTGAACCTGCTACCAAGTTGCAAACAACTATTTCTCAGGCTGAAAATGCGCACGGTGAATAACAACGGCGCCAGCGACTTTACGCCCCCGATATTGGTCTACTCGGGCGAGTTATGCAAAGAAAAAGAGAGTGTTGCCGAATCACACTTCTACTTCAGCGACTGATACTGAAATTTTCTCTGCATCACAGAGAAAACTTGCGCTTGTCATGCAGAAATCATAAGGAGCAACACAACAGCAAGTATGAAGGAGGTAGACGCTTAGCGAATATCTTCGGCATGATAGCTGAGCTAGTCTATGTTGCTGGGCCTGCAACGCAGTGTGCTCTTTTTCTTTGCATACGACCGGTGCCCGCCAGTGCGGAATCTCACGTTGCTGGAAGAAGACCCGGAGTTTGTCACGGTGAACTGGCAGCCGCCCGAACACACCGGGTATGCGCCGTTCGTGCTTTACTACGAGGCGAGTTACACGACGAACTCAACGCGGATCAGCATCCCGGCCATCAACGTCGGAGATCCGACCTTGCCCCTCGATTCTCAGGGCACATTGTACTCGATGACGGAGGGCCTTTCGGAGCAGCGGGCTAATTACGATCTTTACTGGGACATCAACAAGGCGGATCTACGGGCGTTCGGGTCCCCAGTCATGTACTACACAATAACGCCGGTCACGCACGTCGGTAGGGGGACGCCCACGACCATTCAGGGCCCGGTCGTTCTGTAGATGTGTCGGCGGCTTTACAGAAGCAAAAAAGCAAAAGGGTGCTTTGCGTAGCCGGTTTTTTGAAAAGTCCGAGAACTGCAGACACACATGGAGGGCGCCCTGCAAGTGCTGCGTCGTGAGAACTCTCCAAGCACATCGAATTCAATTTCATCAAATTCAATATACCCAGTGAGGTCAGCCGCGACCTACTACAAAACTGAATCTAAATTTTACTTAAACTCCTGAAGCAGAGACAGGTGCTTTTTTTTCAAACTTCTCTTCGTTTTTGCAAAAAAGTGGACTTAGCTAAGCACAACCAGGACATCAAAAGTTAAGCATTTCATACAAGGATGATATCTGTTGGAGCACCGACTTCAACGGATAGGGATGAGCACGCTTATAAAGACAGCGGTGAGTCGTGATTTACTTCGACTTTCATCTTGATTACTAAATACGTAGACCAGAATCACTAGTGGAAGAAAAAAAAGAGACACCTTACGATTTCGTCGTGGTGTCCAAGAAACAAGATTACTTGACTTGATTTTGCTGTTACATCAGCTTGTGCTGCTCGCGATGCGCAACAGTTTTCCGTTTTCAGTTTTACGCTAAAATTCAATCCTTAGCTTAGTACTTGTGGTCTTCTGTATCTATCTGTGGATGCGTAGGCCCGCAAAGAAATGATAGTTTCACCTTAATCAACCAAGAACCGACGGAGTTCTTCTAGTTTATTGCTCTCGTATCAGAACTGTATTTCAAATTTGTTTTACCTACGTATTGTCGTCGCAATATGATGTGATACGACTCCTCTCGAAATTGCTTTCAGATTCATTTTTCCTGGAATAAGAGGAAAATTGTTTATTTGTTCAGGTTGGCTGATGTGTACACCACTTTCGTTGGTATGAAAAGTTCAACTGTATTCCATAGTTGTCGTGTGTTTCTTTGCTTATTTTGGGAAAAGAAAAAAAATCGCACTTGCAGTGCCGGCTAAGAGTAAGGCGAATAGGGATACCGTTGGAGTTAATGATTTCAACCTGGCTTTGTTATTCGGTTTCAATTTTTGCTCTCTTTTGTTTCGAACGGAACGGACGTAAGCGGTCGACTTTGTCGCTTGTTTTATTCCACCTTTTAAAAAACAAATTTCGCGACGGCTCCGATCACTCGATAGCCACAGCAGCAGCCTTCTCCGCGAGCTCTTGCGAAGTATCAGTCCTCTTTTTAAGCAGGCAGATTTTGTTCTCGCCGACGTTCGAAATTTACCACAAAGCAAGCTGCATCGCGAGAGGATCTTGAGAGTAGCAACAAATCCGAGAGTGAGTGGTCAGCATACATAATGATGGCCCACGAATGCCGTTGCTTTTCATAGTCCTTCAGCTGTCGCCTTGCAGTTGCACTTGCTCGCGTGCGTGGTTGGCTATGTCGCTGAAACAAAGATGGGTACCGGAGTAAAGAAGGCACGTGTAGTCAACATATCATTGACTTCGCTTTTTTGGTTTAAGATGCATCTGCTTCCCTCACCAACATCATGTCGCTTTTATTTTACCGCGACCTTATTTCTCTTGCTTTTTCGAACGTCTATTTCAGGCTACCAGCAGAACAAGCATTGGGAGTGTGTAGTGTCCATTGTAGTGTGTAGTAGATTCGCTTTGGTATCCATTAGCGCGACACTCTGTGTGGAGGTATGTTCCTAGCTACAGCAATGTGCTGTAGTATTTTCTGAACAGAAGCAAGTAGTAGCAGCATCTGATCTAGTCCAGCCGATGGTAGTTCAAATTCAAAGTCTAGTCCGGAAGGTGGTGCAGCCACCGCACTGTGGACGAGATAAAGCAAAAGTGCGAGGAGCTGTGAGGAAACGTGCTGTCTCAGTAGAGACGCGAGAGCCAACAAATTTGAATCTTCCAAAGACGAGGTAGCACAGAATGTCGTTTCGCACCCTCGAGCAGACGCATCTGTACGTCATCTGCCTCGAATCCTTCGAGATCGTGGCTCCAGACGCGAATCTTCTTGGCAGCAGCTTCCTCGCGACATGGTACTCTGACTCTGTAATTTCTACGACCTCGCTTTCGCTGTGCTTCATCTTCATTTTTTCTCTACATCCTTCTTGTCGTTCAGACTGAGGGTCGTTCTTGTGCATAAAGATAAAGTCTACAACATAGTACATCTACATATGCAATTTCATCAAATGTTCTTCCTGAAACAACTTTGCAGGCAGCTCGAGAGCGCAACGAAAAGCACGGACTACGGAGCGGAGGACGCAACACGAGTCCGGGTCCGGCGGTATACCACCTCGCGCAATGGCGAGAACACGCACTACCTGAATTTCGTCGTTTTTCTCAGCGTGCACGACCGCAAGAAAGAGGAAGACAGCGAGTACGTCCACTTGGAGCTGACCGACGGGGTGACGAATGCGACGATTTGTTCCACAGACATTCGGCTGCAGGACTTCGCACAAACGGACAATTTTGAACCCGCGCACGTGGAGCTGTACTCGCCCGGGGACGATGCGACCGCGGGAGTTGTCGCCAGAGCCGTTATTTCGTCCGCGCGGCAGACCCGCGTCGTGTCTGAGGAGGAGCTGCCACACAGCAGCCAAGATGTTGAAAAGGTTCCCACCGACGAGCCGGAGGTGGCCTTTTTCGTGGAGGAGCTGGATGCCCAAGTATAATTTCCTTGGGAATTTTTGTTCGTGCGAGATCTTGTGTGTGTGCTCAAGTTTCTCCTCTCGAAGAAGTGTCATCGAGACTGGAAGGGAAAACGAGTTTTGTTTTGCCCGATTCGAATTTGACACTGGTTCTGCCATACCGATCTTTAGCGAATAATAAACGTCCAAAATTTTATCCAGGTATGGCATCTTTTCAGCACGTGTTACCCGGAGCAGGCACAGGAATACGTGGACCAAGCGCAACAGGAATCGTCCCAAGATCCTCACAACTTCGCCGTCGACCATTTGTCCACCATTCACGAGGGTCCGGAGTCCCCAGGCAGTGTCGAGCTGGACCAGCTAGGGATTAGCATCGAGCGGGAAAGGCGCTCGGCTTCCCCGTCACCCCCGCCGCATGGAATAGGTTCGGTGGAGCACGAACAGGAGGGGCAAACCGCGACTGCAGGAGATGAAGGTGGCGCCGAGCGAGACGATGTGATCGTCGAAGATGTTGAAATAGAACATCAAGAAGAAGGTGGCCTGGAGGTGGACGACCGCGGAGCGCTGCTGAGTGACGCTTTCGGGGTGCTGGAGGGCAAGGAGCCATCCAGGCCCGGATCGAGGAAAACATCGCCGACCGAGCAACAGAAATTCTACCAAACGCCGATAGATCTGGTTAACGCAGGGGGCGGACCATCTTCGCGCACTGTGGGGGCGCAGGAAGTCGTGTCTCTGGGGTCTGAGTCGAATCAAAGCTCCATTTTACCTGAGGACGACGACGATGACGACAATTTGCCGCTGCCCCCAATTAGTCCGGAGTTGCCGACAGTCAAGATCGTGCAACTACGAAAGTCGCCTGAGCAAGGTGGAGCGCCTTTATTCTCGCAGGCGGACGACAGGAGTCGAGCGCAAGACGCTCCTCCGCACGGCGAGAAAGCTGCCGAGAGGCACCTCTCCTTCTCTACTTCGCGCGGATCACCGCCTCTCAACGAAATGCCGCCAGGGCGGCGAGACTTGAGCGTGAGCCACCGTGGGTTGATCGAGATTGACATGCGAAGTGGGGCAAGCCCAAGCGAGGTCAACACTGGAGTTGCAAGCAGCTCATCTTCTGGACCAGCTGTTCGCAAAATCTCCTCGAAACCGCCGACACCAGATAGGACCGTGGAAGTACAACAGAGGCCACAGGACGAGAGGTCAAAGCCTCTAACTCCCGAGGTCATCAAGGAGCGCCCGGTGCGGCGCAGGTCAGGCGCTGGATTATCTTCTTCACGAGGTGCGGATTCAAATGTGGACTTCGCGCAGCCACCAACGGAAGACGACCTGCACCTTTCGGAGCAGAAGAGTCAGCACGTCGTCGATTTGGTTCACGATTTGTCGAGCTTTACGATGAATTCTTCGGCCGGCTGTGCGGACGTGCAGACTCTGCACCAAACAAACTTTCAGACCGGGGGCTCGAGTTCCAGCACCAGTGCCTGCTCGTCTTCCACCACTGTCGGACCTCCAGCACCGCTCGTCACCGATAACCTGAATCGGTCCGACACCAGTGCGCGGACCGCGTCGCCGGATTCCGCGACCAAGATCTTCGGCGGATCAGCGACTTCGACGCCCGCTGTGGCGACTGCGCCGCCGACACTGCTCAAGCAGCACCAAAGCTCCAACTCCGGTGCTGCCTTGACCAGCACTCCGACCTTGCAGAACACCATTCTGCGACGCGACCACCAATTGCTCTCCGACGACACGCTGGCCCAAACGATTCTGCCGGGTACGAGCAACCTCAATCAAAACGAGTCTTTGACGAGAAGCGTGAACACGGTTCTGCCTGACACCGAATACAACGACAGCGTCAGCGGCGCCGCGACGATTGTGAATCCGAACAAGAGCCAACTGCTGGACAACAGCGTGCAAAGCCTGTTCAGTGGTGAAACTGCGAGACGAATCTTGACGCCGGACCAATCCTCGCGAACTGGGCCGGTGAGCAACCTTGCGTCGACTGGTGGACAGCAGTACATCCGCGGTGGCACCGGCGCCAACCTGCTGCGAGCCAACTATTACGCGAAGCAGGTCGACGACGAGCGAAAAATCGAAGTCCAGAAAACTAGCATGGCAGGAAGCGGAGTTTATTCCGACCCGCCCGCTGCACAAGCTGCGACTTCATCCTCCAGAGCCGCTCGGCTTCGAAGTCCCGTGTTTCCACCCGATGAACAAGAATTTCGCTTCCAGGAGTCGTTACAACAGGAGGTGGAAGTAGACGCCAAGCCCCCAAGTTTCGCCGAGGCGCAAATGCGTTCGAAAGAGAGCAATCGCTCGGAGCGCCCTGCAAATCGAAAACTCGGGACATCGAAGAGCACAAGTCCCATGGACATCTGGCCGACTGCGTCAAAGGAAAGCGCGAGTGTCCAGCACCAGCAGGAGCCGCAAGTTCTCGGCGACCAGGATCTGCGGGGCAGCCTGAACGTGAGCGATTTCATCGTCAAGGCTGCAACTGAGGAGAGGAAAGAACAACAATCAGGAGGGCAGGAGCCACCCGCTACACAAGCAAAGGAGGGGCAAGGGGTCACCTTATTGAAGACCAATAAGCCGCGGGACATCCGCGTCGATCAAGCTACGACTTTTGCCTCTCACGACAGCGCACGCTTCGCATCACGAGAGCAAGACGATAATTATCATCCAGCAGGAGCACCTGCGGCTTCCAATCAAATGAGCAAGCGCGTGCAGCAAGCCATTATGCAGAACAGGAACCCTCCTCGGTACAACTACGAGAACGAACAGCCGCGCCGGGTCTCGGTCCAGTCGTTGCACACCGAGTACGATAGTCCCGGAGAGCAGGAGGGGCGGGAAGTCGTGACGCAGAGTGTAGTGCACCAACAGGGTGCTTCTGCAACTTCAAACCAGCACCAGCTGCAAACAATCGGGAATAATGGCAATTCCTCCTCCTCCTCGACAACCGGGCAAAGGACGGACTCGCAGCACTCAACGGAAGTTTCTAAGGACCGCATCATCTGGACTGGTTGGGAGGAGCCAGCGCCGACATTTTCCCTGATGGCGCCGGATTCACCGCACGAGCTGCAATTTTCCGGCCGGAAAACGCGATCGCGAAAGGGATCGGAGGACCTGGCGAGCGCGAGCGGAGTTGTGGTGCCGCAGGTCCTTGGGGCTCAACCCCCGACGTCTTTGACTCCGCCCGTGCTCGCGCAGCCGCAATTCGGAGCTGCAAAGCCTCTACCTACATCATCCGCAGAGGGTGGACGCGGAGACGTGGACAACTTGCTCTTTTCGTCCGGTACAAGCGGGCCCTCGTCGGCGGTTCAAGTTCCGCGCGATGGACTTCTGCTGCCTCCGCCGCTGCCGCCGACAAAAGCAGCGTCCTCCGCCAGTTGTTCGTCTTCGTCCGCCATTTCGATGAAGAATGCAGGACAGCAAGCTGCGCCTGCCCGCGTGGTGATGGATCGACCGCGCTCCGCGCGACGGCCCATTACGCCCGCAGCCGCGACTACTACTACAGCAACCCAACCCGCGTTTCTGCAGCAGACGCCGCCCTTGCCACCAGATGGCGACACCAGGCTCAAGAACACCGCGGTGATTTTTGACCCCGGTCTCCCACCACGCGGACCACCAACAACTGGAGGCTCTGCCACAGCGGTGCCCGATGTGGGGCCACCTGTTTTGATTCAACGAGAAGCAATAGCGATAGCAAAGGAGCAAAGTGCCGGTGTACTGCAGGAGCATGAAAATGCTGCCTTTCACGACACAGCAGTGGTAGCGCCCCCGACGCCGACGCGCATGACGGAACTGATTCAGAAAAACATGCCAACGCTGCAGCATTACGTGTCGTCCCCGCTGCGCAAGCCAGAGACGGAGGATGATTTGCAGAGGAGTCAGAAGATCCACGAAAAGATCAACAAGGTCGCTGGCATGCTGGAAACTCAGTTGGGTTCTCCTGTAGGAGCTGCGACTGCTTCTAGTACAGCAGCAAAGGCGGCCGGGGCCATTCGGAGAAACAAGTCTTCGCCGCCAAAAACGCGGCTAAATCAGCGCGTTGTCCAGCATGTGCGCGCCCGGCCGCCTGCGGGTCCGGCCGGCGCCTCCAGGGCGAATGCTCAAGCAGAAGAAAGACAACAGCAGGAGGAGAAGAACTTTGAAGAGCAGATTCCCATGGTAAAACAGGTCGATCAATCCGCATCCCTTGATGACACCGAAAACGAACTCACCCCTTCGTACGCTCAACACACCGCCTCTTCCAAGCGGAAGCTGTCCTACGGAGGCGGGCGAGGATCGGCAATTCCTGTTTCCGACATTCATCCCGGCCAGCACCCTGATGTGAGCAACCAAAATGACGTGACGAACGATAGTAGCGTCCTTGCAGAGGAGTCGGCGCGGGCGTCCAACACCTCCCTTCCGCGCTACATGCTTCCGCGAAGCAATTCGCCGCGGAAGAGAAGGCACAACGTCGTCGAGATCGGAGCCGAGCAACACGCTTCGTCCTCAACCTCCGCCACGACCAGACACCGCGTTGCCTCTCGTGGTGCTTCCGGTCCGCCACATGCTGGCCACCAGCGGGCGGTACCACGGCAAACGAGGCTGAGCCTGATCCAGCATTTGCGGGATGACGAAGACGACGACGAGGCGGGTATCCCCTCGATCCGCGAACCCCAGTTCAAACCGCCGGACCGGACGTTCAGCTTCGCGGCGCAAGGTGGGATGGCGCTCGCGAGTGGCGGCTTGGCGGCTGCCGCGTCATCAAGCAGACCGGGCTCTGCGACGGCATCATCATCGTCCACCGGGCCGATGTTGTCCGACCAACAGAATGCAAACTTCCCCGTAACAACTTCTTCAAGAAGACCCAGCCACGAGAGCAGCGTCGGGAGTAGGAGCTTCCTGCAGCAACACAGCCAACAGCACTTTCCCCCATCTCTGCAACGGCCGTCGCCAACGTCCGACCCTACTGGAACGACCGCCAGATTGGTGCCCCCGGTCCAAAATTTTCCACTTAATGGGTATTCTTCGGGTAGTGCCATGAGCAGCAAGAATCCCACCTTCGTGTCCGTGTCCTCTTCGCCACACGAGCAGAATTTCGGCGGCCAGCAGGAGCAGCACCAGCAGGCCCAACACATGGACGAGCAGGAACGGAAAATCGTGGAATTACAGCGCCAGCTGCACGAAATGAAGATGCAAATTCAGCAGAGGAAACAAGCTGGAGCAGTCGGAGGAGCGCATGTTGTTGAGCAGCAGTTTGCAGCACAGCCACGAGCATTCCCACCGCAAACTCTGTACCAACGACCGCTCGCTGGAAATTCAAATTCTGGCTCCGCGTCCGCCTCGTCGACAAGTACATTCATTTCTTTTCGCGTTTGGTTTGAGAAGATCATGTCACATTTCGCTCTGTTTCGTTGCCAGCATCAACTCTGCTAGGTGCGTGAACAGCAAAGATACAAATGCGAAAAAAAAACTCCTCGTGCTCTGCTTCCTGTACTTAAAACTCTGAGTCTCATCAGTCAACAACATTTTGGCATTCATTCACTCATCATCGTCTACATGCAATGCTCTTCACAGCACCGCGAAGCGCCACGGGCTTTGCGAATACACCAGCACCGCGGCAGCATGTAGAGCACTGGACGTCTGCAACAGCCCACTCCAGTCGCGGCTATCACACGGAAGAGGAAGCATCGATGCGCATGCCTTCTAACGAAGCTGGCGGGAGCTCTCACCGTACTTATCATATCTGATCATAATGCTGTAGAAAAGTAGACTGGATGGCGCCCCATTAGCGTAGGTTGTGCACACTCACATCAGCATTTTTACTCGTCAAGGTCATGATGTCAACTTCTTGAGCTTCTTCGTACTAAAAGTAGAAGTGGTGCCAGTGCCAGATGAGGTCCAGTTCTACTTTTATCGTTCTTCTTCCATTGTCGAAGTTATCAACGCACAACGTAGGTTCTGGCTCTTTGCGACCACGCACCCCTCGCGATCCGCCGCGTGTGCACATGCAGCCCTCGGATCCGAGCGGACCAGCACCACTACCGCCGTCGAGACCTTCCGGTCCTCCGTCGTTCGTTACACGTCCTTCACCTGTGCAGCAACAGGCTCACATCCATGGGAGTCACCAGGACCACTTCGGAGCTACCCACTACGCGCCCCAGGTGGATCGTGCAGCGGCCATTGCTCAGTTGGTCGGGAGTGCTACACCAGCCGGCGTTGCTTCGACCAGTGCCGACCGTTACAGCTACGCAGCTCAACAACAGCAGCTCGCCGCACATGCCCAACCCCCAGCACCCCGTCCTGCCGCAGAGCAACATTTTCCACAACGTAACCAACTTCATTTTCTAGAACAACAGAAAGCTGCTCATTACCCCCCACCTGGACCCAGATTGCGACAAGAGCTCCAGCCCCCCGCTTTCGTGCAGCAAATGAACAACGAGCGACATCATCACAACTTCGGCGACAACGTAGCACCAACGGCAAGAGGACAACACCACGACCCGAATTCCCACATAAGAGGAGGCCCCTCTCCTCCTGGCTCCGGAGCCGCTATGAAAGCGCACTACCCGCGACCTTTGATGGCAGCAGCTGCCGGGGCAGGTGCGACGACAGCATTGCCGCGCGGTGGTGGAGCGATGCCAGGAGCGTCCAATCATCATACTGATTTGTTTGTGGACATTGACGACCAACTTCACCACGCTCGTGTTCCGCAAATTGGCGTTCCCAGGCTCATGCGCGAGCACGACTTTCAGCAACGTTCCGAATCGCACGGGTCGACGTATGGGATTTGACTTCACGACCACCCACGGAAAGCATTGCTATAAGTTGTCTGTTACATACACGGCGAGCGACTTTAGCATCTCCAGCGTGTACTCAGTCGCTGAGTTCCATGAAGTTTTTTTGAAACTACCTCATGGGGTGGCGCTCCTCCTTTTAGGTCGTCACAACAGAAAATTCTACACGCGGCATCGATCTGCGTCACCGTCGAGTTCTGGTGCATGTGAACGAAACGGCTTTGGTATAAGACATCTGACGTTGACGAGGCCGGGGATGCTTGACTGAAAGACGATGAATATACTTCAGCGACAAAGAAAGCGACCAAAAACTAAAACATATGAAAACGCGTTGCAGTATGTGCAACTGTGGTCAAGGGGAAGGGCATAAGCGCCAGATACCGTCGAGAAACGTACCACGTTGAGTTCTGGTAGGTGGCGTGACAAACATGATGAATGCTCTACTTCCCGAAAGCTCTGTGTAATCAGTCTGCCGGTTGCGGAATGCAAAGTAAGGCAGGATCATCAAAAGTTGATACATGCTGCTGATTCTAGCAGATACAAGAAGTAGATCTTCAATCAATGAAACGGATCTACTACCTTGACCTGATCTTGTTCTACAACTTCTACAAAGATGGTAGTCCTTTCAAGATGTCAGAATCAATTCCCCTCCTGCTCCTTCACGACTAAACGGAGCGATAATTCTGATTTTCAGCGGATACAAAACTCAAGAACGCGTCTATTTGTAGACTGTATTCACAGTCGTTTGAATTTCCTTCCTATATGATCCTTGTAGAATTTCCTCTTTTTTTATGCTAGAAAACCCCATTAATTTATCAGAAATTCCCGTTTACCGTTTTGTAGTTTGCTAGAAAAATAATATCAACGGAAATAAACAAAAGCAACCAACATACCAAAGAACAAGAAGAATCATGTCACGACTCAGTGGAGCGCCTCTTCTGCGGTTCTCGCTTGTTGCGGGATCATTCCAGTTGTTGCTCCTGCGCAGCTTGATTTTCGGATCCCTGGTTTCCACTGGAGTCGATTTGGTTTTCGCGGACCCAGGTCTAAAGTTTCTCAACATGGCTGCCAGCATGAAAAACGCGACCACGGTTTCCGCAGGGGACTTGGAGGTGTCTGCCCGCGCGACGTTCCTCCAGGCCATGACGGGTTCTACCCAGGCCGAGCGACAGCAAGCATGGACCGAGCTAGACACTGCCTTCATCGGCACACAACATGCAAATACCGCCAACGAGCTGTTTCACCTGTTGGAAGTCTTGCAGGTTCACGATTTGCTGGACAGTAGTTACGATAACGATGACGAGGACGGTGAAGAACCTGTTGACCACGGGGACGGCGAAGATCGGCTTCGAAATGATGGCAGTAGTTCGCAGCTGCAAGAGGATGAGAACGACAACAATACTGGTGTTGACGAGGACGACAGTAATGAACATGCCCCTACTGGTGCCCGACCTGACCGCTTCGCCACCGCTCGCAGTCTTCTCGCTGACGCGGCTCTAGTGGCGTTGGATGAGAGGCAAAAGAGCAATCGACTCGTAAAATTTCTAAAGAAAACCTTTCGCGGCCCGCTGCTGTGGTCAGAAGTCGTGCCGCATCTTACGTTTTACAAAGTGAAGAGCGCTTCTAAGGGCCGCGAAGACGACCAAGACGCCGGCGCCACGCTTTTGGAAGCAGTGACGCGATTTCTCGACTACCACAAGGTTGTGCCCTTCCACTTGCAGGGTCTCGACGACGCGAAGTACCAACAAAAGTATCCACTGTCTCACTTGATGCAGGTCGACTACGTTCCCGTATACGAGGAACGCGCTCGCAACCTCGCACAAGTAACCGCCGCTCGCCTGCAATGGGAGGCAAAAGCGATCAGTGCTGAAGTCGCAATTTTTTTGGGGCAGACAATGCAAAATGCGGAGGACCTGGTTTTTGCCGAGAAACTTCGCTTAGATTCTCCGGACGAGGAGAAAACAAGCAGCAGCGTCGCCCGTCGCGCAGAAAAAAAAGGGAAGCAGGCTGTCGAATGTAAGCGGACGGCGGCCACGGCGGAGCATCGGTTTTTGCCCCGGTTGCGTCAATTGCTGGTCACCGTCGGTCAAGTTTTGAACCAGATGCAAGCGAGTCACGGGGGTCCGGTGAAAGCCAGGCACGTCCTCAAATCGATGGTCAACGGAAAGCCAGTGGAAGAGCAGGACTTCGGTATTCAACTGCATGAAACCTCGACGGACGTCCAACTGAAAAGCGTGTCTGCTTTGAAAGAAATCGCGGAGCAAACTGGCGGAGTCCATACCGAGAAGACGGTGTCGACGCTGGAGGAAGCGCAGGCAATGACGAAAACCATGGGTGTCTTCAGTTCCCAATTGAAATTGAAGTTGGCGGCCGCGTTGTGGAATGTGCGAGCCAAAGCGCGTCAAACCAAGAAGGAAATCGGGACTGCTGGGCCCCAGAAGACGAAAAAAGGCTTTCGATTTTTTGGCCGGTTGTTCCAGGGACAAGAGGGACGACACTAAATGCACTTAGATGTTAGCCGCCCGACCTGGCTCCTCCTCCACGGAATCTTCCGGACGGTTTCTTCGCGTTTGAGATTGCACATTTGATTTGAGCATTGCAAGTGCTTGTTTTTTGTTTTCTCTTAGGCTGGTATGAATGTCTTCAACTTCGCGAGCGAGATTTTTCCTAAATGACGAAGACGTCGTGATTGGTAAGAGGAGCTGAAAGCCGTGTAGTAAAACTTCTTTTTTTTTTTACAATTGCATGATATTTTTGTAAAATCATATTTTTTTGAATCCCATTGCTATTTGCAACTTGATGAGCATGTGCTTTTCAACATTCATGTAGGGTTTGACATTTGCGTAAAAGTTGTTTGCGCCTCGCTCTATGTAGAATTTGCGCCACCAACTAGAAGAAGTACAACTTCATGCTTGATGTTTAGCTTCTTACCGATGTCATTCTACCCCAACCTCATCGCAAGGCAAGAGAAAAAAATAAAAAGTTGAAATGTAGAATTTTTTTATCGAGCAGGAAAAGAGACAGATGCAGCTTGTTGTAGAATCTTGCATTATTCTAAAGACAGATAAGATGAAATAGTTTTATTTATTTGCTGCTAGTCCTTCTACTGTCGCGAGAACATGGAAAACATGTTGGAAACCGAACGAACATGCAAGTTCGTGTTGGCCTGAACCCTAAAGGAAAGAAGACGGCGACTCACTATCACGTCAGGAGTTGTATGGGGTTCTTGCGGAGGTTTTTCTTTGAGCAACACCATCTTGCACAATCCGAGCTCGCTACCTTTCTTATCGCACGCGCGCGGCCTCGTCCAGTTTGCATTTGACGAGGATAGCAGTGGCTAGGTGTTCCAGAGGGATGAGAAAGCTTTTGTCTATTTGAACAACCTGAAGTTTCGTTTCGCAAATCCTGCCTCGCCGGTGTAGTTGTTCTTTTATTCATTTGATATCTTTGTTCGAGGAGCGCGTTTCAAACGGCGGAAGAGGTCGTGACTCAAAAAGCTTGCTTTTTGCGCAGAGCTATGTTACCGTAGTTGTTCTTGCTCGGAATTTGCACCCGCTATGTACTCGGAACAATCTTCAAAATGATAAAACCCTAATCAAACTCTCATTAATAATATCGTACCAGCGACGATTGAAAATCGTAGAAAGAATCGAATATATGATAACAAGTACAAGAAATAGAAAGTATCATCAACATAAGCATATACAAACTCACGCACAAATAAAAAAGCGAAAAAGAAAAGGGTTTGAATAGTGGAAGTGGAACTTCTACATCAGGGAGAACATAATGTCGCAAGAGTCTACATCCACCATCGATGGCGAGATGCCACTGGTGAATGCGAAGACAATATGGATTGCAAAAGCATCGTAGCGTACTAGTGTAAGAACTGTAAATTGCATGTACAAGAAATGAACTCAACAGCATTACATAAAATAATAAAATTTGTAATGTGGATTTTCCTTAACGCAGCAAGATTTTTTGACTGCGATTTCTACGAGTGCGGTGCTTTTGCAATGCATAGACAAATCAGGTGGTGCAATCCTTCATACTCCAGTACAAAGGGCCGGGTGGGCAGCACCTTTGCTTGCGCGAAAAGACCTTCTCGACGATCGAGCAGGCGTTTTCGCACAAGGACCTTGCTGGCAAGGTGCTCGAGAAGAAGGAGGATCCAAAGCGAGCGTACTACTACCGTCTGTTAATGGAAGCAGAGATGAACGAGGATAGCGACGGTACACAGTATTTTATGTACTATGTCGAAGAAAGAAGCCTACTTCCACTGCTCGTTTCCTTTCCTTGTTTCGACTATTCTTTTTTTTGCCGCACATTTTTGTTTCGTACGGGTAATTTTGCTTCTGGTTCTGGCTCATCCTCATCCACCTGTCGTAATCGTTTCAATTGACAACGACCCCTCCCGCTGCAGATGACGACATGTCCGAGTGGTCAGATGAGGACGAGAACCCGGGGGCTTCGCACGAGCAAGTAGGTAATCCCTCTGGCAGGCGAAGCGATCCTACTACGACTTCGGGCATGAAGCATGCCGGTCCCTCCCCTGAGGTCGCCCCATTTGTGACCAAAACCGCGACCGGCTTCTGTCTGGGGCCGATCCCGGGAGTGAAGCAGCTCAATCGACAGCAACAGGCGAAACTCCGGGAGGACCGTGCAAAGGAGGCCCAGGAGTTTTACATGGCACAGAAGAAGAAAAATGACCTACGGGAGGCGAAGAAATGTAGCATTTCCGTTCACACCACATCTGCAGCTTTTTCGTGCCGTTTATCTATGTGCTTGGATGGAAGTTGCTGTTGTATCATGGTTGCTTTTGTTGCACTTGAACTCGCAATGGAAGTTGTTGCAGTTCGTGAACATTACAAAATTATTTGCAGATTTCGCGGAAGCGCGGGGTCTTTTAGTCTCCCGCAGTGAACTCCGTGCGGCATTGGAGAAGAACACGCAATTTCCGGCTGTGGTGGAGACAAAAGCCAGATTTGGTCCAGCTTGTTTCATCGGTGCGGTTCAGTACAGGAAGAAGCTTTTCTCCTGGGCACCGGCCCCGCCCAGCGTCTCCTCGTTGGAGCAACCTATCAGCACGGGAAAGACGATGAAAAAGCCCAGCAAGCCGGCAGTCGTGTCCGTCAACAAGATGGTGCAGAAGGAGCGGAAGCGCGGTGGTTCTCCATATCGTGGAGAGAAGATGAAGGCACTGCGCCAGCGGATTCGAGAGAAGGAAATGCAAAACGTCTTCGGGGCACTATTCGACGACGAGTAAGCAAGCACGACGAGCAGACGTCGTTGTGTTGAAACTTCCGCGACCACACAGATTCTGCGTCCACCTGCAGCTTCTCGCCACTTACCCGTCCGCACAATAGTACCGTGCAATTAATATTTCAAAGCACGTCTTCAGGTCTCTGATCAGAATCAAAACTCGGATTATTTATCTCATCTGTCGCAAACTTTCAACAAACTACAGGGAACGCATCGACAATTTACAACGGTACTTCCAATTTATCATCAACATTTGCACAAAAAATGCAACTTCTACAGAAGGCGAACTGATACTGAATAAACTCTACCAGATGAAGATTGAAGATGAGCTACCTGCTGGTTCAGAAAATATGACTTTACAGAATATTTGTTACCCATTTTGCAACAACGGAGATACTGAGAGCTATCGTCTGAAGTAGCTGATCTCGGATTTTCATTGAAAACCAAACGTATTTCTATTTTGCCCGCTAATTTAATGAAGAACAGGAAATGGAGCAACGCAAGCGAATTCGAATATCATGTATTTCAAGAAGAGGAGACAAAGCACAACCGACACCGCAGAATCTTCAAGAAGCTAGGGCAATAAGCAGCAGTGTGGGCTTGTGTGAAACTACAACATCAGAAAGTACCATCAAGAGCACCCGTTTTTATATACGTCTAAGGGACTTCGTAATTGTGCTGGCACGAACACGAACTGCCTACACGCATCATCTGCGTTAAAAAGCGAGAACTCTGTTGAACAATCTCTGTCCAAGTACTCAGACCTGACCGTAATAAACTGTAACTGTAATCAACAAAAATAAAAAATCAAAAACTATCACTATTCCACCAGCCTCCCGTAGCTGTCTTCATAAGGACCTCGCATCGACGGTCAGCACGGCGCGGGCCCATCGGCATGGGATATTCATGCATCTTCGCGTTGTAGTTGTTCTCTGTAATTGCGCGGAACGGGGGCGGGGCTGCACACACGACATACCCTGACTTTGAGAAAGTAGTGAAAGACGTGGTTTCAAAGGAGAGCAACAGGGTGAGGGTAGACATGATGTTCTTGCGCAATTAGATTTGGAAAAGGCGGCGCGATAGGATCTATGGGGGAAGCAGCGTTTCGGTTGTAAATACGGACAGGTTCGCCACTTCCGTGACTGACACCAACGCTGCCGAAATGGAGCTGGCGGCAAAGATTTACACGACGACGCATCGGATTCATTTCAATACGTGAACTCGGCTTGTTGACAGGAGCTCATCGAAATTGTGATGTGGTTAGTCGTCAAGGTCAGGTGATTTGGTTGCTCTTTCATGTAATCATTGGCTCGTGACCTTGGTGTTGGTAGCATTCTTTCTCTTTGGTTTTTGAATGTCTTGACGGCCACGGCGCCGGGCAATCATTCATAATTTCACGACAGGCCGCTGGCGATACACAGCCAGCGGCGGCCTTTTTTCCTTTGGTTTTCTTTGACAACTCCTGCAGCGAGCATTTACATGCAAGAGTAACGTAACGGCTGCAGCCGTAGGAATAGGATTAGGTATGAAAAAGCCAAAATCGCAAGACTACTTCGACCGTGTGGAGGATGTGAAGACCTAGGTTTTGTTCATTCTTCGCCTTCGCAGCGGGACAAAAATGACCAGCGTTAATATTCAAGTCGGGACGGGACCGTCCTCTTCCTCTACGTCCAAAAGTAGAGACAATGGTGCCTCAGATCTTGCCGGGGAGGAGGAGCCATTGCTGGTGCAGTTCCGGACGAGATTGGCCGCCGTGGCAGCCAGCAAGGACGCGGTCGTCGCAACGAAGTTGAAAGACCCACGAATGTCGCACGCCGACTACCTGCGCAAGTTCCTCGTCGCGCGGCAGTCCAACCTGGACAAGGCAGCCGACATATCCACAGTAAATTTCCCGTACACGTACAAATGCAATCTCTCCATGACAAAACTTGCCTTCAATCCTAGTCTAGCATGACAAGTTCGACACTGCAAGTTAGCGAAATTTGTCATTGCATTTTCTACATGTTTGTACGGGAAATTTACATTGCATACGACATGCTGGTAGCGCATTTCCACTGGAGGGACAAGATGAACTGTGATGAGGTAAGTTCTAGCTTCCGCAAAGCATCTTCTATAGCGTGACTCCTGCATTACATCGATCAACCGAATGACACGTGTCGAGTCCACACTAAGAAGGTAGTTGTACTTAGGCTGTAGGCTCGTGATCGTTTCTACTTCGACTTGTAAGTCGTTAATCAATTTTTAGCCCCATAATGTCATCAACATCTACTCGTCATTTTTCTTTGTATTTTGCCGAAGTGCTGCACTTTTTCCACCTCTTCTTTTGTACACCCTGCGACCAGGTTCTTTCCCAGCACAGAAGTGGAAAATTGTTCTCCCCCTCTGTTATTGGGACCTTGAAGAAGGCGTACCCCCATGGGTACTGCGGGGTCGACAAACAGGGATCCCCGGTGTACTACGAGCGCATTGGGCAGCTGGATGTGAAGGAGGTTTTGAAAACAGTGTCCGAGGAACAGTTTCTCCTGTACTTTATCGCGGAGGCAGAGAAAACCGCCTGGATCCGCATGCCCGCAGCGACGGAGTACTTCCACCGGAAACAAGAGGCGGCTGCGGTAAAGGCGTGTGAAAGTAGAGACGGCTCCACCAAAGTAGAACCGCCACCAGCACCGCCGCCCTCGTCCACCTCTTCCTCAAAGCCGCGGATCACGAAGGGCGTGTCGGTACTGGATGTGCAGGGGATCGGGATGGGTTTCTTGGGCAAGACCACCCGGTCCGTGATTGCGCAAATCGGCTCCATGATGTCGGACAACTACCCGGAATCGGCGAAGACAATCGTGATCATCAACAGCAGCCGGGTGGCGACCATGCTGTGGCCGGCGGTGCGGGCGTTCATCAATCCCGACACTGCGAAGAAAATCAAGCTCGTGTCCAAGGCGAAGACTTTCCAAACGCTGGAGGAGCTAATCCAGCCAGAGTGGATTCCCAGCTGGATCCCCGGCGGGAAGTGCACGCTGTGCGGCGACAACCTGGACCGCGACGTGGGGCCGTGGGTGGAAGGGTGGGAAGAGATGGAAAAACTCGTCTTTCCAAACGACAGTTGCTACTTTCACAACGCAGCAAATAACCGAGGAGATCTTGTTGACCCGAAAGCAGGCGACAGAACGCTGACCAAGCGCTCGCGTTCTAGGAGCAAGGCACTGCTCATGAGCGGCAAGAATGCGGCGCTCGGCATTGGTCGGAGGCTCGTCAGACAGCATTCGCAGGAACGCAGCAAGACCCCGGACCTCGACAAGAGAAAAAGTAGCAAGGAGAGCGACAGCACCGATCTGAAGAAGGGCGGACTCGTGAAACGCCGAAGCTATTCGTCCGGGGAGGTGATCGAGTTCCCGGAAGGACGGAAGAACGTGCCGCTAGGAACGACGTCTGGGACTGCAGGAACATCAAGTGGGGCGGTTCCGTGCGTCGGAAACATCATCAAGAGCAGCAGAAACAACAACACCAAATCCGCTGCTGCAGCTACGAGTTCAACATTCGGAAGTAAAATAAACCAGGCGAGCGGCACAACTGGTCATGTCGAGATCGACATTGATACCGCCTCGTTTGCCACGCGATCGCGGTCGCTCTCCTACGACGACGCTCCCTCGACCGCTAACGCGGGACAGCGTGATCTGGAAGAAGAACAGATCAATGCAGGTCGCCCTGTTGGCGTTGGCCTTTGCGAGATGTTGACCTGTAGTAGAACGCCAGGGACTACTTCTGACAACACGGCACTGAACACAGGCGGAGATCAGCTTGTGCACACGATCAACGTGCTGCCGCTAGGACCATCGACGTCCTCTTCTCGGGGTAGCTCGGGTCCAATTCTTGCGTCATCCGGCGACCAGGACGACAACGACACTCTTGCGGTCGCTGGTGGTCCAGGTTCGATGAGTAAGGCCAGCAGCGCACAGTCTATCTGCGCAGATGAGCAAGAGCAGACACCAGACCTTCAAAGGGGACTGAGGTAGAGATATTTATATATCTGTTTCGTCGTTCTTACGTTTGGTTTGGTAATTTTGAAAGAGCGTGCTGGCGCAAGAGCAACCCCAACCATCAGCTCCAGTCTCCATGCCGCGTTGCCATTGGCGGCCGTGGGGGCCGGGACGTCTTTTAAAAAGCAAGGGTTGCAGATGTTGCATTCTGACAGCACCAGATTGATGGTCAAACCAAGTGGTGGACGAATGAAGTAAGGATGTGAAGATGTCCATCCGCTACTGTACTACAACAACAGCATCTACACGACTGAATCGCGGGAGCGCGATACGGACGCCCCCGAGACCTCCGTGCGGTATTGGAGCGCAACTTCGCGCAACCGCCTGGCGGAGGAGGAGGAGCTTGGCATCGTGGATCCAGAACACGTGGCAGTCAATCTGCTCGGCTCCCCGCTGACGGATACGAGCCCCGCGGATTGCCAGTTTCTGCAGAAGACCGAACGGGACAGAACGGCGCTGCTAGGTTCCGGCGCACAGGAAAGCTTCGTCCCCGGCGATCCGGCCAACCCCCGACCGTCCAAGTTTACGCGCTTGTGCCGGAAGTTCGCCAATTATTGCTGCCCGCGACGCACGCGGAACAAGGAACTGAAAGCAGGTTTGGTCGTATAGGCGGTAGTTCCATAGTACCAAGAACGCGATGATCATCTAAGACCTGCAGTAGAAAAGTAGAGTATATATTGCTGTTGATGAATCCCATCAATCCAGGCAGTTTATTATTTTTCCAGATGAAGCATTCATTTTCATCTTTGCTTGTGCACGAGCACGACCTGGATCGCTTCTTTTTATTTTTTGTCGCTACGCGTTGCATTTATCTGAAACTTCTGCAACTGCCATTTAAAAATCTTTTGTATCTAGTCATTTGCAGCTACACAGCGTCTTTTTAGATTTTATTTCTTCGCGCTTTTGATATTTTTTCTGGTGACCATCGCCACATGCGGTTTCTTCTAAATTAACGCCACACAGTGGATTGCGACATGAGCACCGGGACCGGCGGCCTGATCTACCAGACCTCTTCATTTTGATTTTCTTCCCTTCGCTAAAGCGAACCCTATTATTGAGCCAACACTCAGCCATCCACAACAGAGAGAAGCTCCTGATTAGGAGCAAGACGACGTGTAGAAAAGAACAACATCAAAAGAATTTCGACTTCCATCGATAGTATTTGCGACCTTCATTCCAAGCTCATTAAAAATTCAAACAGCGCGAGCGCCACCACTTTTAAGCAGTGTGCTGCGGGGTACTTATCTACGCCATTACTGTCCAGCGGGCTCGAAGTGCCTGCGCCCTCCTGGATAAATTATAGTCAAAACCAGCATGATCGCAGCTGGATTGTAAGACTCTAATCTCTTTATGTATTTCCAATACAGCGTCTACCAACTCCAACATGGTAGTCCTTATGCGACTGTGAACGCCAAGAGAAACACTGTGTCTCCCCTTTCCCCCACTAGTACTGCTCTCATCCGGGGCTGGACCTGGCTAGTTGCTCATGCTCTCGCTACAATAAATGTGCTGGCTTTAATTTTCAGTTGACTGTTGACATCAAATACATGAATGCGATAGGTCTAGGTCAATAACTCATACGATTATACCCACTTTTCGAAGACGGCGCAACAGAAGCAGACATGCTCTTTCCATCTGACTTGGACTCAATGACTCAAATGATGCGTCAAATAAGGACAGAATCAGAAGACGTGGAAAAGAAGCGCATGAAGCAGAGTGAGTTCGGGTTCTATACTGTGTAGTCTCTTCATTGCAGTAGATGTTCGTTTTATTCTCTTGTACGGACGATATGAGCATTTTTACGATTACCGAGCCCGAGCAAATGTGTGAAGGAAATTTTTCGGTACTGCTACTGTCAATGCAAAAGACGTGCTGACCAGGTCTACTGTAACTGTTTTCGATACCACTAAGCTGTAGTGAAAGCCTGTTACCTTCTTCTTTCATCTGAGCGTTATTCAACATTGTCAGTTATTTGACTGCTAGTACTCCTCATTTTGAGTAGAAGTCTCGCGTACTACGCGAACACTGTAAACTGTAAACTGTAAACTTATGTGTACGTACTAGCTTTCGCTCTTCCACGCTATAGCACCGCATCTACTCAACTTCAAGAAGTGATAGACAGTAGCTGGGGATCCCGTCTATCACCATGGAAGCTTCTGTGAACAGCGGAGCTACACCAAGCTCCAGCTCCACCTATTTCAAGCACGGCAAGAATGCAGCCGAAATGGAGCAGCACACCCACAGTCAAGACCTGCCTCGGGAATTTTTCCAGACTATTATCGTAGCAAGATTTCGATTCGACGTTGAAGCCCAAGCCGCCGTCGCTTCTCTCATAACCTTTGCGAAGGAATGAAGCCCGTCATCTGCAGTTGTCGTGATCATGTACTAGTACAAATGAACATAGAGCGATGGAGTAGACTGTCCTTATGTTGAGCTGTATGTCGTTCCTGCGTTAGCCGCTAGTAACTAAATGTCGGGCTGGGGAGGTGGATGTCTTCGCATCATTATTTCGTTCTATTTCTATTTCTACTCTTGTTTGTTGAGAGTGGAAGGACGCTGCAATGCGTCTACAGAATGCAAATGCTAGGGGTAGGGTGTACTGATTCGTCGAAATTTTGGTGCAATAGCCAAGCCGTCAAGTATACGAGTTCTGGTGGACGATGGAATCGCGGCGAAACAGTGGAAGGTCGACCCAAGCCTGGTGTACCAGGAATGCGATCATGTACTTGTGCATAGTCACTTCTCCGATGATGTTGTAGCTGTTCCTTATCTTATTTCCTCTGAGAGCATGAACGGACGAGCTCGACAAACAGCATGCAGCACTGGAATTTGTTGACTGATTTGCAGTATGTCGCTGTTGGAGCTCCTGCTTCTCTGCCTCTGGCAGCGCTGCGTACGCTGGCTGCCACTTGGGGCAAACAATATTTTTCGTAGGAACAATCTTGCAAATATTCAGGTGCGTCTGAGCAGTGCCGCCAACATGGCGGAAGTACACCAGAAAGTGGAGCAAGTCCAGTCATATCTAAATTCACTCGGTATTTTCAAGGAAGCGACTACCGTCATCGACCGGGGGGAAGGTAAGGACAGATGAATATTACGTTTTGGTTTTTCGTTGCTGCGGGAATGAGTGAGAACAAACATCACAACAAGAAATGGAAGGAAATTATTTATCAACATGTACTACAGGAGAAGACGACATAGACGTGATATTTCACCTCCGCCCGATCAAGCCCCATTATTCGTTTGGGGCGAATGTGAATGGCAAGGGGCAGACCGTATGCCAACCGAAGCCCCCTCCCAGCACCTCGCTCGCAAAAATTTGTATAAAGCTACTGCACAGAAGATGAAGAACTTATCAATTGCGGAACGTAACTAGATGCATTCTGTGCCTGCGAGATCGACGAGAAGATGTCTACGCATCCATGCAAATTGAGGGCAAGCTAAGGAGGCTTTTTTAATCAGCATAGACCACGGCAGAGTTTAATTTCGATATACCATGCATCAACGGGTCCTGCACCAGTGCGAAATGCACCGCCAAGACCCCCACCTGGCGAATATTGGAAGGCTACGAAACGCAGGCGTCCTTGTTCACGAAGAGGCTGTTCGGCGTCCGAAATCTGAACGCGTCGCTGGACCTCAACAGTTCCGTGAATGACCTGAAACCGTACTCCAGCTACGACGAGATGAGCAAATCGGTCAACCTCAACCTCGGCCTGGGTCCGCACAACTTGTCGCTGGAGGCCTACAATCTCAGAGACGTCGTGCTCGCAATGGGGCAGGTTTCACTACTTTCTCTGTGTCAATCCCGTCGGCTTTTCCCTGGACATTTGCAGCACCATGATAATTTCGACGAATAGGAATTGCGGCCAGGGCTAGGACTACAAAAGAAACAGTGGTCTAATGCCCCGTCAGTGTTCTTTGTTCTCTTTTCTGAGTTGTGGATGAAGTCCTCCACGGATGACAACGAAAGCGAAATGAAAACAACCCAGGCCTCCACCGCGATGCAGATGAGCCGCTTGCGTTCGATAAAAACGGGCTGTCGCTACACGTGGACGCATCGAACGCCTGGCGGCTTTTTTGCGAAGTGGTCCACCGAGGTCGCGGGGCTCACTGGCGACGTGAATCTCGCAAAGGGCGACGCCTGCGTCAGCAAAACGTGGTCTTTCACCATGCCTCCCCTCGGGCTTTTCGAGGACGAGAAACCGTCCCTGTGGCACTTCACCGCGATGGCCGCCGCAGGGCACGCCGCCCCGCTTGACTCCAGGCCGCTCTGCATCCAGGACCGCTTCTTCCTCGGGGGCAGCAACGGCTTTGTGAACACGATCTGCAAGGGTAAGGGCAAATAAAGAACAAAATAGGTTGGCTGTTCGTCGTGTTCCGAATCCGAAATTACGGAATTCCTGCAGTTCATTTCCGTTTTTTTCCATGTGAGGAATACAAGTAGTAGACCACTTGGCCGCAACCACCTCAAGTAGATCAAAAGCTTTGGAGGTGCAGCGGTTCTTTTAGAGTGCGACAACTTTTCTTTTTCTCAGCCAGGCTGTCGTAGTCGATGTAAAACCGCAATTAAAACTGTTTTGGCAGGTTTTGGCTTTCGGCGATTTGGCCCTTGCGATGCGAGGCCAGCGGGTAGCGGCACTGCATCCTCCCCAACAACTACGTCTCGCAGGGGATCCTCTGGAGGTGCATCTTCCTCATCTTCACAGGCACCTCAGTACGATTACCTCGGCGGGGACACGTACAGCAATTTTGCAGTGTCCTTGTCCCGCGACATACCCCTTCGGGAGCAGCAGGTCGGTCGAGTGTTCGCGTTCGCGCAGGCCGCGAGCCTCGGGAACGGGCTGGAGCAGACTGTGACGAAGCCAGAAAACTACCGTGTATCGACGGGCTTCGGCGTCGGTTTTCCGTTTTTCCCCGGCTGCGAGTTCCAAATAAGCGGGTGCTTTCCGCTGCAATTCAAGCCGACCGACGTCCGCGAGTCTTTGCAGTTTGGCTTGCGGTTTCAGGGTTGACCGTGATGATGCCGGTGCAACACGAGCATAGGAGGTGGGGGCGGCCCGTGCCGTGACTGATCATTCACGTGGATGATTTTTTGAAGCAGAATCTTCGTGCGTCGCGAAAGCGATCAAAGAAGTAAGCCGCTGCACAGGAAATGAACCAAAAAAATCATTCCTAGAAATTTCTATCCTGGCTGCTCTCTCACTCTCTGGAACCGAGACCAACTTCGTCTGCGTCTGGCTTCCCTTCGGTTCCTGCTCTCCACAACTAAGTACTTTCGACGGTAGTTCTACTGGGGAGCTTCTTACTTGCAGGTTCGAGCAGAGGATACACGAGGCGCAGCGGGGGCGACGCCATCGAAGATGAGTTTTCAGCATCGGTCTTTCTCTGTGGCCGCTCTTACGACACATCACAAACGTACGATGATCCGTCCGCATCGCAAACAGACTGCAGAAAGGGCTGTCACGCAAATCCCACACACAGAAAAGCAAAGAAATACAAATTCAAATACCTCTGACACGTCGGTGCGTGACGAGAGCATGAGCACCTGCACCGGCAGCAGAGCACGAAGCTTGCTCCTCGTATTTCTCATGACGTGTTCTTCACATGGTGCAGCCAGTAGAATACGAACACTAAGTGGTCGTGGTCTCGACCTAAGTTTACTAGCCGCGCAGTATATCATGTCGATTGCCAGCCTAGAGATCGTGCGCACCAGGCATGGTCTTCCAGTAGGCCGGTTCCAAGAAAAAAACAACTTCCTGTAAACACATGAGCGTTGCTCGGTCGTAGTGCGCAAAACTGCTTTAGGACACGTCTCGTCGTCATCTAGAGTCACCACCTAGAGGATCATAAGGCACAAATTCCTGTAGTCAGAAGATGCGTCGGCTTCGCACGGTTCCGCTTTTGCTGCTGGCGGCGGAGCCACTCAAGGTCCTTGTGCAGAGTAGAACCGTCCCGAAACCACCGCGCAGGGCCGACGGAGACGCTGCTCCAACCACCACGGTGCGGCAATTGAAGGGGCTCATGCAGCGCTTGCACTCCGTCGACCCACATGCATTTGACCTGCTCGGTGACGCCGTTGCAGCTGATAAGCAACAACTCAACCTAGCGAAGAACGGGCTCCAGCAGCCCAATGGTGCGACCACCATCTCGCTAGCTCGTTTGGAAAAAATGAGTGCCTCTACCTCCAGCAGTGACGTTGTGAAACAACTGTCCTCGGTTCTTGCCTCCATGAAACGGAAAAGTCCCAAGGAATTTGGCCAGGTATTGAACCTCGTGAAGGAAGTGAAGAGCTCGGACAAGAAGAAAGACCAAAATACCCAGCACCTTTCCAGCGCGTTCCTGCAACTCTCAGCCACTGCGGCAAAACTGAAAACCGAGCTGCAGACAGCAATTTTCAGTCGCGGCAAGGCCATGCAAATGAAGCAGCTCATCCATGATGTGCGGAAACTGGACCCGGCTGTAGTGGCGAAGGACGAAGCAAAGCTCAGTGGCCTGGTCTCCAAACTGCACGGAATGGATCCGAAGACGGCGGACATGGTGCAGGCCTTGGTAAGCTGCGAGGGATGCATGATTCAAATCGGAATCCGCTTGCTTTCTTGTCTTGTTGCTTGTTCGTCGTCCTCGCGGCCCATGAATTAATAAGCTGTTACAACATACAGAACTGCTTACTGCGTCACATCACTGACTTTGGAACGTCGACGAGAACGACCTTTATCGACGTCGTTCACAGACAATCTACAAAGAATCAAAACCTAAATTAACCATAAACTCAATACAGTTGAGCGCCGTGATGTCGTCATCCGCAAAAGCGCGGTCGCTGAAGAAGGGCGCGGCTGCAGGCGCTGGTAAGGTGTCGTTGCTGCAATTGGACCAGAAGATGCAGCTAAATTTGAAGAACGTGGTGGACCCCGTCAGTCAGGAGGAGCGCTTGCTGAAGATCCGGCCGCTGTTGATGAAGCTGGCGCGGTTGGACAGCAAAACCTTTGGGCACTTGGCTACGGTCGCGACATTTGCGCAGAACGCTGCGGACGAGAAACTGATGGCGGGCGACGCGACTGCGAATGGAAATGCTTTGGGTGCTGCGAAGAACAGCCAACCCACGATGCCGCTAGTGTAGAAGCGGAAGGAAGTGGAATCACGCGACTTCTTCGAGAAAAGTAGACGGCTTAGAAGAAGGGGAGGTGCGCTTGACGCATAGAAGAAGTTTTTCTTTTCGTGCAGTCTTTGGAATTTTGCAAATTGAAATCGCAGATTTAATTTTCCGAATGGAGATGAATGACTCGCTCGGATATTTTTTTCCTCATTTTCGTCATATACAAATACGTACCGGTTTCGGTTTCAGTTCCAGTTGCAAGATGGAGAGTTTTTCATTAACCCAAACCATGGATGACTACCACCGAGGAGCAGGACAAAAACAGTGATATCGACATCGAGGAAGTAGGGTGGTGTCACCACACACTTCGGCACTTCTACTTTTTTTGTTTTCCGCCGTGGTCGGGGTTTCGTCAATGCAGTAGCTGCTACTCGTGCTGCTCGTCATAGAAATTCTCATCAAAATCTACGCTCGAAATAATGTGGTGTCGTAATGTTGCTGTTGGATTGACTCGGGCTGCAAACATCGAACTAGACAGGGCATCCATTCGTCGTTTCAACGTGACTTGATGTACTTTCTAGTGGTGGCCTCATCAAAAAGAAAACAGATCGTTAGACAGTCGCGTTGGGTGGGACTACGTGCCACGTGTTCATCGTTCTCTTGGGGTAACGCAGAAAAATATCGCTTTCATCCTTTGTGATCTCATATACATTACCATCCTCCTCGTCATATGCTCACCATCTGACAACTCAAACGTACCCACAACCGCGAACGCCTTCAAAAGGAAAAGTTGTCTTCAATCCTCTTGTTCATGTTTCTTCATTCCTAATTTGACGGTATGGTCAGATCGTCAGTCATCAAGGTTAGGCTTTTAATATTTTTCTTTTGTTCCGACGAGAAATTCGCATTTGTTTTCTTTTGTTCCGACGTGTTGTGCATCTTGGAGTCTTCCCGCACGAAGCCAGGTCATGATTTTCCGTGCGCGTTCAAAGTAAGATTTGAATCTATGATGACTCTCAACCTGCTCATGAGATCTGTTCGATGGTGGAGTTAGCTTAATGTGAAATGATGGACCAACATCTCGCGATGAGGACGACGTCGCCGTCTTTGGTCTACGAGGATGGGAATCGGTTCAGTCCCCAATCCTCTCGTTGTCGAGGTGAGAATCTTTCCGGCCACAGAGAAGACCTTCCGTTGCTTACGAGTCTGGAGCTGGACGCGAGGAGAAATGAGGATATTAAAAGGACGATCTCATTATCATCAACTCCGTCTTCGTCTTCCACAAATCCAAGTCCGTTCACGACTGTTCCGCTAGGCAAACGCCTGACTCCGCCGGCTCCGGGCCGTTGCTCTCCTCGTGGCATGGCAGGAAGACAGGTTGCCAAGTTTCTCTTTTTCAGCGCAACATCGACGCAGCAGATACTCCACGCTGCCTGTAAAGCGGAGGATACCGTTGCATCCGCGGTGTTGAGTGGGGCTTTTGTTGACACGACGACGAACCGACAAACCACGCAAAATCTTCGCGGAACGGCAACAAATATAGGAACACCGGTGGAATTGGCGCAAGGTCAAAGCTCTACTGGCGCGGACACGACGAATATCAACGGGGGAGTGGTGAACCTTGACAAAAGTCCTGTAACGTCAGAGCAGCCTGGTCCACTGCAGCAGGGCGATAGTACTCGTGGTGTTGCAGAAGCTAGTACAGGAAATGTTGACGACGGTCTGTCATCGCATCTGCAGCAAACACAAGCGCCTGGTGAGGAGAACGTGGTTGACGGCACATCGAACACTCTAACCACGTCCGGCCCTCCCGGTCCCTCTTCAGGGGTAGCAACAGCAACGGATGACGGCAGCGGCTCCTCTTCTTCAAGTAGCAGCACAGGAGCCGTCGCTTCGGGCGACGCGGCTGGTGACAAAAAGATAGGACTTCCAGTGTCGCCGTTACTGCACTCGTCCTCTGCAACGTCGTCCGGAGCAAATAACGCAAACGGTAATAATGCTGCGAAAGGCGAGCAACTTTCGAACGCGTTTTCGGCTGCCGGATCAGCTGCACTGAATTCCCCGCAGATGCAACAGGACGGCTTCGTAACGAAATTTATCGCGAACATCGCGCTGCTGTCTTCCGTGGCGCTAATGTTATCCCCGGCACAGTTTTTCTACCAGCTTGTGATAACGCGCGGCGAAAATATCAAACAGAGTCGAAAGCAGCTGATTCTCCTGCTCCCCTACCTGCTTCTTTGGGTATCAGCGATGCTGTGGGCGACCTGGGCGTACCTAGACAGCCGCCCGGAGATTTTCCAACTGCAGTGTCTGGGTGCAGTGGTCTACGGCTTCTACGTTGTGATCTTCTGCTGCGGCGCCACCGCCGCACAGAAGGGACAAATCCAGTCCGTCGTCGCAGGGACAATGGCACTTGTTTCCTTTACCAGCCTGCAGGGAGCGTGTGTCATGGATCCGAAACATAGTACCACTTCTCGTTATCTTGATCTACGTAAAACGACTTGCTGTGTGTAGTACGAGTACCTACTTGAAACCATATTTATTTTTATAGAAGAATCAAACTGAGCCTGATTCAGGCTCAGGTCTTTTTGAAAGCCAGCGAAAGACTACGACGATGTCGGCACCATCTCTGCTTGATGCTAGTGGAGCAAAGATTTTGTGAAAATCAAATTTATCGCAATTCGACACCCAGGTAAATTTCTCTTCGCCTACTCCGCCCTGAGCTTCCAAATTCTGTTGTACATGGTTCCGTTTATCCAGCTTGCAGACGTCGTTCGCACCGGCGTGGTGGCGGTTTTTCCTTTGCCGCTTTGCTTTGTCTCCATGATGTCTTCTTTTTTGTGGACCTACTACTCGTGGATCAAATGGAGCCCCGCGTTTTGGTACTCTTCGTATTTTTCATGGTTTGAAAATTATGAGCAAGTCGCTTTACAACTTACTACAGATCATGAGCAAGTCTAACATAAAGATCGTCCCTACACCAGCCGACTTGGTGTTGAATGAACGTGGGTGTTTCGCTATCGCGCCCGCATTTGCAGTGTGTGTGTGTGTGTGTGTGTTTTTTTCTGATATTCTACCATTGCAAACAATTTGCATACACAGGGCCGCGTCCCTCGCGGGTTTTGTCTTCAACGGGATGCAGGTTTCCGTCGTTCTCTACATTCAATGGAAATACGGCAAATCCATCGTGGACTCCTGCAAGCTTGAAGCGCCGATAGCCAACGGCCGGCTCCCGTTTCTCATGCAGCACGGGTACCAGATCGATCTGCGAAAGGCTCGGAGCATGCGTTCGCAGTTTCGGAGTAAGATGGGCACGACCATAAAGGCGGAGGATCACGTTTTCTACAACCAACACCTACACTCCGGGGATCTGCATTATGGATGTGTCAGGTTTGAAATCGTCAGAGTTGAAATAGTTTGCAATGCATAAAATGGATGCCAGTTGGAGCCCAGTTTTCAAGTGGCGCATGACAAGTTTTCGCGGTGCCTAAATCCAGTTTGTAATGCTGTTTGGGTAAGGAAGACGCCTTTTGTCATGCTACTTAAGCAGCTGTATTCCTACCCCTCAACAGGCTTGCAATCTGCCTCCCTTGCCTACTCTGCAAGACAGGAACTTTGCGGGTTGCATTTTATGCATCACAAATTATTTCAACTTTGACGATTTCAATCCTGACGCTTCCATATGCATCCTCTCGGCAGTCGCGTGGGCGACGGGAGCGTGCTGATCGACCACGGAATGACGGGCCAGGAAATTACGGAAACTGGGTTCGGTATGGAAGCGTCAGGATTGAAATCGTCAAAGTTGAAATAATTTCTCACGCATAAACTGCAAGGCATGAAGTGCCTCTCTTGCAGGGACCGCAAGTGAGGCCGACTGTCAGCCTGTTTGGGGTCTGCGGTAGAGCTGCTGAAGTAGCATGACAAAAGACGCCTTCTGTCCCAAAACAGCATGACAAACTGGATTTAGACGCGGCCGGCATTTGTCATGCACCGCTTGAAAATTGGGCTTCCAACTGGTATCGATTTTATGCATTACAAGTTATTTCAACTTTGTCGATTTCAAGCCTGACACTCCCATATCCGGAGGCGGGACCGGCAAAGGGGGAGGCACAGGCGGGAAAAATGGTGGGGCTGCCACTGGAGGCTCGAAACCGGGAGAGAGGACGCGACTGCTACACGCAACCCGCTTGTAAAAAGTTGACATTGATTTTTGAACAAGTGAACACAGGCGCTGAGTTGTATGTCATCGACAATATTTTTTAAGAAGAGCGACGGCGTCCTCCTGTGATCGTGGCGACGTCAACTGGTTCGAAAGAAGATCGAGATGACCACATTGAAGCGCTGCCAATTGGCCTTGTATGCCTTCTCAATAAGTGAAGACGTAACTGCTTGTCCCTTAGGTTACTACTGACGAGCCCAAATGTGATGAAATTGAAGGACGATTTCCACCGCCATCTTCATGTAGCTTCAAGCTTGTAAAAATTAAGATTGTAAACGACTTCTTCCGATGTTTGAATTCGTACTCCAATCAATCCAATAGTTTTCATGTACAAGAAGAGGGTGGGCGAGCTCTAACCTAATGTGTAAACAAACGACCAAGACATAATTTAGTATTTCGAAGAAAGAGAAAGACAAAAAACTGCCTTGCTTTTTCTCGAAAGCATTAAACCACGGCCAGCGGAGTATGATTTTAAGCAGGACCACCGTTGTCGTTTTGTCTTGGCCTGTTGCGTGCTTCTTATTTTGTTGCCGTCGCATCAAACGAACGCGGCGCGCTAGAGAAAAAGCTGTGTGTCTCCTGATCGTGTTGCTTCTGGACCCGTAGAAAGCAAAATCGGCGACGTGGTATATTCCAGAACTACAAGGAGCTCAGATCGTCCCGATTCTTTTGTGAATGAGGGGAATTGGCTCTGGTTTCAAAGTTTCTGGATCGATCGAATTGACTTGTTGTTGAACAACACGACACGATAAATAAATGTAGTCCAATAGAAATCATCTCCAATGTAGCCTGGGCGACTCCATGCGAAGGATCTAGGACGAGATCGAAAAATCATAATCACCGAGAAACAGAAAGAGCGCTGTGGCTGTATTAGCATTTCCAGCCGAATTGCAAACTCGAACAAGCCTAATTAATATGCCGAAATTTTTACCACACTTCGTAGCCAAATCAAATTCAAATCTGTCTCTGTGCCTCAAACGCATGACAAAGGGGAGACAAAGACAAGAATGTGATTTTGACCATCTTTCAAGGAGAACTAACAGGAGCTGCAAAGCGCAAATGGACACGCGGCCTCTCAACAGTTTAAACTTAGAAAATTCCATCGCGACGCCGCAATAATTGTTGATCTTGCCGCACAGAGGCGCCAGCTTCAGACAGAGTCAGAAACAGAATCAGTGCCGTTTTCTAGATATTCAGTTGTGGAGATAGAAGAAAAACACAGAAAAACCTGAAATCGTTGTCCATCCCTATTCGTCATACTTTACCAGCTGCAACAAAGTTAAACAAAGACGAAGTAGCAAAATAATAATTTGTCTTCCCCTGCTCATCCAAGAAGTATTTTCCACCAGACAACGCAGCACAAATGTCGGGCAAGGGCGCCACTGAGGACCCGAAGGGCATTTACGCTTCTTTGGAAATCGAAGCCGGGTGCTGCAACGACGACCAAATCAAAAAAGCCTATCGGAAACTTGCTCTCAAGTGGCACCCTGACAAAAACACCGATCGAAAAGAGGAGGTAGATGACTTTTTTGGATGCTTTTCTGTACAACTTGTTGTGGAATCTCGGCGAACTGTTGAAAAATTTGATGTATTTTTCTATCACTATTTTTAGTTAGAAGTTGCGCTTGGGCTTGCGCTTGCAAAAAGTGCCACGATATTTACTGCATTTCCTCTCGCCAGCACGACTCGCACGACCACGACATAGTAGACATTCGTATCTTCATGGCCATCTTGCACAACAACTCCAACTCGGCATGAAATAATTAATGAACAGGCCACCGCCCAGTTCCAGAAGATCTCTAATGCGTACCAAGTTCTCTCTGATCCAGACAAGAAGGCCCACTACGACCAAACCGGCCGGGTACTGGGCAGTGACGAGGACGATGAGCACGGCTTCGGGGCGGGCGGCATGGACATGGATGATATGATGAATATTTTTGCGGCGGCGTTCGGCGGTCCAGGTGGCCTCGGCGGGCTGTTCGGAGGCGGTGGGTTCATGTTTGGCGGTGGCGGGGGCATGCGCATGGGCGGAGGGGGGCGCCGGGGCGGCGGCGGTGTTAACGTCATGCACATGGGCGGCTTTGGCGACGACGACGATCTGGTCTTTCAGATGGGCGGAATGGGCGGCGCAGGAGGTATTAGCGATTTTTATTAGGTCGCCATCACTGTGGATAATATATATAAATTTAAATATTAGTTTTTGCGCTTTTTCTCCACTGCGCTGTCGTTATCCCAGTTTTTGAGTGCTAGTGATAGATCAACATGACCATGTTGACATACTCGTGAATTTGTTTTTCACGAAAAGGAAAATTACGCAATTCTTTCGACAAATAAATCCAGGCAACATGTTTGTTTTCGGTGACGATAGCGGAGACGAGGACGGAATGGACGCCTCAGATTTTGAAGACAGCGACATGGATGAAGCCGAAATAATGCGACTCCTGATGGGCGGCAACCTACCAGGTTTCGGTGGCGGCAGCGGCCGCAGAGGCAACAAAGGGCGCGGCAAGAATGCCGGCAAAGCAGGCAAGCGGAATGGAAGAACAACAGGCCCTGCGTCGTCCGCCGGCTTTTATTTTCAGAACCGAAATGCGGCCCAGAATAACTCCAAACAATCCGCCAGCAGCTCCGCCGCCTCTCCAACGGAGCCTGCAGTGCCCTCAGAGCAGACCACTGCAAGCAAAAAGAAGAAAAACAAGAAGAAGAAAGCAGGAGCCGGCGCTGCAGCCGCCGATGTGGGGACAGGTGCAGGAGCTACGCCGAGCACAACAGCGGCCTCAACCACAGGCGCGAGCTCATCGTCGTCCAGTAGCCAGGCAACTACAAAAGCAACACAAGCCGCATCTTCTAGCAGTTCTACCGCGGCACCAGCGTCGTCAAGTGCCGACGCCCAAGCGACGGGCAAAAAAAAGAAGTCCGGAGCCGCGAAGAGAAAACGCGCACAGGACAACAAAGCCCAGGAGGATCAAGTGGAGCAGGCGAAGCGAAATGTGCCGTCCGCCCCGACCGCCCCGAACGGCGCCGCTAATCGCAGCTCCGCTGTTAACTCTTTTTTTAGCTCGTTGGGCATGAGCCGCCCAGGAGGCATCGATTCTGACGAGTTCGATTCGGACGACCTCGCAGACCTGCAGGAAGCCTACGAGGACGACGACGAAAGCGACAGCAGCGGAGAGGAGTTCAGTTCATTCGGCAATTTTGCTCGAATGATGGCGGGGGACATCGGGGGCGGTCGGGGCCCGCGCGGCGGAGGAGACCCACTCGGCATGATGTCCGACGACCTCCTCGAGGCCGCCTTCATGCAGGAAGTGATGCGCGGCGCCGGACCTGGACCCTCCGGAAAAGGCGGCGGAAAGACAGGTGGGAGAGGAAAAGCGGGCGGCCGGAGAAGATGACTGATGAGCATGAGTGTGCATGATCATTTTGATTTTCCGTCGAGGAAGAAATGCGAGGCGGGAGTTCGAGACTCCTGATGATATTCGTCTCTAAGGTTGTCATCCTCATCTGCAGCTCCATTTGGTAATTGTTTCACTTGCGTCGTTGTCATCTACGCCCCTTCATTACAAGTCAAGTTAGCATTTTTACCACCTACACGACTTTCAAGAACGCACCTTCGCCCTTCAGTGCGAGTGTGTTTTTGCGTGCTCCGGGCGGGCAGGAAGATGGGACAAGCTTCAGCACGACCCTCGGACAAGCTTCCTGAGAGTTGTTCGAGGGCAGGACGAGCAGCAAGTTTCCATTGCGACCAATGATTTTCATGAGCATACAGAATACGTCTACAATTCGTTGCATCTTCCTCCCAGAAGACTTATCATGAATATAGTCAATCGCATCAGTGTAGTGGCTTTGGCAAAAACTCAGCGGAAGTTGTATCTGCACCTGCACGTTGATGAATTTTCCATGTGGTTCACGGAGCCACGACCATTGATTGGTATTCTTGTTGAGAAGTGCATCGCCTCCTGAGCTTGATTTTGATGGCGAATTTGCTCGGATCTCCTTTTCCGAGAGGACTATCTTGAAATGCAGCGACAACCCAATACTGATAGTGCATCAGCTCCTTTGTTTACAGCGTCCAAGTCGAACTGCAGACGAGATTTGATGCTGTCCGAGCCGCGAGAGCGACATTTTCAAAATCCTACGTCGCAGGCATGGAGTACGAGCAGCCGCGTCTACGCTCTACGTTCCTTCTTCTATTGACAAAGTGTCGATCTTTGCAGTGTTCCTTGTACAGAACTTTTCTCATGAGATCGCATTCACGAGATGCACAAAAGGACCGACAGCTTGATCACGCTTGTTCTTCAAAATCATCTTGCGAGCGGCTACCTAAATGGCCAAAGCAGATCTTTTCTGTACACTTTTCTTTTCGCGAGCCGGCAAATTGTTGAGTTTCGCTGCAAACGCAAGAGGACCAAGCAGATGTTGACAAATTTCTTTCTTTGGAATCCCGATTATCGTATCTAAATTTTCGACGTTGGGTCGTAGCAGATAGAGATCATTTTCTCATGACGAAGATGTCAGCACGATCCACCGCTATCGTGTTCTAGTAGGATGAGCCAACATTTCGTATTGAATGCCCCTGATCTTCTATATTTTATTTATATGTTTTTTGGTTGTATTAAGTCTAAGGCTAAGGGGCGGCCTCGGCCTGTCTCTTCAAAATGTTTCTAAAGCGAAACTAGATCGACAAACACCTCCGCAAGAAAGCGTGCGAACATTTACCGAAGATATTTTCGATCACCAGAAACACAAACAGTAACGACCCGATTGTCCATTGTATCTATCACCGTAGCAAGGAAGATTGTGAACGACAGCATCGGTACCCCCGCACCAAGATGAACACCATGAATAATCAACATTTTTGAGCACCATAGGGATAGAGCAAGTGCTTGGTGCTGTTTTGTGTCCCCCCCGCATCAACTTGTGCCAGACCACCCTTCGCTCTATTAACCCTATTCGATTCCTAAAAGGAGCAGAATGATCCGCAGCCTCTATATACAGTGAAACTTCCGACACCTCCAACAAAATGAACAACTCCACGAACTATTGGCAGCGGGCCAATGACAAGGGCAAGGAGAAAAAGAAGGAAAATCCTCGGGTGTACCTGGATGTGCAGATCGGGCGCCGAACCGGTGGTCGCGTGGTATTCGAGCTATTCCTCGATGCCACGCCGACGATGGCCGAAAATTTCCGGCTTTTGTGCACCGGGGAAAGGGGACGCAGTCCGTTTTCGAAGAAAGATCTGACCTACGCGGCGAGCAAGATAACAACCATCGAGCGGGGAATCGGCTTCACTGCCGGTGACTTTGTCCACAACACGGGAAAGACGCTGGGAGAATGTATGAATTTGATGTTCATCTGGCGTTTGATGATAAAAAGATATCAGTACAACTGTTACGCAGGACGCGCATACTTGTAGTACTTATTTGCATCAGGTACCAGCGTGCTACTTGTGATATTGGCGATCGTTTTCATTCACCTGTTCTGTGGTGATGTCGTGACCTTCGAAACTTGTTCTCTAAATGAATCTGAAAAAAACAGGCGCGTTTGGCAACCCAGACGGTTTCCGCTCGGAGGGGTTCGGGGTGCGGAAGCACGCCAACGCCGGAATCTTGTCCATGTATGTGGACGAGGACAAGCGACGGTGTCACTCGAAATTCCACGTCACCTTCAAGAAGGCACGGATCCTGGACCGGAAGCACATCGTGTTTGGCTATGTGGTGGACGGTATGGACGTCGTGCGTGCGATCGAGAAAGTCCCAGTGGAAACCAACGAAACGCCGCGGGTTCCCGTGGTGATCACAGGCAGTGGGGAGTTGAAGCCGGAGGAAATCCAGGCACTCGCAGAAAAACAAAAGAAGGCGAAGATGTATCAGCTGAACATGGCGAATGGTAGTGAAGAAATTAACTTCAATAGCTTTTTTCAAGAACCCGCGGACACAAGCATTTTTGTCGTTTTTCGTAAGAAGTTCGCTCAGGAGGTGCTCGATCACTCTTATGGCCAATTAACCAAAATTGGAATACGCACTTCTGATTCTGCTCGGATCTACGATTAGTGATTTCCATTTGATCTAGTAGAACTAGCCTGTGCACCCGCCTGTCTGAAGAAAATAGTATTTTTCGAATAATCTCCACTACAGTCGGCGCGGACCTTCTGATGAACCCAAAACTGAACGCCAACGCGGCCTTTGCCGCGAAGGAGGGCGAGGAGCCGGCGGAGGACGAGATTGCGTTCGACCCGTCCAGCGCCGCCGGGCCGCGGATGCAGTCCCCTGACCCGGACGGGGACGAGGACTCCGACGAGGAGGAGGATCCCGAGGTGGAGAAAATGCGAAAAAAGCTCGCGGAGGAGTCAGAGTCGGACGACGACCAGGACGGCGCCTTTGGCCAACGCAAGATCCAAAAAGTGGTGCCGCAGCTGGGCGCGAAGAGCAGCGACGGGAGCTATTTGAATCAGTCGGGCGAAAAGTTGCTTGCGGACGAGCTCGCGAAGGGCTTTGAGGAAGAGGGTGAGGACGGTGGTGACGGTGCCCCACAGATCGGAATCAAGATAAAGAAAGTCGCTGGCGGACGAGGCGCGGCTGCGTCTTCTTCGTCAACCGGTGGATCACGACACGCAGGGGCGAGCAGTTCTTCAGCCGTAGTTCCCGGCGCACAGCCTGTGGAGAACCGGAAGGACCGACTAGCGAATCTTCGCCTGAAGATGAACCAGGGGCGACAGCAGAACGTGACGGCGGTGCTCGAGGAGAAGAACAAACACGACAAGGGGATAATAACGTACTACAAGTACCAGCAGGAGAACAAGGACAAGGCCGACAAGAAGCAGCTACAGGACGAGTTGGCGGAGTTGGTGGAGGAGGGGAAACTGAACCCGGACGCACTGACCGCACGGCGGCGGGCCGCCGCGCCCAAGGGGAAGGAGTACCTGCAGGAGCCGATGGAGATCTCCATGGCGAAGGAGATGAAGAAGCGGAAGAAGATGACTGCAGATGAGAACATCGCGTACAATGTGTTCAACCAGGACTCGCTCTACCGCGCACAGGAGAAGCGCAACAACGAGATCGTCTTCGACCACCACTCCTACCAACAGCAGAAGAAGGAGCTGGGCGAGGACGTGTTCTACAACGACCGCGCGCAGTACCTGGTGTCCGGGTTCAAGGAGACGCCGGCAAATAAGCAAAAGTTCCTGGACGCCATGGCCAAGGCGGAGGAAAAGAAGAACGCCTTCTCCCGCCGCCGCACGCACGTCGACGACGCGGACTTCCAGCACATCAACGAACGAAACCGGGTGTACAACCAGAAAATGGACCGCTTCTACGGCGACCACACGCTGGAGATCCGCCAGAACCTGGAACGCGGAACCGCCTTGTAGTGAGCAGTGCGGTTGGATTTTCTTCTTTTGCTGGTCTTCAGCAACACGGAGCGCGAGCTTTCGCGTTTTTTGTATCACACGAAATCTGAACAATGACCCAAGAAGTACTTATTAGTATTCATTTCATGACGTACACGTCTACAATGAAGCAGCGTCGCGTGCGTGGTACCTTACTTTAAGAGCCGTGCACTATCAAGAGCTCCATTCCCTCCAAATATCGTGTTCCTTCATTTCCCCGAATTGGAGAGCTAAGTAAGGAGCTTTAAGTTGTATCTTCAACAAGACGACTCATTGCAATCAGGGAGACATGGGCTGCGCTGCTGCATCATGAGCGCTTTCAGTTCTGAAGGGATGTGGCGGTGTAGGAAGGAAATTAGATGAAGAGCGAAGCAGAGTGAACGTTGAACGAGGAGCAGTTGCGATAGAGCCGCTGTTTCAGACCCTAAGCGATTTACAATTTTGTTTTTCTAGGAACGAAGAGGGAACAATAAGGATCGTGTATATATGTGCTTCAGCTTTTCCAGATGAAGTACAAGGAGGTTCAAATTCGTTTATCGAGAAGGTAATATCAGCAGTCCAGTAAAAGCAGCTGATCTACCTGAGTCTTGACGTTTTGGTGCTATGTAAGAAAGTATCTATGCGTGTCTGGTGCTCGGTGTGATGTTTGTTTTCCGTCCCTGTTCACTGTGTCGTGTCGTGCTGGTGCTTGCTTGACGGCGCGAAGCGGTAGTGGCGGAAGTGCGAGCGTTTCCTTCTCCTCGCCCTGGCCTAGCTTAGGTGGTCGCACATGGAATTGGGGAACGATGTCGCTGCGGTGTGGTGGAAAGCTGCGTCGAAGCATTCTGGGGGGCTGGTGAAGACAATGCTTTCCACGAGCGGAATTATGTTCGGTCGTGTGCGGCTCCGGGCTTTTTGTTTGCTCGCGTGGTCTTCTTGACGACGGGATGCAGCAGCAGCACTGATTTTGGACGTCAGCGGAGTGAGACATTGTCAAAGCAGGCCGCCCTGTTCTTGTGCAGTTCCGGTGGCCCAAAAATCACAAAACGACGCTGCTGCAGCTGCCCCTTTGAAGTAAGAAGCAGGCCGCCTGCCCAATATGCTGCGAACGACGAAGACGAACGGGAACGGCAGCAGCTCATCTTCCTCCACGCAAAACAACAACCCGAATCCTCACATGAAAGCTTCCCCAGCCATGTCGGCTGCAAGTGCGAAAAGCAGCAACGAATCCCTGAGCGTGCTGGGACTGAAACTCGGCGGAGGGGGGAACAACAAACGTAAGTCTCGAAGTAAGCAGCGAGGCTCCTCGGGTGGATCTCTCAGTACTGGCGACCACGCCACAGACAAAATAACGGGCTCGATGCAGAGTGGGGTAAAGTCCACCGCCGTGAGTGGACACGCGAATACCAGTGCGAAATCGAGCCAAGAAAAGGAGTCTCAGTCGCTGATCCAGATGTTTCAGGGCTTCAAATTTGCCGACCCCAACGCGGGCCGAAAAGATTCCTACTACATTGAGTGCGTGACGAACCAACCAGATAGTTCCAACGTGCGACACAAGAACTACGTCCGCACGGCCCGCTATAACGCTTTGACCTTTCCCTTCGTGACGCTTTGGGAACAATTCCACAACTTCGCGAACTGCTACTTTATCGTCACCGCCGTTCTGCAGATGATCGAGCCGATTTCCGATTCGGACGGACAGCCAACCATCCTCGTCGGCCTGATGCCGGTCCTCGCGGCGGTTGCAGTTCGCGAGTGGTTGGAAGACCGAGCGCGGAAACGCAACGACTACCGCGAGAACCACCAGCTGGTGGATCGGTACACCCAAGACGGCGACATCGTCGAGACCGAGTGGCAGGACCTGTCGGTGGGCGACGTCATCCGCGTGAAAAAGGGGCAGCAGTTTCCCGCGGATTTGCTGCTCCTCGCATCGTCCGACAAGGACCGCGAGCAGGTGTTTGTCGAAACGAAAAATCTGGACGGGGAGACCAATTTGAAAACGAAGGTGTGTCTCCCCCAGATCTCCTCCAAAAAGTGCCTCAACGGGAAGGACGACGCGAAATCGATCGCGAAACTGCGGCTCCGAATCAAAGTGGAGCCTCCCTGCACGGCGCTGTATTCGCTGAACGGGCAGATCTTTGTCCAAGACGAGGTCGTGCCGCTCTCCGCGGACCAGCTGCTGCTGAAAGGGTCGTCTTTGCAGTCTGACTACGCCATCGGGTGCGTGATCTACTGTGGACACTTCACCCGGCTGCTGTTCAACGCGTCGAACGTCTCCCAGTACAAGCTCGGCATCATCCAGCGGTGGTTCAACCGGCACGTGATCCAGATCTCCGTGATGCAGGTGCTGTTCAGCATTTTCGTGGCCAGCGCGGAAATAACCGTGTCCGCGAGCTCCTGGCCGTGGTACGCGGACGAGGATGTGGTGACCGATTTTTTGACCGGCTTTGGCCGCTGGTGGGTGATCTTCGGCCGGCAGACGTTGATGCTGACCTTCTTTGTCCCCATTTCCGTGATCATCACCGTGGAGATCGTCCGCGTCGTGGTGGCCTGGTTCATGGCCCGCGACGAGGAGCTGATGGGGGACCAGGAAAATCTGGAAGACGGGGCGAAGGCGCAGTCCACGTCGGTGCTGGAGGACCTGGGCTCGGTGTCGCACATCTTCAGCGACAAGACAGGGACGCTGACGGAGAATTTGATGCTCTTTTCCTGCATCGGCCTGCCCAACGACATCCGGGACGGTGCGTGGTACAACAACCCGGCAAATCACGTCGACGCCAAGGAGCGCGCGAGCATTTCCGAGGGGGACATCAAGCGCATGCTGGGCGTGAACCAATTCGAAGAGAAAGCGACGCAAGGGCAGCTACCACCTTACATGGACACTTATTTCCCGATCAAACGCGTGGAGCGCCTCTTCATGGGCGGCGACCAGGACCGCGAGGAAGTGCCACCGCAGTCGCCCGCCGCGAAAGCGAAATTCGCGCTCGCCGCGCTGAAGAACAAGACGCAGGCGGCAGTGTTTGGCGGGGTAAGTGCCGCAACTGCCGTGACAAACGGAGAGGAAACCGCTGCTCGCGCAACCGGTCCTGTATCGAGGGTCGAGGGCGATAGAGGAGAAGAAGGCGCAGCGGAAGAACCCGAGAGGACGGGCTCTTTCTTCCGCCTCACCTCGGGAAGCCTTATGTCTTGGAGTAGTAGCGACAAGAAGAGCGACGCTCTCGAAAAAGTGGAGACGAAAGCCGAGCTCTCGCCAGCAGCGGATAGTGTGGAGGGAGTGGGCAATCCCGGAGAAAACAGGGACTTCGATGATCAAGCCGTGCGGATGGTACTTACATCGGAACAGCGCAGCGGCCTTGCTTGAAATTTCATTTTTGTCTTTTCCATCCTTGTTCTCGTGAGCCCTGAGCTGTTGACGTGGTTCGTATCTCGATGCTTTCTATCTATCAAAATAACCACAAGTGTAAATAAGTCCTTCGCTACCACGTCGAGCAGTTCTACATCTACTACTTGTGGTTTTTAGTCCGCTATTAAACAAACATGACACCTAGATGTTCTATTACGTGTTGAACCTGGCCCTCTGCCACACGGTTATTCTGCAGAAGCAGGACACGGGCGAGGAGAAGTTCGAGGCGTCTTCGCCCGACGAGCTGGCGCTGATTGCCGCCGCCCAGGCCTTTGGCTTCCGGTTTTTGGGTCGGCCCAACGCGGACACGATTCGGATCGGATTTTCCACCAAATTTGCCCGGTGGCTGTGGCCCTACGAGTTCGACGAGGAGAAGCACCGCGAGCTGTTTCACGAGTCCCGCGAGGACTTGGACGAGATCATGAAGGAGTCCAGCAGCTCCTCTGACGGACCCAGCTATTTCTTGGACTTTGAAGTGCTAGACGTGTTGGAGTTTGACAACGTGCGGAAGCGCATGTCCGTCGTCATCCGCATGCCGGCTGATCTCGTTCCAAAGGCGAACTTCTTGTTCGGCCCGACGGCCAAAAGCGCGACGCTAAACTCCAACCCGACGACGTCGACGTCGCAGCAGCACGGGGTCTTGACCAGGAGTAGCAGTAGAGGTGGGATAAAATCCACTAGCACGGTCAGTGCAGGTGGCGCGGCGACAGTGTCTGTCCCTGATGGCCCCGATGGAGGTGGAGCTGCAACTGGGACCACGACAACCCAACATCAGGCACACGCGTTTGACCAGTTCCGCAACGAAAGAACGATTTTGTTGACCAAGGGAGCAGACAACTCCATGCTGTCTGTTGGTTCGTTGGAGCAGCCATTCGACGAACGCCAGTGGTTGGACGACCACATCTTGGACTTCGCGAAGAAGGGGCTGCGGACGCTGCTGCTCGGCTACCGCTGGCTCTCCACCACCAAGCAAGCCACCTGGTCGGAGAGGTACAGCCAGTTGCGGGGCAGTATTGACCTGTCCGAAGACGATAAGAAGCAGCAAACCCTGGATATGATCAACGAGATGGAACAAAACCTAAACCTATCCACAGAAAAAAACCCATCCACATCCAATTTGTCATGCAAAACATACATAAAATTCTGTGTCTGTCATGCAAAAAATGGATGTGGATCGGTTTTTTTCTGTGGATAAAACCTCGTCGGCTGCACGGGCGTGGAGGACAAGCTGCAGGACCAAGTGCCGGAAACCATCGCGCAGCTGCAGGCCGCCGGGATCAAGTTCTGGGTGCTGACCGGAGACAAGGTCGAAACCGCGATCCAGATTGGCCAAGCGTGCAACCTGCTGAACGAAGGGACGTACAATCTCGTTTTGACAACTCCCGACGCGAGCGACGTCGAGGAACGGCTGAAGGAGTTCCAAATCTGGCTCGACGCTGCCGAAATCTTGCAGTTCGCAATTCAGCTATCACCCTTATTGACGTAGGGATGAAATCGGTTCTTCCTCTTTCTCTTGCATTTTGAAATGCATCAAAACACTATGGCTATGCATCTGCGTGCGCTGCTGAGGAGACAGCTGTCGTTCCACTTGCCAGATGACGCGATGGAACAATAGCTACTTACTTCTAGTGCAAGAATCCTGGCATACGAATCACAAGAGCAGGACAAAGATATGTATGCGAGGATATTAGATCGCAATATCAATATGTGATGTGAAGATGTGCGCGGCCTTCAACATCGATATTGTTCTTAAAACACAGTATGACGGTGAAGGTTCCGACTTCATCAGATTTTTGACGCGATACTGTTCAGGCGAGGAAGACTTGGTTTGGTCCGACGACGAGATCACCCAATCCGAGGAAAGTGAAAGCCACTCGCAGTATGAAAATACATACGGCCAGCAGATGCCCTCGTTGGTCCTGAATCAAGCCGACACGAACTCGCCAGCAACATCTTCAGTCGCAATCGGAGGCGCGACGTTCCAGCAACAGCCAGAGGTACCACTCCTCGGCCCATCAGGAGATGACAGCGGCTATACAGCAGGACGCTCTTTCGCGCCTGGGTCGATAGCGTCCACCTCTTCGACAGCAGTGGCGCAGCAGCGGGCGCGGCAAACCGGACTGGAAGGCGTGCAGGTCGGCGACGTGGTACTTGCCCCGTATGATCCGAGTGGACCACGGAACACTGCTGCGAGCTCCGGGCCCGGAGGTACAACCACGGGTGCTGCCACAGGCAGGAGGAAAAGCAGCGCTCACCACCACGAGCATCACCACCATCACCATCACCACGCCACGACAAAACACATGGTGCGTGCGGAGGACCTGTCGCGGGTGGTGCAGGCGCAAACGGTCGCAGTTGGCACCCAGCCGAGCAGCTCTTCGACCTCGCCACCTCCCGTAGCACACCAGCATAGCTATCAGCATGAACTTCAAGTAGTGGATCACCCGTTTCCCGCGGTGACGCCGCGCCGGGGCGTTGACCGAGGAACATTTCAGTCCAGCACCAATTCCAGCGCTGCAGTAGGCAACATAGTGGTCCAAACGCCAACGCGAGCAGGTGGCCCTTCGTTGCCGCACGCCAACTCGCGCGACAAACTCATCGCGCGACACATCAGCCGAGCCATTTCGGGTGACAGGCTGATGCAAGACATAGACATGCCGCCCGGGGGGGATCACTACAGTACGACGCGGGCGGATCCACAAGCGCTTCCCTCGGTCCGCCTTGACTACGACGAGACCACGGCACCGTCGCAGACGCCCGGCCGGCCCACGCGGGCGAGCCACACGCTTCCCACGGAATCGGCGTCCAGTCGGTGGTCCCGGACGCTGCGCGCGTTGCGTGGCAGTGCCTCTGGCGTGGATGACACGCCACTGAACCAGATGAAAAAGGAAGAAGGCCGCTTCTTTCTGTCGAAGCGAAAGAAGCAGATGATAAGGGAGGGTATCCGGAAGCGCTACCAGCAGATCCAGGACCGGCTGGTGACGTTCTCCAGTGCGGGTCTCGGCGTAACTGGTTCGTCGAACAATCGCGACACCGCCGCATCGTCGTCGTCAAGCCAGCAGCTTCAGCCAAGCAGGATCTCCGCTCTTGGGCAGACGCCGCCAACTCCGGCGACAGGTTCGCGAACGACACTGCAACCGCCAGCACAGCTGCACCAGAGTGGAATCAGCGCTTCGCAGCCGATCTCCACGCTTCACAGCACGCCACCGCACGGCAGGAGTACAGGCTGCGCGGCAACTTCCAGGTCCGGACAAAAGCCACACCTTCAGCTTCGCGCCGCCGGGGACCAGACGAGTGTGAATTTCGAAATAGATCCAGGTGACCTACCTCTATCGCAAAACTACGGTGGACTTGAAACACCGACCGCGGCAAGCCGCCGAACGCAGGCTCGCCAGTCGTTCAAGCTGCCTACCTCTCCGTCACGGCCTGGCGACTTGATGACGGGCCCGGGCGGTGCGCCGCCCTATTCTAGCGCCATGATTCACCGCGTGATCGACCCTAGTTCTGGCGAGATAATTGCGACCACCGCCCGTAGCCGCGAGGCTTCTCTCTTTGATACGACGAGCCAAGCGGAACGAATCACGCGCAGAAGGCAGATGGATCGTGGACGCAGCCGCACCTCGATGCAAAAGAGCACCTCGGGAAGTCGTGTCTTTCAACATCACACAAGCACTTTAAGCCGACAAACGCAACAAGACGACGGCGCTCCCGGGGGCCAGGTACTTTTACCAGAACAGCAAGAAGAAAACTTGCTCCAGGTCTTCAGAAGCTGCGCCATCACTATCACGGGCGACGTTCTGGCAGTTATCCTGCAGTCCCGCAAGCTCCGGCGCTTCTTTTTCCGTATTGCGCTGCAGAATTGCAGCGTGATCATTGCTTGCCGCGTGTCACCCATTCAAAAAGCGGACATTGTCGCGTTGTCCCGCCGTTACCGCCAGTCCGACCACAACGCCATGCTCGCGATCGGCGACGGGGCGAACGACGTGGGCATGATCTTGCGCGCGCACGTCGGCGTCGGGATCTCGGGGAAGGAGGGCGCCGCCGCCGCGAAGAGCGCAGACTTCGCGATTTCCCAGTTTAAGCACCTGAAGAAACTGTGTTTCGTTTACGGCCGGGAATCTATGCGGCGTAATGCGCTCTTCGTCTACTACTCGCTTTACAAAAACGTCGCGTTTTCCATGCCGTCCGTGTTTTTCTCGATGGTGAGCCGTTTCTCCGCGCTGGACCTGTATGACCCATGGGTGAAATATCCAGGAAAAAACACCCATCCACATCCAATTTGTCATGCAAAACATACATAAAGTTCTGTGTTTGTCATGCAAAAAATGGATGTCGGTGGGTTTTTTTCTGTGGATATGAAACAGATTTTCAACACAGTGTTCACCTTTCTGCCCATCGTCCTGTACACCATTTTTGACCGCGAACTGCCCTACTACTACCTCCTCAACGGGCCCCCGCTGTACCGGCCCCTCCGATTCGGTGTCCCCTCCACCGGCACCGTGGCTTTCTGGTACTGGTTCTGGCAGGGCTGCTGGTGCGCGTTCATCTGTGCGGTCTTGCCCATGTGGCTCTTCGACGAGGCGCCGGAGCTCGCGGGAACGCCAGCGGGCTACCACGTCGGAACGTTGGTTTTCACGTCCGTGATCTGCTCCGTCACTGCGATCCTCCCCATCCACCACAACATCTACTTCTACTTCACGATCCCCGGCCTCGCGATGGGGCTGCTCACCTTCCTGTGGGTCTGGATTCTCGTTTCCGAGACGCAGATGATCGGGTACCGAAGTACCATGTACCGGACCTACTACCTGCTGACCTGGACCGTCGGATCGCAGTTTTTCCTGATTCTCATCGTCACCACGCTCTTCGCGGTTCTGCCACACTACATCTACTTGCTGCGGGGCGTGTTCTTCCCGGACGGAGTGCGAATCGTGAAGGAGAGGATAAAACTCCGGGTACACGACGTGCTCTTGCTCCCGGACGCCACGAACGCCAACACTGGGCCGGTGATCGTGCCGCACAAGCGCCAGATCCGCTTCGAAGATTTGTACGAGCCGGAGGTGAAAAGCAGGCAGCTAGGGGCGGGTGCGCAACAGCCTTTGCTGACGGCGGAGACGAAGAATGCAGTATAGATGTGTGCGTGAAGTAGTTGTTCCTGAAATTAGAGAACCAATTTCAAAGATTAGTTTGTGGAGGCAAAATAGAACATCGACAGACGAACGCGCATCAATGAACGGGGACCCGACCAGTTTCTATCTCATTTCAAAACAGGACTCCGTCGCGGCCCCAGGTGGCGATAATCAGCCGCCGGGTGGTGCTAGTGGTGCTATCAATGGCGTACTCACGAGTTTCCTCCCGAATAAGTGGCTCCGAAGTCAAAGTCAAGCAGGAGCAGAGGGACAGCAAAGCGAACCTGTAGTAGGCGCTGGTCGAGATGAGGCGGTCGCCGAATTTGACAGCGCTACAAGCTCCGGAGAGAGTCCTTTTGTAGCTGTCAGCTGAGGTTTGCGTTTTGGTCCTCGCCAGAGGATTTTTTCCACCATGTTGCTGTGAAAAGTGGCGCTTTTCGACGTGCTGTTTTGCAAGGTCGTAGTGATACTGCGCATGCAAGCAGATAGCTTGCGGCGCAGCCTCCAACTCCAAGAACATGGGTCTCGCATATTTTGGTTGCGCTTTCAACTTGCGAGGGAAATGGAATTCAACTTCTTCCGCTAAGAAGATTGACTACGTTTGCAACTTCTCTGAATTTGCTTGGTTCTGACACTGAATACTTCCATTGATTAGATAAGTTTGATTTTGATGGCTGACTGCGCGACTGGGAAGCTCTATGAGCTACGAGGGCGCACCAGTCGCAGACACTTCATCACCGTTTAGATTCTACACTAAGTATCACGACACCGAAAGGTGCAGGCACTTTATTGATTTTGGTAAGGCTCCTCCGCCGGATACGCAATGGCGCATTGCTGAGTGATTTCTCTACATTTACCAGACTGGGATTCTTGCTTTCAGCTTCGAACTGAAGGCGTCCATTGGCGACCATGATTTCTTTCCGGATCATCTTCCAGTGTGGCAGCTGTCACGCGATTGGATGTTGGTCGAAGATTAAGATTCGACGGGTCGACGCATATAAAGCAGAAGATATGAAGATCAGACAGCAGTTTGAGTGGTATCCGGCTTGCCCGCTGCGCTCTTTGGAGCATCGTTGCTTTCTCAGGCGTTCAACGGGTTGGCAAAGGTTCGCGTGTGTGGTCTCCCAGAAGCGTTCGGATTCACTTTCTCTTTCACTCGCAGATCGCATTTGGTCATGTTTAAGAAAAGGAACTGAACAACAGCGTAATAATGAAGAAGCTGGACGTGATAGATCAACATCGCCCGTATGGGGAAACGGCGGTAACAGTTAAAAGCTGGTGAAGTGCGCAGTCGTCGCAAAGTAGAGGAGGAAGGATGATGAAAAAGAAAAAACAGAAGCTCGGGTTAATTGAGTGCCAGACAGAATCTCGATACTACTCATCGACTCCTTCAAATCGTGTCCGTCGTAAGATCCATCGCAGTACTCTGCTCATCGATTTTGCTCGATCGTGCAATCGCTCTTCCCATCGTTTTTTGTGAGCATGCAACTTTGAATTGCAGAGATGACCGATTCTATGGCAGTTCTAGTTTTTTTTCTACCTTTTTCGAAGGAAGCGTCTTTCAAACACGACAAAGGCAACCAGCTTTTGCTAAACAACTGTAGCATCGGGCGCTCGCTTGTCTTCGACCTTTTGTTTTCAGCGTTTGTTGGATCTTCGGAGCCGACGATCCTGGCACCACTCTTGTGTGTTTCTCGTTTTCCTTTGCATGTTCTTTGCCCCCAGTTGCAGTTTTGCATCCTTCCAAAAATGCCTTTCATCCGCACTATCTCGAGGTGGTTCTGTAGCAACAGCGGAAATGACACCGGAGGCGCAGCGCTTGTGAATGCAGCAAATGCATCAACAACCGCTCAGAAACCTGACTCGCAGGGCCCGACCAGCACCGCAGACACCGCTACTGCTGTCGCACTGAACGGAAATCAGCCACCAGAGCCGCAGTGGCCAAGAGGATCTTGCTGCAACGGGGATACTGGTCGCGACGATGAAAATGAGGACCTGGCTATCGTAGAAGTGAAGACACATCACGGCATGATGTCGACCCTTGATTCGAAATCGAAGGACGGACGAGCTGGTCGTGACATGGCATCATCGTCGACTTCTGCGCCTTTCCAGAACAACGCCAGTTACAACCGCCATTCCTACGGCGGAACGAACGCTGACGACCTGGAATCAGATACGACAGAAGCTACTAGAAATGATCTACCGTTTGTTTCCGCGACCAGCAGCCGAAGTACATCCAAGCGGAAACAAAACCCGCTGCCCTCTTGGGATTCCCTTGGGCCGCGGGATCGAATGAAGATGCAGCAAACGTTGGATGAGTTGGTGGTGAAGTTTTTAGCGGAGATGAAGAAGGGGAAGGTAATCGAAAGAATGTTTCTGGTTTTGATTTAACCTGCCCAAAGCTACACCTGAAGTAAGAGAAAAAAGTAGGTCATCACTTCGATCATGTGCTTAAACTAAAGCAATCATCTTCATCATCTGGTGTTCTACAGGTGTTAATGAAAGTCGGGCGCAACGGGAAGATGTTTTACCGCTGGTGCTACGTGATGCGGGAAGACGACCGGTTTTTCTTCGTGATGAACGTCAAGGGCCAGTTAGTGGAGTACCCATTTGAGCACATTCTGCACGTGCGGTTCGGGTTCGATTTTTCGGATTTTTTTCAACTTCCTGTGGCAATTCCGAGTGAGAATCTGTCCGCGGTGATGATTTTGCGCGACAACCGGAGGCTGAATTTGGTGTTTCAAAATGTGGAAGAACAGGAGGAATTTGTTACGTGCATGCTGATGTTGATTGCGAAAGTGAAGGCAACATTGACATCAACGAGCGGGCAAGGACGGGGATTCATCGCGGCATGAATTATCATACTTACTTAAATAATGAAGTAGTTGACGCTCCAAAGAAACAACATGACGCAATACGAACTATGAAAACTCCGGCTGTACGGCGCAGGCGCAAGGAAAGCTAAGCGTAGACATGTTTCGAAGATGTGGGCGGGGGGGGATGAAGGATGTGGTCTACTGATTGGGGGGGCAGGACCACGTGACCCGCGGACTTTTTCTTAGCGGTTCCGGGTCACCTTTGTAGTTGTAGTTCACGTCGTTGTCATCACTTGTGTTTGATGAAAGAGAGTGAGAACATGAACAAGCAGCGAGGACCTGCGCACTTACCAAGGTGCGTCCAATGAGTAAGTAAGTAGCTGCAGAAGTTGTGCTTCTGCCCGTGTTTGACGTCGTCAGTGAGGCCTTACTCAGCGATGCCGCGGCCAGGCCAGCACCAGGACTCATCCTATCATGTTTTCGTCGGTTATTAAAGTGAAGTTGTTTTCAGTCATATTTATCCCAGCTGCGGTTTTTTAGTGCACGCGCAGCGGTAGTTTGGAAGTAGCCGGTTTAGTAACGCGATAAAGTCAACTTCTGAGCTTGTCGTCGTGATTATACATATGTCAGCCAGTGTCAGACTCAGGCGCGTCCTCACAATTATTATTTTGTTGCGTCACGGTTAGCAATGGATTCTAGCACACTGAATTGATCGTGTGAAATAGATTTGCGGTTTGTGTTAGCGCGAGCGACAAGCACACACGACGAGACTAAGAGGGACGCTGTTGAGATTGTGAGCTGCAAGTCGATCTTTCACGCGAAGACTCGCATCGTTTTAATGTTGAAGCCGTTGATGTCTTCCGTATTCTGTCTGAGGAGTTTTTCTGCTTTATCAGCGAAAGAGATCGGCAGCAGGCTTCGTTTTGATTAAAGAAAAAGTCAAGTATCTGTATCATTATCACTTGAAGCGGCAGGGAAAAATGACCAGCAACATTGCAGGACAAGATTTCTCGACGCTCCCACCGGTTCAAGCTGCCCTCGGCTCCCTTCCGGAAAATGCTACGAAGACCGCACTTATGGCGTTGCTTGGACCCGTTACAGCACTGCAACCTGCGTCGACGGCGATTGGCCTCCTTAAGCAGGCTGCGCTTGAAAACCCTGAACAAGGAACCAGTCCTGGCGCAACCCTGTACGGACTCTTGTCTATCATAAAGACAAGCTTAGCTGGATTTGCAGTGGAAGCAGTCTTGAAGCAGAAAATTGTAAACCATGTCGGCGATGTCGTGTTCGCGGAAATTGCGCAAACAAGCGAAGCGCCGGCGGCGGTCGAAGAAGCCAAGACACAAACTATTCTCTGAAAATTAAGCATCCCCATCAATTTGTACTTGTGCTGCAAAATAAGAAACTCATATGCGCGGTAACAGAATAGAAGGAAAAATTACCGGGTAACTTTTACTAGTTATTTTGTATAGCCGCTCGAAAGCAAATTCTAATTGATTCTGTGTCTTTGTCTCTGTCTGTCATGTAAAAAATAAAGAGGCATGGATGGGGGTGGTAACTTTTCAAGGAATAAAAGTCAAACAGTTTCTAAGCGGAGACGACAGTGTAGGAGAGGCGCTAAAAAACAATTTGGCGCAAACAATAATGCCAAACTGGCCGCCGGGTACTGCACCTGGAGCGGGTGGTGGCGAAACCACCGGGAGCAGCTCCGTGCAACTGGCGCAAACGAGTGCTATTCATTCGAGCTCCACCTCCGCTGCGGAACTACCAACAACTTCCTCGGAGCAGCAGCAATCCTTTGCTGAAGCTGAAGGCGCTCGCTCTCCCAGTACTGCTGCTGCCAACGTCGCTGCCGAAATCGAGTCGTCCAGTACGATCGAGCTGAATAGCGCCCACGAACAAGCCCCCGATTATCATCATACGCAGGAATCGAAGCCGCAAGGTGGTCAGTACCTACGAAAGGCGGACCCGTATGTGACGAATTCCAAGTCCAAGTTGACGAAGTTCCACAGTGACCATGAGATAGCTTCTCTGTCCGGCAGAACTCCCGTGTCCGCCAGCTCTGGTGCGAAAGTAACTGTCCCAGAACTATCGTTAGCCGGAAAAACCCCAGGAGCTGCATCGTTTCACGAATCTACTGCTTCATCGGGACTGAACACCAACCAAAACTTCTTCAACTTCTCCACCCAGGACTTCTACCAGCCCTTCTTGGACCTCACCGAGTACTTGTCTAAGCAAATCCAACAGATCTCCGCGACCGTCGTTTTCCTGCTGCAGTATCACGAGAACTGGAAACTGCACTGCATGGCCTTGCTCCTCGTCATGTTGGCGGTGTTTTCCATTCTCGGACTTTACTGCTACAAGTGGTCGACTGTGGCGTCGTCGCGTACTGGTAACCGCGGAAAGAACGCGAAAGGTGCAGCGGAGGACCACGACATTGAGAGCAACATGTTCGGCGGTTTTTCGGCGAAGCAGGGGACGAAATCGAAGGCTCCGCTCACGACCCCGATCGACCTGGACCACGATTGCACCGGATTGTTCCCCGAGAATGCGGCAACTGCGGAGGGCACGTCGTTCCAATCCCTCCGTTCCGCGGCGAGCTCTCTGTACAAGTACGGCACCTTTGCGGGGACGAAATTGCAGGAGCAGCTGTCCGGACGGAGCAGTACTGCTGGAACGGGATCGGCTGACTACGATTCCGAGGACGAAGAGGATTTCTGAAGAATTAAATTGGTCGAAGAAAAAGACGTGAAGAAAAAAAGTAAAGCAAAAGAAAGCGAAGATAAAATTAAAGAAAAGCTGCACGAAAAGCTAGGAAAACGAAAAAAAGTAAAATTCAACTACTGAAGAAAGTAGAAAGCACTGCGAAAAAGCAAGTGCACTAGAAGAGAAAAATCAAACGTCAACAACCAGAAAAAAGAGTAGTAGAAAGAACGCGGATCTGCATCGACCAAAGCAGCCGTAAGAAGAAACCCCGAAGAGTACGCATTTGAAGAATTACAACAGCATTGAATGTATGAAGAAAACTACTACCCGAAAGCGAAATAGCCCGAAGCAAAACCTTCCACGACGACAGGAACAAAGTACATCAAGTTTCCCAGAGGCAGAACGCATACCCACCGGCTCCATCACATCGTCAATAGCTGCACTTTCACTGACCCTGGTTCTCAAGATTCCCTTGGAAGCAAATATCTACCGCCGCGCTACACTCTGCAAAGCAAGTCCAAGTTGCCGAGACGACAGATAATTTTCCAGCAAGAAGAGACGATGAACAATTACAAAGAGCTGCAACTTTTACCCCTCGAGCTTTGATTTGTACCAACAGATGAGAACAAGAATAACTACTTCACGACTCAAACGTATGAAAATTGGTGACCCAGGATTACCTGCAAGAGCTCTCTGCAGGTACAGAGTTGAAGAATTTGGTTTAAGCAGCATGCGATCTAATTTGTGACAGAAGCATCCAGGTGCTCACTTCTTGCTTTCGTGGAAACTACGAGCACGATGAAGCGGGATTTTCGAAAACCAAAAAAAAACAATTAACCAGGTAATTCTCACGGGCGGTATATTCGCAGAGTCGCCTCCTGTGATGAAGATCGCTTTCTCAGTACTACTACGAGGACAGTATCGTCGCCCCGGGGCGATTTGAAGGAGCAAGGTCTTGGACGAGTTTCGTACGGACAGAAGGCTAGGAGGTATACAAAATTCAAATTGATCCTTTGATGACAGATGAGTTCCTGCTACGCCACAACTGCCTTCCTTTATGTGTACAAAATGATACAAACGCTCACATTGAAAAGGATTCAGATTTTTTCACAATGTCTTTTACATGACCAGGTCTATCGATGCGACACCGAAGGACTACGAGAATCACAGCACTTCCGGTAGCTCTTCTGCTGATCGTTCTGCACCATTGCGAATTTTGTTTCAAGCGTGCCGATGTCGGGGCGTTGTCCCATCGCAATGTACAGGACCTTTCTCTATTGCAGGACGCCAGGTTGCTTTATACAGGTGACACGAAGCAGAAGCAGCACTGAGCGGTACTTTACCTTCTTTTCCTGATGAGAGAACATTTTTTTTTTTTAAACTTTTTGAGAAGTAGGAGACCACGCTTCAATAATCTTCTATAGGATTTCAAATAGTAGTAGACAGATGGCGACCGCCACCGCGACGGTGTCCGCGTCTGTATCTGCCTCCCAATTTTCTCACTGCAGATATGGAGCATTGCACCAGTACGAGTAGTTCACCGTAGCCCGAGGATATTAACGGTGAAGAAGCCTAACCGATCCGCTGGATGAACGAACAAGACACTACGACGTACGAACGTGCTGTTGTTGGTTTCTCTCTCAATTTCTGCGTAGAAAAATCTGGATGAGTCAATAATGCATTGAAGCGAAGGAAGCAAGAGCAACAGGATTCAGGTGGGACGAATCAGTACTATTTTTATAACTTTTCAGGTTAGAACCGGCGCCACTCTGGTAGCTCGCGCGGTTCGTCATTCTTGGCTCCCTTTCTTCTTGCTAGGAGGTTGCGGCTTCATCAGTTAATCTCCTGTGATACCAACGAGGACACGTTTCGCAGTTTGCTAGCTGTCGACTTCGTGGAGCGGAAAACGAAAAAGAGGAATACGACAATCAACGCAATAGCTGCAGATTTGTTTCATCTCGAGCAATCTAATTTCGAAAACAGCGAAGAATTACTGCAAACAAAACTCGATTTCCACCAACCCTCCAACCTCCAGCATTCTGTTCTTTCAAAGAGCAATTTGAAAACTTAACTTTTAATTGTTGAACCCCCAATTTACAACTGCAAAATGTGAATTTCGAGAGAATAGAGAAAAACTCATGTAACAACTAACAAAGTTTCACTTCTGTTTCGAAGAAAGTTTCCAACTAAAGAAAATCAAATATAAAGAAATTTCCATTTGATCTAAGATGCAGCGAAAGAAGAAGCGACGCACCTGCTTGAGCCAATAAAATTTTGCGAGGGCAGGTCGAGGTGTGCCTACGACAACGCAGAGATAAATCTTGTTTGTCGCTGCGCTCTTGCAGCCTTTCTAGAAATTCTCGTGTGACCGCCTATCGGTGAAGCTCGCACTGACAGACGTTCTAAAAGAAAAATACTGCTTGGCGGCTGGTCTCAACAGTCACTGTTGGTTCACAAGTCTGAAAAATATGATTCAGCGAATGTGAAAATAAATGGCGATCCAAATACAATTTCACGACACCCGCTGCAGGTGGAAAAAAAAATCGATCGCGAATAATGCCTCGATCTATCATCAACACAGAGCTCAATCCTATGGTCAGCAGCCATTTTCGCTTGTTTGCTTTCGAGAATTGTTGGGACTTTTTGCCTGTGAATCGCAGGGAGTGTGACTTGATCGCTTAGGCTTACAGTGCCAGGAGTAGTAGATTTGTGTAGAAGCAGCAAACCAGCATAACCAAGTTTTCGCAAGAGCCGGGACGTATTTATTCGACATCTTCGAACAACATCATCAAAAATGGGTAAAGCAGTCGGTCGTCGACAGAAGCAGAAGGGTGGACAGGGGTCGAAATCCTCCAAAGGTTCGAAGCCCGGCGTGCGAAAACAGTCCGACGCCCCGGCAAGGGAGTTGAAGGGCCCAGTGTGGCGACACAAAGACAGCGACGCAAGCCAGGCGGCGCTGAAGCGAAATCTGCAGCTGAAGCGGTTGCTGCGGATCAAAAAGCCTACGGTCGCGGAGAAATGCGAGTTAGCCAACCTGTACGCTAATCACAACGCTGTCAAGAAAGCTTGTGACTTGTACAAGGAGATTCTGGGCGACAAGCAGGTGGAGAAAAAATCAATTATCCCGGACGTGCAACTCACTACCGCGCGGGCACGATATGCCTGTCTCTTGCTGGATACGGAGCAGGCTGATGTTGCGCGGGAAGTGCTGAACGCCAATGGCGAAGTAATGGATGCAAAAGATGCGGCCGCGACGGAAGTTAAACAGGATGAGGGTTCCGATCGCAATGCTGCGGATGGTGAAAAACATGGAGAAAAAACCAACGCAGTCACTGTAAACGACGAAGACATCTCAGATTTTCCGCTCTGGGTCCAGGTCCGGCTAAAAATTTTGGAAAGGTTTGAAGAAGACAAAGAAGAACCTGAAGACGACGACGGTGCGGACTCGACAGGCGAAAGTGCTGCTGTTCCAGCGGACAGGGACCAAGATCAGCAATCTGCTTCTCTATCTACGGCCGAAAGATTCCAGCTTCTGGTCGCCCACACCGCGCAGGCCTGGACTTTAGTCGCAATCGAGTACATCTCGCACGTCATCTTGGAGGAGACTGAGAGCTCAGCGCCTCTGACCGAGGCCATTGTGCAAGCAGCCCGCGTCAATCCGTTCGTGGCAGAGGTGCTGGCAGACAAGAGCGGAACCTTCCTGGAGGAGCTCTTTTCCTCAGATTCGTTCATCGAGAAAGTTGCGGGGACTTGTTGTGCAGCAAAAAGTGGAAAATCTAGTGGCTCCTGCGGGAGCAAATCCTCGTCTTCCAGTGCCACTGTTGACACAGAGAAGAGTGCGGCTCTACCTTTTTCGATTGCGCATTTCGAAGCTGTCCTTGTGTATTTTCTGAATTGGGCACAGCTTGACGTTTGGAGCGACATCGACGGGTTTCCGGCGTTTATCCGGGGAGCCTTGCCCAGTTTGATAGAGATGGAGAAGGATCATGATGGAAGAAAAAACACCAAACCAGCAAAGGAACTACACGACGAGAAAAACGTAAAGAAAATAAATGCACCAGAAGAAGACGACGAAAACAGCGACGATTCGGAATCTGCAATGAACGACTCCATCGAGTTTGCGAATTTCGAGACGACAAGCGGCCAGTACCTAAACAAGGCACGGCAAAACCTGCTGAGCACCTGGCGCTCGTGCCGGCGAAAGAGTCAGGAGGCCGCTTTGGCTGATGCCGGTCGTGCGGAGTCCGGGGACGGGCTCGAGGAGGAGGATGAAGAAGAGTTGTCAGCTGCAGAGTTGGAAGACTATGAGCTCAGTGATATGAATATGATGCTCGAGGAAGAAGACTCTGATGAAGATTTGTAAATGCCGCGAGGAACAGCAGCTCGTCGAGCAAAAGTGAAAATCAACGAAACTATTGTGGAATTACTAGCACTTGCTCGTGGTCTTCGCCGATAACAAGTTTCGCGTGTGATTTTTTATGCTGCGGATTCATTGACGCAGATTCAGGTAGAACGAAGAGGAGCCGTTATTTGTTCTTGAGAGTATACGCGTACACCAAACTACAAAGTGGCTTGCGTGAGTGAGACCTTGGTGAGCCTGAGCGTCGATAGGAATCTGTACGAGGCGGGAACAATCAAATCTGCAAAGTGATACAAATCGCTGTCGTAATCTTAATTCGTCATCGCTTTCGTATTGGTCGTCTGGGCATCGATTGTGTCGACGCGACTTGTTCGTCGTGAAAAAGAGACAAAGAAATCGAACAAACAAAAGAGTATGTCGTTAAAATTAGAAGCAAACTTGAACAGACCAAAGATTCGCCTTCTGTGCGCTGTTGACGACCATGACAAATTTGGAATAGTGCATTACTCCCTGCCATCATAGGAGCGTTACGCCGACGAGAAAGTGAACACGGAAGTACTCTCCAATCTGTGAAGCAGAATTCCAGTACGAAGACAACATACAGTGCCGCCCAACAAGTCGACCCCCTTTCTCGCAATAAAAAGCGCTGCACTTCTTGCTGGCAGAAGGAGTGTTGTTCTGTCATCTTCAATTACCCAAAGGAGAAAGAGAAAAGCGAGCAGCACCTGACGACCATACCTCCGCCAGGAGCGAAGATGCCGGACAAGATCTCCCGCGACGAACAGCCGGCAATCCCGGCCGCCGCGGCGTCGAATCGCTTGAAGTACCACAACTTTTCCGCGGGCCCGAGTCGTTTGTTTGATGAGGTGATGGAAAAGGCGCACGAGAGCTTCTACCACTTCGACAAGACGCTGGACCGCTTCGGCCCGAACTTCATGGAGTTTTCGCACCGCGAGCCCTTCGGCGAGGTGCAGCAGGTCATGCTGGAGTACCAGAAACTGGTCAAGGAACTATTGAACGTCCCCGACAACTACCACATTCTGATGATGCCGGGCGGCGCGCACCAGCAGTTTTCCGCGGTGATGGTCAACTTGTGCAAGAACAAGCCGAACGAGTCCCCGCCGCACTACGTCGACTCCGGGAACTGGTCGCGGAAGGCCGCCGCGATCGCGGAAGCCTACTGCAAAACCGCTTACCCGGAGTGGTACGGACGGAGCGGAACTTCCAGTAAAATCTCTTGTTCCACCACGTCGAAGAAGAATGGTTCCAAAAGCAGTTGCAGTAGCAGCAGCAATCTCAATCTGCCGCGCTCCTCCTCCGCGACGTCTTTCTGCTCCACAACCACCGGCGGTTTCACCATGAGCCCATCCGACGAAGACTTCGCGACTTCGTCTTCCAAAGGGGACATGATGAAAGCCGAATCCTCCGGGATGAACATGAACAATCTCGCGACCAACAACAGTTCCTTCGAGGCCTCTCCGCCCTCCTCCACCCTGTTTCGCTCTTCTTCCATCGCCACCAGCACGGGGTCCCACAACGAGCCCTCGCCGATGCTGCCGAGTCGGGTTTTTTCGGAAACCAGTTCGGACGCGGAGGAAGAGTTCTCGCCTGTTGTCCAGATGGTCGTCTTGGAGGAGGACAAGAACGTGGAGTCTTCAAAAATGCAGCCGAAAAATAACTTGATGAAGGCCAGTAGCAAAAGTAGTGTGATCTCCGACTTTTCCGAGCAGGTCCACGGCCCGCTGTTCTGCAACAAGGACCGCGGCTGCGTCAACAAAGTCACGGATTGGCAGGTCCGGGAGGACGCCGCGTACGTGTTTTGCTGTCTGAACGAGACCATCGAGGGGCTGGAGGTGTTCGAGGAACCGGATCTCGCGTTGATCGACCGCGCGCACATCCCGCTCGTCGCGGACGCGACCTCCACCCTCTTTTCGCGCCCCATCGACGTGTCCAAGTACGGCGTGCTCTTCGCCTCCGCGGGCAAGAACCTGGGCCCCACGGGGGTGTGCTTGGTGCTGGTACGTGATGATTTGCTGTCGGACAACTGCAAGATCGTCAACGGGGTTTTGGACTTCGGCGACGCGGTGAAGGAACAAGCCGGTTGTAGTTCTGGTGCGCAGAACGTTTCGGTTTCGGAGGAAAAAATCCTGGAGTTCACCTCGCTACCGATGATGGACTGGGGCAAGTACGCGTTTTCGAAGCCTGTTCCGAACTATCAAGAGGAAAAATCCCCCCTCCCCATATCGAAACGAAGTTTCTGATGCTGGATTTCCGTACACAAATCAGATTTGTCTTGCAGTAGGGGGCTGCAGGCATATGTCAAGCCTCGGTCGAGAGGTTTTGACGTAGGCGCCTAGCATGACAAACGTGTATGCTCTAAGCCCAACAGCATCACAAACCGCCTGCAAAATGCAGGGGGCTCTCTGGACTTGCCTTCTTGCAAGACAGACAAGATTTGAGGTCACAAATGTGCGTCACAAATTTTCAGACGGATGCGTTTTCAATATGGGGAGGGGGGATTTTTCTTTACGATACGAACATCTACAACACACCAGCGACGTACCCGCTGTACCTGGGCTACCTGACGTTGAAGACCACGCTGGAGAAGGGCGGTATGGTCGCGATGGAGGAGAAGGCGAAGCAAATTTCCGACAAGATTTACAACTTTCTGGACGACGAGTTCGAGTCGCACGGGTTCTACAAAGTCGTAGTCGACAAGAAGTTCGCCCACGATCGCAGCCGCATGAACATCTGCTTCAAAATCAATGAGTAAGCGAGGGAAAGGAAAGTTTGCTTGAAGAAAGACAATGAATTTGGCATTCAGATCCTTGGTGGTGCTGCATTGTTTCCGAGCAGTCTCGCACTGGCGCTCTTGGTCTTGCGTTGATAAACATTTTTGCACTTCATCAAGATGAGCAAAATCGCACCTCCACATCAAGTGTTGTATGTGCATCGTTCACATTGTTCGAAGTAACCAGGCAGCATCTACTCAAATTCTAAGAGAAACTTTGGCTTTTTTTTTCCTCAGCACAACAGCACTGCTTTCCCGGCTGCGCGCGAGTTGGAAAAGGAGTTTCTCGAGTTCGCCGCGAACAAGTACAACGTGCATCAGCTCGCGGGACACCCGGCGGCTGGCGGCTTGCGCTTCACCACCTACAACGCGATCCCGGAGGCGAGTGTCGACGTCGCTTTGGGTGCACTGACCGAGTTTCGCAAGCTCCATGCCGCAGCTTAAGGAGTAAAGGCGATTGATCGGGAAGATGCGGATATCACACGCCTTTCAAGGTGAGTTCGACTCGTATACGTCTCCTGTATTAATTATTTGTAAGATTGATGGTCTTGGTCGTTGCACTTGCAGATGTTGAAACAACGAATACAACGACAACGACGAGTAAATAAAAGGCAAACTTTTTACACTGCTGTATGTACCGAATGCTAGTTGTCGTAGACCAGCGATTGCAATTGCACTCGCAAGTCGACGTGATCGTTTGGTTGTATTGTTTGATGTCAAGAACATGTTGATAACAGTTCGAATTACGCAGCCGTGTGAGCTTTTATTTTTATGTGTTTCCAGATCCAGCAGATTTTTACTTTATTCTCAGTCTCATTCAGCAAACGAAGACTCGCGCTCAAGATGAAAAACGTGATGAATTAAATTCCTGACGCATACGCATTTTGATGAACCCAACCCGCACCATCCGTTGTATTTGCAATTCGAGAGCTCGAGGACCAAGCTCATAATTCTAATTCTCAGTTTAGTTTCTTCATGAAGATGTGATTGTGATGTAGTACTATTTCACTATTCAGAGACGTCGGAGTCTCAATCGTCGTACAGCAATGTGATGTGTCCTCGTCGATGGAGGAGGACGGCACGATACACAGCATTGCAATTTTGTAATTTTGACCCTAGATGAAGGGGCTTCAATTCATATCGCAGGTCAAGCGACACGAAAACGTGAAATAGTGCCAAGGTGGTGGTGATTTTGTATTTCCGAAAATCGCTACTACTGTTTCAGTTTCTCAAACCGCTCCTCAATGAACTACTTCACTGATAAATTTACACTACTGGCAGTAAGTGACACAAGCGTATTGCGACGCTATCCTAGGCGTGCACTAGTGGCAGTCGACGCAATATATTGTACTTATCATTTACGTTTACCCCCACGACCAAATAACTACATCTACATTACCTTTCAGTCCGTACTTCTACCGATGCTACGCACTCTACCCGCTTGTCGCGTTGCGTTCTTGCAAATCGTCAGTTCGCATAGTTGTAGAACTTTCAGCTATGCGTATAAAACCAACGGGCGCAGGAGCAAGCAAGCGACAGAGTGCCTTGTGAGAGCTACTTTTTGCAGTCACTTATCAGACCACTATTGAAAACGTGTTGGACGTCGACCGTGTATCCTAATCCTCCCTAGCTTGCTCAGTAAAATATTTTTCATTTGTCCCAACTTGAAAACGATTGCGAAGCTGCAGGTTGAAGTGATAAGTTTACATCTATAATCAACATCTACTCCGAGTCCAAGAACGCAGAAGTACATGTAATATTCAAAGCAGCAGCTGCTAAATAAATTGATAGATTTGACAAGGGACGACGAGCTCGTGCGCCATTGTCATCGGCGATGAGCACAATAGTGCCTTGTGCCTTGTCTGTATGTGGAGCTAGTCCTTGGGGTCGTATCACCGGCATTCTGGATGACTGGAGGACGACACTGCTCACATTTTGATTGCGAAAACGACGGACGAAGCACGCAGATAATGACTGAGCAAACAATATTGCCTCTATGAATTTTTGTGAGAATGTATGACTCTAGCAGTACCAGAGGTGTTGAAGAGCGAGAGCTACTCGGATATCAACCTGTAGTTGATATGCTGACCGCTTCAGACCCTCGTGTTGCTAGAGAAAATCAATTTTCCTGAAACCTAGTCCAGAGCTTTCTTTTCTACATTAGATGAAGCAACATCAGTGACTCATTATTGATACCGGTGAGCACCAAGAGATATCAATCTGCTTTACCTTTCCACCCTCGCAGACATTTTCCTGGAGCTGTCTTTTCGCTGAAAAATAAAAGGAAGCAAAGCTTCGAAAAAAAATCATACACGGAAGGGCTACCTTTACCGTTGGGCTTCGACGTGTCGTAGAGACTGGCTTGGGGACCCCACGGACGAATTTCAGTTTCCGCTACAAATTGAGTTTCTGTTCAAAGGCATGCTGAAAGGTTTGCGAAATGAGAACAAGCTGTCCCTGTCGTGATCCTCATGCTTGCTAAAAATAAAAAAAGAGTGTGGGCGAAGAAAACGATGAAGATCATGCAGGAAAGTTTTGACTCGACGGAAATTTTTGCGATCACGACTATCTTGCTCCTTGTCAGCTTTCCAGATCCAGAGGACGCCAACGCAGCAACGCGATGATCATGAACAGTAAGTATCATAAACACCATCTGTATGTCCATCATGGTTGACATGCAAGTGCTATCTCCATCATGGACATGCAAAAAATGCATCCGTTTTCGCTTTGATGTGGCTCTTCATGAAGCTCCGATTGAGGCGATGCAACATTGCTATTTCAACATTTTACGAAAATTGCAGCCGCCGACAAGGATACAAGAGCCGCTCGCTCAAGAAGAACGCGCATTCTTTTTTTATGTCGTTCAAAAAGGATTGAGGCGTTGACAGTAGTCGTAGAGCTTAAAATTAGTTTTTACTTTTTGGACTTCGTGTTTGTCCACGAGGGCGTTCTTGAGTAGTTTTTACTTTTTGTAATTTCAGACTATGATTGAAGAATCAGAATGAGACCTGAACATTAAATTCGTATATTCCTCCTAGGCGGCTAGGGCGAACGCGAAGCAGCTAAGTAGCTATTTTATTTCGCAGGGCCCGGATAAAAGCAATTTGAATTACAATTTGGTATCACGCGTGCAACATTACCATAAGCACATCAAGATGACGCCGTCCACGACAATGTCGCAGCGGACGAGAAGCAGGGTCGTTGCGCTAGCTGCGCTCTCAAGTGCTCTCCGCTTGGTTGCCGGGCAGGGACTTCCGGACTGGTTTCCGAGTCATCTGAAGGACGACTACATGGAATTGCTTTCTTCCGACGTGCTTGCAGAAGACTCCTGCGCGAAGCGGCTAGCGATGTACAAGGAGCTGTCACAAGTTGGTAAGTGAGAAAAAGACGTTTTTCGTTGAAATACGTTTACATTCATACGATGATTTTCTTCTACTTCTCAGTTTGGCTCATCAGCACCTCTTGTTAGCACCAGCAGAACATACAAGTGTAGAAGTATGGTGCATGTTGGACCGCTTGTGCTTGACGTCCAGATCACCTTTTTGTCACTCGAATTAGTGTGCTTGGTGCTATGTCTCCTGCTCCTGAAATAACAGCGGAACCTCAAGTGGCGCAGATACGGTACTCCATTCTCGAGGACCTCGGGTTCTGCTCTCTGCGAGAGGAGGATTACCGCAAAGCCAGTGCCAACTTCCAATCCGCGCTCTCTGAGGTGGAGACCTTTACCCGGGTTAGCGAAGTTAGCTTGATGAAAATGCCGTCGTTGCAACACTTCGCACCCCTGATATTCGAGCGCGACGCCGCGACGTCCCTAAATTTGAAAAAATGGGGTGACGCCGCTATGATGTTGCGACGGGTGAACCTGGTCAAAGGTAAGTATTGAATTGTGTGACGCTTCGAGTTCTAGTAGCCTTCAAACCTATGGTCTATTGTGTAGGCAGAAGTGCAGAATTTCCGTGTGAGAACGCGTGTAACTACTGCTGTCAGATGCAGCTTTATGAGATGTTGATGATTAGGGAGAAACAAGAATATGCGTCGACGAAATTTTCATATGCAGATCGCAACTTCGACAAGGAGATGAAGATGATTGCGCAGCAGCAAGGCATTGCCTCTAAAGAGGACATCAAAAAGGACTGGGACCGCGTGAAGCCGCGCGTGCTGCAGCAAATGAGCCAGCAGCCCGGCGCGACTGGGAACGTGGTTAAGTCGCACGTTGCGCGCGGAGAGCTGCTTGCCAACATCATCAACCGCATCGACGCCGCGTCGGGCGTAAACTCCTACCGAAAGAAAGCCATTTCCGACGCGAAGTTCGTTCCAGGGTTGCTGTCCCCCGATTTCACCTTTACAGCAGAGGACTCTTCACACTTCCTATTGGATGACCTGAAGGGTCTCAAGTGGCCATCGAAGGGCCTGGAGGGAAAGCAGACAAGCTTGGTACTTATGTATGGATACGTTCATTTTGATTTTTCCATGTTGATGCTCGAACTTAGTGTATGTTGATGCGCTAGTAGCAAGAACGCGAAGTAGCAAGTTGCTGCTGCATGATGACGCGATCTACTTGTTCATCAAGAGAAATAAGATACGAGGAAGATGGTTACTTTCCCCCTTTCCGTTACTTCCAGGTTTCCCCCCGCACCGGAAAGGCCGGGGAGTGCGACGAGAAGGTGTGGCCGGAATTTTGTGAACTGCTCAAGAAGGCGAAGTACAGCTCCGACGTTTTTAGTAGCGTTTTCGGCGGCGTGAAGGTTCTCGGCGGCAAGGCGGGAAAAGAGCAGAACCACAAGCTGGAAGTGTGCGAGTCAAACGCGGTTTTGGGGTTGGTACTCTCCGAGAAGGACTTCAAGCTGCACTTTGAAGCGGATTCCGGCCGCGACGCGAAGACCGAGACGGTAGCGAAAGACACCCCGACGTTCGTGAACTTTTGTCGCCCGATTCGCGTGGAGCGCAGTTCGCCCGTGCTGTTCGCGCAGCTCTGGCACCCCGAGGTGGCACCGATCGAGCGGTCCACCATGATCCGCGCGACTGTCTCGGAGAAGGAAAAGCAGAACGATTTGGCGAAGTTGGTCAACAAGCAAAGCGACTACTGGGAGAAAACGAAGCGACAGTGGCAAACCAAGCACGCGAACCAGCATAGTATAGAAAACATCGACAGCCAGAAGAAGCAGAAGCTGCAGAAGGAGGCCGAAAAAAAGGCCGAAGAGACGGAGGAAATGAACGATATGGATGCGTCAGGATCGAAATCGTCAAAGTTGAAATAGTTCGCGATGCATAAAATGCAACGCAAAAATTGCCTCTATTGCAGAGGACGCAAGGGATGCAGATTGATTGTAAGCCTGTGCAGGGGTAGAAATTAAGCTGCTAAAGGAGCATGAGAAAAGGCGTCTTCCTTACCCAAACAGCATGAAAAACTGGATTTCAGTCCTACCCAGATTTGTCATGCGCCACTTAAAAACTAGGCGCCAACTGGTATCCGTTCCATGCATCACAAACCATTTCAACTTAGACGATTTCAATCCTGACACTCCCATAAACGAGGAGGAGCGAAAGCGGGCCGTGAAGAAGCTCGAGGCCGAACGGGCGGAGAAGCTGAAGATCGAGCAGCAGAAGGCGGAGGAGCGAAAACAGAAGGCAGAGAAGATGGCGGCCAAGAAGAAGCAGGAGGAGCCCTGGAGAAATGTAAAGATCATGATGAAACCCAGGGGCGATACAGATTCTGACGCGAAGAAAGTCGAGACTACGGTAGAAGAATGTTGTTGCGCACGTTTCTGTAGAAGTTCAAGCTGTACTAGTACACAATACCTCAGTGAAAGAAACACGATAGTGCTGGTTTTGTTCTATGCCTTCGTTTTCTATTTCTGGATCCTCTCCTCGTTGCGAAAGCGAACGTCACCAGACAATGCGATAATTCCTCCCGATTTCACTTTCCAGAAACACTTGATAGACTTAGACCAAAACTAAAATTACAATACGCCATGAAAATAATTAACAAAATTATCAGCTGCAAGAAGAGATGAATGCCCTTGAATCGCTGAAGGAAGAGAAACGCGACCTCGACCGACAGCTCGAATTCGGCCACGCTTCCGAGCTGGTGAAGGACATCAATGCGCTAGAGCGACGGGTCAAGGCCGCGGAGAAGCTCGCAAAGAAGGCCCACAAAAAGGCGGAGAAGAACAAAGACAAAGGCGGCGACAGCTCCAAGACAACGGAAGACAAAAAGACCTCAGACGAAAAGAAGGAGAAGAAGGAAGAGGACTCCAAACAGGAATCGTCAAAATCTCAATCGGATTCATCTCCAGCCAAAAAGGCAGACAAGGCCGAGAAGAAAAAGGAGCCGGAGGAAGAGAAACCGAAGGTCGAGGAGGAAAAAGCACCGAAAAAGTCTCAGAAAGAGGAAGCGAAGGATACGATCAAGGACATGAAGCAACAGCTAGAGGACTACACGAAGCAGAAGAACGAGGCAATCGCGAAGGAAAACTACAAGAAGGCAAAATCTTTGAAGAAGGAGATCGAGTTACTGGAGAAGAATATCAAGGAGATGGAAACCGTCGCGGAAAAGGACGAGCTGTGAATGACGGAAGTGTACTAGCAGTTCAGTATATCACTTGATGTACTGCCTTCGTTGAGGAGAAACAAGACCAACCGGGTGAAATGAACCTGTGTGGCCGCGAAGCTGTTTCTTGGTATCCAAACACGTAAAATGAAAATGAAAACTCAACTTTCGTAGTTGTGAAAAAGCACGTGGAAAAAATGTATATACGCACACCCATCCAAGTTCTTGCTGGCAAGTTTCACAAACATGAGACCCAATAAACCGACGACAATTTTTCGACCCTCCCCCAGAGTAAGCACTACCCCTTGTGTCGCTCCAGCTTTTCGGAAAGTTGCACGAGAAGTACCTCGGATGTGACACACAAAAACCTACCCACATACAGGATATTAAAGCTCGTCTCTAACTACAAACGACCGGAATAAAGAAAAAGTAGATCTAGAAGCGAAAAGATCGAAGGAAAGGAGCTGCCCATGACGTGCACTATTTTGTCGCGAATAGTGTCACCAGTGTGGTGCTTCTGATATTGGCAGCCACGGTGGGGACGAAAGTCCATCTGGATCTGAGTCGTCTCGTCTTGCTGAGAAACAAGAAGTCGCCGCTCGCCTTCTTCTGCTGTATTTGAGCGACGGAGAGAGCAACTACAAGAGCGGAAAATACGTGATGAATTATAAAGCATCCATTCTAGTATGTATATGCTTCATCTAACGCAATTACACTCGTCTTTGTCAGTTACACGCGGTCATAGATCGCATCCTCTATATTTATGATTGCCTGGACAGGTAAAGAATAGATCAAAACGCAGGAGCAGGCACTAGAGCTAGCAATAAAGCTGTAAAGTTCATCAATGCTCTTGTTGATGTGAATTTGATTTTCAAAGCGCCTCGTAATTATTTGTTAGAAGTAGGCCAAACATGGGAAACTCCCCTCCAGGCGGCTCCACCTTGCCCGGCTCCGTCTCTTCGCGACCCGGAGGTGCAAGCAGCTCCTCCTGGCCTGACGACATCTACAGAGTCGCGAGTCCGAATTCCGAGAGAAGGAATGCAACCAGTTCTGGTTCAACACCCGGCACAAAAAACGTTTCTGCGTCACCCTTGACCGGAACCACAACAGCGGCAGCCGCAACTGCTTCTGCCACAAGCGCGTCGTCCCCAAACCAGCTTCTTCGCTCGCTGCAAGAATCCCTACTGTCGACCCAGTCGAGGCAAACCGTCGGCATGCTTTCGAAGGGGTCGGACCTCTGTCTCCGCGGGCACCGCGCAATCAGCAAGATCCAGCTGTTGCAGCAAGTGCTTTATGGACCGGAGCTGCGGCAGTTCGAAGGCTGTGTGGATGTGCTCGAGAGGCTTGTGCAAGAACTGTCAGAGAAACAGAAGAAAAAGTTCCAATTACCTGAGGACCAGTGGGCCAATCCGGGGCTATCTCTCTTCGCCAAAGTGAACTTCTTGCACTTCCGCTGCAAAGTCTTGCAATACTTGGCCGACGATGCGGAAGTAGTCTGGGAGCTGCTGCTTCACTTTCCGACGATCGCGGAGACGGTTGCGTCGTCCAGGATGCCGTCGCTGTCCCTGCTTCAGTTCGCTAGTTTGCACAAAATTGGGTCGGAGGTGTCGATCATAAACTGCCTAAATGAGAAGCAGATCTCGCTCGTCCGGTTCTACCACTTGATAAAGCACCTGGGGAAGCACCTTGCCTTTGGCGCTTGCGAACAAACAAAACTGAACAAAACACGGCTGGAGAACTTGGTTTGGCTCCTCCGTTTTGGCGTAGACGTCGAGCTGTGCAAGCCAGTGGCAAACCAACTCGTGAAGCAGTGTCTCGTCGAGTACTGCAGCAAGAACCAAAATTATTCCGCCACGACCGCGCCAGGTGGCAGAGGTAGATCGGCAACTGGAGCTGCTGATACAGATGACCTTGGATCGTTCTTCTGGGAGAAGGGTCTCCTCTCGAATGGCCATCTCCTGAACCATTTTTGTGACGGCGCGTTGTCTCTCACTGCCACGACGTTCGAAGATTTCGACTGTTCTCTGGCAGAGAGTGACCTGAAAACGGTAGTAGAGCAGGTCGATACTTTTGGCGAGACAAATACAACTTCCATTGCACCTACACCAACCAGTGGAGCTGCTGCATTCTTGCAGTCCTCGCCGCAGCCAACAATAGCAGGAGCGAACGCGAGAGGTGGAAACAGCTCAAGCTCCCTCGCGGCGCTGTTGCGGCAAGAACGGGCCAGATCGTATCTGAAAATATCGGCGGATCAGCAGAGACGAGTGAATAAAAACGCGAACGAACAAGAAGTGCACTCTGAGTCTACTCTACTTCCTCCAAAATCGCAAAACAAAATGTTTATCAGCCCGCCATTCAAGTTGTCGTAGGTGGCAGCAGCTGTTTGTTGCTTCGTTGTTTCTGTCTGCGCTTGGACAGTGCAACTAAGTACAGAAGGACGCAGGGTGGTCCGAGGGAATGACGTAAGTACTAACTAGTAGCAGGCCCCAATCGGCCTCTGCGAGTCGTTTCTTAGTTGAGGAGCTGAGAATACAGAGTGACATTCAAGCAAACGTCTTCTATTTTCCGTCCGTAGGGGCAAGTCCTTGGCTGTTTGGGCCAGCAATGAGCATTACAGTGTGGGAAATGTGACCCTCAAGAATGATGTCTTGGAGGCGTGGTCAGTTGCATATGTTCATCTTCGCTAGGACGAGTTGCAAGAGTTGATAAGCGAATTTTTTCCTCTGGAATGCGAACCACAGGCACAAACACAGATGAGAAAAAGAAATAAGATAGAAGATCACATACTGCAACTCGTGATGCAACACACACGTCAGCGCGAGATAATGTTAATGGTGATACACTTTTACAGAAATGACAATGAGTCCAAGTGATAGTGGTCCTTCTGTGATTGTGTCCGCGGTTCACGTTCAGCATGGTGTAGCAGAAATAGTCGATCAACTACAATGCATGATGTTTACAACAAAGCCCGAAAAGATAGAAAAGGTCCGCTAGAAGTAGAAGCGTAGCCTACAGCCTGTTTAGCTCGCCTTCTATTTTTTTTAGATCTCGTTCTTGCTCGTGACAGCGAGCCGATAAAGCGAAAGCCAGAAGATCTCGTTGATAGACCTCAAGCCAAGATGAAAAAGCATGGTCCGATCTTAGACAACCACTCTATGAAGCAATTCTTGGTCTTGATGTTGCTGGATCCTCCATTCGGATACGAATTTTGATCATTTGCAACATTTTATTGAAGATGAAGCTATATCCACCAAACCTTTTTTTTCTCAGTGGATATCCTGGTTTGCGGCGACACTCGTGAACAGTTTGATCAGTTGTGAAAAGTTTCGTACCGCCGTACCATAGAAGTGACGCTGCTGTATTTCAGTTGACGTCGTCGTCTCTATTTTTTTTTTGGCGCCGACGTGAGACCAAAGATCGCTCGACTTTGGTGAGAGCATCGATCGATCATTCAAAGACAAGACTACAATCATGGCGACAGCACAAAATCCGGGCACGGTTGTGCAGCACGCGGGCACAGTAATCCCGATGGCTTTGGTAAACAAGTGTATCGGACAGCCAATATGGGTGATAATGCGGGGCGACAAAGAATTGGTAGGCACGCTGCGAGGGTTCGACGACTTTGTAAATCTGGTGCTCGACGACGTGAAAGAGTACTTTATTTTTCTTTGTTCATTTTCATATTATTTTGCTCTACTCATGATTTCTCTTTGTTTGATGCGTTTGCGTTTCCTTGCAAAATGAAATGTTATTATTTGAAAAAAATCAGGTACACTTTCACTCCACAAGGGCGAAAAGAAACCAGAATACCTTCAATTTTGCTCAACGGAAATAATGTCACGATGCTTGTCCCTGGTGGCGAGCCAGTTCCATGAGCTGGGAAATGTATCAACATTCGTGAACGTAAGAAGTATTTACGCAGAAAATCAAAATGTGCCCTGAAAAAACGACGTGCGTCTTCATCTTCGACGGCCTTAAAATCCACCTCCGCGAGTATCTCTTTTGTTCTAAATCTGAGGGGGAGTAGTCGGCTAACGTTGGCACCCTTGGGTGCTGCAAGTACTGGAACAGCAAAGTCTATGGCGACATCCTTTTCTCCACATGAAGTGGCGGGTCTTGAGCCAGTCTCGCAGGCACCTCCCTTCCTGAAAATGGCGCTACAAAACAGAGTGGCCGCTGCCTTTCTCGATCGCCTGATAATCTTGAGAGACAACGAGCGACCAAATGTAGCTCCAGAAGATGTCTCGGACGTGCGTGTTTCTACTTGAGAGGCAAATTCACAAAGGCGTGGCTGTCGTAGGGTGAGATCATTCCTCGTCCTTCTACAACTGAGCGTCGTTTCCATATGCTAGCAGATCGTTTTTGACGGTTTTGGTGTCGTTGTTCTTCCTTTTTGGAAAAGCTTCAGATTGCAACGCTCGTCGCTTTCTTAGGCCCAATGCTGCGGTTTCTTGTCTGCATTGGAAAAGCTGTAGTTTGAATAGAGATTGAAATACCTCCTCATCAGCTGATATTGAATACGACGCAGAATCGATCAAAATGATGTCGTGGTTGTTCTCCTCCTCCTCCTCGGAGGAAAAGAATCCGAAACCGGAAAATCCGAACCCTTCGGAGGAGCATCAAAAAATTGCACCAGTGAAACCCGTTTCTCCGGTTGTTCCGATGACACAGTACGGCTACCTTGCCCCTCCGGCACTTCCTCTCTCCGCCACTGGCCGCCCAGCGCCACCCCAGCCGCAAATTTACTTTGCACGACACCGACGGAGGACTACACCACAATTCGCGACGAGGTACAGCAGAAATCCGGCGAAGCGAGCGACTTTAGCGAATTCCACGGAACAGACTCGCTCTCCGCGGGGGCCCGATGGCCGGCTGCACTTCGAGAAGAATATTGATAACGACGCAGAGCCAAAACGCGGGGCAGAAGTCGAAGATGAGCTTGAGCCCAGTTATGATCGAAATCCTGGCGGCGGCAAGAACGCGGATCGCATCCGCATGCAGAACCTCCAGGATCTGGTCGCCTACACCGAGAACAAAAAGCCGCTGGAATTCTATTCCACCATCTCGGCTGCGCAGTATTCGCAGGCACCAGAAGTTCGTGGAGGCATCAAGCCCTTGGACCTAGACATCCTGGGACATGTGGTCCCGGATACGAGCGTCACCGGCGGGTCAGGCTCGATGAAGCAGCGGAGAACCAAAAACTTCCCTCGCGAGGCCGCGGCAGGAGCCGCAGCATCTTTATCTCCCGAACGCGGAGCTGTTGCGGACCTTGGTCCAGGAAGAGCTACTTCGCTCACGAATTATGGAGCGACCGATATTTTCTCCAAAAGAAATCAGAATGAAGACCAAGACGGCACCAGATCACCAGTTGCCGACTCCTCCGTCTCTCCAACCAGATCGAGCCCGCCAGTGTCGTTCTCGGGTCGAGGGGTGGCGTCGCCGAAAAGCTACCGGGGCTTGAATTTCACAGGACGTGAGTCGGCTTTTGCGGAGAGCCATCAAGACACCAGGATTTCCTCCAGGGGACAGAATGATAATGAATCGTCAAGCAGAACCGGAACTACAGGGTGGGATCGCTCCCTCCAGGATCAAATTCGGCGGCTCAACGCACGGCACGGGGAGGAGCCGTCGAATACAGCAGCAGCAGCAGCAGATCAACTGCAACGGGAATTCAGCCCTTTTCGGCCACCACAGCGAGGTGCCTATCATCCACCGTCTTTGTCGCTGCCGTACCCGCGCACCGCCTTCGCGCAGAACAATCGAAATGCGCAGAACCCAGAGTTTTCCTTTTCGTTCAATTCAGCCAGATCTTCAGGCGGTTCGCGTTCGGCAAGGACGACCTCGCAGCAGAACTCGACGAGGGTGGTCGACCCCAGCTTCTATTGCGTGGATTCATTCACTGCCGTGACAACGCCCGCGACAGCATCTAGCGCCGTCGTGTCTGCCACGAGCCGTCTTCTTGGAGGTTTCGCCGGCTGTGACTACCAGCAACCAGACACAAGTGGGTCACTTTTGTTCTATTCGCCCAATAACCGGAGCGGAGCGAGAGACGGATCATACAGTGATTACCGTGCTGCGAAGATTACTGCAGGACCAGTCGACGTTCACCAGCCCAAGTACGCATCGAACTCGCTTCAATTCGATTTTCCTATGTTTTCCGTACCAACGCCGGGCGCAAGCAGCTGCACAAATAATTTGGTTACTCCAGTTTCAGCTCCTGCGCGTATGCCCGGCACATTGCCATGGAGCTTGCCAGACTCCGGCTTTGCAGGAGCTCGCCCGCAAGTTTCAAATTTTGTCACGCAAGAGCCAGAGCAAACGCCCATATCCGCCCCGGCGCGTGTTACGGTGCCTTCTTCTGATCTCCGGTTTTCTCGCGGAGTGAAAGCGGCAGCTGTAGCAGCGAAAGCGCTCCAAGACGAACAGCAAGAAAGTTTGCTGCTGCAATTCCATTCCGTCGACCAAGGATACGAAGTGCAACAAAGCCGCGAAGGGATTAGCAGTCGCGGCGACCACCTCGTCCCTGAGCAAAAAGGCCGTGTGCTGCAGGATATCGCGTCCCTGTCTCCATCAGTTTGCGCGGACAAGATACAACCGAGATCCCCTAAGCCGGGCTCGGCGAAAAAGCTTCACGCGGAGCTTCTTGCTTCTCTCAAAAATATCGCAGGAGCCGCTGAAGAATTGGATCTGCTGCAAAGCAGCGTCCTGACGAATCTGGAACGCGAAATCTCCTTCCGCCACGGCAGCAGTGCCCTCGACGATTTTCTACTACATGAGGACCCCTCAAAACTCAGCCCAATCACCGCGATTCCGCCCGACGAAAGTGCCACCAACGAAGAATTCACGCCCCTGACCGGAGGAGCGTCAGCGCCAGCTGGAGCAGCAGGAGCAGCTGTGGCGTCGTTCAATACCTATGGTCCTGCCCCGGGGGCTGTACTCGGAGAGGCAGCACCTGCTGCACCAAAGGTACAAGGGAACGAACAAGCTGGGCCGGCCGATCTGAAAGACGTACGGAATGAGGCTGCTCATCGCGGAACAGGAAACAGCAGGTCAATTGTTGATGGAAACAAGCGAGGAGCTGGTCGCCTGGAGCTGCGCGGAGGTGACAAAGGCAAACAAGAAGATGATCCGTTTGCAACAAAACAGATCATTGACGCGGCGGAGTTGCGGGCCCGTCTTCGCGAGCAAAGTGCAGCGTCGCAGGCCTCTGGCGTGGCCAGCGGTTCTGCAGCTTCTCCCTCTACGGCGCAACCTGTCACTCATGACCCGAACAAGACCGAATTAGCTACACAGCGGGGTCGCGAGGACCAGTCGACAATTTTGTCGACGCAAATTCAGTCTGAGCCGCCGACGAGGATTGCTGAGGGCGGAGCGCTACAGCTGCAAAGGCGACGAGGAAGTGAAGATCAGGCACAACAGGAAGAGTGTCGCGATGTCGAAGAGGTGCAGCGAGAAATTATCCAGCGAAAGTATCCTGAGTAAAAACGTACCCACACCATAGTCAAGATGGGGAATCGGCTAGACAAATCCACAAGTTTTGGCTGTTTTGCATGACAGATTTGGACTCGTATTGTAGTGCTGTTTGAGCTAGCTCAGGAGCATCACAGAACTAGCATACCATGCTGATTGGAGCATGACAAATTGCAAAACATGACTATAAAATGCTTCTCATGGGGCTCCGCATGACAAACATTTTCAGCATGCAGATTTGCATTACAGCTATGGGGTGGGTACGTTTTTACTCAGGATAGAAAGCAGCAGCTCATCAGCAAAGCGGAGGAGGAGCTCAGGGCGATCGAACTGCTGTACGAACACCTCCTGCACCGACAGCCATCAAAACCGCCTTCTAGTCAAGCAGCCGGAGAAGTAGCCTCCAAGCCTGTGTCAACCAACAAGGGCAGCGAAGCAAGCACTGCTTTTGCACTGAAACACGAAACGCGAAATATTAAAAGCGACTACACTACAGACACCGCAGCTAGTACTTCGCCACTTATCGAGGAGAAGCACCGCGCGGTCTCGCCTCTGCTGGCTGCGATAGTGGACAGAATGGTAAAAACAAGGGATGAGCAGGGAGGAAGTTCAGCATCGTCTTCGAAGGTCGGTAACGGAAGCCGAGAAAAAACCGGAAACCTCGCGCACGACTTCGCATTTCATTTACTGCAGAAGCGCGCAGAAAAAATCGCATCGCTCTCACCGCGCGGGCGAGTGTCGGGCTCCTCGGATGGGACGAAAACGAAAAACAAAAAGCCGAATCCAGCTGCCGAGCAGCAAGCTTCCTTCGCGGAGTGGCAGCGGTCGTGGTTAGAAAAGCGCGAGGAAAAGTTGCAGTTTCTGAAAGAACTACAGCATGACGAGACAATTCACAAGCACGCGGGCCACGGATTCTACGTCACGCCACAGTCGGAACGGATTTTGGCGGAAAAGGAAGATCGGATAAGAACCACGGTAGCCGAACCAGCCACAGAGCAGGATATGAACGCTGAGCCTCTTGAAGGGTACAAGTCTCCCGTGAAGGATCACGCTCATGTGAGTGCAAAGTACTGGGCGAAGCGGCAGCACGACGTGCACAGCGCGAAAAAAGTCGTGGGGCGGCTGAAGACTTTGAGGAATAACCGGAAAAACAATCAGAACAACCTCGGATCTACAGCAGGCCGGGTTTTGAACCTAACAGAGAAGGAAATCCGGGATGAGGAGAAGCACCCAAAATACAAAGCCAAAGACGGAGGCCCCATCAACGAAGCGCTTCTGCGGCTCGCGCAACCGCGGAAGGTGGAGCCCGGGCTGCAGGAACTGGAAAAACACAGCGAAGTGGAGCTCCGCGCGCGCACCGCCGCGCGCAAGCTGCTCGAGAAGAAGACGAACGTGAGTGATCGCGTCTCCGAACTCTACCAGCTTGGCGTGCAGCGGGTTTCGTCGAGTTCGTCTGGACCCGATGGTCCACCGGGGAATAAAACTGCACCAACAAAGAGCGCGCAGCCGGCCCCTTCGACGTCGTCTTCCAAGATGAACTTGAATTCGATGAAAATTCTGCAAGCGGTGGCAGCGAGAAAGAAGCAAGCCCAGGAAGAGCTATTGCTTCAGCAATCAGTGCTTGAAGCAGAAGTTGCGTCAAAGAACCGCGTTCCGGAAATTCGAAACAAAACTGGAGTGGAGTCGAGTGCAGCGAGTACCACGGCCGACAGAAATCCGCCGAGCAGCCGAGAAGTTCCCGGACCAAAAGATGAAGGCGAAGCATCACCATCAACGGTTTTTGAAAAAACTGCAGAAAAGATGAAGGGTGAGAGTGGACCTTCAGCTGCACCACATCAGCAGCGTGGTTCAGAACAAAAAGTAAAGAAGCTGCAAGACGTTCCTGCCGGCGCAGTGGCGGTTGTGGTTGATGCGTCCGACGCTGAGGGGAAGCCAAAGTCTGACGCGTCTGAAACTGCAAGTAGCAGATCGTCGAAAGGTCGCAAGAAACTACCGACGCCGCGGAGCATTCAAGCGATGGCGCGGATGCACCAAGTCGCAGAGGAGTGGAAGCGTCGGCGTGAGGAGAAGCATTTGCAGGCCAAGTTGCAGCGGGAGGAGGAACTACTGAAGGAATGCACCTTTGCACCAACTTTGCACTCCAAGAACTCCTGGAAACGCGCCACCTGAGCCGGACGTGCGGGTTGGTCTTTTCGAATAAAGTTACGCTCTTGATTCCAAGCCGTAGGATCTCCGCAGGCTCTATAGCTCGGACACTGCTTCCGCTTCTCACAACCAACACGAGTACGTACTTGGAGTTTTTGCAGCGCGTTTTCGGTTTTGAGTCGCCGACCTTCGCAAGAACCCCTCGCACCTCAAAACCATTCCAAGAATGGAGTGCTGTTTCGCACTGCTGGGGACGTACGGAAAAGATCATGCACTCGGGAGGTCTGCTTCGTCCTAGACAAATGATGAGCACAACCACGACGAGACCAGGAATTTGATTTGGAATTATGTTTATGATGGAGGTCAAGTAAGCTCCCGCCGCCGCTGCGTAGGCAGCGAGTCAAATCATTCAACATCTCGTCATGTGTTCGACTACTCTACTGCCCCTATTAATGAGCGATCAACTGTTGTGTGAAAGTAGCATGCTGACTTCATGGAAAACCAGCACAGGCAGAGTACATCAGCATCGCAACTACGCTGTCGGTTCATTGTTATGCTCAATCTTGTGAATGTGTATGTGATGTGGCCTGCAGGAGCATCAGCATCACTCAACAATTGCAAACGAAGATCCAGAAAATTACTCACCAAGAAGAAAATTGGCACGCCAACTACGTATGCCAGAGCAAGCAAGAACTTTAGTAGATTGGAGCGACGAGAGTTGTTCTAGTAGAAGCACTCTGGTTCTTTGATTCACACAGGACCTCAAACTTCCTATAACTTCCTCAAGATTTCCCCCTGATGAACTATCTCCACACCCTAGCTACCCCTAGATTTTTACCCCATGAAAGTTGTTTCGCTCCTCTATCATGATGTCCTTACGTAGTGAAAATTATATTCACGGAGTTTATTTGAAACGAGTCAAAGAAGTTCGCTTTATCAATTTGTATCTGAGAAAAAACAAAAAGACATCTTCCTTCGCTTCCACCTAGTCTCACTTTCAAGACAAATATACATTGAACCTTCTTGGTGCAGCTGGTGGACCTGGACAAGATGTGGCCGTTTCGCAGGGGAAACAAGGAGGACGGTGGGGGGAAGAAGGCGTGGAAGGCCATATGGATTGCAAAAGTGTCTGGGTCTGGAAGATTGCAACTTGTCGTGCTAAATCCGAATCATGCAAAAATCTGTGTTGCATGATTACCAAAAGAGGTCCACTTTTGAACAAGTTTAAAGGCAGTTTCTCATGCAGAATAGGCATAAAAGAGACCTCACAGCCTCTGTCATGCTAGGTCCCGCATTCCAAACCTCAAGGGTCATGGAAAACCTGCATGACTGCCCCCTTCATCCTAAGTGCCATCAGCCATGGTATCTGGAAAACCTGCATGACAAGTTCACATTCTTCCAGACCCAGACATTTTTACATTTGATAGGCCAAGCTGGACGACAATCCAATGACCATGTACTACAACAAGGAGTTGAAATGCTGGGTCGAAAAGGGCAAGGAGGAGGAAATGCGAAAGAAACTGGAGCAGACCGCCGCCCCGCCGCCGACGGCTGCACAGCTAAGGGTGCCACCAGGCGGCGGTCCGCCGGGCGCGGGCAGCTCAAGAGTAGACGATGCAAGAGACGACGATGACGATATCCTGGGAAAAATGCTCCGCGCCCCAACCCGGTCTCTGCCCGGCCGCGCCGGCGCGAGTCAGGCGAGCCGCCGAACGACACAGGGAGGCATTGGAGGCGGCCTCATCCCGGGGATCCCGGGCGCGAATCACATCAGCATGCCGAGCCTGATTCCCACGCCCGGGTCCCTATCCGCGGGAGGATCGCAGCCGGTATTTGATAGTCTTTTGCTCATGTACATGCTTGTTTTTTTTCCCCATTTCTCCGCTTCTCAGCTTGCTGGTACCAAGCAAGATCGCGTTGATGCAAATGAATAGCAAGAATTAACCAAACTCCACACACAGGATCTGCACGCGGGCAACGATATACTTCCCGCAGCAACCGGCGGTCCTTCAATACCAACGCCCGTGCCTGTCCAGCCCTCGGTGTCGGACCCGACCCAAACGGCAGGAGCAGCCCGGCCCGCCGTTGGGGGTGGGCGCAGCTGGCAGGACGACGAGGACGAGGATGAAGACCTGCTAGGCTTGAAAGTCACGAAGAAAAAGGACACGCCGCGCCTAGTCGTCACGCCGCCGGTCACGCACGCAGAACCACGTGCACAAGAGCAAGGGCTCGCTCCGCCGCTAGAAACGACTTCTGCAGCTGCAACTTCACAATCACACGAAGTAAATCAGTACAAGCCTGCAGCTTTGCCGCCCACGGTGTCCCCCAGTCCATCGGAGCAAGAAATGCAGACCAACAATGCGGACCCATTCGGCTCCTTTGGCGGGCAAAGTCCCAGCGGTGGAAAGACCGCGGGAGAACAAACTCCTCCTGGATACGAGGCCTACACCGCTGGTGCAGCAGCTTCTTCGTTCGCAGATTCATCGCAACAAGAACAGGGTCACGTGTTACCCGCAGCGGGGCACTTTCCACCACAGCCTGTGATGAATGACCTGTTCGATCCACCGGCGCCAACCGTAGGTGTCACGACATCATACGACGGCAACATACCACAAACTGCTGAACAAGTTCCAACTTCCCAGTTCCGGCCTCCACCGCGTGACCACCGCGACGATCTGCAATCAGCACCTGACGCATTGCAGGATCCACCAGCACAGCGATCTTCTTATGAGGAAGGCTATGAAAACCTGCAGGAGCATTCAGAACAGGTTGCGGGGCGGGCGGAACAGCTGGAGCCGATAACATTTGGACCACCTCCTGCGCAGTCAACTACGGAAGGTGAAGAGGAGGACGGGGATCCTCTTGAGCACGACCAGACTGCTGCAGCCCCCGTACAAGGAGAGCAAATTATACAAGACGACCCACACGACTCTGACTCAGCACGACCAAGCGAGGCGGCGTTTTCCGCGAGACGAGTTCCGCCCCCCGACGGCTATGCCTCCTCCAGCACCTCCGGGGCAGCAAAGTCAAAATCTCGATCACCAGCAGAGATGAAGCCCTCGGACATCGAGCTAACGCAGGACGGCGAGAATTTTTTGGCTGATGTCGGCGATGACGAGATCGATAAGTACACCGTGGACGAGAACCACGAAGTGCGATTACGCGCCGCAACGGAGCCCACGGGGGCAGCTTCTGGATCGCACGGAGAACAAACGTCAGCACAGCAAGCGATGCAGCAACCGATTTCGATCTCGGTCACAGGCCTTGAGCACCAAATCATACATCCCTCGTCCAGTGGTAGCTCCTCGTCCTCTGCTCTGTTAAACAACAACGACCAGCACAACAACATCGTTCCAAACAGGGGAGGACAGAATGTCCTCGACTTCACCGATCTGGACATCACAGCGTCCAATTACGGCTCGAAAAAGTCCACCAGTTCCAAGCTGAACCAGTTGGAAGCGATTCCTGACGACGAACTGGAGGAAAGGGTGAAGTCCCTTCTCGCGGAGGACCGGAGTCGTGACGGCACTATGTTGTGCAAAAGTATCGTACTCGTACTAATTGCAAATGCGCATGACAAATCTGCCTTCTAAGGTAAAACAGCATTACAAATCCCATTTTTCTTCTTGCCAAAATTTGTAATGCAATTTATACTAGTACGATACTTTTGCAATGCATAGGCACCGATCACAAACAAAATCTGTACCAGAAGCAAAACGCACTCCACACCTACAGCAGTTCGGTGTACTACAAACCCGGAGGAGGTGGTGGAGCTACTGGTGGGTTGAACAGCGCCACCCTCGCGTCCGGCGTGATTAATATAAATAACGTCCCGGGCTCGCTCACGTTGAACCAGGACCACCTCAGCGACTTGCTCCGCGCGCCGCCAAACACCACCGATCTGGCTTCGATCAACTACAATTCCAAGAATTTACTCTCCTCAGCTTCCGGAGCGGGAAATGCGACTTCATCCTCAGCCGTGCTCGAGGCGGGAAGAGATGGCGCCGTCGAAGGAGGCATCGTCTCGAGCAATTCCGCAGTCGTGACGAACGAAGAGCTTATGGCTGGTATGATCAGCAAGATGGGCGCCAACGTTGCCAGTGTGAACAACATGGACGGTATGAAACTGCTCGAAGCCTTCGACGAAGCAACCCGGAAGCTGGAAACGCTTTCGATCTGCAGCGACCCAATACCGGACCAGAGTCCGCTGCTGGAATCGCCAGACATGGACGATGATGAGGTATGTTGATTCTTGTGCCGCGTTCGTGCGTCTTAGGCGTGCTAAGTTGTTAGTAGTAAAAATCTTCTTCTGTGACAATGTAGTTCAAGAAGGCATGATAATTGCCATTGGCTGTAGCTCGTTTATGTCGACGACGTCCCTTTTCGATTCCCGGACGAGGACAACTAGTATACGTTGTATAACAGCCTTCCAGCAGCAGCACCACTCGAAGGAATTTGGCTATTTCACCTCGAAAATAAAGTAGGAGTTTCAATAAACGTGATTTCAGCTCCCGCCCGACCACGACTGGTTGGCTCAGGCGGACCACCCCGACCCAGATTTGCTCGACGACGACGCGAACGATGGGTATTCCGACGGGGACTCGGTCCTGTCCGAAGCGGAGTACCTCGGCCAGGAGCAAACCGACCCGCGGCAGTATTTGAATTCGGTAGACCTGCAGGAGCTGCAGCGCGCGCTGAAGAAGGCCTGCCAGCTCCTGCACAAGAAGGACGCGCAAATCCTCGAACTCCAAACGTACACGAAGCAACTCTGCGAGAAGTTTGAGAAGCAGCAGCAGGACGTGATGAGCCTGCTAGAGAAAAACGTGGAAAAGGAGCGAAACTTGCTACAGCAAGTTCAGGAGCAGGAGCAAAAGTTTCGGGACCGCGTGCAAAAATTCCAGGCGGAAGCCGCGGAGCTGCGGAAGGAGCTCTACGTCCACGACGAAGCAGCCTACAAGGACGACGCTGCACTGCTCTCCGGAATCGAGAAAAGCTCCGCCTCTGGCTCGGGAATGGAAGACGATGATCAGCTTGTTGCGGATGGGGAGGAAAGAAAAGACGAGACGAGGAGAGCAGGGGCCGTTACTAGTCAGGTACGTGAGAACTTCATCTTTTTTTCGTCGTAGCATGAGCATGACAGTGCGCAGCACCAGCTGCGTCCTAGGTACACTCGCCAGAAAGGATTTTTTCGCCGAAGATTTGCGCTCCCTCTCCTTTTCGAAAACAAAATCAAAACTGTACTCTCAATGCTCCTCCTCGACGTCATGATCGAATTGTTGAGCTGCAAGATATGCTATACTGTGTGACACTAACCTCTCAACCGAACAGACCGACGCTCCACCTTCGTTATCAACAAACGCCGTTCAATTGTCCGCCAAGGAACAGGAGCAGTTGGATCGCTTACTCTTGTTCGTCAGCAAGGCCAATCTGCAAGAGGCCAAGAAACTGCACCGCACGGTAGACCTGCTGTCCTGTTACGGGGACAAACTCGGATTCGAACCGCTGGTGCTACAGATCCTCACCTCCTGGTGCCAATTCGTCGGGCCGTTCAGAAAAATGAAAGCCTTCTTCGTGGACTTTGGCTGCGTCGAAGCGTGTTGGGAAACCATGGACAAGTTCAGGTACTACACAATAAACATTCTGATTTTGTCCATGACCATGACAATGACAAGACCAAGAGCTCTGGACATGATATTTTTCTGCCCGTACTTTTCAAGCGTTGCGGCTACGCTGCCGAAGACTCTTGTTTGCCACCAACTTTTAAACGCTAAGATCCACTCAACACCTACTCTGTTGTTTTCTCAGGTCCAACACTTTGATTGTCGGTCTTTGTCTGGAAGTTCTGTGGCATTTGAGCTATGGTCAGGAGGGACAAGCCCGGTTTCCGACGCAGCCCGTGGAGCGGTTACTGCAGATAGGGTTTCGCTACGTTGTTGACAAAGAGGTAAACAAAGAGCAGGCGCCAGGGCAGGCACCGTCACAAGACACTGAGAAGATCCACCAAGTAGACGAGACGGCTACGCAACACGCTACCTCCCCGCAGATCGATGCTGCCGATCTCGCGCGCATCTGCAAGGCCGTTGTTGGCACCCTGGCGAACCTCCTGCAGGCCGGCGACATGGCTCTACTGTCGACGTTTTTGGAACACGGAGGGATTTCGTTTCTCGAAAAAGTACTACAGCTGATCAAGGCTGCGGACTTCCTGCGTGCGGGGGGACACCATGGGAAGAGCAAAGTCATCGCCGAACAGGTTCAGACGATCACCCAGAGCGCGTTCCACTGTCTCTACCTGGTCTCATTACCAGTGCAGCTCCGGCTCCTCGTCATACAGCAGAACGGGCCCTCGCTGGTGCAAGGCAGAGCCGAAAAGTGGGCTTCGTGGTGCGCCGAGCTTTACCGGGCGACGACAAGAAGTGTATAGGATCTTCGAAGTACGCAGCTCATCTTCCGGCCGACGACGAGAAGCAGATCGACCCGGCGTACACGAGTTGAGGCATTGTCGTCGGTCATGTTTGAATACTTACGGCGACAAAACAGTGCTCGTCCAGCGCCGCTGGTGCCTTCGAGCACGACCACCGGCGCGGCTGTTCATTTTAATCAGCCCGAATGAACACGAAAAGGACTTTTCAGGGTGCTGATGTATTCTTGTTGATTCAAAATCACAAGAACATAAACATTGACAAACGAAATAAACGACACTGAGAACTCTCTGAAACGAAGCGACCCTATGGCTATCAAGAAGTTGTCAGATTTCTCGCTGCTCGTTGTAGCGAAGTGGTTGTATCAAATATCACGACGAAATCGACGCTTGTTTCGACATGTTGAAGCACAACTATGAAAGTACCCATGTTTATGCTTTTTTTTCGCTCGGCCTCGGTCAGACGACAACGAACTAGCTACCGGCCGTTCCTCATCTAAAGGTAAAGATAGACAACATTCCGTACTCTCCCGGTTTTCATGTTCGGTTTTGCTTTATGACGTATTGGTTTTGGTATGGCTGCGCGCAGCATACTGCTGTCGGTGCGGCCAGGCATTCGCTTATTTTTTTTGAAGGATTGCGTTCTACACCCGTGACCACGAAGTGTCTTTTTTTCTCGTGTGCTGTTGAATAGCTCTGTTTTGGTTTTCTTTGCAACTAGCAATTTCCATATCATTTTTTTTCAGTTCTACTTATTGGTGAAATCTGATTTCGGTTCCCTGTTGGTATATTTTTGCTGCATGATTCGGTGTGATCATTATCTTATGTGGTGACCGTACTATACGCTCTGCGAGTGCTTCTAGTGCGAGCTGTTATGCATATGCTTATGTTCTTGTACTTCTATCCGTACTGTAATAATCCTCGATACACTTCTTGCAGTCGTGCTTGGTGGCGTGGATGACGCCTTGACTCTTGCTCTTCTGATCTGCCGTTGCTGCCCGTAATTGATTTTTTTCTGTATCTTCCGCTTGCTGTCGTTAAGTCTGCGCATGAGCTAACTTTATTCCACCCCGAAAATGATCCCAACGCGGTCAGGAAGCCCGAAAACTAATATGAATTCGCTGAACCCGGCAACAATGAACAGCCAGCACCACCTTCTACTTACGGAGCAGGACCAGCAAGGTGTTGTTGACGATGCAAATCTGCACAACAACATGCAGCAGCAAATCCCGCACCAGCTCCTCGCCCAAAACCAAAATCGGGACCACGGCGCCAGCGCGAGTCGACCTCCGGGCCCGCGGTCGGAGGTAACTTTTTCATCCGTGTCCTCAGACGATAGCTTACCGCTCGGGTGCGAGCACAACGAGTACTTCTGGATCAAGAGGTACCGAGCCTTGAAGCGACGCGTCTCCGCCAACAAAGTGCGGCAGACCGGAGAAAATCTGCAGGAAGCCCCCATTTTGGAGGAAGAGGAGGAAGGAGTACTTGCACTAGTTTTCTAACTTTGTTCTATGAAGATTAGTCGTAGTTCTTTTGCGCTGCTAGTGCTACAGAACAATAGTTTGATTTTGTCGAGCTCGCTGCCAAGGCTTACCTGCGCGTCTTGTTCCTCTTCGACGGACCGTAAATCAAAATGATTCGCAGCAGGAATCGTACACGTATCGTGAATTGTGAATACCAATATACCCGTACTACCATACTAGGCCGGCAGCCCGCTAGGCGGCGGCGTCGCAGCGGCACCGGACCAACTGACAAACAATTTGCTCCCGAACCGCTTGAAGCGACTGCCTTGTACCCGCTTCTACATGGAGGAATCGAGGCAGGATCCCTTTACCGACTTCGTGCACTCGGAATTCCTCGCAGCAGTTGTCTCGTCGGCGGCAGATCTTCATCAGAGTGCAGCGCAGCAGACAAGTCCACCGAGCATGAATCTCCTGGGGTGTGGGATGGCCAACAAAAGCCGCATGGCGCTGCTGCGCACCCAGGACTCGTTGCTCATTTCCGCGGTAAGTTCCCGCTGGTTCGTCGTGGACGTGTTTAGTGGAATCGTGCCCACCGGCGCCGCTGTAACCCTGCAGCAACAGCTATGACAGTGCACAACTGCAGCTCCACATCCCCCTCTCATTCAAAACACACACGAACTTGCCGCTTGCTGTTTGGCAGTGTAGCCACTGCCGCAGGGTTTGCAAGGCAAGTCCCTGGATCTACTTGCCAAACCGCGCTACCGTTCATCGTTCACGGAGTTGTATTCTTACGGAAAGCTCAGTCAGATGTCTTCCGTTGCAGTTGATTGTGTCGCTGTTAATCATGCGCGTCGAATGAGAGGGATGGGCGAAGAAATATTTGTGCACTCGGCCCATAACACCAGAGCGGCGGCGCGGGCAAAAAGAAGCTGCTCGTCGGCGTTACCCGGTCCCCGCAGCAGCAGCCCTGCGACCTGTTGGACACAAAGCTGGTCACGCTCGGTGAGGAGCTGTTCACATCACACTCCGCGGGCGTTGGGAGCAGCTCCAGCTCGACCTCGCGGGTCAAATTGCTCGTCACGCCCGCGCTCGAATCGCCACAGACCAGCAAGTACGTGCCGGGGGACATCACTGTCTTCGTGAACGACCAAAAAGTGGCGGAGAAAATTGAACACGTATCAACTGTAAAAATGTCTGGGTCTGGAAGAGTTCATGTTTGTCATGCTTGTCTGGCATGACTCTTAAATCTGTCATGCACGTTACCCAAGATCTGCGCTTTTCTGTGATGCAGAAGCGCAGTCTGTCATGCAGAATAGGCAACACCTAGGAGCTCAGAAACTTGTCATGCTGAGCCAGCATTTGTAGCCTCATCATGAGGATGAGAGGCTACCCAGCATCACAAGTTCCCAGACCCAGACATTTTTACACTTGATAACACGGATTCAGTTGCGATCAGGAGCTTTTCGGGCTGGCGGTGGTATCCAGGTCGAACAGTATGTGTCCTGATATGATACTGTTGTGTAATAAAAAAGAGCTACAGTTTCAGTTTGAGTCGAGCTCTTGTGCTCGTTCCATGAAGATGCATTTGCAAGATGTCGCCACTACGTACTGGAGTGACCATAGAGAAGTACAGAGGGAACGGGAAGCTTTGAGATGCTGTTGCTCCTCCCGAACTTCCCAGTTAGAAATCTGCAGTAGCTGCTGCATAAAGTTAAAGATGTGCATCCAAGATGAAGGAACAGGAAGAGAGTTTCAGAACAGTGCATCTTCAGGACAGAAGTTCTGACTGCGATACTTCTGGCAGGGGACCCTATCAGACGTTAAGCTCGTGGAGTACTGAAACCTTGGACCACCGACGGAGATCTTCACAAACCCTTCTGCCCGACGAGAGCGACTACCTGCTGCGCTTTTTTCTTTTGGTGTTTCCACCCCTGAAGTGGTTTCAAAGTACCGACCAGGTCGGTCCTGGACAAGAAGATACTTACTTAATTTACTTTTAATTATAATTATCGAGCGAGAATAAAGCCTTTCACGGACGACCATCAACATTACTGGCAATCAAGACAAATAAACTAGAACTGTACGTGCTAATCGTAAAGCGGGGAGGGAAACAGGCCTCGTCCGTTCCTATTGTCTTTGCAAAATCGCGGTTGCACAAACAAGTAAAAGTAGAAAAACACTTTGCTATATTTTGACGAATGTACAATTTATGGTACGCACACGCACTACTTTCTCGTTGACGTCTTTTGTGTTTCCCTTTGCAGATGAAATGAGTTTTTGAACATGTAGTTGGACTTCATCAATTTCAATGTCAAGACTTTATGAAGAATTCTCCGTGTTTGATTCCATATTTGTTGCTTCTGTCGACCGGTCCAAGCAGGACTGACAAGAGAGCAGCGTTTGTATTTGGACATTCATTCCTGTACAAAAAATGCAGAAAAGCGTTAAGATGAAATATAATATTCAAGAACTGGATGATGATCGCCAAACCCAAAGCTAATTGCGATGGAACGAGGACAGTGAGTGTGCCCCGAAGCGGGTACAGTCGTACACTGTTATTTGTGTTTGCGTGTTTCCTCTCTTTGGTTTGTTTCTCTCCGTGCTGAAACAACTTTTCCCTGACTCGTCGTAGAAGTCGATCGTATCTTCCAGCATCGTCGTTAAAAACTCGTGCTCTTCGAAATTTTGCATGGGTGTTAGAGCAACCACAAGACAGCTCGAAGATGAAAAGCTTGCTGGGTCGCAAGAATTGACAGTTCGCTGAGATACAAGGATACAACTACAAGAGATTCGATCGTCAGAAAGAATTCGGGCTGTATTCAACATCGAATCGCTGCTCGCTGGTCGTTTCTCATCTCCTTCGTGATCGTGTCCAAGAAACGTATTCTTTCATCCGGTTTATCGCCATCCCAATCCTATTCCGAAATTAATCGCATCCACCCGAGTGTAGTCAGCCGGACCATTTTTAGAAGACGTTGCGAGGTGGGCGGAGAGGCATCACGCGTGCAGTGGAACGAGAGGAAGGCCAGCGCTCAACTGTGTGATGTTCGTCGTATACTGTCCTGCTAATCCTGGCAGTAGCATTCATCAGGTGTGTGGGTTCTAAACAACTTACTTGTTCCTCGGCGTTACTACGCCTGCTACACCCTTTTTCACGGTTGATATGTGGATAGATATTTTAAAGTTTGGTCTCCGCTTGTGGAAGACCGGCGATTCGCGCCTGAAAATGCACGTGTAGCTGCGCGTTACTCTTCCAGTTCGTGCGGACTCCTGGTGTTGCTCCCACCGTTGGGAGTATAAGAAAGAAGAACATAAGGACGTCGGGTTTTCGAGAGCTTTACATTATTCGACTCCCTTCCACTTTTTGGTCCTTTTGGTGCGTTCACGCACATCCAGGATTTTTGTGGTCGGGGGCCCGCCGAAGTTTTGCGCGCGGGTTTAGCCCTCTTCTACCCCCCGTAAAAAGGCACGTCTTCGGACCCTTCAGGTCGCTGCCCCTCCGCCCGCGTTGCGCCCGCGCTTCGCCATACGATACGATACGATACTATGTAGGTTATCTCTCTCTCTCTCTATTCCGAAATTAATCGCAGAAGAATTGTGAGCCCTCTATTAACATGTTCTACTGCAATTTCTTTTTTCTTCTTCAGAAAAGCAGTTTTTCGCGTGTCAAATCGACCAGCACAAAGACAAATATAAACTGTATTCGACAGGAATAAATGTGAAGAACATGACGCGTAAGGGATGTCTCAAACATCTCAGTACAGTCCACAGCCAGTACCATCAAGTATACAAACAGACTCATGAAAGGTCAGAAAAAATAGTAGTGGAATGATGACAGTGTGCAAAACGGGAGGCGCCATGTTGACGCTGCGTGGCCGAGTAGGTGCACACCGAGGCTTGCCAGTATTTTCAGCGGTGCCCTCCCCTTTTGGTCGTACGCCCCGTGTGTTGCGGAGGTCCACTGCGAGTACGTTTGCCGGCGTGGTAGAGCTTTTGATTCTCTGCGCAGCACTTGCGTTCTTCCTGGTCCTTCCCCCCGGGAGTGGCACTGTCAATGTCATTTTACTGCAGAAACTGGTGCTGCAGCTGCCGATGTCGGCGCTATTAGCTTGTCCTGTGGATGCAGTGCGAGCACCAGATGAAGTGCAGCAAGTTGACGCCGTGAAGATGAAGAACGAAGATGAGGAGGAGCTGTTGAAAGCAAAGAGTGCAGCTGTTACATCCGACCATACGGCCATCGGCACTAGCGGAATCAGTTTCATCGAGAAAGAAGAAAAGCAACAAGAGAGGCAGCAAACCACTCGAGTTTCGAAAAGACGAAACAGGCACAAACGCCGTCGTCGGATACGAAAAAAAATAGCGAAGCAAGGCGAGGAGAAAATAGAAGCCAAGAAAGAGAAACTGGCGCTGAGACTCGTGCATGAGAAACAGCATGAGGGGCGAAGGGAAGGAAGAACAGGAAGAACAACCACCGGGGTTCTTGTACAGCGCAACAAGCTCGCACTGCGACAACGTGAGCGGCTGCGAAGGTTGAAGCTGCATGTTTTGGAGCAGAGGAGGGAGAGCGCGAGGACACTGGCGACGATCCAACGAAGGACACAGAAAGAGGCACAAAGGCGACTGCGGAAGCAAGCAATCCTGTTGAAGAACAAGCAAAAAAGAAAAAACATGAAGAAAGAGGAGCACCAGCACCAGCGCGAACAAGAAAAGGAAAATCACAAAAAGGCGCAACTGAAGAAAGCGAGAAAAGAAAGCACTGCGCGGATAGCAGCACAGGAGCAGAAGATGAAAAAAACAGGACGAGAAAATGTGTTGCAGGAACAGGAACGCGAATTCCAGCAGGAAGAGAAAGAACAAGTAGGACTGCCGGATGTTAGTGATTTTCTTAAACTGGGCGAAATGCCGCAATTCCCCGACATCCACCAAATGAACGACCAGGCGACGCTTGATCCTCATGAGTGGTTCAAACACGTAGACGACCCCGACAACGAACTTAAGACTGGCGAGTTTTTCAGTTGGCAAGATGACGGTGCCCATTGGGAATGGTTTCCATATCCCCATCAGGTGCATGACTATGAAGATTTCACCCCGACGTTTGACACAGACCACATTACCTCTGATGACGACCACTACTCCATCGAAAACTTCAAAAAGAAACTTCACGGCAAAGAGATGGATTTTGGCGAGTTCATCAAGTTTATGACCCACGGGCAGTGTGACGTCGCTGGGGTGGGTATGCAAGAAAAATCAATCTGTGCTAGTGCTGTTGTAGAAAGAAGAAGTACCTGGCATGTAAGTACCAAGCCTAGTAAATATTTTTTTTACATGCTTCTACTCTTTCTGCTGATGCATTTTTGGAGTGTCATCCATGATTGAAGAAGACGCACCCCTCCGCACGTCGACGTCGCTCCCTAGTGTAGGATAAATGATGACGATGATCATAATACTTACTTATGTAGTGAGGTAAAGTGGGTTTTCATGTCGTCCTTCTGTCTGAGCATGACTGACGTCGTCGTGTCAGACATACTCACAATGCGTTTTCTTCACCGAAAAACAATACACTCGCACATGTTTTTTTCTTGGATAGTAGAGTACGACCCTCCTGGCTGTGACGACGCGGAATTCACGTACGACAACCCAAACTCGGCCTATGGGGCTATTGGTGCGGGGTGTATGGGTGTCACGGAGGACCACAATCCCCCCATTGGCGAGGCTTGTCCGACACAGCTCACCGATCCTCAGCGCGACGAGTATGCGGAAGACGGTACGTACGCTGGCGCGCACATGAGCCTGCTTGAGTCGCTGGGAATCGATCGCGTCGTCGACGATAAAAACCTCGGAGACGAGAAGGAGGGAAAGTGCAACATGGAAGATCTGAAGAATCTGTTCGAGAAGATGACGAGCGACGACGAAGCGCTGGTAAATATCCAGGATCAGGAAAGCGAAGCAGACCATCAGGTCGAAGTTCGCGAAGACGCCCTCAAGCACGGAAATGCCCACTTGTCGCTGGGCGACGTGACGGCAGCACAGATCATGCACAATGCGGACGTGAACGGCAATCCCACAAAGGATGGCCAATACCACGTCGACCAATTCGAGATGCAGGATTACATGTTGAACCTATCCAGGAAAAAACACCCGTCCCCATCCAATTTGTCATGCAGAACATGCATAAACATAAACTCCCGCGCTTGTCATGCAAGAAATGGATGGGGATGGGTGTTTCTTCCTGGATAGAACCACGCGTCCAAGGATGAGTGCGAGGCTGTTGGCGGAAGCGACTACTGGCTTGTATGGGAGTGCCAGAATCGAAATTGACAAAGTTGAAATAAGGGTGCCTCTATTGCAGAGGAGGCAAGGGAGGCAGATTATAGTCCTGGCACGGGGAGGATGCTGATGCAAGAGGATGCAAGGAAGGCCCTTTGCCCTAAACAGCCCGACAGATTCGCTTCCGGTGCGGGAGAAATTTATGATCTGTGTGTCCAACTACTGGCAGCGATTTTTTATGCTTTACACATTTTTCAACTTTGTGGATTTCGATCCTGAAACTGCCATAGCAGGTCGTGAACAAATACAGGCAATCGTCGGAGTACACGGAATACATGGAGGAATACAACGAAAACCTGAACACCGCTTACAAGTCTGCAAGAGAACCACAGTGGACAGGTGGACTGAAAGTGCCTTTTGTCGATTACAGTTGGTTAGCCACGGACGAGTCGCTACAACCCGGTCAGCAGGTGGGAATGCTTAACCAAGGACACTTCAGCACGACCGGCACCGATGACCAAAATCCCATGCCTGACTACCACGACATCCTGATGGACTCACTCGGGGATGATGCGGAGCATCCCGTCCACGCGGAGGACGTTGGCATCGACTTCAAATCGAAGCCAGGTGACGGTACGGATCAGGTCGACCCGTACCAGATGACCAAAGATCTCTTCGAGCAGTCAAATCAAAACGGCGGAACGGAGATGCACGGCTGGGAGCTAGCCACGCAAACTCGAGCCCACGACGACTACGAGGAGTTGACAGATGAGTTGACAGGGGTGAACGCGGCAGACACAGAAGATAAATTCAAAGCATTTTTCAACGACCACGACTCGTCGCATCACATGGCGCTGTACCGGACGCTCGGGGGACAAGGGCAACCAAGCGAGCACAACGTCGACGTTCTGTGGGACAAGTTGCAAGCAAAGGCGACTAGTAGTGAAAGTGTGGAAGATGTCGTTGGTCATTACATGTCCCCTCTCCTCAATCATGACAATGTGGATGACCTCCTCCATGTGGAAGGCGACGATCCGGAGGAAAGCCATGGCGTGCTTTCGCCTACCGTACCGCCGGGTGACGCGGTGCATGAAAGCATAGAACCTGCGCAAGCGGCGCCGACAGACGGGATTGCAGGCACCGGGATCTCGACGTGGACTGCCGGGGAATTGCTGGCTGTTGGTGCGACTGTTGGGGGTACTTTCTACTTAAAAAGCCAAGCAAAACGGAAAGCCAAGGCAGCGGCCTTGGAACAAAAAGCCTACGATGCCGAGATGAAGAAACTGCATACCGTGGCTGTACAGGAAGAGGAGGAACGCGTGAAAGCCGCTGCGGAGCAGGAGGCCGCCAGGTATGCGGCGTCCCCCGAGGGAATTGCTGCGCGGCTATCGAAAGGAGAAACCCCCCCTCCCCATAGCGGAAACGAAATTTGTGATGCTGTATTTGAGGTCACAAATCGACTTGTCATGCTAGAAGGCCAAGAGCCGCAGCAGTGGCCTCTTTTGCAGGCAATTTGTCATGCTGTTTCCCACTCTCAGCTGCCTCCTATCATGCTGAAGATGCAAGGCTTCCCCACGCCACCCAGCACTACAGTCCGCGTCTTTTCCCGTGTAGCATGACAAAGCTGATTTGTGACAACAAATCTGCATCACAGATTTCCGCTTTGATATGGGGAGGGGGGATTTTTCCTTTTGATAGCGGCAGAAGGCGGAGGACGAGGAGAGGTTATCCAGGAAAAAACACCCATCCCCATCCAATTTGTCATGCAAGACATGCATAAAAAAAGTCCACTCCACTATTTGTCATGCAAAACATGGATGGGGATGGGTGTTTTTTCCTGGATAGAGGTGGCGAAAAGCGCACGAGGCAATGCAGGAGAAATTCAAACCGCAGGCACGCGATGCGGCCTTGGAGGACCTCCGGAATCACAATTCCCCGGGCGCTTTTCTTCCTGCAGCGGAACAAGAAGATCGGCGCGCTGCCGCGCCTCTTTCAGTTGCAGATGAGTGGGGAACCGACGACGACGACGAGCGGCTTGCGAACAAGAAGAAACGGGAGCTGGACAAGCAGTTGATGGCGAAGCGAAAAGAGAAGGAAAAACGCGAGGGCGGGCGTGGTCGCTCAACGAGGGCAGACAAGATAGAGAAGCGTCGGCGTCACCGGAACAAGAATCGTAAACGTAGCGAATACGAAGAAGGCGACTACGCGGCCGCCAGCGCTGCATCTAGTACCTCGTCTTCGCTGCAAGTGGCAGAAGTGCCCAAGGACAAGGACGCGAAACATGTTATTGGTTCTGCAGCGGTATTGAGCCAGCGGGGGGTGGAGACTGACGATGAAGAAAATCGAGCCTCTGCTCCTATAGTTCCCGAAGAAGAAGGAGATTATTTGAAAACGACCTACAACACGGGCGGAAGGACTGAGGCAGTCGAAGACCTCAAGACGAAGCGCAGCGGCCACTTCAGTCATAATCTAGCGCTTGATGACCACGGGAGCGAAGCTGCAGACGCGAAACAACAAAATGCTGGCGCAACGAAGCAGCCACCGAATTTATCACCTGTTCCTCTGACCGATAAAGCGGAACACGAACAAATGATAAGGGCTCCCAACTACATCTTCGAAGACAAAAATTCGCTGGTGGACGAAGGCGACGAGTTACGAGAAACAGCAGACGAAGTTGACGGTGGAGAGGAGAGCAGCGACGACCAGGGCGATGAGGGCGACGAGCAGGAGTTTTCCTCGGAAGACGACGACGACTTTCCTAAGAACACCAACGGTCAAGAAATAGACCCATCATCTGAAGAGGAAGAGCTGCAGGAAGCCGAAGTTGCAGAAGTAGACGACGTGTTTGATGTCGAAAACGAAAAAAGAACGCCAACAGCAAAAACCGGTGAAAACAACAAGAGTGCTGCTGCTGCTGCTGCACTGCTTTTCTCGACGTCCGCCTCGCAAAAGCTGGAGTTTTTGGATGATGTCAAAGTACCACCACCAGCTTCCGAGGGCGGAAAAAGCGGTGGCTTTCGTCTCACAAGTCGCGCGCCAGGGACGGACAAATCCGGCTCAGAAGTGCACGCGCTTCCAGCCGATGAAGATGAAAGTGAAAATACTGACACGACGGTCATCAAAAGTAGGATGGGCAAATCAATGACGAACAGTGTAGGAGCTGAGGCAGGAGGAGCTGCTCGTAGTTCATCCTCAAGAGCAGAAACTAATGCAGCGGCATCTACTTATCGGTCCTCCACGGCAACAAGTCGCCCGGCTGGGGCGTCACTGCGTGGATCGAGTCGGGCCATGAAAATGCGCGACGTGGTCCTCGCGTCTTCAAATGTCGTGCAAGCACCAAACGCAAACGACGCTGCGCTCGGGGAATCCAGTTCCGAAGGAGAGGATGAGGCTGAGGAGGACGAGCAAGATGAACAGTATGAAAGACTTGCTGGTGCCGGCAGATCGTCCCATACCCGTAGCTTCCAAAACGATGGAGACCGGCCGAGGCACTACGAAAGGTTTGGCATCGCGTTAGAACAAGATGAACCCGCGATTGTTGATAGCACCAGCTTCCACCTGCCCGCAAGATCCAGCACAGGAAAAATTGCTACCTTCTTCGTCTTGCTCGTGCTCTTAGGAGGTCTTCTTGCAGTGTACTTTACGGACTTCGACCTTCGCGGAAGTGGGGCGCGATTGGTTATGCGGCTACAGGCGTTGCGGCTGCGCACCCTCGCACAGCCAGCCTTGGAGGGGGACAACAACAACATCACCGCGGACGAGTATCTTCCGGTAGCAGAATCCGGAGCTTCTCCCCAGTGCGCACAAGACGGGCGACTTGTAGTAGCTGGGGCGCTCCTCGACCAAGACGGTCGGGGACAACTACCTGCGTCCCGGAAAGTTCGATTTGCGAGGTTTATCGCCAAGGGAATCAGCTTTGTCCGCGAATCCGTTTGTTCTTTCGCAGCTGGCGGCGTAGCCAGCGCGGGCGAGGAGGAGGAGGGGGCGATAGTTGGGTTATTAGCTGCGGCCCCTGGTGGTCGTGCAGATACAACCACTTCTACTGGGGCAGCCACAGATGGCATCATCGACGGAGAGAACTCCATGCCGCGTTTGGAGGTCGGCGTTCCGCAGAATCATGTCAACGGAGCTGCTGATGTCCCCCCGGAGACTGTTGGTGCTGCTATAGGAGGTGCTGCACCCGGAACCATAAACAGAAGCGGTGCAGCAGTGCCAGCGCATTTGCTGTCCGCAGTTTCCACTTCTAACCACCGCCCTACTGGCCGCCGTTTTGTCGCTGGGGCGATCCCACGACTGAATCGCCCCCGAGCACCGGGGCGTGCCGCGAACGCCGAGCCCATCAATATCCGCCCGGCCGCAACATCAACATCTAGTACGAACTACGGCGGTGGCACGGGAGGAACTTTCGGCGACGATATTGTACTACCTGCCGGCGGCGCTGCGCACGCACACGCTAGAGGCGGTGTTCGGTTCTACCCCCGGGCGGCGCGTGGGAGAATTGCGTACAGGAACAATCAGCATGCGCTTCACGACCGCGTGAATCCCAACCGAAATACTCGAGCAGTGCCAGCTGGTTCCCCGATAGCAGGAACGCAGGAGCCAGCACAGCAAAACAGCGCGACCTCGTCTCACAATCATGGACGACAGCACAATGATCCTCCACTACAACAAGCGAATGAGTCGCGACAGCTACGGGGACGGGTGGTAGGAAGCTACGTCAACCCTTCTGCTGCTGCAGCTGCCGTGCAACAAGAGCAGAGTCGACGAGGTCGCTTCCGACCACAACAAGCACCTCCGCGGCGGCCATTGGTTATCGCTGAAAGAGGAGTACACGGCCGGCAGCGGCTTGTGGCAAATAACAACCAGCGGCTGTATAATGCGACGAGAGGGGCGACGAGTAGGAGTAATCCAAGCGCCGATTTCCAGAACGAAGCGATGTGCACCTCCGCTGCAGCAGGTGACCACGAGGACGAGGAGGACGAAGTTGCAAGAAACATCGCCGTCGAAAATAACTTTGTCACAGAGGACGACGATGAAGATGCATACGATGAAGTTGAAGACGAGGAAAACTCTCTACTTCTCGGAGTCGGAGATGAGCGCGATTATTTGTATGGCTACGAGGCAGGAGAGCTGGAGGATTATCAGTACGCAGATGAGGAGGACCTTGTGTTCGATGCGGGGCGTGACGACGAGTTGCAGTTGGACTTGCAAGATGATCAAGTAAACCAGCATTGGAACGTCGGTATAATTGGAGGCGCCGGGCGGCAAAACCACGCACCAGACACAGCGGGCTACGAAAATGGACGCGGACACGCGGCAGGGGGTCGTCGTGATGAAGAAGCTGATGGAGATGACCAAGAGGTGGAAGACGAATTTCTAGAAGAGGGCCCCGACCCCGAGCAGCAACATCAAGCAGAGGGTGCAACCGGCGTGCTACAGCGAGATGAACAAGATCATGAACGGAGCTCGGGACGACTCGATCGGCGCGCAGCCAAGAACGTCGATCGGCAAAACCGCTCTTCCTGAAGGACGGGGCGGAAGTCTTTGCAAGAAGAAGTAGAAGCTCTACTTCTTCTCTTCTTGCTTTTGATGTACTAGTACCGTGGTCATGCTGCAGGTGCACGTTCACTGAACGCAAAAGAAAGCGAATACTTCGAGCTTTCCAGGAAAGGTTTTGAATGATGAAACTAGGAAAACCACAAAAATTTTATTTACTTCTTTACAGTACTTTATGCTTATGCACCTAAGTGGAAATGCTAGAGGTTGAGAATAACCTTAACCACATGCATTCGCAGTTCTGATTTTACTCTCGCTATTCTAAACTAATGACAGGAATCTAACTTTGAAATGTGAAGAGCAACAAATGATGTACAAAATGTATAAGGCAAACCAAAAACGACCATGTATGAAATGAAAAGCCAACCCCAGCAACGATTTTTTCCCCTGTTTATGGAGCGCGCCGTGCATGCGCTTTTCCTTCTTTCAAGCCGAAAGAACCTTCTCACTTCCACCAAGAGAACGAGAAGTCTCGACGAGTCACTAATTTTGATGTATGTTGATACTATCTAGTTTATTGCCAACTCAGAGATTGAAATTAATAGCAATAGCAGTGGGCCAGGCCGTCAAAGTACGCAAAACAAATTAAAAAGCTGACTGTATATGAATGTACAAAGTTTGAAATAATCGCGCGCGAGTTTGCTTTTGTGTATTATATTGCGATGCATCGAGGTTGCACTAGTCCGGCGGGTCTTCCGGGGAGAGGAAGTCCCCGAGGCCTGGGGCCGGGCGGTGCTCACGATGCTTCACAAAAAAGGGGACAAGAGTCAGGCGCGGAACTACAGGCCGATCGCTCTGCTAACGTTTGGCGAGAAGCTTCTCGGCCTAATAATCCTCAAGCGGATCGAAACCGAAGCCGCGGCCACGATCGACAAACGGCAAAAGGGGTGCACGCGTGGGCTCAGTTGCAGGCACGGGGTCTTCCAGATCCTGCGCGACATGGAAAAATGCAAAAGGGAAGGGCGGCAGGTGTTTCTCGTCTTCGCTGACTTCCTGAAGGCGTTTGACAGTCTAAGCTGGGCGGTCATGTATAAGGTACTCCGGCGCCAGGGGCTGCCTGACTACATCGGCAATGTCGTGCGCAGCATGTACGATGGTCGGGCTACAGTCTGCATCCGGCTGGCGCGGGGCCGGCACACCAAGCACATCAAGCAGCGCGCAGGCATAAGGCAGGGCAGTTCGCTGTCCCCGCTCGTGTTTGCGATCGTGCTTGACTTCGCAATCGCTCAGTTTGCTGAAGTGATGAAAGAGGAAAAGTGCTGGTCCACCGCGCAGGCCCGGGGGTTTGCCATGGGGCTGCTCGGGTTTGTTGACGACCTTGTGGTAAAAACGGGGCGCGAAGAAGACGCACAGTTCGCAGTCCGGGAGTTGGCAGGGGCGTGCCGGTTCGTCGGGCTGGAACTCAATGCGGACAAGGGGAAAACGGAGGTCATGGTCGTCAACCAACCGAGCAAGGAACGAAAATACGAATACGCAATGACAGAGCGGAGCGTCATACCCGAAGAGGAAGGGGTCGCAACCACCGAGGGAACACTGGTAGAGTGAGACGGGGTGGACCTGCGAAAAGAATACAGGGATGCAGCGGCACAAGTGTGCACCCGCCGCATGGGGGATTTGAGCCCGACCCACTTGTTGATATGGGACAGCGGTCACTACAACGTGGTCAAGTTCAAGGCCTCCGGCTGGGTGATTCTGGATAACGGGAAGGCGATGCGGCTTACCCGCCTGGGGCGCAGGGAGTACATCCTCGACAAGCACAACGAACACCGATGCCCAAAGTGTGGGGATGTGTTGGACGACGCAAAGGCTCTGAAATACCACTTGGCGACCGGGTTCTGCAGAAAAGACAAAACGATCCACGAACAGAGAACCATACGGGTGGCCAGGGTGGTAGAGCAAAAGAAAAAAGGCGAAAGGGAATCCCCTGAGGCGGGGCCGGTCGACATCTGGCACGACGGGAAGCAGATCGCCTCGGTGGCGAGGTTTGTCTACCTGGGCACAGAAATAGACCGGAACGCAACCACTTCGTCGGAGACCCGACGGCGCTGCGCCATGGCCTTGAGCGTGGTGCGGTCGCTGTCAAAGATCTGGCGCGATAGGGAAATCCCGAAACACCTAAAAGCCGCCCTGTATAGATCGCTCTGCATCAGCGTGGCCCTCTACAATGCCGAAACTTGGGCGACAGCGGAAGCCGACGAGCAGACGCTCCGGAACTTCCAGAGGCAGGCGCTCAGGTTCATCCTCGGATACTGGGAGTGGCAGGAAGTGCCGCCAAAGGAAGAGATGCGCAAGGCATTGGGGGTGCAGACCATAGAAACCGAGCTTCGGGAAAAACGGATAGCGTGGATCGCCCATGCCGCTAGAGATCCGCACGGCGAGGGATCAATAACCCGCATCGAGGACGAGATCAAGGAAAAAACGAGATGGGGAAAGCTGGCGGCGGACGACCTTGACTACTACCGGGTCAAGGTCGCCGACCTGAAGGCGCAGCGGCCAACGGGGGCGGTGGTGCGAGAGATGATAGTGCGGCGCAGACCCTTCGCTACGGTGAAACGGGAACCAAAAAAGAAGGGCCCTGCACCGGGAAAACCGTCAAAGAGGTCCAGAGAGATGCAGGAAGAGAGGCGCCAGCGGTTGGAAAAACAGAGGGAAGAGCAGGCACAAGCTGCGCAGGCACTAGTAGACGCCCTGTCGGGAAAGCATTGGGAGCCATCGGGTAGCCGGGCGGGTTTTTGGGAGCTAGAAGAAGACCCGCAGTGCGTCTTCGAGGTCAGCGAGGTCTTCTTCTGCGAAAACACGGGGAAAGAGGAAGTAAATGTAGCCGGAGTGTGGTTCCAGAAGGAAGATGATGGCACATATATCCTCCGATAGGGAACGACTCCGAGAAGAAGGAAAAAACGAAGATGATAGAAATGCACGCACATCCACGATTCAATCGATTATTTCAGACTACAAGGACTGCTTTTTACTGAAACCGGATAAGCGTATGAACTGAACTGAACTGATGCATCGAGGAGTGTTGATGACCACGATAAACTACCAAGCAAACTACGAAACATTTGTTGATTCCTGCTATCGGGGCCGCTTTTGATAAAGCAGGGTAAAAATGTAGCCTATTCGTGGGGCAGCTGCAGAGATGAGAAAATTGCAAGGATAAACAAAGTCTCACCAGTTTTGGTCTGCACTCTGTATTTTTTTTGTGCCGTGCCGGTGAAAGCCGCAATGGTTCATTCGCTGTCGAAGTGTTGTCTTTTTGAAGATGTTCTTTAATTTTGCGTATCCACTTTGGGAGCCAAAGCCGCCGGAAGTTTGCCTTGTTGCAAGAGACCGAACACGATCATGCGCACGCTTCGAGATCATCGACGAACACAGTTGTCACGAGGACTTGTATTTGGAAGGCGGAGCCCACAGACTAAAGTGATTCAACTAAGGAATAGAAGGGTAGTGTCGGCATAATAAACTAAAAGTGTAGCTGCACTCATCTAAGCTAGGATCAAAGACAAAGGATATATGAAGATGAGGGAGTGAGAGAGCAGACAGAACTACAAGCAGAACGCCCGTACAAAAGATGGGCTTTTTTCCGACAGACTTCCGCCGCCGCCTCGCCGTTGAGCAAACGATTTTTGTGCAGTCCGGTGTGCCGTTTTCCGTCTTAGCTTGTTGCTTGTCCTCATTTCTTTTCCGTAAGTCTGAGCGGTTGCGCTCGTTGCTTTCGGCACTGAGTACTGGTCTTCTTGGGAACAACTACTGCCATGATGAACACTTTGGTCGACGTAATGACCGCAGTGATAGTTGTGCAGACGGAGCAGCTATCTTCCAGCGACTATTCGCGGCTGGCTTCCCGCTGCTCGTATATTTCGGCGGATACCTCATTCTGTTCCAGAAGCTGTTTCGTGAGAAGCTTTTGGGCCACCTACCGCCGCAGTTTTCCGGCGATGCCGCTCGAGCGGGGTGGCGCGACTTCGAACGGTACCGCCTGGCAGCGGAATATTTCTACATGAAAATCGTATTTGATGAAGATCATGACAATGACGACCCAGCAACATGTGAAGTTGAGAACTACCTCTTCGCCTGTCATCCGCACGGATTTTTTGTGTTTTCTGCCCTGTTTGCTTTGAGCACGAATGGGGCACTGGAGTTACGACCCAGTACCGAGCTGGACGGTTCGACGTCTCCATCAAACAAGGGAAACGAATCAGCAGGAATAAAATTGGAAGAGCCGACGGAACGGAAAACACTCGTCACGGTTTCGCAGACTCCAAGAGCCCCGGCAAAAAACGCAAATCCCTCCGTCAAGGACAACATTCTGCATCAAATCCGCCACAACTTTCGCTTCGCGGTGGCGGACTTTCCGTTTGTGGTTCCGGGCATGCGAGAGTACGGACTTTTCACCGGCGCCATTTCTCCAACCGTCGCGGCCATCCGACACAATCTGAGCAAAGCTTCGAAGGCCCGCTCCGTGGGACTCGTAATCGGCGGCGCGCAGGAGGCACTTTTAGCCGGACTGGGCGACGACAAAATGCGGCTCATCGTGAAGGACCGCTTTGGCTTCGTGCGGGAGGCGCTGCGGGCGCGCGTGAAAATCGTGCCAGTGCTACACTTCGGGGAGAATGCGCTGTGGGAACAGATATTTTGTGGCACGAGTGCACCACCACCAGCACCTGCAGCAAGAATTGGTGCCGGCGTCGAGGCTCCTCCTTCATCTCCCTCCGGTGGTGGAGGTGCTACGGACCACGATGCGTCAGCGTCGCCACCAGCACCTTCAGTCTCCTCGTTTGTGGAGTCGTTCGTCCGCAAGCTGCAACTCTGGCAGCTGAATACTCTTGGGATTGTCGTCCCGCTCTTCTGGCCCGGTCAGTTTCAGTTGGGTTTCGCCCCAAAGAAGGGACGCAAGCTCGTCACGGTGTTCGGAAAACCCTTTGACCCGTGGGCTTATCTTCGCCTGCAGGGGAAAGTTAAAAGCGCTCCGACGGCCACGGAAGCCGTGCCTTTGGGTGCTGAAAAAGATACAGGTACAGCTGGGGTTGAAAACACAGATCTCCAAAGGCGAGAACAAACTCATGAGTTAGAAAGAAAAACGAACGCAGCAGAAGAATCCTCGACGGTGCCTGTGGTGACAAACGAGATGACGGCAGTTGCGCACGAGGGATATTTGGAGCATCTGCGACAGTTACACTCAAAAACGGCACCTTTGTATGGGGAGAAATGCGATCAAGTGCTCGAGTTTCTTTCTTCGGAGGAAGCGAAGGCCGCGATGTATCAAGCTCACGGCTATATTGGTGGTGGTGGACAGAATTATACTACGAGCACGAAACCAGGCACAGAGTACCAGAAGCACAGGCAGAGCAAGCTTTGAGCTAGACAAAAAGAAAAAAATCAACTTGGTCAAAAAGATCATATTCGCACTCGGCATTAGAAACTACAAAAGGAGCGAGAACTACTCACTAGTACCGCAAGATGAAAGAGTCCAAAAACGAACGCAGACTGATGTCATCATGTATGATCTTGAGAAGATAGAACCTGACTCAGTTGTCATGGTCCAGAGTCATCTGCGTTGTCGTATCAGCCAGTCTTTTCGAAGCTGAGCATCATACGTTGATCTTGCGTTTGAGCTGTGACGCCAGCTTTCAAAAAAGCTTTGGCGTGGAGTCTAGCGATGATTTTCATGTTCATATTTTTTTTTTTTTCTTGTGTACTACGTACTGTACTACTCGAGAAGCCTTTTGCTTTTCCAATGGTGAAGCGATCTCGATTTCTATCCGCCTCTTCTTTGCTATTGTTGCATTTTTCTTGATAAAAGCACCAGCGGAGCCGATCATAAAAAATTAACACTTGGCAAAGATGTAGATGGTGGAGCCTCGTTTTTCGCTCTTGCTTTCAGTTGTACTTTTTTGACATAATTCCGACGCTTGTGCATCAACTTGCTACGCTTATAGGTATCTGATATCTTTTCCAATCGCAGCTGCGATGTGATAGTATCTTTTTGAGACTACATGTTGTTTTTCAAGTGGTACTTACTCATTTTCGCAATGGCGCAAGTCCAAGTGACAGAACAAATATAAAAAGCAGTTCTTCATCTCTGAGGCACAGGACCACCGTCGCAGTAAGTGTTAGGATAAGGATTGCAGCAGCACTACGTTCTAACAAACGAGCAAGATGGACGTTCTCGAGGAGTGTACCCAGGAGCTGCGGGATATGGCCGAGGAGCGGGACTGGAACCAGTTTCACACGCCGCGGAATATCCTCCTGGCCCTGGTCGGCGAGGTGGGCGAACTGGCGGAGCTGTTTCAGTGGCGGACGGACTTCACCTGCCAACGAAACCTCCCGGAGTGGAGCGACAAAGACCGTCAGAAGGTGCGGGACGAGGTGGCGGACGTGTTTGCGTACGTGGTCCGCTTTGCGGACTTGTGCGGCATTAACCTGTTGGCTGCGTTTCGAGAAAAGATGGTCAAGAACCGGGCGAAGTATCCGGTCGAGTTGTGCTATCCACAGTAAATTTCCCGTACACGTACACATGCGGTCTCTGCATGAGAAAACTTGGCTTCGATCCTAGTTTAATAGCATGGCAAGTTTTACGCTTCAAATTGGTGAAATTTGTGATGCATGTTGTACATGTACGGGAAATTTTTTGTATTGCATATGTGCTACGGTAAAAGCACCAAGTACAACGAACTGGAGGCTGCCGAGCGACGGGTAGATAGATCACCGTCTGTTCTTGTCGAAAATCAAGCACTACAACCCCACACAGGAATAGGGCTTAAGCTTATAGTACCTCCGTCGAAAAATGATAATTATACGACGAGCCCTGCTGGCGTGCCAAACCCGCAATCGAATGTGGCTGCTTCGTCCAGACAGCCCCCGAAACCCCCTACGGTGCAAAAACGGAAAAATAATCTGGAATCAAACAATTTCGGCGCACACCAGCTCGGCGGCGCCATGGCTATTCCAACAACATCAGGATCACCAGCAGCGAGTAGTGGCAAAATAAATGGGACGAATACCAACCCGAATAAAAGCATTACGTTCGAAGACATTTGCGCCACCAAATCCGCAAACAGGTCAAGCAACGTCAATGCGAATGGCACTTTCACCGGTGGCGGCAGTGCCACTGCGAGACCAGGTCATCAAAACCCAAACACTTCTTTTCAGCCGCATCCCGGGGGAATTGTGGACCCCGGCTCCGCGACGACGGTGGCAGTGCGGTTCGGGGACGTAGCCGGTGCCGGGTATTCTGCTTTTTCTGCCTCAAGTTCCTCGCCTCACACCGGAGGTCCTCCGCAGCACCTTGCTCCTCCCGGCGCCATGTTCAAGAATCAACGTGATCTGCAGATGAAACCTTCCCCCCTTTCACGCGTGCCCGTCTTGCAACCACCGCCAAGCAACCGACTCGCAGGTAGAGGGCAGAATGCCGTGGGACGATCGTCCTCGTCCTCCTCATCCTCGGCGGGTGAGGCTTCTGGGGTGAACGGAACCGCCTCGCAAAAGGGCGCGGAGGAGTCATCTCGTCAATCCTCTTCTTCCCGGTCAGGAAACGAGGAATCAAGAGGGACAGGTGCTTGTTTGAAGAGCGGTGCAGCAGCAACGAGCACGGTTGGGCGTGCGGGCCGGGGTTCAGGGAGCTTCGGGCGGTTTGTGGAGCAGCGCCAGCAGAAGCAGCAGTTTCTGCCCGAGCCACCCCCACCCATGATAGTGCCTCCAGGACAAAGTGGAGCCACGGCACTTGAAACGCCCGTAATTGAACCGGTCAAAACGAATAACCCGTTTCTGGAGGATGTCACAGTTGAGGCATTTTCGAGCGACGAATTAGGTGTTGATCGGGGTCGGGGAGTGACGAAAAATTCCAGCACCTACAACATGGACAGGACGATCCACTGCGAGCAGGAGATTGAAGAAGGAACCACTGGTGCCAGTGGAGAAAAACGCCAGCGAACGACAGTCACAAGACCGATTGCCCCAGCTAGTAGTGCTGTTGCCGCCCAGGATCTTCCCGGGTCTGTGTCGATGTATGGCGTGCCTGGGAGGGGGCCGTGCGGTCCGTCGTCGCAGGCCTAGTAGAAGAGGATTCTGTCGTGGTGTGCTGTATCACTCGTGTGATTTTATGGATATGATTGTGCTGGTGGCCCCTGCAGCAGTCGCCGCTCCGCTGTATCAAATATTATTCGAGGATGAAGTAGAACAACAAAAGCGCATATGTTGTTCTTGATCTTGTTTTTTCGTTTTCATTTTGATGTAAAGGTAAAGCGCTAGTAACGCTAAGGTGTGCGTGTCAAACTGAAGTAGTGTCTAGCTCTAGTGGTTTTCGAATAATCATTATTCCGCCATTGATTAAGAAACACAGAGAGCACACGGAGAATCACATTCGGGCTACCAAAAGTGAAGCGTTCATTTCTGGGCCTCCTCCCTCCGTTTTTCAAGTGTTCAGCTTAAGATCATCCCTTTTCCAAACCAGCATCGAGAAGAGTGGTGAGTGTTTGCTTTCTGTCCGTGTCCGTTCAATATATGATAGCCGCGAAAATAAACAAAAGCACCGGGCATGTCAAGAGCAATTGTGGATTTTCGACTTGGTCTTGGTCGCGCAGCAACTAAGTACAGTGATTCATGATACGCATACCTTAGGAAATAGACAGGAGTTTCTCAACCGAGTACAAGACGCTCGAAGATGTTCCCACGATCCCGGAAAGCCGTGTTTGTCACGCTAGAGTACGCAGACCCGATCTTTAGTGGCAATGGCGTGTATAGCCGGTCGATCGTGCAGGGTCTGCTGGCGAAAGGCTTTGACGTGCTCGTTCTTTGCGGCACCGACGGAGATGCCACCTCCAGCAGGTATGATCCCTTTTCTCCGTGTGACCAAGAGGCTGGCCTCGTGGTTCCGGAAAACGGGAGCCGACGCCAACAGCAGAAGGACGTTGTTAGTACTAGAGACTCAAACCCTATTAACCAGTCCGGGAGGCTGAAGGTCGTGGCTTTCCCGCTCAAAACGTGGAGGCGCTTGGACCGAGGGTCGGACTGGGAGGGGTTGTGCACCCACGTCGAGCACAACTTCGACCGAGTTTGTCAAGAAATCGATCTACTGTGTGGTACAAGCTGGCGCACTTCACCAACTACGCCGCCGGGGGAAGAACGAAATACAGAGGCGGTAGCTGCAGATCAACATGATGCAGCTACCGCTAGTACGAAGAACACCGACGCACCGCTTCCGTACCTGATCGCTGTGGACTGGACGGGCGCACACACGGCGGCGCGGTTGCAAGCAGCTCTGGCTGCGAAGCACGGCGGAAATGTGCTCGCAAAGCAGTTCCAGCAGTCGATCTTGTTTGTTTTTCGTATCTTCTGCGCTTCCACCTGTTTCGAGTTTTCCGCGGACGACCGGGCGTTTTACCGGTCGATGGAAACGAAGGCCGCTACCGAGTTCGCGGACAAAATAATTTGCTGTAGCACCATCGACTGCGAGCTACTGAAAACAAGTTTGGGCATAATTGACGCTTTCGCGTCCGAGAACGGCGAAGACGAAAAGATTGGTCCTGCCCCGCCAGCAGCAGCACCTATATTATCGCTGAATCCACCACTGCGAGAAGGCTTCGAGGAAAGTGTGAAGGCCGCAGTTGTTCCGGAAACGAAGCAGCCACCAGCTACGCGAAGCAAGCTGCTTTGCTGCTGCCGATTGTCTCCAGAAAAGCGGGTGGATTTTTTTGTGGACGTCTTGTGCACACAGAAAGTCCAGGACTTTCTTCGTCAAGTAAATGAAGTTCTTCCAGCTACACTAGAACACTCAGCACCAGAAAAATTGCAAGTAGACGACGCCTCTACAACTTCCACCATAATTACCCAAGCCGAAGGCCAAAGCGAACTTCTGGTTCTGTGCGAAGCAAAATATTCTTCTTCTTCTTCAAACCCGAGACGAGCAGTGGTCGTTCCTTACATTATCGGCTCCGCCAATACCCCTTGGGCACAGGAGCACGTGATCGACAGGTTACGAACCACCGGTGCCTATCGGCTCGTTTTCGAAACGCGCGGGACACCAACCGCCGCAGCGCCAGGTGATGGATCTGATGGACAAGCGCATCAACAAGAAAATGATCCCCGTCCAAAAATCATCATACGTGATTTCATGGCAGCTGACGAGCTGAGAGCGGTTTTCAAAGAAACAATTTTGAATTTCCATCCGGCCTTGTACGATTCCTACGCTATGACGATAGTGGAGGCAGCGGCTTGCGGGACGCCTAGTCTACTGCACCGGGAGAACACGGTCGGCGCGGCTGACGTGTTGGGGGAAGAGGGTATCTATCGTGTCGGCATGACTGATTGCGAAGCTTGTGCAGATCGACTCATTGAGATATTGAAGAATGAATTAGAGGTAGCTAAAACTACTAGTACTTCTGAGGAACAATTCGAAGGAATTGGAACTAGTACAACTAGCACGAAGAAGAATTATGCACTGCCGAGTACAGATGTCGCTAGCTGCGCACAGCGAAAAGCCTTAGCATACAGTACTAGCGAGTTCTCTGCCAGTCTGGAAAATTTGATAGTCTCACCAGCTGCCAATGGGCGTGAACAACTGGACCCATTACAATTACGAGGTAAAGAGAAATGAAACAGCAATCACTTCTACGTTTCGCTGATGGTATGTTTTTCGTACTGTGAAAGTTGCCGACTCTGTGCTCGCGCTCGGTGTTGATGACTAAACGCACACAAACGCAAACCTGAGGCGTGAACGGAAATAAGATGCAAGCGACCAAGGTTTTTTTTTCCCAATGTTGATGGTGTAGCTTTGCATTTCTCTAGTTTTAAGCTAAATCTTCTTGAGAACGATCTGATCAGTGCTTGAGAGCAGGACAGGAGAGACAATCAATTTGATACTGAGAGAAACAAAATCCTCGACGAGAAAACTCAATCTTAAACACAGAAAGATTTTGATTCAAAGGAGTTTCCGGTCTTTGTCAGGGAATAGAGCGCACCCAACGTGAGCTACCAGCTTCCCATTTGGAGGCAGTGCGGACGAGCAGGCACAGGACGAGGCTGCCCTATTCACATGAAGAAAATTTCGACCGACGCAGCCGAGCTTGGCATTCGGCCATTGGGCCGATGCGTGGTCACTGGGGGGCGCGGCTGGGTCGGAAAGCGTTTGGTTCACTATTTGCAAGAGAACGCTGCTGCATTTGGCGTGACAGAAATCATTTCCGCCGACATTGCGCCTTTGTCGTCTTCCAAAAGGTTGTCTACGACCCCTCGAGATGAAGAAGATCAAGATCGAAAGTGTGCAGAAGCGAAGATGAACAATCTTCAAGTGTCTATTTCAGCCGCGTCTAATAGCACGAACAACGAATTTCCGCACGTCCGAGAAGTGATTTGCGACGTATCAAATTCTGAAGCCGAGGTCACAGCGCAGCTTTTCACCGAAGACAAAGGGGAACGAGTAGACACCGTTTTCCATCTGGCAGCCGTTATTGACCTTCGCACAGAAAAACAGTCCTACTTCGATCACTGTTTGCGCGTCAACTGTGTCGGGACGGAAAATGTTTACAAGGCCTTTTGCAGTAATGCGGTCAATAAAGCTGCAGGAAAGAGTTGTGTAAAGTCGTCCGCAACCGCACCAGCGAGAACCTCAAGCCCTGGGTGGTCTCCTGCGGGGACAACGAGCACCGAGGACGTCGCCTTGGCTCTCAGCTCCGATCGAACAAGCTCCAGCACCTTTGAAGAAGTCTTAGAAGATGCAGGCTGCAGGATCCCTGTTGGAAAAGCTCGCATGATCCACGTAAGCTCTCACGATGCGACTTACAACTACGATGCCAAGCGGAATTCCAGTGCCAAACCATTTCTAAAAATGACGGCCTACGGTTCCTCGTTGCAGATAAACTCTCCCTGTCCCTACGCCCGAAGCAAAGCGCGAACTGAGAAAAGGCTACAGGACTTGCACGCTGGAGCGAACCATGTGGTCGCTCACGTTAAACAAGAGAACAGTAACAGTGACCGGATTTCTTGCAGCGCCACCTCCTGCGTCGATGGTCATGTTGCGGAAGATCCACAAGAACCCAGCAGCGCTAATGTCAACAACATCGACCTGATTTGCGTCCGCCCGACACACGTGTGCGATTTCGGAGAACAATTCTTGCTTGATCCGGTTGCGCGGGACCTGAGCACTGTCCCTTTTCGCATTTCGTGCGCGCGAGACAAAAAGATGTCGTTCGTTTCAGTAGAAACGCTGGTCATTGCGCTGGTACAGGCGGCGAGGGTTGTGGATGCCGCTCGTGTAAACGATCGAGATGCAAAGGCTAGTGGTAGTGTGCTGACTTCTGCATCTCCAGCATTCCCGGTTTACTACGTGAAAGATTTGGACTGCAATTTCTTCGATTTTTACTTCCGCTACGCGCGGAAGCCGATGCAATTCTCCCCGGCAAGCAGCACGAGAAGCAGAAGACATGCGGCGAGAATCCGAAGAAAATCTGCAAAATGTCAAATTTATCTCCCCGCACCGTTCCTCCTAGCCGTTGCCTGGTTAGCGGACGTAGTCTGGCTTGGCGTGTATTCTGTCTTTCGGGGACGCATATTTGAGCGCCATCCCTTTTTGGGCCTTCGGTACAACGGGGTCTGGTTGCCTTGCTCGGATATGATTTCCGATGATGCAGAAGCAAGGAGGAGACTCCAGTACAGAAGTAATCAGAAATTGGTTGAAATGGTAGGACTTTCGGACGATGATGGATGTTGTGAAGCAGATGACGATGCTCTTCTTGCAGCGCGTTTGATGAAGGGAGAGGGGCTAGCATATCAATCCACTTCAGAAATGAAAAAATCTAGCAAGGAGCTCGCTAAGAAACAAAAATGTAAAGCACTCGACCATGGCTATGGTAATCATGCCCAGAATCTGGCATTGTAGGCAACAAGCATTGTCACTCCCTCGGCGCGTACTCACCTAAAGCTGGCGTCGCCGTCGCCATGCTGTTCCGTCTGTCTGAGAAGCGTCAGTGATAAGTGGAGTAACCATATTTTTGAATGATCTTCCGGTCCTCCTGCTGTTTCTATTCATGCGATCACGCATTCATCTGATATCACTAGCACTCGCTGTCGCGCACCAGACGGACGGATATTTTCAGTTTTAGAGAATGTTTTGACAATTAACGACACTGAATAACGCCAAAAACACCTCAAGAGTAGCTCCGATCATTTTTTGAGAACTGGTCTTGGATCCCTTTCATCATTTGAAGATCTTTACAAAAGGTAAGACCCATGCTGGACGACGTTGTCGTGGCCATCAGCATCACAAGAACCAAACGGCGCAGATCCTCCTGTGCATGCCGTCTTTGAATAACGTGGTCTTTTTCGTTTTCATTTCTATCCCACGCAAGTTTCTTTGTGATCTGACATTTTAGTCCTAGAAATCGAAATACAGGCATTTTTCTATCACATACCCTCCTGACTGCCCCTCTATTCGTCTATGAAGTTGAAGTTAGTACATGATTATGAAAAAATCCACACAGACACACATTCCCCTTACCAGCCAGCAAACATCAACTTGACAAGCGCGGTCAAGATCATGAGCTATCCCCCGCCACGAAACAAGAACAGAAGCATGATTGCTAGGCAGAACTACAGAAACAGAGAACGCGTAAAAGATGCGACTCTCGACCCCAAACCACGTTCTTTCCACCCTGTGGGGAAAATAAAGCCGAAAGTAGAATAGTCTACTAGTTCTCCCTCTGCCGTCTTAGCCTATCGGCATCAGAAAAGCAAACAATATCGCACAACTTGATATCTCGTCATGGCAACTTCTCGGAAAGCGAAATTTCGCAAGCTGGCGTCGGCTGACAGCCTGCACAATTCGAACACGAGTGGAGATCTGGACATCAACATCGTGACACAGCAGCACCGGCGCGGCCACACAGCCAGTCCACCTCCTGGTGCTAACGGTGGTCACAATAACAATTCCGAAGATGACTCCTCGGACGCCGAAGTTGATGGCGACGCGTACTCCTCAGAGGAGGACGAAGACTATTTGTCCAGCGAGTCCGAGTTTGTGCCGCAAGCGAACTACGCTGGCCTGGACGGAAACAAAGACGAGCTGGAGGATGATTTCGGTGCAATCCAGGACGACGATCTCGACTTCTCGTTCTCAACATCAAGGAACCCAATATTAACTCGGAGGAGTGTCGGGCGAGGGAGCGTTGGGAGGAAACAAACCAGGAGGAAACGCTCGCGGTCATCTGGCGGCTTTATGTTTATTAACGGCCGCACTCAGCATGAAAGAGTCTTCGCGGGAGGAGCAGCAGAAGGTCAAGACGATAGTACCAGCGGTGAACAGCACCAGCGAGAGATGAAAACTCTGGAGCAGCAAAAAAAGGCAGAATTCCAGCAAAGCCAGAAGCAGCAGCAGTTTCAGGCGGCGGCGTCGCTGTTCAAGAACCTGAAGAACAAGGTCGCCGGTCACATTATTTGGAACGCGTTTCAGGACCTGTTTGTCAAGAACCGATCGAAATTCGATCCACGAAAGCTCGCAGCCCACAAACTGAAGGACGAAATCGCGATCGTGGATACCTGGGTCGAGCAGGGGCGAAAGGAACGGTGGGCGGTGGAAGAGACGAGTCTGTCGAAGGAGAACCATACGACCACCATCTTGAAGGCAATTCTCGGCGGAAAGGGCGGCGGGAGGTTAGGCGTTGGCTTGGGGACTTCTAGTGCCGCCAGCGCACAGCATTTAGCCCAGCAACTTCTTGACATGTCCAGCACCTCCAACGCCGCGGCGATCGGCAGCAAGCAGAAGCAACAACGAACAAAAGAGAACTTTGGATCCGCTTCTGCTGCTGCGGATAGCAAAAACGTGGAAACGGAAATAGGCCTGCATTTGCTGCTCGGAAGCGGGGAGAAGGCTGTGGCGACCGTGAACGCGATCTTGCTGCAACTACACGCGGAGCTGGCGGATACGATCGCGCGAGCAGCGCTGCGAAATATCGAAGAAGTGGAGGGCCCAGCGTTGAGCAGTACTTATTTGACGCTAGTTTTGCGCGTTTATTTTTTTTTTTGGTTTCATGATCTTCCACTTCTTACTTTTCTCGATTTGCAAAATAGTTTTTCGGAACAACGAACAAGTAAAGTGTTGCCGCCGCTTGCTGGTCGTCTCGCACTCCAATTAGGAGATGCAACGGCACGACTCGCAACCTCATTTGTCGACAGTCCTGACAGAAAAAATCCATTTGAATTCATAACATGCACACTTCAGCCGCGGAGCTTCAGCGCCAGCGCGACAACCGAACTTCCCGCTTCAAAATGGCGACTGCAGGAACCTCAGCTGCCACAGCAAAAGACGCAGTTGGTGCTGATGACCACGCAGAAAAGGTTGATCAGGACGAAAACCCGGCAGGAGCTGCGGAACAGAACAAGGATGAGGATGAAGAGGAAGACTCCGCGTCTGACATAACAATTCCAGATAAAGAGAAAGAGCGGCTGGAGCGGGTCAGTAAAGTTGCCGAGGTCACGAACCCGCTCACCCTGGAAGTCGACGTCCCCACCTCGGTTTTGTCGTCAATTTCTGCGCTTGCCAGTATTTCTTCTGGTGGAACTGTGCCGAGCGGGACCGTTTTTGGTGACCATGATCCATTGACCAGCTCCTCCTCCCCAGCGACGCTTTACGACTTTTGCTCCTCACAGCTCGCGCTCCCAGCGGAAGGTGCAGGTGGCATCAACGACCAGCAGCCTGACGATTTTTTTGTGAGTAATTTTGTGCGGGCCATGGAGCGCAACGCCAGCACAATGACAATGGATCGCAACGTGAGCGCGGTCACTGCCGGCACAGTGGGCGGCACAGCCAGCCTCGCAAGCGACGCAGCAGTCGCCTTTCCCCCACCACTGCCCTCTCCACTAGCTTCGACGGCCACTGTAGGAGGATCGTTAGGCGCGCAACTGCAAAAGGCCCAACGGCAACAGTTCTACCTCTTATCCGCTCTAGTATACGGCTCAGATGCTGGAGGTTCAGGGGTTGTTGACCAGAGCGGAGGTCCAGTTGTGAGCAGTGAAGGGGCAGCACCAGGAGCAGACTCTGACCGAAACAATGTTGCATCTTCTCAAGCGAGAAAATCACCAGAGGTGTCGAGCGAACAAAGGCAGTTGTATTCGAGGCAGTTTCAAGCACTGGCGCAAGCGCGAATCAAGATTGTCAACGTGGACCCCGGATCCGCACACGAAATGCTGAAGAAGCGCAAGGTTTCGCATAAGCTGCGACAGGTTTTGGACCGGGTGCAGCAGCAGACGTTGCGGGAAAGGGAAAGACTCCGCGGCATACAGGAACTACTGAAAGCGATCGGCGGAGGAGGATCCGGACAACCACCCGCTCTTGAGGATGTTACACCAGGAGAGACGAAGAAGAAAAAAAAGCGCAAATCAGAGAAGTCTCCAAAGAAGAAGAAGCGAGAACAGGCGGGAAAGACCGATGAAGATGATCAGGAAGAGCGCGGCGTCGATGAGGAAATTATTGAGCTGGAGGACGACGAGCAACTACCTGCTGCAACGCTTGACGCACCGCCCACGAACAACAGGGCGGATAACGAGCCACGAACAACAACTATGGGAAATTCTACGGGTGCAGAGGACGCAAGCAAAGTAGCTGGAGAAGAAGATCCAGACTCACCTGCTCCTGCGCTGGAGGACATCGAGTTTTCGATCGAGGACGACGCACTGGACGAGTTGTCATCCTCTCTCGCATCAAGCGACAGCGAGGACGATGATGCCAACACGACCGGTGACGAGATGATGAAAACTTCCCGCAAAACCAAGTCCAAGAAAAACAAAAGAAAAACTAAAACTCCGAAGCAGTTCACGGGTTTGAGCAAAAAAACGAGGCTCGAAGACCTGCTTTTAGACGTTCAGCAGCAGCAGCAGTCATCGAGCGACATCTTTTGCCACCCTGTCAACAGTGACGGGAATCCTTTTGCGACGGGACCAGATTTCGGGCCTTCAGACATCGATCTTCTCGGAGACGGCGGTGCGCAAGGTGGTAAGACAAAAAAGCAGAACTGGACGTCTCGGCTGAATTTGAACGAGTCCAAAGGCCTCTTATCCCATCCGACCTTTCGGCAATTGATGCACAACGAGACCCAGGATCAAGTGATTGAGTTGGTCGGAAGCACGTCGTTTCGACACAAGCAGGCGATCAAAGATTTCGAAAACAAGTCGATCGCGCACACGGAATACTGCGAATTTCGCACGCGGCAGCAGTGCGAGCACAACCGCGGGCCCGGGGTGGTGTGCAAAAAGATCCACTTCAAACGCGTGATCCGCCCCTGGACGGAGTTGGCACTGGGGGATTGCAGTTACTTGAACACCTGCAGGAAAATGAACACTTGCAAATACGTGCACTACACCCTGGATCTCACCTTCTCGCAGACGCAAGAAATCTCCAGCAAGCTGGGCCAGAACTTCGCCTCCAGCAACCAAAACGCCGCCAGAGGTGGGGGTGAGGGCGGAACAGCTAACGACGACAGTACTAACGCCAACAAAACCAACAACGCAAATGCGTTGTTGAATGTGGAAGCACAGGACGCGCGGAAAATCAACGAGTTGCAGATCCGCCACGCGCTCCCTTCGCAGTGGATCAATTGCGACGTGCGGTCGTTCGATTTTGGCATTCTGCACAACCAGGTGGATGTGATCATGGCGGACCCACCGTGGCACATCCACATGGAGCTTCCCTACGGCACGTTGACGGACGACGAGATGCGGTCCCTACCGATCGAGAAGGTGCACGACAACGGCATGATTTTCCTGTGGGTGACCGGGCGCGCCGCGGAGCTGGCTCGGGATTGCATGAAAAAGTGGGGCTACAAGCGCGTCGAGGAGATCATCTGGGTGAAAACGAACCAGCTGCAGCGCGTGATTCGCACTGGGCGCACGGGCCACTGGCTAAACCACAGCAAGGAACACTGCATCGTGGGGATCAAGGGGAAGCCGCGCGGCATGAACCGCAATCTGGACTGCGACGTCATCGTGTCCGAGGTGCGCGAGACCTCGCGCAAGCCGGACGAAGTGTACAACCTGATCGAGCGTATGTTCCCGACCTCCCTGAAACTCGAGATCTTTGGTCGCCCGCACAACGCGCACCGGAACTGGGTCACGTTGGGCAATCAGCTACTGGGTGTGCACTTGTGCAACGAGGAGTTGGTGCGGAGGTACAACGAAAACTGCCTCAAGGACGGGGAGCCCCCGGTCGAGCCGTTTGACCCCAACGACCCGAACGAAGCAAATCGTATTGACTTTTTTACATGATTTTTCGACCACCTTTGTTTTGGTCTTAATCTTGTTCTGCCTATCTCATTGCTCATGGTCATGCGTCTTTGATACGAAAAGCGATCTTTCCTCTGCCAGTACTTGTGTACCAAGTACTGAACAAGATAGTACAGCAGAATGTTGATCGTCGGATGCTAATTTTGATATTTTGTATATTATAAACATAAGCGTACATGATGACACCCGTATAGAATCTGCTTACCAAGTCTGACCCACTTAGTGAGGAGAAACTATCTCATCGCCAGAACTGATCACTTACAATGAAAACTTTCACGTTGAACGTTCGGATTTCACTGCCGAAAGCTCTCTCCTCAACACCACTCCATTGTGATTGTTGATGATCAGCGTTGTGTAAGCGGCCACGTCTACGTCGGGCTAGATCAAAAGAAAGAGATCAAACCGTGATGACACCCGTTAGAATCTGCTTACCAAGTCCGATATTGACTACGTGAGGAGAAAACTATCTCATCGCCAGAACTGACTCTCAGCATCAGCACACTCACGCACTCGCCTACGTGGCTACTTTCTATCTCATTTTTTGTCGTATTGCAATGATGAGCCACAATTTAGATGACGAGTCGGATTTCCATTCTAGCGATGGGAGGTTTTTGCGTTCTGCAAAACCTGCCTCGCGACCCAACTTGTCAGGACGAAAAATCGAGGCATTTGGCTGAGTTAAGTTCTCGTTATTTGCGCAAATAAGCTGCAACATTCCCTCTAAGCGATATGCATATGATGTGTATTTCGTTGCATTTCGCGGTGCAAGGTAAAACGCATGATGAGACACAATTTAGATGACGAGTCGGATTTCCATTCTAGTGGCTAACGGCGAACGCGTTCTGCGTTCCTTGTTTCCGCGACCCAACTTGTCAGGACGAAAAATCGAGGCATTTGTCTGAGCATTTGCATGTATGTTAAAACAGCGGCACACAGAAAAATTCCCATTCGTTTTGCATGTGTCGCGTCTTCTACAACTTTCGTCCTCGCACCAGGGTGATGTATTTGTTGCAGTAGTACAGAAAGACAAAGTAGAAATTTCGTCTATTCAGAACAGAAGTGAAAGTGCATGTGTTGCATCTTCTACCAGTTGAAAAACATAAATGTATCAGGTGTGGCCTGTGCCGACGAATTACCTCCAGAACCCGAGGAAGAGGCGAAGCGCATCCGTGACGGTGGGAAACCCATGGCGCTGACCGATAGTGGCCAACAAGGACAGCAGCAGTATGGTAACGCTGCAGCCACAAATGCGGTTGGAGGCAAAAACGGCAGCAATTACGGGCAGCAGCAGTACAACCCCAATTCAGGAGGTGGCGGGAAGCAAGGATACAACAACTTTGGGGGACATCATCAACAGCACCACTACCAGCACCAGCAGGGCAAGAATTACAACAGCAACCAAAAGCGAGGCGGAGGCGCTTGGCAGCCTCCGACGTCAAGCAGCAGTAAGCACGGAGGTGCTGGGTCAACATATGCTACTTCCGCGAGACCAGGACCACCACCAGCCACTGGCGCTTGGCAGCCACCTGCAGCTGGAGGCGGAGGTCCTCATCCTCTGGGCGGCGGTAAGAAGGGAGCTGCACCTCCTGGCGGAGGTGGTCCACCAACTGCGGCTGGTGCGGGGGGGCCCGCGATGGGTGCATGGGTGCCGCCGCTGGCGGTTCCAGCACCCGGAGCCAACATCAAGGGCGTAGCTCCCGTCACCGCAACCAGTTCCTCGGCCGTTTACTCGAATTTTGCTCCGCCGACGCCCCCGAAAAACCGCAAAGAAAGTGCGGAATTTCGGACCGGAACGCAAGACAAGCCACCATCAGTTTTACAACCTGTAATTCCGACTACAAACGCAACTAGTAGCGCCTCTGCGCATAATATTAAGGGATCATCTTCCTCTCTTCCGGCCAATGCAGTACCGGTTGCAACTTCAACTGGTAAAAACCAGCAGAAGTCGAGCTCATCACACACGGTGCTTGCGGCGTCCTCCAATGCTGCGCTCGGCGGACCTGTTGCGCAGCCAGCCATGGTTGTTGTTGGTAGCTCGTCGACGGCAACGGCGGGCGGGGCTGCAGCAGGAGCAACAATATCAGCTTCAACATCCGTTCCTGCAGGTGGTGCCGCACAGAATTCCTGGAAGCCGCCTGGATCTGCGGCCGCGTCAGGCAGCAGCGCTCAACAACAGCAACAAGCATCTTCTGGAACCACCACGAATGCTGCCACAGGTGCGGTCGTCACGAACATGATCGCCTCCTCCTCGTCAATGGCGCCTGGAACGACGAGCCACGGTGCGGCTGGTGGTCCGAAACCGGTCTGGGGCCAGCAGACGACTTGGTCTCAAAAATCTCCTGAGGGGGAAGGTAATTCTTCCGGCTGGGACAATCTTGTTGCTGGAACGGGGACTGGGTCGTCCGCTAGTGCCGGCGCAGCCGCAGACGCCCATGCAAAGCACCCAGCAGGAGTGCCGATTGCGACCTCGGGAACTTCTGGTACTAGAGAGCAACGAGCCCAGAGTGGGCAAGTCCCTGGAACGAATCCGCCTACGCTTCCCGCTGGAGCGCAGGTGCTCGTTTCCAGCAGCGGCCCAACTATCGCGTCGTCCTCTGGAAGCAGGGTCGTGCCGACGGTTATTGGTAGCTCCTCTGTGCAGCCGGTTGGGCAAGTTTTGGTCAGCAGCAGTGGTCCACCGCGACCTCCACCTGGTACGGCTATAGCGTCCTCAACGCCAGGAGCAGCTGTCGGAACTACGACAAGTCAGCCTCAAGTCTTGATCAGCAGTAGCAGCTCTGCCCCCTTTCATCAACAGCAGCGGCCATTGAGTAGTAGTGGTGCTGGTCCACATCAACCACACGTAGTTCTCGGCAGTAGTTCCAAAGGCGGACACCCTCCGAATGCACAACAGCACCAACCCATGGTGATAATGTCCAGCTCTACAACGACCCTGAACGCTCCCCCGTCGAGCAGTGGCGTGATACAGCCTCCTTCCTCGTCGAAGGGCGTTCCGATGTATCATTCGCCCGGGGGACCGGCTGCGCACAACCATAACCAACCACCTCCCCCAATCCAGAGCTACGGAAAGAGCCCCATGGGCGACGCGGCCGCCGCAAATGGCGCAAATAAAGACGGGTTTCAACATCCGGGAGGGAAGAATTTCTTTTCCGGAGGATACAACCATGGTGGCCAACATCAACAGCAATATCCTCATGGAGGAGCTCAGCACCACCATCATGGTGGTGGCAAAAGCGGCGGGAAAAAGAAAGATCACCAAAGAGGCGGCTACCACGGGCACGGCTATTATGGCGGTGGTAAAAATAGTTATGGAGGAGGACAGCAAGACTACGACAACCCAAACGACATTCCGCTTGGCGGAGGAAAAGGAACGAAAAAGTGATGACGCGAAAAACTTTGTTTTTTAATGAGTAATGAAAACTGATGTAAAAGCTAGCGGCGCGAAAGAACGCACGTGGAAGCGAAAGGATGAGCGACACCGAACGAGGCCGTGTAGAAACCAACGGAAACTCGCGCTAGACCAGTACCCATTGTGTTCCTTTCGTTCTTGTTACGCCGTTCCCAGGCTTTTGCGAGCGAGAGTCTGCGTCTTTTAGCCTGATGTTGCACTAGGAAAGGTGTTTCTGACCAACATATGACCACATGGTCAACAGCAACACCAGACCTAAAAACAAGACGCAAGAGCGATTTCAAGTGGCCTTGTCAAAATAAAAACTTATGTGGTCCAATATCTCGTGGTCGTGCAAGTCGTACCTGGACCTTCTACATACGGAGCAATTATCGGTGCTGTTTTACAGGTCTAGAAGTTCACCAAGATGGCGCTGATGGCAGTCGCAGACGTGGTGGAACTCACCAAGATTTTGGTGACCACCATCAACAACCACGTCAAGGCGAGTCAAGTGCTGGCCGAGGAATGCAAAGACCTAAACGATTTGGTGACGCAGGTAAGTATTGCGTATGAGCTGATGTGTGCTTGAATTTTGATGAAAAAGCAAATCGTCATCGTTGCACATCGTCATCGATGCGAATCTTGACTAGACTACATTACATACAACAGTCCTCACACCGTACTGCTGAGGTAGCATGTGATGTTGTAGAGCCCATTGCTATTTTCCAACTTGTTTCATCTTCAGGTCGGTGTGATTACTGCAGATCTTGGCGACATGGTAAAGGACGCACCTGCGGACAAGATGCGCGGTATCGAGGTTGGAGTCAACAAAACGAAGGAGGTGCTCGACGAAGTATCTACCTTCGTACAGGACGAAACCATGTGGGTGGCGAAGGCCGGCTGCTGCGGCAAGCTGAAAAAAGGAACGGGGCATTTGAAGAGGTTGAAAGAGCTGGAAGCGAAGCTCCGGGCGCAAGTCAGTCTTCTCACGCAGTTGGTCAGCATGGTTACGTCGGTATAATCGTTTTTTCGTTTTCCTTGCTGCGGCCGGCGACGCCGGTGGTCAAAGCTTTTTGTTTTTCCTTTCACAAGATCGGGAACAAGAGCTTGAGCAGCGTGCATTTACTTGATTTGACTTGCTATATTTTCTTGCATCCAAAAATCAGCTTTCCTCCCACGTGCGTGCCTCGAAGGCTCGGGTGTTTGATATGGCGTTCTCAATTGTTACATTCTCATCTGTTACATGATTTGTCATGCAAAAACGCTATCACTATTCACACGATCAAGCCTTCTCTGCATGACAACTTCTCGACGCGCTAAATAGCACTACAATCCGTCCCAAATCTGTAATGCAAAAGGCGCAATCTTCCTCCTTTCGCTTTTGCCCTTCTTGCATTACAAATTCGCGTAACAGTTGAGAATGTAACATTTGAGAACGCCATATTTGACAAGATCGAGAACGACCAAGTCCGTGCGTTCTGGTGCGAGAAGTTTGGGGAGGAATCCCGCGAGGTGTCGTGGCCGCTGTTCCGTTATCGTAAGGAAAAATCCCCCCTCCCCATATTGAAACGAAATTTCTGATGCTGGATCTGCCTGCACAAATCAGATTTGTGTTGCTGGAGAGGACTGCAGGCCCCTATCGAGCCTGGGGAGGGCGAGGGAGGTTTTTGCCTAGGCGCTTAGCATGAAAAACGTCCGCGCTGTAGGCCCGACAGCATGACAAACCGCCTGCATAATGCGGCGGAGGCCTGTGGGGTTGCCGTCTTGCAACGCAGATGGGATTTGTGGTCACAAATCAGCAACACAAATTTTCGAAAACGCACCTCGTCAATATGGGGAGGGATGATTTTTCATTTTGATAGCTGTTCCGCGACGCAGTGGTGCTGGAGTGCGAGAAAGCGGCGCTACCCGACATCACGTCCGCGAAGCTCGACGCGGTGCTGAAACCCGGGATGGTGGGCGACACGACGAACGAGGTTATTCCCTGAAAATTAACCATCCCCATCCTCTTTTTGCATGACAAACACAGAATTAAATTTGCTACGTCTTTTGCATGACAAATCTCCTCGTCGTGATCGACAAACTGAGATCGGCGATTCTAGTTGTGTTGCTGGTCCTGTGCCAGTTGCGGGGCATGTTCGGGTGTTCCGGGCAGTGCTTAGTGCACCCCTCGGACCCCGCACCCCCCCGGGCTTTAGTCGCGCAGTCTGTTAAGCATGACAAATCTCCTGCGGCCGTAGCTGCTTGCGGCGACGGTGTAAACAAGGCTTTCGATGTGGTGCAGTCGGGTATGCATGACAAATTGGATGGGGTTGCTTAATTTTCAGGGGATAGAGGTGGTCACGATCTTCCAGATGAACCAGGTATTCCGGTCCGGAAGCGTTCCCGGAGTGGTGGAGGCACTGCTGGACACGTACGAGGAACAGAAAAAAGTTTGGCGCATCACCATCCGTGACAAGGACACCAAAGAGGAGCTCGACGTAGACGCCGGCTTCGTCTTGATCCCTGAAAAGGTATTACCACTATCTACAAATGAAAGGTCTTTGCATTCATCAAGCATTCCCATTCGTGTTTTTTGTTGGCACATGAAAGAAAGAGGCCCCTGGGAGCAAAGCCGGGCAAGAAGCAGAGGCTGCAACGATAACGATGAACCATCAAGAACTACCCTGAAGCGCTTTTATTGTCCAAAAACTTCTGTAACTCCCCCAGGCCAACCTGACCCAAGTTCGCTCGGAAGTGCTCAGTGCGTCACAGGAGGACGAGGAGCTTCCGGACGCCGCGTCGTTCCTCGCCGAGGACTATGAAATCCTCAGGTTGGAAATCCTCAAAGTGGAAATGATTTGCAATGCAAAAAAACGACTCGAGTTGAAGCGGCATGTGTAGTCGGCGCATGACAAATTTCTCGGGCACTTAAAGCATGTCTGTCATGCAGGTTAAGGCAAGGAGTGCCCTTCTGTCGTGCTACGTAGCACTCCAATTCTTCACCCCTAGCAGGACAATAGTCGGCCTCCATTGCGTCCTCTGCAATACACTCTTTTTTGCGTCGCATTTCATGCATCACAAATCATTTCCACTTTGAGGATTTCCATTCTGAGGCTTTCATAAGGTCCCCGGGAAATTTACGTTCTATCTTGACGACGGGAAGGCGCGCGTGAAGAAAACGCAGGAGAAGAAAGTCCTGATATCCGACGTGGAGAACGGACTCTGCGTCATCCCTGACCCAGAGGAGAAAGAAGAAAAAAAGCCGGCGGCAGTGCACATGGTGAAACTTGTTGTCGTCGGGGAACCGGAGCCGGAAAAAGAGGAGGCAACGCTGGACGCAGCGACGCTGGCGAGAAAGGGCCTGGCGCAGGGACAGCAGGCAAACCAGGCGAATCAGGTGGAGCTGCAACAGATCCTGCAAGACGACGTCATGCTGCAAGCTCTCAGACAGGTAAACTACAACCATGAGCAGCCGTGCAACTACAAGTTGTCACTTTTACGAATTTATTCACATTTTTGGCTTCACGTTTTTTTTCGCTTGGTGATGAAGTAGAGGACGGCGACCTCTCTACTTCCACCTCCCAATACCCCAGGTTCTCACGTCCAAGGGCGGCCGGGTCGGGGAAGACGCTTTTTTTTTCCTGCAGCTTGCGCAGAAGATACAAGGTTCTGGAGACGAAAAGAGGGGCGGCGTCTCGTTCGAGCAGTTGCAGAAAGATTTCCTGACCGGCAAGAATGCCAGTTTGGAATTCATCCTGAAAGAGGAACAGAGTCCGGAAGGTCTCTCCGCACAGCAAGCAGTCGAGAAGGCGGCTGAGTTGCTGAAGAAGGAGATCGGCGGCGAACCGCTGGAGGCACTGAAGAAGGCCATGAAGAAAGCGCCGCGGACCAAGCTCGGGAAGGGGAAGCGCGTGGTAATCATTGGTGGTGGCTACGGCGGCGCGGTGTTGAGTAGTATGCTGCGGCAGTGCTGTCCGCAGGTGCACGTCACGCTGATCGACCCGAAAGAGTACTTCGAGAACACGCCCATGCAGCTCCGCGCCATGGTGGTGAAGGACTACTTCCGGAACGGGAATTACGTGATGTACCGTGATTATCAAATGCAAAAATGTCTGGGTCTGGAAGAATGCAACTTGTCATGCTGTTTTTGGACTCTAAAAAAATTTGCATTGCATGAACAGCAAGAGGAGCGGCCCAGTTTTTGCTACACGGACAGGGCATTTCTCATGCGGAAGGTGCATCAGGAAGCCCTCTAAAAAGTCTGCGATGCTAGGTCAAGCATCACAGGCATCACGGGTCATGAGAAATATGCATGACAAGCCTCCATTCTTTCAGACCCAGACACTTTTGCATTTGATAGCGATGTGCTCGGTTTGGAGAAGGGCGTGAACTCCAACGCCTCGGCCGCCCTGATCTGCGGCAAGGCGGTCGATATTTGTTGAAAATTTTCCACCAGCTGCCCCATCCAATTTTTGCGTGACGAGAAACTACACCGGCTCGAAATATTAAAATCCATGTTTTGTATGAGAGATTGGGTGCGGCGGATGGTCATTTATTTTCAGGGAATAGTGGAGATCAACACGAACCACGTGGTGGTGGGCTCCAACAAGCAGATTGTCCCCTTCGACTACTGCGTGAACTTCAGCGGCAGCGTGTACCACTCCGACATCAAGACGGACACCAGTTCCGTCGACAGTCGGATCGCCCGCATGGACCAGGAACGGGAGAACATCATCGCGGCCGAACGCGTCATGATTGCGGGCGGCGGTGTCGTGGGCTGCGAGCTGTCGGCGGATATCAAGCACCAGTTTCCCGACAAGGAGGTCATCCTGGTGCACGCCCACGACCATTTATTGCCACGGCTGCCCGGAGCGCACGCGGAAGTCATGAAGCAAATGGACAAACTCGGCGTCAAGGTTCCATTTGATGTTCTTGGGTTGATCATGTTGTTGCCTGACCTTGGTTCTTTCCGAGGTTTGTGTACTTTGTTGTAGAACATCATCAAGGCGGTCGAGCTACTGCTGCACTGTGTTCGTCTAAATCTTCACCTTCAAATAATGTGCTGTACACAAGGGTCCTCGGTCCTCACAGTAAAATTATTTGCCACGACTTCTGTGCTTAGTGAAATAGCCCAAAGCTTCATTATTTTTCCGACGAGGTCCATGTCAATGAGCGCGTTGTCGCGTACGGTGGGGGTGAGGAGTTCGAAACCGAGAGTGGGTCCCTGACCATTCCGACACAAGGGACCCGGGTGTATTGGTGCACCGGGTACCGTCCTGCGACCCAGCATTTGCGAAAATCGCAGGACGAAAAGATCAAGTCCTCGGTCAACAAAGACGGCTTCGTCGAGGCCGAGAAGACGCTGCAGCTCAAAGGCTGCCCGCACGTCTTCGCGGGCGGGGACTGTCTCGCGGAGCAGTTTTTCGCCAACCGCGAGCGCATGGCGCACTACGCAAGTCTGCACGCGGCCACCATCTTGGAGAACTTAACGCGGATTCTAGCGGGGAAAACACAGGACGAACTCGTCAAGTTTCAGGTCAGAAAAATTCTATGGCGGTTTGATGTTACATACTTTGTTCTCCACCTTGCCACGTAAAGCCAGTGCTATAGCTTCCAACGTATTCCTATTCGTAGTGTGCTGCAATAGTAACATTTTTAGCAATCCAAGGGAAACAAACATGAGACCAAGATACGATTCCCGGATTATTATTTTCTCTACCGAAAATGGAAAAACTAAAACACTCAGACTCCGAAGAACAATCGGTCGGTCCTGTTCGTGGAGCTCGGGATGGAGGATGCGTATGCCTTCTCGCCGCCGGAGTACTCGATGGTCTGGGGCATGTTCGGCGACGAGCTTGCGGAGGCCGCGAAAACCTGCCTCAAGCCCTGCACGGGTGGCGGCCTCCCCGACGGGTTCATGCACGGCCTGGTCACGGGCTTGGCCAAAGTGAAGGACCAGCAGTCCAAAACCTACAACGAGGCACTGGTAAAAGGCGGCATCGCGGAGATGTACAAGGGCTTCTGTCTCATGCTGCAAACCTGGGACGATCCGATGGCAGAGAATTAATTTCAGAATTGCTAACGGGACGAGAAGAAGTGTAGTTGCCGTTTTTACTACAAGCAACGATTGTATATCAGGGCGCTCACCCCCAGCAGCACTCTAAATCTTTTGGCGTTCCAAGAAGTGGCAGCGTTGCAAAGGAAGAGGAAGTGCTTCAATAACAGTTAAGTTTATAAGCTGGGAGAGGGGAGAGCCCGGGAGAGGCTGGGAGAGGCTGGGAGAGCTTCCGCAAATTAGAAGGAACAGCGCGACTCGTTTTGTAAATTTGCTTCAGGCTCGATGGTATGATGTCTATTTTACTGCAGTTCTTTTTATATATATGTAAGCGGTTTGGACGGCGCCCCTGTGGCGTATTTCTATTTGTGACTACTCGGCGCAGTTTTTGGGATGGCGGATGCCGCCGACAGGTGGCATCTAGGGGGCGAAAAATTCCTGCATGCGTGTCCTCCACGCGGGCGGCCCCTGGGGCGCTGCTGTCGTTATCCATCAGGGAAAGTTGAAGCGGGCACTTCGATTTTCCTTCGATGAGGGAAAGCTGAAGTGGCCAATTCAAATTTCCTTCGATGAGGGAAGGTTGAAGTGGTCACTTCAATTTTCCTTCGATGATGGAAAGTTGAAGTGGCCACTTCGAATTTCCTTCGATGAGGGAAAGTTGACGGGGCCATTTCAAATTTCCTTCGATGAGGGAAGGTTGAAGCGGTAACGTCGATTTTCCTTCGATGAGGGAAAGGCGAAGTGGCCACTTCAAATTTCCTTCGAAGAGGGAAAGTTGAAGCGGCCATCCCAAATTTCCTTGCTTCGATGAGGGAAAGTTGAAATGGCAACTGCGAGCTTCCTTTGATGAGGGAGCGTTGAAGTGGGCACTTCGATTTTCCTTCGATGAGGGAAAGTTGAAATGGCCATTTCAAATTTCCTTCGATGGGGGGAAGTTGAAGTGGCCACTTCAAATGTCCTTCGATGAGCGGGCGCGCGGTGCTCGTTTGCCTTCGAATCGATGCAACGCCATTGGCTGCGTATGGGGTGAGTGAATGCGCGCGCGCAGCGCGCGCGCGAAATTTTTTTTGGTTCTATGGCTCTCCCTATTAAAGTATAATAATCAACACCATACGCGGGGGATTAGATAATCCAGCGAGTTTTTTTTTTGTGACGTGTTGGCGTTGCTGATTTTCCTCTCCCAGGCTCTCCCAACCCAGGAAAAAGGGGGCTATAAACTGTGCTGCAATAATATCAACCACGTCGGTCCGAGTCTGCCTATGCTGACTGACAGCACTGACGCGCTTCCTACCCAGGTAGAGCAGCTTCGTTGTCACGTCGTGTGCTGCTTACAAGATAATAGTGCTGGATGAATATGTCCAAAATGTCGGCTATTTTCATCTACATCTAGTTCTTGCCGGCACCAAGAACATGACTCCAGCTCACCGGCGTAACAAGGCGGAGAAAAATGTTTTCCTGACGTTGAGGCGTGCGGCTTCACTTTCACTTTCTCCTGTCGGCGCGTAAAACCGAACAGCGGCTGAAGCATCTGCATCAACACTGCATAGGACGAACGCAGGCGTACGGGAAATTACTCATACTGTTTAGTTGATATTTTCACCCCGTAGCCGATGCCGACGTACTGTTAGCTAAGCTTTCTTACCCTCAATGAAAATGGTATGCGTATGGCATTTATGTACACTCCTATCGGGTGCACGTTCACAGATAGAATCATGGCCACGAGAACATGTAGGATCGAAGATCTGATTCTGAATGGATCATGTGCGAACATGAGTTGGAAATTCAAATTCGTGGAGCTAGACGGAGACTCGGCCTCGCCTCACCTCAGGCGGCGTTCTATTTCGAGGCGCCAAGTCGTGGCGCATAAGCTGCAGACGAATCAAGAAAAGCACTCGGATCGCACTGCAGAGGGGGCTAGGGATCGCGTGTAGAATGTCACGGGCTTCATTCTCAAATGCCATGGCTTTGCTCGCACAGAGGCCGGAAATTCTGTAACGTGGGCGCGCGGTGCGCAGCATGGCCGGTGACGGAAGATCCTCTTCATGGCTTTGGGGTATGCGCGATTTTGAATATTTCACAGGGAAGCATCTGCTTTGAAAAAAGCGCAATTTGAAAAATTCAGCAATTTTTGATTAGCACGTAATTTGTTTTTCAATTGTCCGTAATTTGTCCGTAATTTGCGCGTAATTAATTTTCAAAGGATTTCAACGGGTTTCGGGCACCCCAAAAATTGCCCGTAATTGAAAAAATTAATTACACCGACAAATTACGGATTTTCAAAAAAAAATCACACTAAGAATTACACTTTTTTTCGGGCCCTTTTTTATTCATTTTTTCCGGAAAAAACACCGGGGTTTTGCCTATTCAAAACATCGGGACGAACAAAAGGTACGAGGGCCCAATCTGGGGCTTGAGCTTCTCAACCAGCACCGGTCGCGAGCTAGCTCAGCAAGTAAGCAAGTGGCTGTGGGGCTTGGGAAGCCGGTTCAGCGGTTATGTGGCCTCCTTTATTTTCAATCCATTGCGCAGGATAGTAAGACGCATGGGCCCTCAGGAGGTGATCTGCCTCGCCAATTTATGACGCCCTACCCGGGCCTTAACCTTTGGGCTGCCGCGTTTTTTCCTTTTCGCTGGCCAAATCAGCTGCCCGATACAAAATTACGTACTTTTTATCGCGCAATTAGAATTGCCGAATATGTTTGCTCGGGCTCGTCCCATTGATGGAAATTGAAATTCGTGGAACTTCTAGATGCTGGATTGCCTATGCTTTTGTAGAATGTTGATGACGTTTTGTACGAAGATGAAAATGTTGTTTCTCTTCTCCTCCTGGTGGTGGTCTACTGAAAGAAGCAAGAGTCATTACGCAAGATGAAAATTAGCAAAATCTAAATCATAATCCGAGAAGCCGCTGCAGCAATACACGTTTGAAATCGATGCTCTTGTCCATGTCCGTGTACGGCCGCAATAAGAAATTGAATGCTTTTCTTCACCGGCCTCGAAAGATCCCGTGATCGAAAAGTGGAAAGTAGCTTGAGCTTCTGCGATATGAAGCTGGATGAAGATCATCAATGATCCTTCTCCGTCTCCTTGGCACAAATAAGTGTGACGCCATCTAGAGTTAAGATCATCACTCAACTCGGCTCTATTGAAATGCGGACGTTCGGCTTTTTGATTGCTGGCGATCTATTTTTTGGTATTGGCGAGATACTCGATCACATAGAGCATTTTTTACCGATTTTTTCACATTTTTTTCGCATCCAGGAGTACCAGCACGCTGCATTCGGTTTCGCAATTTTTCGCGTTATAGCTCATAACTTTTCTCTTGATTATTTTTGTTCTTGAACTATTTGCTCCTACCGACACCGAATACTAGCAGAGATAATTCAAGCATCAACATATTGCATTGATCGACTCACTCGGGATTGTAAACGAAAATCCTTTTCGACCACAGCATTTCATTTTTACAAAGTATATCTATGGCTTCAAAAAAATTCCATAAAGATATCGACTAAACGAGCGACTTTCTGCTTTATCTTTCGATGGTCTCACTTAGTAATCAAGAAACGATGTCGATGCAAGGATTTTCAACTTTTTCGTCGAAGACGGTGCGTACTGCGAAAAAAGGGTCTTCGAAGAGTCCTTGGGTTTGTTTCGGTGGGGTTGTATCTTCTATTTTCACCATCAGCTGCAGTCTCAGTCTAATTTCCGTTGTGCGAAGTGCTGCGCCCAGGTCAAAAACAAATTCGCAGGTGGAAGTAGATGCACCCGTCAGCAGCATTCTGGCACGTCAGGAAACACGAAGGGAAAGCAAGACCGCCCCGGACGCAAGCACAAACGAATGGGCACCATGGTCAGCAGAAGGTGGAACTGGAACTAGTGGTGTCGCAGTGGCTTCCGTAGATGGTGGAGGATCTCAGATTACCGGCAGATGGTGTCAGCAGCAGATGCTGGAGGCTCTCGGATCTTCACCGGAGACTTCGTACGTGTGCGCTGCACAGAATGAATTCCCCTTCGAGCAGCAGCAGCAAGATTTTCATGGTCCACCATTTCCCGACGGCAGCAGTAATATAATGGACTATTGTGGAGCACACTACGTCAGTGCACAGGGCTTCGTCCCGTGCAGTGCCTATGACGAGGCCCCCGGCCATGAATTTGCAAGATGCACCAGCTGCACCTCCATGCCGCTTCCCGCCGTTTGCGGTGGGTTTATGACTGGTGTACCGCATGGAGACGCACCAATTGGTTATGTGGCGCTACCCGTCGTGATCCCTTTCCCGGTGGAAGGGGGTGCTGGTGTTGATCCGGTTTGCGGCGTGTTGCCACCGTGGGGATGCCACCCACACGTGGTCGCTCCGACCGCATTATACCATGACCAGTATCAACTCGCTCCAGAAACCGCCGCAAAGATGGAGGGCCAGGAGGCAGTAGCTACCGCAGACGCTCGTCCGTTTGGAGCTGCTGCATCTGCAACGACTCCTGGTGTGAGGACTAAGGCAGACTTTCATGAATATGATTTGGGAGATATCCGAACAGATTCCGAACGGGGGGACGAGATGGAGACGGTAGTTCCGCCAGGAGCAAGTTCTTTGGGGTCCTCTGGCGGAGCAGCGTCTTCCAGCCTGGGGACTTGGGAATGCACAACGTCAAGCCGAAAGTGGTCGGAAGATTTGGACGAAGATACAGCCTTGTGCAGTTGTGAGTACAGTTCCTCCCGAGCCCCAAGACGTGAGGGCTCCGACGACGAGGGCAAAAGCGAGAAAGAAGGCCAAGCGTCCTCACACGGAAGGAGGACAAGACTTGGAATACAACAAGGTAAAGATCGGAGCCCAAATCCCGGAAAGAAAAAGAAGGAGAAAAAGATGAAAGGCAGTCCCGCGACGTGGAACAAGGACAGCGACAGGCACGAACGCAGTGCAAGAGCGCTCCAAGCGTTCCAGAAATGCATGCAAGAAAAAGAAGAACGCCAACGCTTGGTGATCATGTCCGAACGACTGCAAGAAGAACAAGAGACAAGAGAACGGTTGGCGCGAGAAAGAGACCAAGAGTGGGACCGCGCACTCAATCTCCCCGGTGCAAAGCAACTACCTCGAAACAAGGCACAGATCGACAAAGAGACGACTGAAGATGGAGAAGCTGGTGAAGTACGAAATTGCGCAATTGCGAGACGAGGGCAACGCGTGCCAGCTGGCGGAGTGTCAAAATTATCCCGACATCCGAATGAAAGGTTCGCAACGGCAATTTTCGCTCAGCAAACCTTCTTCGTTCACACGAACCGGTGGTACTTATTGCAGAGGCAGGAAAACGCAATCACGAGCATCTTCGGAGGCGAGCTCGACATCAACCTACCCGATTCGGAGGAAGCCGCCTTCGATCGCAGTTACGACTCGCACCTGCTGAACAAATTGAATTCGTTCGCGAGCCATTCCGCAGACCACGTGCAAACTCTGTCGAACTGGTGGAAGCGCAGCTCCGAGGAAGGTATGGGCCTGGACCCAAAGGACGGCAGCCTCGAAATAGTGTTAGGCAGGCGTGGTGAGCGCATTTCCAAGGGGCTGCACCGCTTCGTTGTGCAGTTTAAGGACGACGTAGGACGACGAGAACAAAAGAGAAGAAACTCAAGTTTGCGTAGGACGAAGCATTCGGTTTACTTCGGCCCCCCCGATGGCTCGGACTCGGTCGGGGTGAGCTTTGGTCCGTACTTGGAGGAGCAGCTCAAGATTGCGAAGCGGCACAAAGATGTTCCGCCAGACCCAACGACCGGCGCGGCGCCTAGTAAAGAGACCGAGCAGGTGGAGGCGCAACAGCAACAGATGAGGATGCATCTAAATAGCAAGATCAAGAGCAAAGTGAAAGCTTCTGAGACGAACGCAGCTATTAAGTTCAAAGCCGAAGCAGACGAGGCCGAAAAGAACCTAACACCGACCGTGCTGTTTTCCCGCACCGGAGAAGTGGTTTCGAATCTCAGCCCAAAGACCAAGCTCCGCATGATCAGAAACATATCACACTTGAGAGAAATCCGGGCAGCAGAGAAACACGAGGACACTGTTCGCGAAAAATCGAGGCGGCACTTGCTGCAAAGCGAGAAACTGAGTCGAGGAAGCAAGCTCGCCGCGCTCGAATCGCCGGCTTTCTCTTCGAAGCCCGAATCGCACCATGCGGAGGTTTCTGATCAAGAACGAGACGACGAGGCAGAAAACGGAGAGTCGATAGGTGAATACCGAGATCCATATCGCTATTCAGACTTTTACTTCGTGGAGATCGACATGCAAAGAAGATATGTGAAATTCGCGCAAACGAGCCAGCCGCCGTTTGTTTTCCAAGACACTCCGGCGAAGTTGTGGCGTAATTACGATAGCCCCCCATGGTCAGGAGTGTTCCGCATTCGGACGCCGACCGAGTATACGTACATTGGATTTGGTGAAGATCAGCTGAACCTGCCGAGCGTTGCGTTGACCGCAAGCCTGGTCATTACTCTTGCGAATGAAAGCACTGCAGCCCGTGTGCTGGCCTACGAGAAAGTCAGAGAAGACTAAGACTGAGTAATGATTTCTATGAAAATATCGCTTTACAAATGCAGGAGCAGCAGCAACAGAAACAACACCGACTTTGCTTGGAGATACATATAGAGTGATTTTTTAGTGCTACTGCTACATCAGAAGAAAATGAATTTCATCCATAAATCACAATTTGGGTTGCAGTGATCATGTTCCTTTTGACTATTAGGTTTCGCAATTTATGATTTCGTTCAACCATCAACAACATTGCTCTCGGCTGAATATTCGTCGGAAGCTGCACAAGCCCTCTTTTATGTTATGCCTTGCGAGGGCCGAGGCGTTTCCTCGACCTCGGGTGTGTGTAAAATTAACTCTGATGAAGCAGGACCAGGATGAAGTCCCCGCCGGGCTTGCACCTCCGCTTCATAACGATGAGGACTGTTTGCTGACCATAATTTCATGTAGTGTTGACTATACACTCACGCCAATTTAGTGTTGACTATGACTATCCATGCTCGTTAGAATGCGAGCAGCCATTCAATCATGAATGAGTGACAAATATTTATCATTATCTCTGAAGACCTTCGCTAGATTAAGATTTCGAGCGGTCCTCCCACCCTGTACAGAACAGCGACGCGTTTTGGCGGCATCTCGTTGATCTCACGATCCATGTGCCGTTTCGTTTTCAAGATCTCCGGGGTACCACTTGCACTTGTGAAGTAGAAATACATACAAAAAAGGCTTCAGAAATGGTTCACGTTGATGATCAAGAAGAGAGCAAGAACGAGTAGGAGAAAAAAAGCGGGACGAAGCCGAACTAGAAGATCTTTCGATGAACGAATTCTAACGTGGTCCTCGCGGCGGGACCCCTTTACTTGGAAATGAAAAAAAGTCAGAGCATCCCAGAAAGTCAGAGCCAGATCAAGTAGGAGGAAGGATGGGCTCATGAGTACTGACAAATGTAACATGTTTGCCTGGTGATCTTCCTGAAGATCATGCATGAACAAGTAAGCTAGTGCGACACGACGTCATTGCCCCAGCTGATGTGAGTTACAGTGCGACAACATGCCCCAGCTGTTGATCTCTGGCATGAAGATCTAGAGCTACCGAAAGAATTCCATTTTTTTGAATGGGTTCTCTCGAACTTCTTCCCTTGAAAGAAGAGAAGCAGAAGCCGGTGCGGAGCCTGCTCAATGTGAATACAGAGGAGCTTCGGGGGGACAGTATGAGTATGTATTTTTTCGTTGCGCTGCTGTTCTTGCAGCTCCACCCACCAGCGTCTGTCATCGTTGCAGCTTTCGAATTAGCCTGAATTTCAGCGATTTCTGGCGGTAACATTTACGTACTTATACTCATGTACAAACATAAATACACAGCTCGTTTTTAGCTTAGTTTGTTACGTCAACCTGCCAGATTGACATTGCACCGTACTGACTCGATAAGCAAATCAGACCTTGCTTCTGACCCGTGTCATCTTTGTAAAGTCTTAGTGTTAGAAGTGGTCTACTGCTTTATGTCTTTGAATTCTGGTGAATCTAGATCCATCATATTGGAGTCGTGTAACGCTAGAAGAATTGAAACCTAATTGTTTTTACAGTTGACAAGCATAAATCAAGATCAACGAAATTCAAATTGATTTTGAAGATAGTTTTGAACATTCTAAAGCCAACGCAACTAAAAGCTCCTGTAGCGAAATATGACATCCTTGCGACGACCGGAGCAAAATAGCACAGGGGGCAACCGCTTCCGCTTGCCCGCACTGCTAAATAATTTCGGGTGGAGAAATCGTGTGCATGTGCTGACCTCCTTGTGCATATTTGCCGAAACTGCAGACGCAGCAGCGACCTCCTGGAGTGCACACTCAGACCCACCTCCTGCAGCAGCTAGTTCTTTTGCCAGCTCAACGACACCAGGCTCTCTTCCATCGACCGCGCCGCCGCGTCAAATTGGGCAAAAGCCAAGCCTTGCAGACTCGATTGCCCAGGCCCAGCTAGTTGCAGCAACTCGCCAACAGTGGGCGGATTATACTGCTGCGTCGCCAGGCTTCTGGTCTGAACCATGTCCATGCGGTTCTTCCGACCAAGCTTGGGCAAGTGCAGCTGCTCTAGGCGAAGATAGTTGTTACTTCACTCACCATGCGAGTGGGTTTCCGGGGCCGTTTCCCGTTCTCGCTGCAGCTCCATATCGTCCTCATCCTGGTTCTTTCACTCCGGTGGATGGAGTGTGTGCCTCAACAAGCCAGCCACTGCAATTTGACCAGGTCTTTCCAGGCCAGCAACCTGCCGGATACGTGTCTGTTCCTTTCCTGGTTCCAATAGACCACCATTGCGAACAAGTAAAACGAAAAGGAAAAAGGGAACCTCCTCGGTGGAATCAACGAAGTCAAAGCTACATGTGGCAGCTACGGGAAGAGCGTCGCTCGGGCAACATGGCTCATCATGGTGAGCAGAAGCACGCTGCACGGACCCAGTGCCAGGAAGGTGGACAGTCACCGGCAGTGGCAGGAGCGAAGGTTTGCGGTAGTTCCAGTTTTGGAGAAGGTCCCAAGGACCAGCAAAAGCCCGAGCATCGTCCGCTTTTTAACGCCCACGAGATTGAAAAAAGCACCGCCTTTTTGCACGAAATCTACCAGGGACTTTTGGATTTGGAATATGGTGGAAAACCTCAGCCGCCGGTCGACGTGGAGTGTGTCCTATCGTTGTTGAAAAGTGTTGCACCGCGCAGCCAAAGTAGTTCACACCGTACGACTCCGGTCCAAGCGCAAACTCGATCTGCCTTAAAATGTTCCCTCCAAAAGGTGCTCGAGGAGCAAGGGCTTGGCACTTTACTAGAAAGGACTTTTGCTCGGGAGCAGGAGGGGCAGCGCGGGAGCTACTCCTGCTGTCTCTCCGGTGGTAGTAGTAGCAGCACTACTAAGCCTTCGGGGGCCAAAATGGAAGTACCACAACTGGAACGAAAAACAAACTACACGCGCCCGAAAACTCCGCTGCTAGCCAATGCCGATAATAATTACAAAAAGGAGAGCGACACGGAGCGTTGTGCTCGTCTACGTCTGTCGCGTGCATCTCCTGCATCAGCGTCGACTTGTACGTCCGCCACCCAAAGTCGCCGAAACAGCGGCGATTCAGTTGGGTGCGCGGCCCTGGCGGGCAGCACACCAACTCCAACAACTGCCACTACGTTAACCTCTACTGGAACCGACTCTGCCGCTTCCACTCCCTTTTTGACTCGGCGTATGCAAAGAGAAAATTCGTTTTCGTCCTCTTGTAGTACAGTGTCACTAGCTGCAGGAGGAGATGCCTCTCGCTCCTCTCCGGTTCTTGCGAACAAGACCACTGTGAAGAACCAACGTGGAGCTTCGCCGCAAAATTGCTGGGCGGACCTTGAAGACAGTGACAAGGAGCTTGGAGGCCCCGGCGTCGAGCAAGATTCAGATGCGGATTCACGTAGCGAACCAGCCCAGTCGGGCAGCAAAGCCCCGGCGCCCTTCGCCTGTATATTTCGCACTGTGCAAGACCAAGAGCAACTACCCGATGCCGAGTACGAGCAGAGAGGCGAAGCTGCACCTGCAGGGGCTGCTCCTGCTGATGCTGATAAAAATGCAGGGCCCTCGCTGGCCACCTGCGCTGTGCGCCCGATGAAGTCTTGGGCCGACGAGGAGGAAGAGTGCCCGTGGGCCCGACAGCGCAGTAGCGGCGGCCAGTTGTCCTCCTTCGCGTCGTGTGTGCACCATCTGTGTGAGCCTGCTGATGGTGTTGACAAACAGGGACACGAAGAGCCGACGCCAGTGGCATTTGAAGATGGACGAATGGACATGGAGATGAGCTGGACATGTTCATCTCTTTGTCGAGATAAGAGAGACGAACTGCAAAAGGTACACGAACTACAGGACCGTCTTACCGCTCACGACAGTACAGGCACGGTGCAACCAAAGACTGTCTTGATGAATCATCGAGAAGATGTTGATGGCCTCACCGACGAGTTTTCGGAAAGAGCTATTGTGAAGAAAAACATCGGCATAAGTTTTTTGGATGGCGGAAGTAGTGAAGACGAGGACATGCATTCGTTGGTTGGCGACGTGCAAAAGTTTCGATTGAGCGATGCACCGTTCGGAACTACCACTGTCAATCAGTACCACGCAGCACTAGCTCACACTCGTCAAAAGAATTTCAATGGCAAGAGAGGGCCGGTTGGCAAAGGGTCGCGGGACTGGCATACGCGCAGCACAAGCGCCTACCAATCTGCGACAGTTCCTTGGTCAGCGGAATCGCAGCCCAGTTCAGGAGGCTGGAGGGATGCCACTCGAGGATGCTGGGGCGGGAAAAATAAAAAAGGCGGCGAAAAATCGAAGGGAAAGGGAGCAGGTGCAAACTCTTGGCTCGACTCTAGCGGAAAGCTTTGGCAGCCAACACTTCACCATTGGTAAAAGAAGTCAGCGCGGGCGTCGCGATGGAGATCAAATATTCAACAATCGTAAATTACGCTGCCGTCTCATCTCGACTTTTTTATGCACTCTTAAATCAACATGACTCCGTTTCGACTGAATGATTTCTCTGCATTTTGCGCTTTTTCTCGTGTTTTCCGCACGATGATGTCTGCATTTCTATATTGTATTGATTAAAGTTGGGAGTGAAGATAGCGGTCATGGGTCCGCACGGCGGTAATCTACTTTTTATGTCTATTGCCTTTCGCCTTGTAAACCATGAGCGAGTTCGTGATCATGGGCTCTACTAGTTCTAGTACTATCGCAGCTGGACGCGCGAGGGTGCCTGTTTCGAGTGCAACCATATCCATGACCCCTGGATTTCTGTAAAGACGCACTATTTAGGCGAAATAGAACGATGCACTTCCTCGCGACGTTCTTGCTCAGGACGAGCAGATCCATCTTATTTGTTTTCTTTTTTCTACTCTGTTAGAAGTGGTTAAAATTATGAAAGCACTGCACTTTTATACACAAAAAATAATGCGAATGCCTATTATTTAATGCTCAGCATCAGTGCGTTATGGTACAGAGCTAAATTTCAAACTTCCTTTGGGTTTTACTTTTCAATATACGCAAAATATAAAAGTTGCTTTCATTCTACTGTAGATTGGTCTTCAGCATCAGCTTTTCAGTGATATACATAGTGGCTTCGAATATTTTTCAATTCTAGTTGATCAATTGCACCATCCCGCAGTAGAAAACAGGCCAACTCTGCATGATTTTCTATTGCACCATCCCGCGCAGGTTGTGTATGGTGTGTGCTGGTGTCGGACGCAGCACTACAAATGGAGGTTTGAACACGAAGTCCAACTATTGCGTTATCCTTCTCCGTGCGCAGGAGGTCGTATGATGTGATCTCTTTTTTCGGACGGTACAGTTCTGGTTTGGAAGAATAATGCGCCGCGTCCACAACTTGAACACCCAAAGACGACGTGTACGATGATTGTTAGAATATTTCAATTTTATCATTCGGGATACTTATCGGGGGGGATAAAGAAAGTAAAATGCAACAAATACATGGAAGCGCAGAAAATGAAAACGCGAATAAAAATGATAATGAAGAGTTGCTTGCTCTTCTCTTTTCGCATAGCTTTTTCTATGCGTTGTTGCTTTTTCCTGCATGAGATCGTTGTTTTTTCTTCTGAGCATGAAGCTGCGTCCAGCGCACCAATTCTTGTGAAGTAGCAAGTCTTGACAGTACAAACACGAAGATGAAGAAAAATATCCATTTATATCCTCCGGTCAATGTACAAGATCCTACCTCATCGAGGTCGGAAAATTGATCTGGTCGAGGACGATCGGATCCCGGGTCATTCACAAAATGCAAGTGGATCAAACTGGCTTGAAAAGTACAAGACTGATGAGTACTGATGTAAAACAGATGTCATGGTCGACGAGATTGTGATGATCATGTTGATGGTCAAGCGTTTCAATTTCGATGTTTTTCCTCATTCTCATTTACCTGAAGCCGCATTGCATTTGTTGGTTCTTGCTACTGAGAAAGTAGAAAAAGCTTCGGATCGACGTGACGGTGATGGCTCTCGGTACTATTTTACTTCCGAAATTAAGAGCATACAGCCGAGGCTTTGTTAAGCGTCCTCCCCAGTTCAGGTCGACGTTCTGGTTCCTACAACTACATGATCTGCAAATTATAAGGTGAAGGTTTTTATGTCAAGTCGAAGTTTAAGTACACGGTTTTAGTTTCTTGGACGGCGAGGGTGACGCGACGTTGTACACCGTTTTCCTCGGACGGTTAGTTCTTGCACATCAACGAACAGAAGTAGAATCCGACTCTGTATTTCTGCTCCTTGCTTTAGATTTTGCATCGAACGCGCTCTAGCATCTGATTTGTCAGGAGTCTCAGCTCTTCCACCAGGTACAGACTGCAACGAACCGTTGCAATTCCATCGGTCACAATGAGGCTTCGAGCTACTGCCGTAAAGAGCATCGCAGTCGGGGTATATTTGGGCCTCGGCGCCTCGAAGCAGGATTTCGCTTCAGCACTACGGTCTCTTCCTTCAAGAATTGATGATGCTAGAAGCGCCAGTGATCTTCATTTTCGCCAACAGACGCCAACACGTGAAAGGGGTGGATCGAGACCAACTGCTCAGGCAAGTAGAAAGAATCGAACCAGGTTTGTTGATCAAGAAGAACATAGCAGGCCCAGGAGCAGCACCGCCTCTATTAAAGCGAGCGATCCGACAACAGTTCCAGTTGCACAGTTGTCATTGAATTGTCACCAGCCTGCTGAGCAAGGTCCTCCTACTCCGGCTCCTCAGCAATACGAAAACCAACAATCTTCCCCGCCACCAGCAACAGCGCCGCAGGCCTATTTCGCCCATCCGCAATACCCAGGCCAGCAGCCCAGCGGCTTTGTAAATGCGTACGTCCCGGTACAGGTCGTGTTGTGTCCGTTTCTGGTACATGGAGACGGCGTTATTTCGCCTGCGGGAGGCTCTTTGTTCTGTCCAGTCCCGCGACGAGATCACGACTACCCGCTGCAGGGAACGGGAAGCGGCAGTGGAGGTCCCCCGAGGTCGACGCCGAGCTCCAGCCGCTCGCGTCCGCACACCCCAATTCTGGATGCTTCTCAAGAGCAACCAGACCGGCGTGACAGCGAAAAATTCTGGGAGCCTGCAGAGCTTCCACTGCGTCTTACTGAGCACGGGAAAAGGCTGCGCGACAAGGCAGAAATGGCACGGAACCATGATAATGAATATAAAGTTCGTGAGAAAAATGAACTGGTGGAGCAAGAAGCTGAAAAAATTACTAGGGCGAGGAGTCGTGCCTTGTTCGTGTCAGATCGAACAGCAGCTGACCTTGATCCTACGGACACACCCCGGACACAGGGTTTGTTGTTGCCGCAACAAATCCTAGTAGCGCAAGGAATTAACGCACTTTCCGAAACGGGCGACGCGGTGCGATCGCCGTCGCCTTGGTTCCCGCGTAGTATTGGCCAGAACTCGGACGAACAGCGTAACAAGCAGACCCTGCCAGTGGCTCGTAGTCGTGATCCGGATTGTTCGTCGCCACAACAAGAGCAGCAAAGCGGAGCTTCGTTAGCAACCGCGCAAGATGCTTTTGCACAGCCTACGAGCATCCAGCCGCCATCGTTTCTTAATGCAGACAGAGCAGCGAACGCGTTCCCGGCGCCCGTGGCACCGCTTGCGGTCAATCGAAGTACGGATGCAGAACTCCGGTTTCGCCGACCTCTAGTACCAAGCGACTTGCGTGTGCAGAACTTGGGTGTCAGCTTTCTGGATAGCGATGATGATGATGATGAGGGTCAAAACGACGCTGAAGAGCTGAAACTGCATCGGGATACTTATCTGGCACAGGAGAAAAAGACTGCACGGGGGCGCAAGCGTCTGGTGCAAGGTCAACATGCTGCGCCACCGCTGGGGGCCACGGGCTCCGCAGCCACTGATAAGCGAAGAAGCTGAACAGTCATGTATGAATATGAAAATGGAAAAAATTAGATTCGCCGCAGTGCGATTACAGCGACGCGCCACGTTGCTAAAATCTTAGTAGAGGAGAAAATGCGACTTTCATTTTGTTTCATCCAGAGACGCGACACATGGAAATTGCAATCAGAGATCTAGGTACGGTAGCAGTTTGAGTTACCGGAAGGAGATAGGCTTGATTCGATGTTGCTCATGTTCTCCTAAGCTCCGGCTCGCGTCACCACGAAGCTTCTATAAACGTACTCATTACAGTCCGCTCCAAGATATAATATCACCACGTCGAAGCTCCACAATCTGATCTCATTTTTTTTTGCGTGTCTATTTTTGTCTGTCAAAGATCCATTTGCCAGTAGTGCCAAGACGCAGTTTTTGTTTTTTTTCTGTTGGCCACACTCAAGGGTGTGCAGTGGAGACAAGAACGTCACTCTTTCAAATTCGCCAACTTTGCAACCAGCGGTGGCACAAGAAGCAGCGTGATGAAAATCATGCAATCTTCTATGCAGTAGTGGCCTCTTCACTTTCGCCGCATTTTTATCAGTGGTTCCGCCGTAGCTTTGACTCAAAACAAATTCAAACAAAAATAAATAAGATAGAAAGCACGCTTCTTTCGTTTGGTTATACTAGCTATAGGTTCACTTATAAATAATATGCAACTGCACCATCAGTATCAGTTTCACTTTTGACATAGAAGCTCTTTGTTCACCTTGTAGATTATTCGTCCTTCATCTTCCGAACTTAAATACTGCCCACCAAATGATTTAAGTACAAAAAAATGTCGAAGCCTTGCCCTTTCCGACTCGGGCAAATTTGCTCGGTATTATTCATCAGTAGTGTCCAGTTTTTGCTGGTGTTGAAGACCGCATTAGGGGCTTCGTTGGGAAAGCAAAAGCCGTCTGGCTCAGGAGCAAAGCCTACATCAGCATGGGACCCGCCGTCGAGGTCGAACTACTGTAGTGACGATGACCATTTCATCTACATTACAAGGCCTCACCCTGATCGTCCACGGAACAGGATGAAAGGACGACAAGGCTCCTCGCAGCAAACGAGAGAACCAGGCCAAAGCGTCGCCACGTGGGCTCAGAGTCAACCAGCGGACGCAGAACCAGATGCTGTCGCGCTGTTATCGCAGCTGAAGTTTCCCTTGTCGCGACAACAGGTTATTCTCCTAGCTGCCTACGATGAAGAGTACCGCAACAGCGTCCGAGTTCCTTTCCGAAAGAATGGAGACATGGACCTCGACAAGCTGATCGCAAGCCTATGCGACGGAACGAACACAGTCAACTGTCGCTCGGTCAGCGAAGCAGCCGGCAAGCGCATTGTTTCACGACGAGCAGCAGCGGCCCGGGTAGGAGCAGGTGCGAGGATTCTCGCGACCGCAAGAAAAGCAGTAACGGGACACGAAACTGGTACTGGAGCCGCATCTCCAGATGAAACCTTCCGGATTACTACAGGAGGTAGCAGTAATCCCTGTACTAGTGTTGCAAGAACGTCTTCAGGTTTATACCCGTGCCCGCCTCCGGATGTTGATGTATCCACGTCGATCTTCACGAAAGCAAGCCGACAAGTCGTTCAGCACCAGCACCCGACCACTTCCACTCCGTGCTTCTTGGCGGCGGTGCCACCGTGTCCCGCGGAAGCACCGCGTTACCTGGACGCGGACACGGCATTGGAACACCTTCCGCCGATGATGCTGACCTGCGAAGCGCTTGAGCAACAGTTCTTACAGTTGCACCAGCACCAGCAGCGAGAAACGCTGCATGAAGATTCTCGTTTCCTGCATATTGATAGTGACCATGACCGTACGGACGTCGCGGCCACTACTGGACGAGAAGCAGAGAAGGAGCGCTTGAGCCTCAGCGAGCTTCTCGACATAGATGAATCGGATGCTGACGAAGAGAGCGCGGCTCAACAACGACAATTCGCCGTGCAAGGAAGGAGCACTCATGATGCTATTGGAGTTCACCATCGTCCTGAACCTGATGTTGTAGCCTCATCAAGACAACAAGGACAACCATCAGCAGAGAGTTTTACTTGTTTGCTGCCTCTGCCCAAAGAGCCCAGGACTGATTTGATGTCGCAAGACGAGGAATCCGAATCTGATTACGGCTATTGGACAGGCGACGAGAGCGAGCAGGAGTTGGGCCCGGCGTTTCTGAAGAAGAGACTAGGGTCTCCGAAAATGAATCGTCTTTCGGCTAGCAGGAGAAACACGTCCATGAATACTGCAGCCAGCACGGAGGTGGATGAAACCGAAAGAGAAACCGCCTCGTGTACGGAGCGGGATCCACGCGAAGAGCAGGCTTTGTCCTCGCCCTCCATTCTTGGACCTTACGACTCCGAGTTCGATCAGCAAATGCGGCGAATCGGATCGAACGGCAACGTTTCGGTACTGTCTCTGGGCGAAGGGCTAGGGCAGCAGTCGACCTACACATCATGTTCACGGGCCGCCACTCCCACTCCGGGCGTCATTTTTTGCAACGGAGAACTAGCGCGGCATCGAGATTGCTTGCTTACTTCTCAACTACACGATGATGGCCTCCAAACTCCCCCTCCTCCGTGGTCCGGTTCCAGCACGCCGCGACTCCAGTTGGAAGACCAGATGCGGGAGATGCAGCAGCGACAAGCACTCCAAGATCACGAGAAAAAGTTCCGGGCCAAAGTTGCCGGCCAGGTTGCGTCCGCAGGTGCAGGCGGCAAAAGTGGAGGTGCCTTTTGGCCGCTGCAGCAAGAAGAAGGACCACCGGGTTTCTCCTCTTCGTCGGTGAGCTCTTCCCCGCAAGGGGGGCCGTCGCACATGACTCAGCTCCAGCAAGCACTTGAATCTCATCACGCAGGACTGTTCGGCTCCCCGTTGCCACATAGATTTGAAGACCTAGAGCTGGATCACCCGTTCCTCACGCTGACGGATGGTGACTTTTCGACCTTTCTGCGTCAGATGGAAGATGAGGAAATTGTCAAACACGCACCGCAATCAGAGATTGATTTTTCAACTTTTAATCCTTCACCTTCACAACACTCAACATGGAAATCCAATCGCGCTGCCTTCGCTGCACCACCACAGAAAAGCCAGGACTTCAAAGTCAATACTGGGGGAAATATGATGAACTCGCCGACTGGAGGGCTGTTAAGAACGAAGAACGCAGCTCGCTCTAGTCCTTCCAGTAGCAGCCACCACCAGTACTATCCCATGCCCACCCCAGCACCGACGCCGTAAAAATTCTCATCCCGAGCAGCCGCAACGGGGGGGATTTTGCAGGGGAATAGTGGCAGCGGGTTTACCCCATCCTCGTCGTCCCTTGCGGTGGAAAATGAAATTGCTTTCGGTACTGTTTCTGGAGGAGGTGGAAGACAGGAAAAACAGCAAGAATAGGAAGTAAGTTGGCAGCGAAGGCCGTTCCTCGCTCGACGACTCCGCAACTGCCTGCAAGTACAATCAGGAAACTACAGGAAGGTACCATATCAAGATCTGTCCCTTTTATATGTGGTCCGATGGGATCCCGAGTTATTTTTTTTTTCTAGGAACAACAATGGAAAATGTAACGTACGACATCTCGCCTTCTACTCCTGGGAGACAAGAAGGCTGGTTATATTAGAAGAGAAGATGACGCGCAGGGTGTACAAACAGAAATAGAAACATCAGCATATGGATATGCGTAGCCCTTAATCTTAGCCGGAGATGTATTGTAGAGACGTGAAGACAATCACAATCAACGACTGGTATATCTAATGCAACGACATTTTGATTTCGGTATAAATATCGTCCGAGTCCTCCTAGACAATCTATCACGACCGAAATATTTATCGAGAGCGCAAATCCAACTGCTGGGGACAATGTAGATACCGAAATAGTACTACCAAATATCAGATATCTATCGGGTGAAAACTTAGACACAGGATAACGATAACATTAACATGCACTTGCACAATTCGTAATGACGATAAAATTGTAGCTCTTTAACAACCGGGACCAGCGCAATAACCATAGTCAAGGACAGCCACCTACTATTGTCTGTATGAAAACAAGCTACAAATACAATCTTCTTGTCATGGACTTCTTTGACAAGGTGCGCTTGCACGTCGGCGCCTGCCGCGGTCGTACCATTATTTCTAAAAGCTTGTCTTGGTTGTCTAGGATTGCGTCGCAACAAAGATCATGCAGAGAGAAGGCGTCTGCGATGGGTCATGGGGATGGCGATGAATGCAATGTCATTATGCCCTTAGTGTCAGCGGTCTGCAGTAACGCTAACCTTATCCGTAACTACCTACACTAGAACTACTTGGGTTTTTCTTACGTGACAATTACAATATTGCTTCATTTCATTATGATCTCTTTTTTTCTTGAGGACGCTGTGTTTGCAAGAGGGCAAGTTCGGTGATACGTTTTATCTTGTCACTCTCAGCTTCCTTATTTGCAAGTGCTACCGATGGCTCGCGCCGCAACTTTGTTCTATGCTCGCCTTAACCAGAACTGAAGCTCGTGAGATGCTGCATTCATCACTTGGGATTCTGTAGAAAAGTTGGGTATGCCATCAGACATGTAACAATAAAGCCAAAAGTTATGGTACCAAAGAAAATTTTAACGCTCTAGGCTCCATCGTTTCGAGCAGATGATTCTCAAAAATATTAGCTGTACAACTACTTCCATTGCATTTTTCTGTCAATTTTGGTGCTAGACTTGCACTTGGCGTCGCCAGCATGCGATTCCGATTCGCTACTGCCGCTATTTCTATTATACTCTCGCATAGATTTTGTTGTGTTCTTGCCTACTGCTGAGGCACCGAAACCGTGTAGGATCACGCAAGGTGGAACTTGTTCGTCCACTACCGAGTGCATTGACAAGATCCTGTTGCACCTTGTTGAAGATTCTCGCTTCTGGCGAACGAATAAAGGTAATCATACACTGTGAAACTGAAGGACTAAGATCTTCGAAAGACAGCCGATACGCTCGCCTGCTGTTGTGCAATGACTATTGCTAAAGAGCTTGTATCTGCATGCTAATCGGCAGATCATGCTATGTGGACGAGGAGAACCCTTCCTGGCTCTATGCTTTGTTCACTTTTTCACAATGCCGGCGATCTATTCTCACGACCATGGCAGTCCAACAACCTTGAAGATGAAGAAGCAACCTTTTGTTAAGTGAAAACCCCCGAAGTTTTTCTAACTTTTACATTTCCAAAACAAGAAGTCTACATTTCCGGGTTCCCATCTTTTATGAATCATTGTTCAAATTTTGCTCAGAAGATGTGGTGTAATTTCTCTTTTTCAGTTGAGCAACAAGTCAATCAGCATTACTAACCTCCTTCCTAGCCACGGATGATCATGATGCGGCCCCCGCCCCACCTTATTACTAGCATTAAGCCTCACAACCATCGCGTTCGATAAGACATAGACAAATCTACTCGCGCAACAAAAACACAATGGCTCCATTCGCAAATTCTGGCAGCGGGGGTTCGTCGTCCGGCGGCCCCGGAACTACTGCCGGTGACGAGAACAATCCGGGTGCCGGGACAAGCAGGCAGATCAACCCGGCGCTGTACCAGCGACCGCGGCTAACCACCTATCTCCGCGCCCACGTGGAGGCGGAAAAAGACGAGCAAATCGACATTGAAATCGAGTACATCAAGCGTCAGAGGGAACTGAAAAGACGCAGGATAGCCAGCGAGGGCGGCGGTGGGTCCTCGTCGTCTTTGTCCGCAAACAGGCATTTAGAGGACCAGGAGTGGAGCCTGAAGCGGTTCGGGGGGAGGGACGGGGGGTACGAGAACCGCACCGCGTTTCGGTCGTTTCAGAACGAGGTCAAGAAGCAGCTGGGGGACAGCACGGAAATCAAGGCCGCAGACATCGAGCAGATCGTCTACGAGCACTGCATTCTCCTCTCTGAGACGATCAAGAAGCGGGATATCAAGCAGAACATTCACAAGGAGCTCGGGTTCGCGCTGTGGTCAACCTCGGTGGATGAGCAGAAAACCGCACAGCAGATCGAGGTGATGCTGAAGCTCGCGAATGAGCTCGCGGTCTTTGACACGTTCAAGCGGTCACAGGTGTTGAAGAAAAAAAAGCAGGAAATTCGAGAAATGTTCGAACTGAACGACACCGACTTGAAGTACGGAACGAATGCGGTAGCAGATCTGGATGATTACGAGGAGGAGGAATCGACATCGAAAAGGTCCGCAGATCTTTTCGAGGAGAACAACACCTACCAGGTGAACGAATTCGGCGAGGTTTCCATGGGCGGCGGTAGGAACCGCGCGCAAAACCTGTTCGGATTCGGTCTTGGCTACCAAGACCCGTTCGCTAGATATCGAGCGGAAAAGTATGCTGTGGGGCCGGCACAGAATATCACGGCGGCTTTTGGAGCAAATAACTTAGACTTTGATGATGTCGTGGCAGCGGGCGGAAGCAGCAACTTCGAACTGGGCGGCCAACAGGTCAGAGTGGAAGTGCACCACAAAGCTGCCGCGCAGCAAGCAGGCGGGTCCTCATCGAGCAGCGCACCTACTGCGACAAACCTGCCAAACCTGCGATTTTTGAAGCAGCTCAGTTCGAAGTTTTTCCAGGACCACCCGGACGTGCCCATGACCATCGAGGAGTACACGCTCCAGCTGCTCCAGGGGCTCGAGCAGAACGACGAGAATGCCCTCGCGGAACAGCTGAATTTCGACTTCGAGAAGCTAACGGAAATCTTCGAGCGGAAGGACCGAATTCTGGAGGACTGGAAGCAGGCCGTGGCGAAGTCCGGGTTCATCAACCCGAACAGCAAAGCGGAAAATCGGGCGAAACAGGAACAGCACGAGATGCACCGGGAACTTCTCACCGTGGGTTTCACCGTGACCAGGAAGCAGAAGGCGTCGCAGTCCGAACAGAAGCAAGTGGACCCGCTGACTGTGTTACAGCGCTTGTTTGACGGCGCGGACGAGTCGTTCTCGAACGCCGTCGACGGGGGCGGCGGATCCGCGTCCTCCGCCGCCAAACTGGGCTTCCCCACGGGTCCAGGCATGGATCACCTTTCCGGGATCGCCACGTCGCTTCCCATCAACGCGACACAGGTGAAGGGGAAGGAATATGACGTCGTCACGATTCCTCCGCCAGCAAAGAAGGACAACGCACAATTCAGACTGGTAAACGTCGACGAACTGCCGGCGTTTGCGCAGCCGGCGTTCAACGACACTGGCGGGACGGGGATGTTGAACATCATCCAGTCCAAGGTCTACAAAACTGCGTTTCGCTCCAACAACAACTTTCTGATGTGCGCCCCCACGGGTGCGGGAAAGACAAATGTCGCTTTGCTGTCAATTCTGCGCTTGATCCACCAAAAAGTGGGTGAGAACGACGGCAAGATCGATTTGTTCCCGGACGTTTCCGGTGGGAAGGACGCGAAGGGTAAGGGAAAGAAGGGCAAAAAGGGAAAAAACGACGAAGAGGAGAACAACCCCTACGCCAACGCGGTCTTCAAAGTCGTCTACCTCGCCCCGATGAAGGCACTTTGTGCGGAGGTGGTGGAGAAGTTCAGCAAGAAACTCCAGCACGTCGGGATCCAGGTGCGCGAGTTGACCGGGGACACGCAGTTGTCCAGGCAAGAATTGGAACGGACCCACGTGATTGTCACCGTGCCGGAAAAGTGGGACGTGATGACACGGAACTCCACCTCCGGCGGCGGCGCCAGCGACACGACCTCGTTGCAGAAATTGGTGGAGTTGATCATCGTCGACGAGATCCACCTGCTCCACGAGTCCCGCGGCGCGGTCATCGAATCTGTCATCGCTCGAACGTTGCGATATCAGGAATCCTCCGGGCACTTCACCCGGCTCGTCGGCCTCTCCGCGACTTTGCCAAACTACAAGGACGTGGGTGATTTTCTCCGCTGCTCGAACGACAACATTTTCTATTTCGACGGAAGCTACCGCCCAAGCCCCCTGGAGCAGACCTTCCTCGGGATCCACAACCTGTCCTCGAACAAGAAAATCAACCAGATCAAGCGGCTCCAGGTGATGAACAAGGCCTGCTACGACCAAGTGCTCGCCGCGGTGAAAGACGGACACCAAGCCATGGTGTTCGTCCACTCCCGGTCCGATACCTACAAGACCGCCAAGGCGCTGATCGACATCATGGTGGAACGGGGGCACGAATCCTTTTTCAGCTGCAATCAGGGCGAGGGGCAGCGCCAGAACTACGGGAAGTTCTGCAAAGAGGTGGACCGGGCGAGGTCACCGGAGTTGAAGGAGATTTTCCGCCGCGGCTTCGGCATGCACCACGCGGGACTGCTGCGGCCGGACCGGAATTTGAGCGAAAACCTGTTCCGGGGCGGGGGCATCAAAGTGCTTTGCTGTACTGCCACGCTCGCGTGGGGCGTGAACTTGCCCGCTCGAAAGGTGATCATCAAGGGCACGCAAATGTACGACGCGGAGAAGGGTGGTTTTGTGGATGTCGGGATTCTCGACGTGCAGCAGATTTTCGGCCGCGCGGGGAGACCGGGACTGGACGATTTTGGTCAGGCCTGTCTGATAACGGAGGAGGAAACGATGCGGAAATACCTCGCGAAGCTGACGAACCAGACGCCGATTGATTCCCAGTTCCTTTCCCGTTTGGAGAACTCCCTCAACGCGGAAATTTCCATGGGAAACATCAGCAGCGAGCGCGACGCGGCGGACTGGCTCACGTTCACCTACTGCTTCATCCGGATGTTTCGAGAGCCAATGGCTTTCGGCATCCCGATGTCGGAAATTCAGTTCGATTCCACCTTGGAAAAATTCCGCCGCAGCAAGGTCCGCGAAGCCGCGGAGAAGCTCTTTCAGGCGAGGTTGATCCGGGTGGATGCGAGTAAGAATTACTTTCCAACCGATTTGGGCCGGTGCGCCGCGCGGTACTACTTGGACTACGAAACCGCGGAGGCGTTTTCGAAGGAATTGACGGAATCCGCGAAGCCGGAAGACATTCTGCGGCTGTTCGGCGAGGCGACGGAGTTCAAACAAATGAAGATCCGGGACGACGAGACGAACGAATTGGACGAGTTGAAGAAGAACAAGGACATCTGTGTGCACAAAATCGTCGGGGGCGCCATCAACCAGTCGGCCGCAAATCAGAGCAACGACAGCGTGTCGACGAAGGTGTCGATTTTGCTGCAGGCAATTATCTCTCGGGCGCGGATTCAGTCGTTTTCCTTGACCTCGGACATGAACTACATCATGCAGAACGCGTCGCGTCTCTTCCGCGCCATGTTTGAGATCACGCTGACCCGCGTCGCCGGGCTCTCCAACATGTCGGAGTCCCTGCTCGAGTGGGCGAAACAGGTCGACACCCGCATTTGGGCGCACGCGCACATGCTCCGGCACTTCTGCTATCCGCCGGCGCACGCGCAGAAGAAGCAGTTTGGCCGGGACGATCGGAAGGGCGGGGTGCTCAAATTTGAGACGGCGGACCGGTTGGAACGGAACAGTAACTGGAATTGGTGTATGCATTGCAAAAGTATCGTACTAGTATGAATTGCATTTAATGCAATTCATTTCCATTCCATTCCAGTACAAATTCCATTTGTCATGCTGAGGAAATTTGTAATACAAATTTCCTCAGCATGACAAATGGAATTTGTAATGCTGATTGACCTATGGAAAAAGATTTGTAATGCATAACTGCAATTACTACGAGTACGATACTTTTGCACAGGATATGGTGGAATTTGTGGGACATGGAGTGGGACGAGATCAAGTACATCATATCCAGGACAAGACACCCATCTCCATCCAATTTGTCATGCAAAACATGCATAAAATCCCCTATTTGTCATGCAAAACATGGATGGGGATGAGTGTTTTTTCCTGGATACATCATTCCCGAGCACAACGAGGCGAAGCTCGTTTCGCGCTACCGCGCCCGAGTCCCCTATCTCGACGTGTATCCTGAGTAAAAACGTACCCACACCAGAGTCAGGATGGGGATTTTGCAACACAAACCTAGGAGTTTTAGGAGTCACGCATGACAAGTTTCAGTCCGTAAGGTAGTGCAAGTTAGCAAGGAAAGCCGCATCACAAATCGACCTTCTGATCCTGTTTACAGCATTACAAGTTCCCAAACACGATTGAAAATGCCCGTCATGGGGTTGCGCATCACAAATGTTCCTGTCATGGCAAATCTGCATGACAACTCTGGGGTGGGGACGTTTTTACACAGGATAACGTGGGCCACGTGATCACGCCGATCACGAGCACGATTTTCCGCATAAAGCTCACCCTGCAACTGAACGAGCACATATGGATTGCAAATATGTCTGGGTCTGGAAACTTGTAATGCTAAAAGTGAATGGTAGACTGACGCACTGCATTACGCAGCCACGCATGACAAATTTGCTGGCTCCCATGTCTTACGTACCCCGCATGGCAAACTGCGTTTTTGCGTGACAGGTAAGGGGACCTTTTTGTGCCTATGCAACACAGATTCTCGAGTCATGCCAGACAAGCATGACAAACTTGCACTCTTCCAGACCCAGACGCTTTTGCATTTGATAGCACTGCGAGTGGAGCGACAACTGGAGCGGATCCTTCGAGCCGTTCTACATCTGGGTGGAGAACCCCATGACGAAGGACATCCTCCACACCGACACCTGGACGCTGCAGAAGAAACAAATGGAGGAAAAGGCGGAACTGTCGTTTGTGATCCCTTTAAACCAGCCTCACCCGCCCCAGTACGTGATCACCATTATCAGCGAGCGCTGGGTGGGGCTGAAATTCACGAGTGAATTTTCGGTCAGCCAGTACCTGCTGCCGGACCAGGAGATGGCACACACGCCGTTGCTCGACCTGTACCCGCTGCCGAAGACCGCACTGCAGGACAAGAAGTTCGAGAATTTGTACAAGTTTTCGCATTTCAACGCGGTGCAAACCCAGGTTTTTCACACGCTCTACCACACGGACTATAACGTTCTCGTCGGCGCCCCGACCGGGTCGGGGAAGACGAACATCTATCCTGTGCAAAACAAGTATCGTACTCGTATAAATGCAATACCTGCATTACAAATCTCTTTTTCAAGGCAAATCAGCATTACAAATTAAACTAAATTAAATTTGTAATGCTGGACTAATTTGTCATGCAATTTATAGATACTAGTACGATGCTTTTGCAATGCATAACATCGCGGAACTGGCGATGTTCCGGCTCTTCAACAAGACGCCCGACATGAAGGTCATCTACATCGCGCCACTGAAGGCGCTCGCGAAGGTATCACGAGAAAAAAGTGTTACAGGTACGCATTGTGTTGCAGGAGCCGCAAGACAGACAACCTTTGTCATGCAGGAAATGCTTGCGAGCCTCGTTTCCTACGTATTTTCCCTTCATATGATCTCTGCATTACAAGTTTTGTCTGCCACACAGAGAAAATTTGTAATGCAGAAACTCCAACAACTGTGTAACTGTAACACTTTTTTCTTGTGATAGAAGGAGCGGATGGAAGACTGGAAGGTCCGGTTTCAGAAGGAATATGGATTGCAAAAATGTCTGGGTCTGGAGGGTTGCAACTTGTGATGCTGCCTCTGGCTTCTAAATAAAAAATCTGTATTGCATGACTAGCAAGAGGAGTCCACTTTGTGCTACGCCGAGAGGGCATTTCTCATGCGGAGTAGGCATCAGAAAGCCGTCTAAAAGTCTGTGATGCTACGGCATGCATTACAGGCGTTGTGGGTCATGGAAAATCTGCATGACAAGTCTTCCAACCTCCAGACCCAGACATTTTTGCATTTGATAAGGAACTGGGGAAGTCGATTGTCGAATTGACGGGCGACTTCACGTATCCTGTGCAAAAGTATCGTATTCGTATAAATGCAAGCCTTGCATAACAAATATTTTTCTTAAGGTAAATCAGCATGACAAATTTTATTTCTCATGCTGAGGAAATTTGTAATGCATTTATACGAGTACGAAACTTTTGCAGTTCATATCACGCCGGATGTGAACGCGCTGGATCAAGCGCAGCTGATTATCACGATATGGAGTTCTCAAATGTTACATTCTCAACTGTTACATGAATTTGTAATGCAAGACTGGCAAAAGCGAAGGAAAGGAGGAAGATTGCGCCTTTTGCATTACAAGTTTGGCGCAGATTTAGATGCTGTTTAGCCCTTCCGAAATTTGTCACGCGAAGCAGCTCGATCATCTGCCGGCTGAAGGTGCTTTTGCATGACAAATTCATGTAACATTTGAGAATGTAACGCTTGAGAACGCCATACACGACGCCGGAAAAGTGGGACGGGATATCCCGGCACTGGCAGAGCCGCGCGTACGTGCGAAGAGTGGGGTTGGTCATCATCGACGAAATCCACCTGCTCGGTCAGGACCGAGGACCTGTGTTGGAGGTGATTGTGTCGCGCATGCGGTACATTTCCGCGAACTTGGACGTGCCGATCCGGTTTGTCGGGCTCTCTACCGCGTTGGCGAATTCGCACGACATTGCGGATTGGCTGGGGATCGGGATGGTGGGTTGTTTCAATTTCAAGCCGTCTGTTCGACCCGTCCCCATGACGGTGCACATTCGCGGCTTTCCGGAAAAGCACTACTGCCCGAGGATGGCGACGATGAACCGTCCGGCTTACGAGGCGATCAAACACCATTCGCCCACGAAACCGGTGTTGATTTTCGTCTCTTCCCGTCGGCAGACACGGCTGACAGCGCTAGATCTGATCGGCTTGATCAACGCCGATGTGGAGAACTTAATGAACGACAGAGCCAACGGGATCGCAGTCGAAGCTGCTTCATCTCCCAGGATGAACGGCGAGGGTGGTACAACAACCGGTGCAGGAGCGGCCTCATCGAGCTCCAGCAGTACAGCGAACAATTCTACTACTCAGGAAAACTTCGGGCACCCCTTCCGCAGATTCGACCCCGCAACGGATATTGAGTATCTGGAGAAGAAGCCCTGGATCACGGACCCGAACCTGGCAATGTTTCTGGAGAACGGGATCGGCATTCACCACGCGGGTCTGACGGAGGAGGACCGCTTGTTGGTCGAGAAGTTCTACTTGAAAAACAAAATCATGATCCTGATCGCGACTTCGACGCTCGCTTGGGGGGTCAACTTCCCCGCGCACTTGGTGATCATCAAGGGGACGGAGTACTTCGACGGGGCGAGCATATGCACTGCAAAAGTATCGTACTCGTAGTAATTGCAGATAAGCATGACAAATCTTCTTCCTAAGGCAAAACAGCATTACAAATCCCACTTTTCTTCTTGCCAAAACTTGTAATGCAATTTATACTAGTGCGCTACTTTTGCAATGCATAGAGCAAGCGCTACGTCGATTTCCCCATTACCGACGTTCTGCAGATGATGGGGCGCGCGGGCCGTCCGCAGTTCGACGACAAGGCGGTCGCCGTGGTGTTCGTGCACGAGCCGAAGAAAAACTTCTACCGCCGGTTTCTGTACGAGCCGTTTCCGGTCGAGTCCAGTCTGCATGAGCAGCTCACCGACCACTTGAATGCTGAGGTGCACGCGAGAACCATCACGGACCGGGCCGAGGCGGTGGACTACTTGACTTGGACGTATTTCTACCGGCGGCTGACCGCGAACCCGAGCTACTACGACCCGGCCGCAGCGTTGCAAGAGAACTCCGCGGACGCCAGCTTCAGCGCGACGGCGGCCACCAGCAACGCGAACAAGTCCGCAGCGCAACAGCGGCAGTTGACCAGTTACTTGGAGAAGCTACTGGATCGCTCCTTAGCGGACTTGGTCCGCGCCAAGTGCATCCGGCTGAAGGACGCGGGACAAGACGAGGAGGGAAATTGGAAGCCGCTGCTGATCGAGCCGCAACCGCTCGGGAAAGTTGCGTCGTTGTACTACATGGGACACAAGACGGTGTTTGAGTTCCAGAACACCTTAGAGAAAAACACGGACGAGGGCATGTATCGTGTGCAAAAGTATCGTACTCGTACAAATGCTAATGCAAGTCTTGCATTACAAATCTTGCAGCCTCCAAGGTAAATCTGCATCACAAATTTTATTTCTCACGCTGAGAAAATTTGTAATGCATTTATACGAGTAGGAGTACGATACTTTTGCAGTTCATAGCATGTCGTTTCTGGACATTCTGAAAATGATCTGCAACTGCCCGGAGTACCGGGAGCTACCCGTGAGGCACAACGAAGATCAGCTGAACATGGAGTTTGCAGAGAAACTGCCCATACCCTTGGACTTGGCCACCCAGTCCTACGACTCCCCGCACACGAAGGCATTTCTGCTGCTGCAAGCGCACTTGTTCCAGCGCGATCTGCCTTCTACGGACTACAAAACGGACTTGAAGTCGGTGTATGGATTGCAAAAGTATCGTACTAGTATAAATCGCATTCGCAATACAAATTTCCTTAGCATTAGAAATGGAATTTGTAATGCGGATTTGCCTTAAGAAAAAGATTTGTAATGCATGAGTGCGATTACTACGAGCACGATACTTTTGCACAGGATACGGCGCTCGACCGTACGATTCCGATCATCCAGGCGCTGGTCGACATCGCCTCGGAGGAGGCGCAGTGGAGGACGTGCCTGAATTTGATCACGTTGCTCCAGTGCCTCCACCAAGCGACCCACCCGTGGCGGAGTTCGCTGTTCACCCTCCCCTACCTGAACTCGCCGGGGGCCTCCGTTGCCACCTCGCGCGCGTTATGGGACTGTCAGGATCGAAATCGACAAGATCGAAAAACTTGAGATGCACAAAATCGATGCACGTTAGACCCACAGTTTGTAGTCGGCGCATGGCAAATTTCCCACGTCCTGGAAACGAATCTGTCATGCAGTTTAGGGCAAAAGCGCTCCCCTCTGTCATGCTAGCCACCAACCCAATTCGTGACGACCCTTGGCAGGACTACAATCTGCCTCCTTTGCGTCCTCTGCAATAGAGTCACTTTTTGTGTCGCATTTTCTGCATGACGTTTATTTCGACTTTGTCGATTTCGATCCTGACGCTTCCATACGCGTCCAACAAAACGTACCAGATGGAAATCGTGGAGTTTCTAGATCAGGAGGAAAGCATCAACTCCCTACCGGAACTCCTCGACCGGGACTACGATTGCCGCAAAATCTTGAAAAAGGCCTTCCACAGCTCGAAGCAACTGAAGACCAAGAGGATATCAGAGGAGAGGACGGGAATGATGTTGAAGGAGATCTCCGATGTGGTCCGACAGCTGCCGAAGCTGCGACTCGCCTTCAAGCTCTTCCAAGTGAAAGACGTCCCAGGCGACCCGCCCCCAGAGGGCGGAAACGACTACGAGGAGGACGAGGGCGACAAAGTGCAAGTGACTCTGAAACTGAATGGCACGATCAACGAGAGCGCCAATAGCCAGAACAAGCACATGAGCGAGAAGCAAGGGGGTCAAAATAGTAGAGCGGGACAAAAGAGGAGGAAGGAAAAGCGACATCCGACAAACCCGAATGCGATTTGGAATCCGAAGACGGGGAAATGGAAAGAGCGAATTTCTCTAAACACGGAGGAACCGCCAGAAGACCACAGCAAGCCGACAAGGATAGAGGTTAGAACAGTTCTGCATTATTGACATTGACTGAGGAAAAATTTGACTTTCCTGTTGTGAATGTGCAGCTTTTGTTTGATGTTGCTTATCTGGATGTCGTGGTGCAGGAACAACTTTGATTTTCATGTTTTTCGGTAGATCATAGTGTATCAAGAGGCGTATCATACTAGCTAAGTGGTGCTTGTAGTCTAAATTCCAAGGATCGCGAAGATTTCTATTCTATTTCATCAGCCTTTGTTAGAAACTAGAAGTAGAACTGCAACCACCACCAGCACCACCATTTTTCGGCGAAAATATCGTTTCCAAAAACGCCACACCAGGTCCCTTCTGGGTGCAACCTGGAGCTCGAGATCTACACTTGGTACGCCAATTCCCCGATGAAGTACGCGTTTGCCCCCAAGTTCCCGAAGAAGAAAACCTACTCGTGGTGGCTCCTCCTGGGTGACGCCGAGAACGACGAGCTGATTCAGATGAAGCGCGTTCTGATGCAGCCGCTGCACCGCACCAAGAAGGTGGTCTTTGATTTCGAGGCACCGGAGGAAGATCCCGGGGAGTCGTTTGTACTGAACTTGTGCTGCTCGAGCGATTCGTTCTTCGGCCTGGATCAGCAATACGACTTGGAAATTTGTTTGGTGGAAAACCCAGACCTAGAGGAGCAAGCAGATGACTCTTCCCAACATGCTGGTGACGAAGGAGATGAAAATGGGGACGCAGATCCAGATGCTGGCTCCAGCGGAGAAAATAGTAGCAACTCGCCCGCGCGTTCCCGGGAGGAGTGGGAAGACGGTCTGGATGAGGTGGAAGAGGAGCGGTTTAATTCAGATACTGAAGACCACAAAGACCACCACGGGAAGTCGAACAACGCAGGGAGCCATCCAAAAGGAGGCTCCGTGTGGGCCTGAGAGCGAGAGGGAATTCGATACAGAACAAGAAATCCAAATCCTCGAAGCATCTCTTTGAATAAGAGATGATAATCGATAGCTCCAAAGCGACACCGCACCTATCCATCGTTGTACTACAGGCACTCTATTTATGAAGTCTCGTAGCGAATGACGTCGACGACACGCAGCTGTGAACTACTAGCCTCATTCACCGCATTCAACAAGGGCTCATGATCATCTAAAAATGCTCGACAAGTGTGTTCATCCCGTTTTTCGGACATAAGGCAAGCAGGTTTCTTTCGCATACTGAGTGCAATGTTTAAAGAACAATAGGTCGACCCGCCAGTTGTAGTTTTGAGTTGTGAGTTCACATTTCGCAACTCGTTCCTCGAAGCAGCCTTTTCATCGAAGCGCCAGCACATGTAGTTGCAACCGAGTTTTAGTCGAAGCTCCACAATGAAGTGAAGCTACAGTCGGTGCCAAGAATCAGTCTGTGTGATTCTTATTTTAACTACTTGAGAAAACCAAGCCCTCAACATGTTGAAGCAAACAGCATCTGTCAACAGCGTCTCGATATGATCTCCTCCTCCGACAAGTCTCGTTCTCCTTCACCGTCTGTTCTTCGGCGTCTACCTCCCGCTCAACAGCTCCGTCCCTCAACTCGTTCACGACATATGAGGTGGAAAGCAGCTGCCTTCCCTGTGTGTAGTTGTGTACTCCATTTGTGGCAGCTTCCAGGACAACTACTACCGGAATCATGCCCGTTCTCTTCAGTCATGATCCACGCACGAGTGGTCGACCAGCGCCAGGGTGCTGGGGACGACCCTTCCGTGGTCTCTGGCCGCACCTCTGGTTCATCTGGGTTCTCACCGGAAGTTGATGCGCGAAGAGCAGACGGTGGTCATGACAATAACTTTGACTTATCCGCACAAGGAGTTGATGATGAAGAGGACGAAGAACCGGGGGAGGAGGCATACGAGTCACCAGTGACGAGACGAGCAGACGGTGCCTCCAGTGATGTTGAACAAAAACGCACCAAAAGCGTGAACGCGCTCCCCCTCCACGGCGAGGAGGAGCCCCGCTTTGGTAGGCCATCGTCCTTCGGGTCCGACTTTATTCCCTGAAAATTACCCATCCACATCCATTTTTTGCATGACAAACACATGATTTTATACGTGTTTTGCATGACAAATTGGATGTGGATGGGTTTTTTTGTTTGGATAGACTTCGTCAAGGTCCTCGAAGTGAAACCGGAGGGGTTCGCGAGTAACCCGTTGTCCGGCGACGAGGGGGTAGATGAAAGCAAACCTGCCGAATCCGCGCTGCAGGAGGCTGGGGAAGGTGAAGAGGCTGAGGAAAAAACTAAAGAAGTGCAGGTCAAGCGCCGGCCGTCAGAAGAACGTGAACCGGCAGACGACCTTTCAGGTGCGAGCAATTTTTCCGGCTCTGCGTCTTCATCTTTGAGACGGCCAACATCCGCATCTACCTCGCTAGTTGCATCGCCGTGGTCCTTCTGGAAGAAGTTGGGACTGATGTTCTACGCGAGAAACGGCCGGTTTGACATATCGCGACCGGCAGAATTTCTCCGCTCAGACACGCTGCGGGTGTACCCGAAGCCCGGCGAAGATCTACTCGCGTGTCAGTGTGTTTTGCTTGACTACGTTAATTCGGCCGAGTCATCAGAATCATCGCCCCGGCTTGCAGGGCAAAACAAATCGGACGAGGAAGTAGATACCTCCGCAACTAGTACAACAATGTTGACACCAGCTATTATTGCTAACAGTACGTCGCAGAGAGTGGAAGACGAAGAAGTAGCGGACCGCGTCGCCGCACAACAAAATATGACCGCCATCGCTCCAGCAAATAACAACAGTAAACACAACATCACTTTTCCACCCTGCTGGGCGAGGCCGCTACTAGATCTGATGGTCCTGCCCGGCCGCTTGGCGTATAGCGGCGAGCGCTATTATGTGCCTTGGAACTCTCGCGCCGCGTATCGGTTGCTGATGACGAAAAATCCCGCAATGCGGAGATGGTTGCTGAATCGGAACGAGGCGGTTCAAAAATCGAAGAGCAGCCGCACTTGGTGGGATCATGTGCGAGACTGGCTGCCTTTTCTTCCTTCGCTTCACTCTCAAAACGACTGGGACAAGGACGCGACGGAAAGACGTGCGCTTGATGCCAGCATCTTCGATACGGTGTACGAAGATTTATTGACTCCGCTCGATGCGCATGAAGACCTGCATAAGCGCAGCCCGATCATTCGGAAGAGAGGCGACAACTTTCAGTCCTTTTTTGAAGATCCGTACCTACAGCCAATAGTCGAAAATGTCGCCGCGCGGCAGGAAGTGGATATGGCCACGAATGCGGTCTTCTACGGTCAACCGGCAGAGATGAATAGGTTGGTCGAAGTTCTAGTCCAGGAGCCGCTGCGTCACCGTTCGCTAGAGGACGACTGGCGCCGCGAGGTAGAGACTTCTATCCCAGAGGACAAGTACGCCTGCTATGTAGTGCCCAACTATTACCCGAGAACTTGCCAGGCGATGTGCGATGCGACATTTGCAGACCAACGCGCACGGACCTTGAGTACGACCGATCTAGAAGAGCTACGCTTTAAGCCGGACGTACTGGTGGACCTACTCGTGGCGAACGGCACTGACAACAAGGATAAGGACGAGGTCGAGGCTCAGCACAAGCTTCTTGTCGCTGCTACACACCTAATCACTTACGCGCTCGTGCGCTACAGGGAAACAGGGCCCCGGTCGGTTGAGAAAATAAACTTTATTGAAGACGAAGGACGTTGATGACATAAGTCTTCCCTTCGAATCCGATCACTATCGAAAACTAAATTTGCGAAAGAATCTAGCAGAAGCGCAGCTGCATCTACTGCCCTATCCCTCAATCATGATGTGCTAACTGACAATCGTGTGTCAGTGACACACGAACAACGTCCCCAAAGCCCTAGCAGACCTCCCCTGCAATGCTAGCAAAGCAACATAATTATTGATGATGATAATTATGATGATGATGCTCAACTTGAAAGAAGCTCGCTCACGAGCAACGCGTCACTTCTGTGAGCTCTTCATCGCAAGTGGTAACTTACAACCTTGGAAGTGGTTCCGTTTCGTTTTCTCCGCTTCGTCGATCCAAAAAGACAGGCTCGGCATCACAAATTCACGTAGCTCGCTCCGGCTACAGCGATCTAAGTACTCAGGTTGCGATTTTGATTTTTCATCTGAACTCCACCGTGTGATGATTGCAGTATCAGTTTCAGTAGTGCATAATCTGTGAAAGATAGAGATGCACTTTGAACAGGCTGCGAGCGCTCCATTATTCACAGTCCTGAAAGAGAAAGCAGTTGTCTCATGTTGGTGCTGCGAGGCTATTAAGGGTAGTAGACGTAGAGAGAGACAGACGGCAAGGGAAGCCCTGTTATTCAAAAAGTTTTTGCCCGAAGGAATAAGTAGCTAGCAGTGTATCCACCTGCCCTATGATTACCGACCACTCATATGTGGATAGTTTGTTTCTGGTATTTCTATAAATAAATCGCCCACAGTATACTAGGTTTAGATTATACAACTCACAAAAAGTGTCTTTTAGCCTTAGCTTATAGTTATAATATCCAAGGATGAAGTTGAACGCAAGCTGCATGTTGCAGTTCTTGCTCTTTACACAGTACAAATCGACGTTTCTTTGTCGGGAGGTGGCTGTGTCACTTCCGTTGCTCCTCCTGTTGGTGCTGTTCTACGAATTCGGGGGGACAACTGCTATTGGAGCATCCACGACCAGTATTTACGGTGAGCTACCGGCGTTTAACATGAACGAGCAGGTTCACCGTGCCGCGATCATCTGGCCTCAGACGAAGAAGCAAGTGAGGAAGTTTTCTGATATCGCCATCGCACCCGCCATATGCATTGCAAAAGTATCGTAATCGTACTAGTATAAATCGCATGACAGGTTTTCAAGAAGTAGAAAATTGGAATTTGTAATGCAGAGTCAGGTAGAGAACCATTTGTCATGCATACCTGCAATTCATACGTTGCGAGTGCGATACTTTTGCAATGGATACGCCAACGTGGAGGACGACGAGGAGTCGGAGAGGTCGTACTCTCAGAAGCTTCTGGGGTTCAAAGATCCGGATCTCCTCTGCGGGATCACATCGGAGAGGCAAGCGCAGGCGGACTTTTGTTTCTGGTTCGACCGTGAGATGTACACAGAAAAAGAACAAACCTCGGACGAACAAATCTTAAACCAATGGGAGGACGAAGAAGATGAAGACAGGAAAAAAAAAAGAAAAGCACATGACAAGAAGAACGGAAACAAGAAAGTGAAAGGAAGAAAAGCGGAGAAAAGAAACGGGAAAACCAAAGTTGCGCAAAACCCTGTGGATGACACACCGGACCGGAACTACGTCGCGGAAGCCATGGCTGCTCGGTTGCCGTGGTCCGAGAAGAAGAAAGCGAGCGTGCCGCACGATATGATCATCCACGGGCCCGTGTTGCTCGTCTTCAGTCCAACGATGCAAACCAATGGGATGGGACAGTTTGTTGACGATATGGTTGACGACGGCGAGTTCGGTTATCTGGGGATCGAAGAAGCCTGGAACAAAGGGCAACCAGTTGAGCAGCTGCGGAATGAGCAAAAACCAAAAACCACTTCTCCGCGTGACAGAAGGTGGAGCTTGCGCCAGCTGCAGCAGCGGGTTGCGTACTTTCACATGACCTTCGCTTCGGAAGACCAGTTATCCTGTTGCGCAAAAGCATCCCACTAAGAGCAATTAGCAATGATGAACTCTGTATTATACAGATTAGCCTAGCAGTAGCATGACAGCAGATGCAATGATTTGTATAGATCTATAAAAATTCTGCTTTAATACTTTTAGCAAGAAGGCAAAAATTCAATATTGCTATGCAGCATATCTTCTGCATCAAGTACGATACTTCTGCAATTCATACCTGTACGAGGAGAACCGGGATCCCAGAACGCGCCACCTCACCGAAGAAGAAGTAAAACTGATAACGGATATGGACAGCTGGGACACAATACCCCCCAATCTTATGGAAAAACTTAAAATGAAGCTGGAACAAAACCTCACCCCTGAGGGCATGGAAGAGCTTGAGAAGGAAAAGAAGAAGGCACAAAAGCAAAAAGACGGAAAGAACAGTGGTGGCACAGGCCCAGTGAACAAGGCGGAGCGAAGTACTATGGATAATTCTAGGTCCGTTGATAGTCCTCCGGGGCCTAGTAAAATGTTTCGTGGGGATCGTGTGAAGACGAAGCACGCAAAGACCAAGAAAAGATCTTCGAAGAATGTGAAAGCAAGAGGTGGTGGTGGCGGCGCTACTGCGAACATGAAAAGTGAGCTGTGACATTCAGTTTTTAACTACAGCCGTCTCATCCAAAAGGAGTTCAGCGAACGAAGCGGCAAGACATCTTTCAACCACTTGATGTGCGAGTCTCCCTTTCGGTCCTCTGCGTGTCTGCGTGATCGTGTTCAACAGCTCTTGCAGCTTTTTCCAAAATAGAAGATTTCGATACGCTGCTTCTGGTGCATTTTCTGATTTTTCTAATAAAGGGTAGCGAAGAAAGAAATTGCCGAGAGAACATTTTTAAAAAATGGATACTGAAAAGAAGCATGAAGAAACTTGAGATGCAGGCGTAAGTGGAAGTGCTTGTTGCAACATTCAATTTATGTAGAATCAGTAGAAGGGAGCTCGGCTGAGCGTGGTACTGGAATTTTGACGACAAAGGGGCGCGTAACGTCCTGCCATCATGATGGACCTTGTGAGCGGGGTGAGGGCCGCGGGGCGGGGGCTCTCGCTGTACTTATTAATTTGAATCACGCAGGCATCAGCGTCATCGTCGTCATCCTCTAAGGCAGCTTCTGTCTCTTTTCAGCAGACATCGCAACTTGTTGTACCTAAGCGAGTCGTAAATGCTCAATAAAGTCGAAGATGTTTCCACATTCGCGATTCTTCCGACGTCCTGGCGATTGTGTTGGTCCACTTCGGCCAGGATTGGTAGTGCACTTTGATGTTCTGAAGAGCTACGCTAGTGGTGTGACGTAATTCAACTTGCAGGAGAAGGAGAACTCGGAAGAACAGGATCACGGCATAGGTGGTTCCGTGGCAACAACCCACCCGGAACTGTTCACCGCTGGTGGATCAGCATGCCGGCATTGGTGGAAAGGGGCCGAAACATGCACGCGTCGCACCGCGGCGGCTCCGATCATCCCGATCTTGATCTAGTGGACTACAACATGACGGTGACGAATTACCATTCAGATCACCAACATCCAGAGGAAAATGCCGAACGGCGTCACCAGGATTTGGATCATGTTGACGGTCAACATGAAGAGCTGATGGCCACCTTTGACGCCACCGAGGACAGGACACAGTTCAGGCGCAACAAGAAGAATTCGAGACGGGCAACGAGATCACCCTCTGGACCCAAGAAGAGGAATACAATTTTGAAGATTTCTGACTGCAATATCTTCGAGGGCGACTTCATTGCGTTTTGCCACGTGTTTGCCGCAGGGGTTACGCTTGTCATGGCCCGCGTTACCCCCGGAGCTTGTTTGCTGGAGGAACTCGGCTTCACGCTGGCGGAGCTGGCCCATTGCGATGCTCTGTTTTGGTCCGGCTTTGTCATTATCAAATGTAAAAATGTCTGGGTCTGGAAGAATGCAAGATTTGTGATGCAGGTTTTCCATGACCCATGAGGTCTGGAATGCGAGACCCAGCATGACAGATTTTTTGAGGTCTCTATCAATATCATGCCTTTCCTGCATGAGAAACTCCCTCTCAACTTGGTCAAAAGCGGACAGCTTTTGGTACTCACGCAACACAGATTTTTGTATTTTTGTATCCTTCGGATTTAGCATGACAAGTTCCAATCTTCCAGACCCAGACATTTTTACATTTGATAGTCATCACGCAGATCGTCCTCTTCGCGCCCTTCTTGGACCTATTTCGCCCGAACAGCGACGAGAATGACCGAGATGAGGAGGAATTCTTCAGCATAAAGCGAGATTTTGGCAGCGGCTCTTCCGAGAGGACAAAAAATGGTTCGCAGCAGGAAGTGAATAGCCACGGGTATCACGATGTTGAAGACGAAGAAGAAGCACAGGAAGAAGATGAAAAGCAAATTTTTACTCGCCCTCCGTACAAATACAACGACCACTTCGCTGCAGCTGGAACTTCTGTTTCCCAGCATCATCAAGGAGGCTCAGGCTTCGTCGACGACGCTGATCGAATGCAGCTTCTCGACCGAGACTGCTATAATGCCTCTGCACTCGTTCGAGGACCCGCGCGTTCGGAAAAACTTTCTTCCGAGAGCAGCAGAGGACGAGGCGAGAAAAGTGCAAGGGCAAGCGAAGTCGACAGGTTGATCCCTGTTGCGACCGCCGCGTATTCACCGTGTGGTCTGACTAAGACCCACATGACCCTTTCCGCGAGGAACTCGAAATTGGTGACGTCCAAGACGGCAATAACGCCAGGCGGCCTGCCGGACGGTCATCCCGAGAAAGGCGGCCCGGAAGTTGTGCGACTTCAGGGTCATCAGAGGCAGCGAAGCGCCGCTCCTCGCTCGACGGCGCAGCACATCGGGAAGGCCATTTTTCGCAGATTTGTGCCGACCAGCTTCCGCAACTGGCTACAGCTGCCGACAGCCATGCCAACAAGTTTGCAGGTGGTCTACAAGAACGAGAAGAAAAAGAAAAATCAGAGTACCACGAGGACCAGTCAAGTGGGCGAAAGTGATTCTCCTGGTGGAACAAGTCATGATCTGCAATTATTCGGCGGGATTCGGAAAAAGCAAATCGACGTTTTTCAAAAACCTAAGCAAGCGCTCCTGGCCGCGCTGCTGCTCTGCGCGATCGTGCAGTTCTCGTTTCCCTCCTTGGCCACCTCGAAGGCCCTGATGCTCCTGCAAACAATCCACGGGGTGGCGCAGGGCCTCGCCTGTGCTGCTTGTGCGCAGACCTTCCGCAAAGTGGTGTACTCACCTAACCAATCCACGCTGCTTCTCTGGGTCGCCTGGGGCACGACCAGCTTGGGACTCGGAAAATTTTGCGGACCGCTGGTCACGGAGTGCAGTCTGGCGCTCGCGGCGCGGGCCCCGCCGGTTTCCACGATCATGCTGGAACTACAAAAAGTCAACCGCTTCGCCGGCATGAGCACGAGTGGCAGCACGCCTTCTTCCGGTTTGGAGCATGCTGCGGGAACTGCAGCGCCAAGGTGGAGCAGTGCTAGTGGAACAAGATCTTTGTCGCGAACTGTTTCCTATTTGCAACTCTTCGGTGATGACGACGACGCTACTGTCAAAGAGAAGGAAGCGAGCCGATTTTTTTTCGGCCTCAGCCCGTCACTTCCTGCCATCCACGACGACGGAAGTTCGTATATTCCCTTGTGGCCGCTGGTGCAGCCGCCGTCCACAAGAACAAAGTCCCAGCAGGGCAAGGGAATGGAGGCAGAGGATAAAAAACAGCAAATCACCAAAAAGAAAAACCAGAAGACCAATGATCGCGAGGAAGCAGAGCTGGAAAAAACGTCTGCCAATAAACTTTCATTTCTGCAAGACGATGAAAAAGCTGCTGCGCCTCCTCCTGGTGAAAGTGAAGAATCTACAACATCGCGAGGAGCTGAAAGACCAAAAAAACAGGTGAAGCAAGGAGCAGGAAGCAGACAGAGGACTTCGAGTTTTAGTTCCGAAGCCCAACACAGAAAGAAAATGAAAAGAACGGCACATCGTCATGAAGATGTTGATGAGATCAATAGGTCCGCACTATTCAGTGTTTCATCGAAAGATCATCTTCTGACAGCAGCGTCTACCGACGGTCCACAGGCACAGCCCGAGTCCGAGACGGCGGTCATCCTCGGCGAACTCGGAAAGCGAAAGAATGAAAGAACACAGAAAATAGACGGAAAGGAGGAGAAGGAAGAAAAAGAATCGGAGGAACAAGGGGCTGCTGCTCGTCCAGAACCAGAGAACAAAAAGAAGAAAATCGATTTCTTTGATAGTCGAATTTGGGCCGACTGGGACTGGTCCCGGGTGCTGTTTCACGATCCACACGTCAAAATGGACGATGAGGAGCCACACACGGCGTCGTCCGGCGGAGATGCAGCGGATCGCGACAGCAACAAAGCACCGAAAGACCCACGGCAGTTGGTGTCGCAATCGTGGCGGAGGTGGAAGCGAATGAATGGCAGGGAGATGAAAAGGCACGAGAGCGAACGGGAACTGGTCGAAAAGCAACAAATAAGTGAGCTAGAAGCGATCACGACAGCATCAGCAAGTGAGGCGTCAAAAGCAAAAGTAGAACAGGAAAAAGATGCAAAGTCTGATTTGGACGGTGCGGGCACCGATACAGCAGATGCAGAAGGAACACAGGACGACGAAAATAAATCTACGGAGGATTTGATTCGATCCCTCCTGCGGTCCCACTCGACGCAGATTGAGGAGGCGCACGAGAAACTTGAAGAAGAGGAAGAGGAGGAGGCAATTCTGGACGACATCCGGAATTTGCTCCGCGAGCGACGACGGGAAAAGGAAAAAATGCGCTACGCGGAGGATGGCGCGACTTCGGTTTCTTCGGAAACATCCTCAGCGCCCGCTGTTGAAAAAGCTGGTAAAAGGAGGCTATCCACTCAGTTCCAGGAAGAGGAACGGGAGCTCATCGAGGCGCTGTCCAAACGAATCGCGAAAAGCTCCTCCGAAGGCGCAGCTACACACACGGAAGAGCAAGAAGCTGGAGAAGTGGAAGCTGCTGGACGAGGTGAGCGAGAAGATGGCGGACACAAGCCCTCGGCATCACCGACACCAGGAAAAGGACACTACACTGGACGGAGCAAGACAAAGAGTGCAACTGAGCGTGAATCTGAAAAGCATTCTGGCGGAATCTCCTGGGATCCGAAGTACAACAAAAGGGAGCACCAGCATCAACATGACGGCCACAAAAAATCTCACTCGCACAATCTCGGCAGCGGCAGCAGCAGCAGCTCTATCGGCATCTACAAGCATCGAAGTACTAGCACATCGACCACAAAAGCCTTAGGCGACGACGAGGGCGCAACCAGTAAAAGCACAAGCTCGGACCTCCATACAATTACAAATGACGCAAAGGGAAAAGATGACAAGAACGCGGAAGGACAAAGAGCTACTTCTTCAAATCCGGACGACGCGGCCGCAGAGGAGAAAAGTGAAAGGGACCCGGAGTACGAGGACAAATTCGCTTTTGGTGCGGCTTCGCCAGCGGACATGTTCCAGTTCCACGCACCGTTTGTGTCGCACGGCATCATCTTCCTGATTCAGGCCTTCCTTGTTTTTTGCACCTTATCTGTGCCGCAGAAGTCAAAGCTAGAAAGAGCCCAGGATGAAATTCTGGCGCAGAAGGAGCGGAAAGCAAGGATTCAAAATGGTATGTTCTCCTCTCATCGCCATCGCCGGCGTCCGGACGTCGAGGGTGCGTCCAGAACTACAAGCAGGCTTAGAAATGGAAACGTTTCCAGAAACACAGGGTCCTGTCGTGGAAGTGGTGTACGTGGAGGGTCTTCATCCACTTCCTCATCTTCCAGTTGTGCGAATCCGTCCTCATCTTCGTCGGCCGAAAGTGAAGCCCAGGATCAGGCCCATCTCCAGCATCAGGAAGAGGAACTGGTTAGTTTTTATTCCGATCGCGAGTTCGAGAGCGTTGAGGACCTCGAGGACGAAGATATCTCGCCGATCATGTTCGTGCAGGACCACGATTTAGACCATTGTATCCACGGCTCCTCCAAAAATGCGGCTTTAGAAGAACCAACGCAGCAAGCGGGAAGAGCAGGCGTGCAGCCAGGGTATTATCCGGGAAGTGTGGACCGGTTGCAGCAGGGCAGCAGCTTTTTCCAAACTTACACGCGACCCGACGAAGGCGGGCCTCAAAGCAGGGGGCATGGGGCCGCTGTAGCGGCAAGCGTTCGCATTCTCGCGCGAGGTAAAGGCACCACCAGCCGGCGTCCTGCACAAGAACGTCCGGCGCAGCCTGATCCTGCTGCGGCGCAACACTGGGGCACGTATTACGAGAATGAGGATCAAGAAACCAGCATGTCCGCGGTTTCAGTGTCAGACGTGGAGTATGAGGATCGGCGCGGTGGGGTCGAGCACCTTGATGTTTCAAATCACGGACCAGTGCTGCGACGAGATAACGACAACGACAGCACTCAACCTCGAGAAGAAAGCCCCATTGTCGTGAAGGTACTTTACAGCACTCTTACTCATTTATTGCGCGCTGGTGCGGCATGACTTTAATGTATTCAGTTTCGTCATCAATTTTAGTAGTTAGACCTTAAAAAAATTTTGGAAAATCACGGTCTCATTATCAACATCGATCTTCCAACGCGTCAAAATAAACAAATTGCAGGTTGTTGGTGGCGTTATCCGCGTCACTTCCAACGCCGATCCGGAAGAGCCGCGCTCTCGTCTCATGGAGGACCACTCGCAAATAAGCAACTTTGAGAACAAATCCTCCAACCTGGACGGACGACCCGGCTCGTCCGGCAATTCGGCCACCAGCATACACTTACCGGATAACGATCCAGCGGAAGTAGAGGAGATACAGTACGAAGGAACCAAAGAACCACGACGGGCGGTGGGGGAGCAGCTAGTAGAAGAAGGGGTGTCCTCTTCTCAGCGACGAGAGGACCACGACAGCAACATGATGATCTCTTCCAGTCTTCAAGCGCTGCAAACGGCGCTCCAGCAAGACCGGTCGCACAGAAAAGAGCGCCTGGCGTCGCTGACGTCGAACAGCGATCACGATGCCGGTCGTCAAAGTAGCAGAAGAGGCCGGCGTCAACATGATGGTTCTGCTGGTCACCGCGGACGAGGAGGTGTGCTGTCGCATGGTCCAAGCGCCGACAACTCGTCGAAAAATTCAGAGGAGATGAATTCGACGGGCGGCACAAGCAGTCTCGAGCCGTCTAGTATCGTCAACACCGCGAGGGATCATAATTTCTACAGCGCGTATGAAAGACAAGAGATTAGTACGACGACCTCGATGCGATCGTCTAAGGAAGTAAACCTGAATCCCTACAAGAATAGCAGCAGCAGTTCCACTCTGTACGTGGGCAACAATGACAAAACCACTCGTGCAGCAGTACAAGCAGCCGGAAACCCCGGGGGCGTGGTCACGAACATTCTGAACTCTAGTCATACGGCTTGCCTGTCTGCTCCGCACTACGCAATCGACACGCCGGGAGTCGCCAGTCGGGATGTCAGAGACCAAGCCGAGGATCTTCTGACCAGGAGCGGTGCCACGGCCTGGTATTTGACGCAGAGTGGTAGTATTTTCTGAAAATTTTTCAACCATCCCCATCGAATTGGAATTTGTCAGGCAAAAGATGGAGTAAAGTTGGCTTTGTTTTGTCATGCAATGCTGGTTCCGCATCCTCGCCCACCCGACCCCCTGGGGAGAAGAGCCATTGCCTGTTGCGCTGGGTGCGAGTGCGGAGGGAGGTGTCCACTACATCATGATGACGGTGATGCAAAAAGTGGATGTGGATGGTTAAAAATTTTCAGAGCATAAATAGCGGCAGCAGTTCAGCAGCGTCAACCGCTCGCGGAGGTAGTCATCTGTTGCAGCTGACGACAGGCGCATCACTTTACCACCCGCAGAGGGAAGTTGCAGGAAGACGCGGGAGTGGCTTGCTCGAGCACGAGCAGCGGCTGCGGCAGGATGATCTCCTACATCAAGCTGATGAAGTCGTAGATATGGAGGACATGCAACTTGTCCAAGTTGCTCGACATAACTTTCTCGGCGAAGGACAGGAAATGTTGGCCAGTAGCACGAATGCGCCTACCGCGGCGTCGCAAGAGACAACCTCGACGTCCACCTCCCGCAACATCCTCTCCGCCACTGGAATCAACCTCCTCGGACCGTTTTTCAGCTCGGTTTGCATTTTATGCGTCGCTATGTTGGAGGCGGCCTACGTGCTGTGGCTCACGTTTAGCTTTCCACGCGGCGTCGGAACCATGTTTCTCGCATTGCACGGGCTTGGCGACGCCTCGAGCGGTCCCCTGATCGCACTGCTCATCGTCTCCAGTACGACGGCAGACGCAGAGACAAGGAGAGTAAGAACTTCATCCGGTGAAAGAACAACGACAACGAGGACCTCCTCTCATGCAGGAGCCCTTCTATCCAACGGAATGATTGACAACCGTGCCACGACAGCCGCCAACAGCTTCAACTCCCGAACAGTCAGTCGCGTTGTGACGACCCGATTCGACCTGCGCTTGGCCGTGTGGGTGTTGTGCTTCGGATTAGCTTGCATCTTCGTGTTCCTCCTCCGCATAGAACAGAACCCAATTGACACGTATTGTCAGCTGCTCACCGCAGTTTCGGTCTATTTCCTCGGCGTTCTGATGGCGAGCATTCGGGCGCTGTTCGGCGGCTTTATCCTGCTCACCTGCAACGTGGAAACCGCAAGACTGCAAATCCCGTTTTTTTGGTGCAGCGGCCACTTTCTGTGCAACTTCATCACCCCCGTTATTGGGGTCGGTTTGCCGTTGAGCCAATTTTTAGCCTACTTCGCGATTGTGTTGTCTTGCGTCGTCACCCTCGTACTCAGCGGCGAAAAGACCGTTCGAGGATTCGTCAGGTCACCGTGAGGAGCAGGTACAACAAGTCGTGAGTGTTACTGTTCGTTTATAACGACGACCTTGAAACCTCCTGCCCAACACGAGCAGGACGGCAGTGAGAAAGTGAAAACAAAATAATTCTGAAATTAAGAACCTGAGATAGATCTTCAATATCGTGAAAGTCGGAAATATGCATGTCTATGAAGTTTCAGAATCCGATAAATTTACTAAAAATATGCACAATTTAGAGAAGTCAGTATAAATTCAACAGCCTTTTTTGTTCAAAAACAAATAGATAATGCCTCTGTATATTCCACGGATGTAGGATGAAATTTTTCTTACTTTTTTGTTTCTTTTTGATTTTGTAGCTGCACGAGTGTAGTGAAAATGTTGCTTAACGACGTAAAGAAAAAGACCGACGTAAAGAAATTTACCAGTGGCTTTTCCACCAGAATTAACCATGTAAAATGTAACGGAGCAGCCTGACTCAAAGTCAGAGCGGCCGCAGCAGGAGTGCCGTCGAAGTTCTATTCATAAAAATTAGCAATGACATCAATGTCAATGTTGTTGCTGCAGCACAACAATTACAATATCCTCGCGACGATAAGCCGGGCCCTGTTCGTTGATAGGCCAAAAAGGCCTTCTCGCTTGAATTTCTGTACAGAGCAGCCGCAAAAGTTCTGCAGTTCGTTATTGATGTCCCTCGGCGATTCATTTTGTGGCGGTGGTGTTGGCTGCGTTGTTTTGTAAAAAGATTTGGCTTTGAGTGTCGTGCGCGATAGATACAGAGAGGAAGACACAAGGATGAAGCGACGATTAGGATTACGAGAGGGCAATGAACGCATTCTGCCGTCGTGCATTTTCTTCGTGGTTGCACGTTTTCGACAGTAAACCACCTCTGAGAGTCCAAGAAACCACAAAGCGCATCAAAGTTCTTGAAAGTTGTATGAGTAAAGTTTTAAGTTCTTGTGCGCTCGTGCATCAACATCGTACAAGAAAAAAATAATGTCCGGTCGTCCCCCGTTTTCATTGGCGGGAGACAACGGCTCGCCCAGTGAGCTTTACGGTGGCGGAAAGAAACACTGGCTCCGCCGCCTCCGACTGGACTACCGGCCTTGTGCAGCCCCGTCTTTTGCTGCAGCCGTGGATGATCGATATCGAGATGACGAACAAAGCGACAGCCCACTCGGCCCGGAGTTCTGCCTGCGGGATCGGACCGCGCCCGGCTGCAAGCAGGAGGAGGGGCTCCGGTCCATTTGGGCCAGCGCGGATCGCAAGGCACGTGAGTGCTTGAATGCTTTGTATCTGGTGAACATGAAGACTACCAGTGGAGGCACTACTAAAATTGGAAGTAGTAGTAACAAGCATACCTTGGGCGCCGACCAACCGCCACCGTACCCGGCCCGGCTGGCGATACGAGTGTACCCCGAGTTCTTTTTCACCGTGAAAAGCTACCAAGCTGTGCTGACCGAACGCGAACGCCAGGAGAATGCGTTTGTGTTCGGCGATGGTGTGCACGGGCAGGGGTACTACCTGATCCGTGAACGAGAGGAAGAGGCAGCGAGTTCTGAATTTGGGATAAGTGGAAGTGCAATTACCGGCACCACGGTTGCATCCTCAAGCTCGTCCCATCCTCATCCTTTTGCAAAAGTCTTGAAGTCGTCCGCCTCCGCGGGATCATCTTCATCTTCGAGGGGCGCCGCTGCAGCAAGACGCGCGTCCATGATTTTGCGTCCCGCGTTCCGCGGAGGCTTCATCGGTCCGCGCGAGGGGTTTTTCTTCGGTAGGACCACCCCAGAACAGGGAAGGATACTGGGGTACTACCCGCAGCGGCTGCCAGAGGAAGAGATCGACTTCGAGCTCGCCCCGAAGTTTACTGGTCCGCGACCCGGCTTTTTCTTCGGAACGCGCCCGATCCGCGACGGCGGCCGAGAGCATGCAGCTACAGTGCTCTATTTGGGTTACCACCGGGACAAAGCGAAGGCCTTCGCGGCGTCCTCCAGTGAGGCTCTTCATCTTTCCGTTGCGCAGCAGCAGCTCGAGCAGCAGCAGCCATCGGCGGCCGCACTGTCGTCGAAAATATTGAGGACGCTCGCGGCCCAAAACAAATCAAAGTCACTGCAAGCGAAGGAATTGTCGTCGAATGGTGCAACAGCGTCCCGAGCGCATGCTGCAGCTGGAACGCCGGGGGCAAATGCGAATACGGATATTTTTGCCGATTCGACGAGGACCCCGAGAGACGACAGGGGCGACGCGAGTGCAAGTGCGCAATACAGTGGCGACCAAACCCAAGCTCCTTCCGGTCGGGTAGGGACGAATTTTTCAATCACTTTTTCGTCCACTTCCGCGGGGGCCGTGATGCGACCCTTTGACCCTGGCGCGGTCACCGGGGCCCGAATTTTGGACATCGTGCTGGAACTTGCAAAGTATGACGCATCTGCCCGTGAATTCCTCAAATTGCTCCTGCACCGTCCTTCCACAATCGATGCCTGGAAGTCATGCACGGGTCTGTCCTACAGCGTTCCGAGTCTTACTGATTGTTCAAAAGACGACGCCGGAAAGCAAAAATTGATGCTGAACAAGGAGCACGGCGCCAGCAGCGGCTCCAGCACCGGTGCCGCGGCCGCAAGCAAAGACAAAGAGCCACTCGTGGGCCGAGCGTTGAGCTCGGTGCTGAAACGTCCCCGGTTTGATGCTGCGTGGTTGCAGGGTGGGCACAAGAGTTATTCGTTGCGTCAATTTGTGTTTGACCGTGCCCTACTGGCCTTCATGTACCAAATATCCAGCATGGCGTGGCGACCGTTCTTCAACGAGCATCGTGTGCTTGCCGCGATGCCGAATGCGCGGCTGTTGAACAACGCTTTCCGGTTGAAAGGAGAGGGGAAGACCATCGAGAAGCAGATTCAGGTTCTGCAGTCCGTCTCCAAACCAGCCTGGGCGCAGCGCCGTGTCGGGTCGCCGCCTGGGCGCGCCTCGTCAGCCTGGATGGGCGGCCACGCAGCTTACCAAGCGGAAGGCGATGTGTATCACTGGGCGCGCACTAGCAACAACTTCATGCAGAAGAGCCTGCTTTACAAGGTAGTCCTTCGGAAAGATACACACTACACCTGTTGCAGTTTCATAATTCTAGCACGCTGGATTTGATTGACATGGCTCTTGTTCAGTTGTATGTGACATCAACAAACATGGAAACAATTGCAAACACGAAGACAAAACGCTGAGTGTTTTAGTTTTCCAGTTCGGTGGTCGGGTTCCAATGACTAAGAATAAAAAGCAGGAAGGTGCAGTTGTGGTTGATCAGCTTTTCTTCTCATTGAAAAACGTACTAACACAGGCGACCAACAAATCCCTGGCAGATGACGACCTCGGCATCAACAGCCACTCTGTGTTGGCCTTCGGGAGCGTACAACCGAACGTGAACCAGTATGAAGGTGGGCGCTACAACAATGCCCACACAACGACGTATGGTCCAAACGCAAACGCCAGCGGTGCACCACTGTCCGCACGCTGGGGCACGCACAGTGGCATGTTTACGCCCAGGGAAGCATCTTTGCAGATGACCCCGCGATCTGCGCGCTTGCAATTCGATGGTGGTAGCAGTGGGACGCCTTTTTGCGTTGAAAACGATGCCCTCGGTGGCAATGACACCATCCTCACCGCTCCTGGAGCTTCTGCTGACACGTGTTCGCTGGAATTGGATCTTTCCTCTTGCTTTCGCGCGATGCATGATCGCCTGATGTGGCAACCTGTAGCGGTGAGCTCCCAGTATCGGTTTGTGCCGCAGAACCGGAAATCCATCCTGAAACACGAACAACAAATGAACGCGGACACGGTGCTGGCGTCGTGGGTGAACAGAGGAAACAATCCGCGGGACAAAGGCAAACTTTGGGCCGCGAGAGAGTTTGATCCGAGCTATTCAAGTCGTACCGCCGGCGGGGGCAAGACCAAGAGCGAGAACCACATTGTGGACATGAAGACAATGCCCGCCGACTGGAGCAAGAAGTTTCCCTTACGTCATGACCAGATGGCGGCCGTGACCTGGATGCGCGAGCGCGAGTTGCGAGCGAAGCCTTTCCGGGTTGAGTACGAGCGGATGCTGGAGGGCAATTTCTTCCTGCAGGATTTGGCCAACTGGGATTTGGAGCTCCGAATGCAGGCGGACTACTCTGCCCGGGGCGGCGTTTTGGCAAACCCGGTGGGTGCCGGAAAGACCGCGACCGTGCTGGGTTTGATTGCGCTGGACAAAGAAGCTCCGTTACCGTGTGACGAGCCCGGGGCAATGCCGCAGAAGCCACCGACCCGATTCCCAAAAGGGTTCGAGCACGACCGCAAACCAAAGCAGCCGGTCGCAACGGCGGCGGACAGCGACGAAGAGGAAACCTCGTCTTCCCCCGCAGCAGCTGCGCCCCTTTTGGAAGCAGGCTCGTCTACTAAGAATAAGAAACTGAACAAACGAAGCCGCGGACGAGGAGCGAAATCAACGTCTGAAGACGCACATCAAACTCGAGCAGCGAAATTTTCTCGCCAGACACCTTCTCGCAAGACACCTTCACCTTCCAAAAAATTGCCGTCTGCCGTTGTCGCGAAGGCAAAAGCCTGCGGCAGCGTCAAGAAGAGTAACAGCAAAGTGAAACCAACGGCGAAGGGAAAAGCCACTGTCGCGAAGAGCAAGGCAGCTGGAAATAAGGCGAAAGCGTCGCCTCCGCCGTCAGGAGGTCGAGCAGCGCTTCAACATATTAACGACGTCGTGCCTCCTTCTACTCAAACCGCCGCGGCGAGCGCATCATCGTCTTCTGGTCCGCCCAACGCGAGAGATGGAGGCAAAAGCAAGAAGAAAAAAGTCGGGTCCTCTTCGGACGCAACTTCGAAATCCGTTGCCGACCAGGTGCGAAAAGTCTTCAGCGACCAGGAGGCACAGGTTTTGGACCACGACTGCTTTTTTCCGAGCAAGGCGACTCTTGTTTTTGTCCCCGGCCACCTGGTGGACCAGTGGGAGCGGGAAATTGCTAAGTTCATGCCCGATCACAAGCTCAATATCCTCGCGCTGCGCAACGTCAACCCCCTCAAGCTGCTCACCGTCGGCGACATCCAGCGGGCAGACATCGTGATTTGCAGCTACCGCATCCTCTTCTCAGAGAACTACCAGCGCCTGCGGTTGAAAGAGCTGCTGTTTGGCTTCGGTGCGCATTTTTTGAAAAAACCAGGCAACGCAGCTGCAACAACTTCTGCCACGACGAAAACAGAAAGTGAAAAAGAACCGAAGAAAGTTGGCAGTGAAGAGGACGAGGTGCTGGAGGCTGCGTCACAACGGGAAGGTTTCCGTTCTCCAGCTGCAGCGATGACCTCGGCCGCAACGCTGCCGACCGAAGCGAACAAGGAAACAAATATTGACGGGGGTGACACAAACACCATGTTATCTGCGTCTGGGCCGACACAGACTCAGACGCTGAATCTGAACTATAGACCGACGAGCAGAAGTGGTGCACGACCTCAGGCGATAACGATTCTGAAGACAGAAAACCAGCAGCAGCAGGGAGGCAAGAGCAGTAGTTCCTCGGCAGCAGGAGGAGAAAATCAACAACCCAGCTCGTTCGCAATGGCGCACAGGCCTGATCTTTCCCTCTGGATTCAGGATCGCAAGTACGGGATTCGCACCAAGAAACGCAAGGTTGACTCTATCCTCTCCGTAATGGACCACGGAGCGCGTGCGGTAGTGGATGCCACGGGCGTGGTTCCGAATGAGAAGAACAAGTACAACAAGAAAAGATTTGTCGAGGAGGAGCAAAATAAACCGCTGTCCACCGTGTTGCAGGGACCCGCAAAGGAGCGCTTCAAATCCTGGCACTTCTCAGACCGCGAGCGAACGATGCTCCATTCGCTGCTGAAGGAGCAGGTGCGAGAGTTTCGCAAGAACCCGACGCATTTCCAGCACTGGCACGACAGTCAACGCGATGGTGTCAAGTACTTTCGATCGATCCACCGGCAAGCCTTGCTTGTCGCCGCGGCGGTTGAGACGGCGTCCCGCGCAAACAAAAGTTTAAGCGAGAGGGCCGAGCAGCGGCGCGCCGCATTGTTGGAGAAGCTAGCGCAAGAATTGTCGGACGATGGCGACGAAAGACCACCGCAAGCAGAGAGCGACGGCAGCGAGCCAGATTCACCTCTTGCACAAGAGATACAAAACGCGCAAGGAAAAGCGAAAAAGAAAAAGCCGCGGCCACGAGGGCGACCGCGGCTGAAGCCGAAGCCCATCGAGGCTGCTCCGAAAGCGAAAGTACTAGCTCAGAAACCCAAAGTTCTCGTTGCCTCAGTCCTACTGAAGAAGCCGAAGCGGAAAGAAACCCGGCTTGTTCCGCCTGGCGGTGGCAAAAACAAAAAGCTGCTGACCAAAAAGAAGGAGAACAAAGCAAGTCCGGGTAAAAGCAAACAAAAACGCCACACACCGGGTAGGAAGAGGCCTGGGAAAGAGATGTCAGAGCTGCTCGCGAGTCCTGACAAGGTCGCCGAGCCGCGCGAAGACTCGCTCCAAGACACGGAGTACTTCACGAATTGCGTGCGCGAGTTTCGGAGAGCCCGGCTGCTTGGCACGGAAGAGGAGTGCGCCACCGCGCTCGAGATCCACGAAGCCCAGGACCTTCGCTTCCCGCTACTGGAGATGTTTCTCTGGCGTCGTGTGGTGTTTGACGAGATGCACGAGCTGGAATCGTTCAATCCGAAAGAAGTGGACATTCTGCTGCGGTTCCGCGCCCTGTTCAAGTGGGGACTGACCGGCTCCCCCGCGGCCTTCTCGGTTCGATCCGTCAACGCCATGGCCTCGCTCTTGTCCATCGATCTGCTCGGCGTGTCAAAGGAGGAATCCGGTCTGTTGGACCAGGTCCACCAGTACGCCGAGGCGTGCGCTGTGACGCAGGGCGGGGACCGGGGCGGGGCCTTGAGCGAGCACCTAGCCACCTATCTCGCTCAGGACGAATACAACTTCGACGCGGTGACGCAGCGGCTCAAAGCCTGCGTGGACTGGTTCTGTAATTGCTGCGGTGCAAAGCTGCTTGTGTCCCACAAGATGCCGCAGGTCTTTCGCGGTACAGTCCGCTGTGGCGAGTGCGGCGCCGCGAACCACGCAGAGGTCCAGTTCCGCCGGCGCACGAGGCTCGACGAGGACGCAGACTCGCCCTCCAACATCAATAGCTCCCCGCAGCCACTGCCCGAGGTTGGCAGTCGGGTCTACGACCCCTCGCTACGCTGGTCGGCGTCTAACTTGATGACCACGAATTTGGTGGAGGCCGCCAGCAGCCGCAATTCGCGCACGCGCATGTACGTGGAGGATCGGCCGCTGAGCAGCGACTTGGCCTACGTGGTCCAAAACGACGACGTGGACAGAAGGCGTCTCCACGCCTTGCAGTATCGAAACGTGAATTGCGGGGTGCGGTGGACGGTCCCTTTGGACGTTGCTGATGCTGGAGGGAAAGGCGATCGACTGAGCCGTAGCAATCCAAATCCTAGGCAGGATATCTTTCAGCTGAAGAACAAGACACAGCATCACGACGTTCTTGACGAGGATGTTGAGGCTCGCCGGCTGCACGACCATGATGTAGCTCCTGAGAACGCGCTTGTTCCCGTGACAAGATCGGCCGATCATAACGCAAACGCAATAGCCGAGAGCAGACAGAAGATCGTGACGAGGAGCGCCAGTGCTATCGCTGTCAAATCGTCTATTGCGATCCCTTCCTTTTCGCTGAGACGGGAAGACATGCTCTACTCAGATTTTCAACGGCAACTGGTGAAGCTCGAGGGCCGGCTGGACAATGCGGACTATCCAAAGAAAAAAACCCATCCACATCCAATTTGTCATGCAAAACACGTATAAAATCATGTGTTTGTCATGCAAAAAATGGATGTCGATGAGTTTTTTTCTGTGGAAACGGACGGTCGCGACAGTAGTAGCAGCTCGTCGTCGGCGGACGAAGGTGCTGGGCAGGAGTACGACGACGTTAATGCTTTGCGAGAAGCGGAGCGAGAAGAGGCTGTCCTTGGCATGAGCAGCATTCGAAATAAAACATCGAACAGCGGGGGATTCGAGCTTGCTGGCCTGAAGAGTTTCGCAACCGTTACCGCACAAATGCGAACAGAGACCTTGCTCTCGCCAGGCAGCGAAGATCATGGCTCTTCCTTCGTGGACGTTGCAGACAAAGTCGCGCAGCGGAGCAATCCTCCTGGGCTGACGCCAGCACAGCAGGCAGGGGTGCAGTCCATCCCAGGGCTAGAAGATGATGGCATCGTGGAGCCCGTTGCTGGTTTGCTGTCTGCGGCTTCACGCCAACTGGTCGTCGCAGCGGAAGTGAAGCATTCGTCCCCAACCGCTGTAAACCCTTTCAACGCAGCCGAGGACCGGCATTTTCGGATCGCCGAGGAGAGACGGATGATGCGCGAACTCGACCGCTTCCGCAAAACCGCGCAGCCGCGACTCGTCGCCGTTCCCTCGGCGTTTGCGCTGCAGCGCTGGAGCACGCTGGCCCGGCACCCCTTCGAGCGGTCCGCCACATACCAGCAGAACGCCGCGCGGTTCCTTCGCGAATTTGCGTGGCGGCGGTCCTACCCGTTGCGCGTCCGCGTGGTCCAACACGTCGTTTATGTCACACAGATGCCACAGGAGCGAGCCTTGTACTTGAACCGCGTCCAGTCGCTGCCGACCTGTCGGGAAGTCTACGAGTTGCCCGCCGCCGATGGCGTGGTCACGAGCACAACCCGCGGGGGAACCCAGCGCGACGCGGGGCAGCAGTTTGCCACTGGGAAGCACATACCGATCTCTAATGTGGAAATCGAGCGCCGTCGCGAATTGCTGGAGCTATGCTCGCACTTCGCAAAAGGTAGGAAGTACGAGAGATGCTGCGCTTTTTTTAGAGACCACCACCCGAGAGAAACTTCATTTTGATGATGAGCTGCTGCGTCTGATGGCTTTAGTACTATCTTCAGACGAGCAGGTCATGAGTCGGTGTGGGCTAAAGAACAAGAAGTAGATGTAGGTCTGCTTATAAAGGACACGCATGATCTCTCTTTGTCGCGTACGCGTTCGATTTCCACGCCACAAGAAAACGCCCAACCAAAAAATCAGGCACGCACGGTTCTGTCACCGGCGAGGTTCTTCGCGTGCTTGCTAAACGGCGCGCTGATGTCGAGTCCGATCTTGCCCAGGTCGCCTATTTCTTGAAGCAGCTGGAGTGTTGTTTGCGCGTGCGCGTATTGGGGGCAGAGTCTCGAAGCAGCTCAGGATCGTCGTCGTCGGCCGCCGAGGGCGAGAACGAGGAGGAAGAGCCGGGTCTCTTTTCGTCTTTTTTCCCGACCACCATGGGCAAAAACGTCCGCAAGCAGCGGGACAAATATTACAGTGGCAGTGTTCTTGGGAGGAGCAACGTGCGGGTGATGAAACGCAAAGACTACAAGGAGACGGAAAACTCCGGACCGTGGGCATCACAATCGGTTGCAAACTTGATGAGGGCTAATGATGCTAGCATGGTACACGAGAAGGGTCTTCCCAAACACTTGTCGGAGAAAATTCGAGCTGTGATGTTTCATCCAACGTCAAGTGCGGACACAGCCAGCGGCTCGGGTGGAGCCGCCTCGTCTTCGTCGTCCTCGGCACCAAGGAGCGGAGGTCCCTTGTTGGTGACAAAGACAGGCGCGGTGGTATCATCGACAACACTTGCAATCATCGCTGCGTCTGGTGCCGATACCATCAAGAACAGCGACCCTGTGTCGAACAAGGACAGACGTAGTGCCAGAGACGGGCTCGGTCCGGGGGAGCGCGCTACGCTGCTGGGCGGTGGTGGGGCGTCATCGTCTTCCTCGACCCTGTTGCCCCCATTGTCTTCCTCTTCTAGTAGTAGCGCCGCCGGTGTGCAGCAAAATTTGGTTTCGGGCTCGACCAACTATGACCCGTTTGACTTGGATATGATAGTGGATGCGGACGACGTCGAGTTCCCCCTCGCTGCGGGTAACTACAAGACATCGAACGAAGACCGCACACAGCTGCTACCGGACCCGGTATTGAGAAAGTTGCGTGACCTGGAGAAACGCGCAGACGAAAATGCGGCAGCTTCCGGGTCGTCCGCAGAGGAGCAAGAAAGCGGCCAAGAACCTTTGGACTTACCGGGCATCGTAACCAGGCTGCTGCGCCTGTGGAACGAAGAAGTTCCCGTGCTCGCATCCCGGTCCATATTCCACGATGCTTTCAAAGAGAACCGACCTGGGGACGGGGATCGGCTGGACGCGCTGGAAAACCTGGGAACCCTCTCCCGCCGGAAAAAGGAGGAGCAGTTGCAGATGCACGAGCGCGACCTGTCGCAGCTCATTTGTGCACAACTGGACCGGTTGCTGACCGCCTATCAGCACTACAACTTCTTCCGCAAGACGCTGGACGTGTACGCCGACTCCACCGCCAGCTCCGCAGCCTCGTCGGTCGGCGGAGATGTTGGGGACCACCTGAGTGGTGTTGGCAGTGCGAAGAAGAACCTCGAGGCTTTTCTTTCTGATGGCAACACCTCTGCGCGAAGCTCCTCTTCAGGATCGTCAGGGTCCGCCGGAAACAACATCTCCAGTGATCAGAAAGTACTAGCACTAGACCAGCAGAGCATGAACAACAAACTCGCTGAGGATGCAATAGAAGAGGTGGTCTCGTCCGCTAAAAACGAGAAGCTGCAGCTCTCGTCGACCACCTTTCCGCAGGCCGATGCGGCTGCCAGTTTCACAACGAGAGTTGATGCGGCCGCAACAGGCGAAAATAATGCGGTCGTCGCCACAGCTAATGCCGCGATTGCAGTGCCAGCGCAGCTCCAGCCGAGTGGTAATATCACAACTTCGCATGGCATCAAGAACCCGTCCAGGGCGGACCAGCGCTACTGCGCAATTTGCACGGAATACCACGACGTGTCCGAGCTGGGAATCACTCCGTGCGCGCACGTTTTCTGCGTAGTTTGTCTGAACGCGATGGTGGAGAACCAGTATGCATTGCAAAAGTATGGTACTAGTATAAATTGCATTACAAATTTTGGCAAGAAGAGAAGTCAAATTTGTAATGCTGTTTTACCTTAGGAAGAAGATTTGTCATGCATATTTGCAATTAGTACGAGTGCGATACTTTTGCACAGGATAACCAGCGGAAGTGCGCGATTTGCCGGCAGCCCTTGCACGAGAAGGACATTTTGTCGCTCTCTTCGGAGCTGCATGCCTGGAAGACGGAGGTGGTGCAGCAAGAAGAGCAGGCTACCATGGCGACGCTGGGCCAAGTAGGCAAGCGATTCCGCTACCAGAAACTCACGCGCGGCAGTCTGCTTTCGCCCGCCGTGAATGAAGGAGGTGCTGTGTTCGATCAGCCGGAAGCTCTTCTAGAGCCTCCGCGAAAGATATCAAAAAAGATGACCATGAAAGATATCAAGAAGAGCGTGGAGCAACAAGACCACTCGCCCACCCACGGCCGCTTTTACCCAGCCAAAAGACAGAAGCAGAGTCCTGACGGAAAAAAGAGTCAGAAAAATTTTGCTGGAGGAGCGCAGAACAGGAAAAATGCAACCACCACTACGTCCGATGAGGAGCTTGACCCGCAATGCTCCGCGGTGACAATATTGGAGGACGTCGCAGGGCCGATCGACTTCGTCCGGACGTTGATCCCCAAAGGACAAATCGCTTTTCCAGTAGCAGCGAATGTTGGCAGCACGACCGCCAACGACTCATCTACTTCGTCCGCGTCGTCTTCGTCCTCCTCGGCAGGAGCTGGCAATGGAAAAAATGAAGCCGCCGTGAGCAGCACAACTTCAACTGTATGGAAGAGTCAGAATCGAAATCAACAAAATCGAAATAATTTGTGATGCATAAAATCGATACCAGTTGGAGCCTCAGTTTCCAAGTAGTGCATGACAAATTTCGGGAGAACCAAAATCCAGTCCGTCATGCTGCTTGGGAAACGGAGACTGCTCCTGTCATGCTACCCGGGAAGCACATCGCCTTCCCCTAAACAGGCTTGCAAGCGGTTTCACTTGCCTGCTCCCCAACACAGGCTGCGCGTGCCCTACATTTTATGCATGACAAACTATTTCGATTTTGTCCATTTCGATCCTGACGCATCCATAAACTGAGAAAGAGTTGTATCCCCTCGTAGACATAGCGGCGACGTACGGGTCGAAGATGCAGAAGCTAGCGGAGCTACTGACGAAAATCAAGGGCGACGACAAAAACGCAAAGATCCTGGTCTACTCCCAGTGGGACAAGGGAAACAAGTTGGCCTTCGAAGCCCTGCAGAACCTCCAACACTTGAGCTGCCACCTGTTCAACGGCGGCGTTGCCGCGAAAGCACGCCTCCTTCGCCGGTTCGCGGACGCCGAGCCGGGAAAGGCATCATTAGACGTGCTGTTGATTATGGGACTCTCAAATGTTACATTCTCAACTGTTACACGATTTGTCATGCAAAATTTCCGTCAATAGCTACATGATCAAGCTGCTTCGCATGACAAATTCCCGAAGAGCTGCCAGGCTGAAAATCTACTGTGCCAAATCTGTCATGCAAGATGCGCTAGGTCTCCCGTCCCCTTTCACGTTTGCCATTCCTGCATCACAAATTCATGCAACAGGAGTTGAGAATGTAACGTTTGAGAACACCATATTGATCCCCCTGGACTTCGGGGCCAGCGGTTTGAACATGGTGCTCGCACAGCACATCGTCTTCGTGCACCCCTTATCAACTGCAAAAATGTCTGGGTCTGGAAAGTTGGAACTTGTGATGCAAATTTTGGAATCTAGAAAACTCTGTATTGCATGACCAGCAAGAGGAGTCCAGTTTCTGCTATGCGGGGAGGCCATTTGTCATGCGGAATAGGCATCAAGAAGCACTCAGAAAATCTGTGATGCCAGGGAATACATCACAGACGTCACGGGCCATGTGAAATCTGCATGACAAGTTCGCATCCTTCCAGACCCAGACACTTTTGCATTTGATACCCCTTCAGTTTTCCCTCCGTCGCCCAGACGCGGGCCGCGGAGGCGCAGGCCATCGGCCGGGTGTGCCGGCCGGGGCAGGCACGCGGAGACATCCACGTGTGGCGACTCTGCACTTTGAACACTGTGGAGGAGGAACTTATCAACGAACGGTGCGGAAATGGCTCCTCGACGGGTGGGAATGTTTTTCATGAGGAGCAGGCTGCTCCTGCGTGAAAGGTGGTTCCTAGTGCGACGTGAAAGCGTTCTCAGTCAGGAAGCAAGTTTGATCATCCAGTATCTCTAACTCTATCTCCAAGAGTGTATCAGTCTACCTTCGGCAACTACAAGAAGAACAAGCGCGCCAGTGCAGTACTAGCAACAGTGATGTAAACGACGCGGCGGGTTCTCGCAGGGCGCAGCGGCCCATCGACATTCAAATTCCGAATTTTTGAAAACAACAAGAGGCGAAAAAAGAGCCCCCGAGAAGACACACAAGAACCTACAAAGAGTAGGTTTCTTTCGTCTGAGAGTGCTGGCCGAAGGCGAAGATATTTGTTCGCGGATGTGGTTTTTTTTTGGGCATAGGAGGTCTCCTTTGTTCGCTTCGGTTCTTGTGCTTCTTGGTCACTTTATTTGCACCTCGAGTCCTCTGATCCACTACTCGAGGATTCTTGGTGATCGTGCTGTTGTTCGACCCGCCTCAAAAATCTTTCTGCATACACAACTAACTTCCATCAGAGCAGCATGTGGTCATTGCTTGGGCTAGTGCTTGTGCTCAGACGTGTCCCTGTCTGAAAAAGCAAAAGGACACCGTAAAAATGCAGTCCCTCGAGGTTTATCAACTGTAAAAATGTCTGGGTCTGGAAGATTCTGACACTTGTCATGCACGTTTTGCATGAGCCACCATGTCTGTGATGCATACCCTAGCGATACAGATTTTTTGAGGGCTTCTTGATGCCTATTCCGCATGGGAAATGCCTTCTCAGCGTAGCAAAAATTGCATTCCCTTTGCTACTCACGCAATACAGATTTTTTTGGAGTCCAAATGCAGCATCACAAGTTGCATTCTTCCAGACCCAGACATTTTTGCATTTGATGAGGTTGAGGTCGAGCTCGACGAGTTGGATCTACCGCGGCATGGGGATGAACGGTACGGGGTGGATGACGGTGCTCTATTTCGGCACGAATCGTCCGAGAGAGTTGTAGTCCCCTCACCGCTTGCCAACCACGGCGCCTCGTCCTCCTGCAGCTCTCGCTACAGCACGATCGAGCTCTTGTGCCAGAACGCCGGTTTTGACAGCTACTACGCCTTCTTCCGGCGGTTGTTTCTGCATTCTGTGCTCTTTTTCGCAATCGCCATCATCGCCATTCCCTTTCTGGTGATGGACCACCACTCGTGCGCAACAACGGGCTACCTGGGGGTCATCAGCCACCTGTTTTTCCTGTTGCTGCTCTACGGATCGATTCTGGAGGAGCTGCGTTGCGCGTGCAGGTTCTTCGACCCAACGGAAGATGGTGGCAGCAGATCAAGCAGTCCGAGCGGCGGTTCGTTTTCCGGATTTTTCTCCATTTTGTCTACAGCAGTAAGCCCGGGCGGCGGTGGTTCGGCTTACGATTACTTGGAACAGTTAAAGGAATACACGAAGGACTACGATGAACAGGTTGAAGAAGCCACTGTCAGGAATTTCGGAACTACATCTTCAACCACGTTTGTTCGCGGTGGGCCGGCAGCACCTACGTCATCAGCACAAATGCTGGAACAAACCTCGTCTGCGTTTTCGTTTGCAACGTCAAGCACTAGCCGCTTCGAAAACAAAAGCAAGACATCAAACTCTTCAACTGCCGAACTGGAGATCGACACTAGCACCGGCGCGAACAAAAGCAGCACTGCCTCCGCTGCAACCAGTTTAGCCACGATGATTGGCAGCGCCACCCGGTGGAAAGAATCACCAAAAGCGGCAGATGTGTTGGAGCACGAACTAAGTGGAGGAGCGGCAGACGCTAGGAACGCGGCGCCACAAGGAAGCGGAAAAATGACCAAATCTTCAGCTGCGTCCTCAAGAGGCGACGTTGTCGTGGTCGAGTTGCGACCAGACCAAGAAAGCGGAGCAGCTGTATCAACTTTTGTTCCTTCGCAGTCGTCGCCCCCACCGAAGAGAACAACGAGCGGCAATCTGTGGACGAGCTTTTCGAATGCGGTTTTGCAGCCAATCACCAACACCCTGACCATCACGTTCATTCGGTGTCACTACATCACCCAGTTCTGCAGGACTTGCTGCGATTACTTTTTTTTCGAGGAGCTGTTGCACTTCTTCAAGAAGAACGAGAACGCGATCCTGGTTTTGAAGCAAATGACGTGGCGATTGGACATGTATTGCGACATTTTGTTCGTGCTCATCGCCAGAAATTGCGGCTCTTACCTCTGGTGGGCGAGTTTGGCGATTTTCGTCTTCGTGAACTTCTTGCTGCAATTCGTCCTGCAGATTTTGTTCTTCGCCTGCACCGACTGCGACCAGCAACTGCCAAAGTCGACCGGCTTTTTCTGGCTTGACTTCGTCGTCGTCAATAAGGCGGTCCTGGTGCAGTTGCGCAAGACGGAGATCATGGTCGCTCGGCAGGAGAATTTGGGGAGCGATAGCCAACCACAAACGATGCAAATAATCGCTGCGGGAAGTTCAGGTGGAAACGAAATAGTAGCTCCATTAGGACTTGTGCAATCGTCATCTTCGTCTCCGAGCAGCCTCAGCTTCGTCGATAGTTCCAAGAGCACGAATCTGCTCAGTTGGGTCCAGTACGCCATCATGATAGAAAAGTGTTTTCTGTCAGATCTGATTCAGATTTTGATTCAAACAAATTTCCTGCTTGACCTCTCTACCCCAAACAATAGCCTTGTGTACTGCAGTGTGCTGTTTAGCTTTGTGAACTTTTTGCTGAACTTTTGTCAAATAGTAACGGGGGTGATATGGTTTTACCGGAGGCAAAGAATAGCCGAAGAACGTATGAAGTCACACCTTGAGGCAATAAAACATGATGAAGAAGCGATAATATCGAGTAGCCTAGGTGGAGCTTCAGCTACAGGAGGGGGATCCAGCACTGGTGGCACGCTTACAGCAACCGGGTCCACTTCCGCTTCAACTACTCAAAATGAATTGATACCGACAGGGAGAGTTTGATTCGCATGGATCATTGTGCCAACGGACTTCGATTTGCGCCACTGCATCAGCATCCAAGACGATGGGGCAAACCAAGAATCTAGTGATTGACCCAATTTCTAAAATCGAGAAAACATGTTCAGACTCTGTTTTTTGCAACTGCAACGACGATTAGTAGGGCGACGTTTGTTGTATTAGGTTACTGTGGTCGTTTGCGTTCTTACTTGAGAGAGTTGGACATCAAATCATGAATTGCATCTATTGATGCTGATCATTTAACAGTTGGAGATGACGAGAGTTTTGCTTTTGCAAGGTAGCAGTAGCACCACCACCAATAAAGCACATCTTTTTTTCGTTGTTTGCCAAGCGCGGCAAATAAGAACGAAAAAGAAAAGGCTAAAGAAGTCGACGCCAGCATTCTGTTGAGCTTTTTTCGAGTGCAAAAGAATGTCTGCCACAGGAGACGGTGAGTCCGCTGCGGGTGTTGAGGAACCTGCGACGCAACCCGGCGCTGTAACAGAGCCACAACAGCCGCGGCGCCCATCTCTTGCGAGGATCGCAAGGTCCCAAACCCAGCAGGAACTCTTCACAGCGGAAAGCACGAACAACGCGCTCTTGGAGCAGATGAACACAAAAAATCCAGCGGTCTATCACCTCAACACAGGCGATGACGAGCCGCTCGACGTGGATCTCGATTTGTCCTTCGACGTTTTTCAGTTTGCCAAGACGTTCCTCTACGAGTCTTTGCCGACTTATGTGAACCTCCTCGCCATTGTTCCGGTTGAAAGGTTCATCGAGAAAAAGTCCTTTCCGGAAATCTACAATTTTTGCTGGAGTCGGATCTACATCTTCACCATTAGCAACGACGCTGCGTTCCCCTTTGCTACCCAGGTCTTGCTGGTGACCGCGCCGAATACCTTGCTGATTGTGGCGATCTGCCTCTGGGCCTTCGATGTTGACAACGTGCGGGCGGTCCTAGACTTGTCCGAAATCCTCACGTGGATCGTTGCAGTCTTGATGCGCAACTGCGTCGTGGCCATCAAATACGGCTTCTTGGAAAAGCAGGAGATCCTCGATCAATATGGTGGCAACTATAACGCTGCGCACAGGGTCCCGCGGAAGATTTTTTTGGGCGGTTGGGCGACGCCCAACGAGTTTGACAAGAAAATCATGCTAGAAGAAATGCAGACTGCCATGGCGCTATGCGATTGCGATCTGAACCTGGCACCTCTAAGAGTGAAGCCTGATGCGGGGGCAAGAGAAATCGGGAAGTGCTTGCAAAAAATGCTGCATCAAGAGAATGGGAAGGAGCTGCAGCAGGGTGCCGAGGTATATAGCTCACAAGTACACGATTTTCACGACGGGCCGAAGCCGAACGCTGAGGACGAGGCTGCAACAAATTCAAATAAAGATAAACCTTCAGCTGATGGTGGAAAACGACACAGCAACGGCGAGCACGCGTACGCGACCAAATTAACGCCTCCCGTGACTGCATTAGATTTCCTGTACTTGGTCACAACGCAGACCATCGCTTCGCCTCTACCGGGGCACCGACGCGCCTTCATGCTTCTCGGTATCGTCGCCGTCTTTATCCCCCCGGTAATTCGCAGTTTCGGCCCAGGCGACCTTCCTGCTTTCGGTGACACGGCGGCGTCGAAGCTCGCAGTGGCGTGCTGCGTATTCTCGCCCGGTTTCTACGTCGCGCTCATGGCCGGTTTCGCGCAAGTGGCCATATGGACCTACCAACGCCGCGCGAGGGCATTCGAGATGCTCGACCGCTTGTGTGCCGAAGGAGTCGGAATTTCTGAGTTGGTGCCGGCAGGCGTTCTGGCCTCGGTCAGCGAGGGCAAAAAGAGCGGCGACCCCTACGCTGCTTTAAGTGAACTCTCACCATCGACGCAGCAGAACAAATCGACGAACACATCCTCGACCACACAGCAGCTGCGAACGCAGAAAACAAAAGCCCTTGTCTCTGTCCACAAAAAGAACAACGACGTCACTAGTGAATCTCCCGCTATGCGTGTCGTATTCGACCTTGCGGATTCTGAAACCGTCGTATCCTTGCTTCTCCTCCGCCGGTGCCTGCGGAAGATAGGCAGCCGATACAACAGTCGCATGGACGGGTTCTCCATGGCCTTTTTCGGCACGGGAATAATTTTCGTCGGGACGTTGTGTTTGTTCTTCCTGACCCCCGCATCTGTCATCGCCAGTTCCGACAGCGTCACGGGCGCCTCTAAGGAAATTACCCCCATGAACCACCGCATGGCTACGGATATTCTCCTCTTGTCCATCACCATATACATCAGCGTCACACTCGCCATGCTACTGTTGGTTGCCGCGAAGTGCAACGAGGCGCCGCGGTTCAAGATGGCGCTGCAGCGTGCCGCGCTCACCTCCTGTGCGGAGTTGGTCGACGAGGCGGAAGCCAGTGCGAGGGAAGTTGAAGCTACTAGAGGCAAAAGCGCCGCAACTTGGCAGCGGTTGCTCGCACACAAGGAGCTGTTACAGATGGCGGATACGCAAGTGGGATACGAGGAAGAAGTGGTGGACCCCGTTCGAGTGTTGGGCGTTCCCGCGTCCTTCGTCACCGTCGGGGCCACCATTAGTGCAATTTTCACGGGATTGTTCATCGCTCTGCAGGGCTGGCTCACGCAAAGCGGCGCGGGCTGGTCCTATTCAAATGTAGACGGTGTTTGGAGGCCACCTAGTGACACGTAGGAAGCTTCCAAATGTCGATCGTGTACAACGCGAATAAGCAGCACTACCACTAATTACATAGAAGCATAAAATCATCGACCCTGCTGAGTTTCCAAGAAGAAGTTTGATTGTTTCTGACGAAGGCATACCATGTTGATACTTGTAGCTAGCGCGCTCGATGTTCTTCATGAATAGTCGTCTTGGAGCAGCAAGGCGTTGAAGTTGTGATCCACAAGAACAGCAGATCTGTTGTTGACGGTCTCGACGTCCCATTAGTTCGTGATCAAGGTTGTGGCCATTGTACCGTTCTCTTGCAAGCGTTCTTGGTTCTTATCGAAAGCGTTGGTTGATTTCTCAGGCGCAAGGGATAGAGTAGTATCTTCGTCGTGCCTAGCAACTTGAAATTGTGCGGCGTTCTTCCGATCATCAGCGCATCCTCGTTCCTTGTGTCCAGTTGTATTCGATCCATACATTGTGAAAATCGTGGGTAACGATAAACCCTGGTGCGCGGTTTCAGCTTGGTTCAGTCGAAACATGCCTGCTGTCGTCAACAATCTCGTGCGCGCAGCTGCGGTGGGCAGCAGCGGTATTCTGCCATCCACGCTGGTGACGAAAATTTCTCCCATTGAGCCGCCGCTAGGAAATTTGTTGCAAGCTTCCAGGGACGCCGAAGCCCCGCTGGTGGGGCCCCTGTCGTACGGTTACGATGACAAGAATCTGCTGAAACTGGAAACGCCCTACCCATCTTCCTCGCTGAGAGAAAGCAGCAATTTCCTGTCTCCTCGTAGAGATCACGGCGGGGTGGAAGTTGTTGTAGATCACACTACAACTAGTGCGTCTAGGTCTAACCAGCTCGACGTGCTTGAGCAGAACACGTCGACCGTGACCGAATTGCTGCAAGACATCAAAGGTGCAGAGCAAAAGGCGGTCCTCCTGACCGAAGCTGACCCTTGCTGTCTGGACTGCACCAACAACAAGTCCAAATACTACTCGATCGACCACTTGCACGTGATGTGCGGCGAAACCTGCATGATGGACTGGCAGTACCCGATTTTCAAGCTGTTTGAGCCGGGTCTGACCAAGGCGCACGCGGTGGACGAAACGATTTGCAAGGAAAAGGGGTATTCGACCTACAAAGAAACTGTGACGCACGGGTTCGGGCCGATCAAGTCGACCTTGGACCTTTACGCGCCGGATCCGGCCGGTAGTGGTGGACTGCTGGCTGCCTCGTCTTCGGAAATGGACGATAAGGCAGGCACAAATTCTAGCGTGGCTACTTCTACTGCGACCTCCGCTTCCAGTGCCCGCTCGAGCACGAGCACCGATCATAAGAGTGAAGACGAGCGGATGAAGGTCGAGGATGGTTCATCGAGCACGGCGGTGGTGGATGGAGCGTTGCGGTTGCCGGTATCGGAACCTGAGCGAGTTGGACCAGCAGCGGATCTGATGGCGTAGCCACGTTGGCGTTCTTAGCGAGGATGTCGCAACCACAAGACAAGGAAAACTACAGTGGAGGACGCCCGATATCCACCATGTGCTGTGTAATCATAAAAAAAACACACATCGCTCTAATCGAACTCACGACCACCTCCGCGACCACCACTTCCAAAACATAGACGAATGTAAAGTAGTAAAGCCAGCATAACAAGCGGTAGAAACTAACTTTCCTTCTACTGGCAAGAAATCCCTCGCTTTTCATCAATTTTCATCGTGTGCAGCTTACATTGCAGAGCAGGAGGTGGACGCCGCCGTATTATAATTGCAAGGAAATGCAGAACCTCGTCAACAACCACGAGAATATACTGAATACCACAACCAAGCTCCTTCTTCTGAAAATAATTTTGCTGATCACCAAGTAGATGAATTTGAATTTATGCAGTTGCGGCAGTTGTACTCCTGAGGCTGTTGCTAGCACGCAGTAGTCGTAGTGTGTCATCGTCATTGGATATTTCCACCTTCCTGTGTCGCTCGAGCACTATCGTTTTCATCATCGCATAGCTTCCAAAACTACGATGATCTTCGTTGGTCGGTCTTTATCCGAGAAGAAATCATGATCATCAATTTCACTCGTGATCAAAAGTCGGTGCTGCATAGAATTCCCCTTGATTTTTTGGATCACTAGTTCGCTACAAGATTTCTGTTTTTTTCTTCCCCAACATGTGAGTTAATAACGTTGCTTCTTGCGCCAGCACCTTCGCTTTCTTATCAGTTCTAGCGTTGTCGTTGTGGCGCTTCCAAGATTACCGAGATGATGTCGTATCGGACGCGTCGCGCCTTTGTGTTTCTCATGCACAGTGTGGGGACTTTCTTTCCCTGGCACTTGCACTATGTACCGAATATGGCGAAGTACGAAGTCCGCGTGCCATCGTTCTTTGCTCACGCCCTCCCGCTTGTCTTTCCGCTGCTTGGCCAGCGGTGTTTTCCGGGGTTCCCTGGTGACCAGGAAAGGGCGGAGCAGTGGCACCGCTCCTACAACCTGATGGTGAACAAACTCGCGAATCTGCGAGGCGTGCTTGTGAATAAGGATCGGGATAAGAAGAGCAGCCAGGACACTGCGAGCGAAGAGCCCACTGCATCTCCGCGAAAACAGCGAAAGAAACTCGTTGACAGGCGAACCCAGGCAGCGTATTTGTTGTCACGCCGAAGTAACGAGGCAAAGGTCGCAAGAGAAAGGGCTAGCGTGGAACTTGACTCATCTTCCGACGACCCGGACCGCTTTGTAGGCTTCCGCTTCGACGAGAACAAAGCCAAAGAGACAACCACGGTGTATAATCTTGTTTGATTTGTTGACTGAGCTGCGGGCGTTTTGGCCACGTGACTCTCACTCTGTTCTCTCCGGCATAAGATTCAGTCGTCGACCACCGACCACGCCATGTTAGAGTCAGTCTGTCTGTGTTCAGGTCATGATTTTGATTGCAGGTCTTAATAATAATATCGAACACGCAGTGAATTTTGAAAACGAACCATCTTTATCAGGACAAGCTGAACCACTACTCCCACGAAGCTACCTACGAGGATTTCGTCCTGAATTGGCAGAGGCAGGAGACCGTGACCACCATGCTGGAAAACGGCAGATTTTACCACGCGCGGACCCAGGACCGCGTACAGGGCGTCACCCTTACCGAGGACATCGCAGCGGAAATCACGACGCAAGCAGTAGCAGGACAATCACCTGTAGAAGCCGATAGAAAAGATGCGACGTCAAAAATATCAAAAGTTTCGACAACTTTGTTGCCGAGCAGCATGAAAAAATCGGCTTTCCTACACGTCGAAGACGAGGAGGAGTGCAATCTGGCACTGATGTTCCAGGAGATCCTGACCGCGCACCAGAACGCCAGACGGTACGAGGCGTACCCGCAAGCGGACCTGGTGTATTTCCTGCAGGCGTTCATGCGCCTGGGCCAGTCAGTCCTGCGCTACGTCTTCCGCTTCTGGGCGGACACGGGGTTCTCGTGGCGAGTGTTGCTCCTGGGCGGGCAGGGCTACGATCGACACTACTTTCTGGACAGCGACGCGGTAGCACGCGAGCGGCGGTTTTCCACGGAAATTCGGCGGAACAGCACGTGGGCAACTGTAAAGCACGCAACGCTGCAAAGATCTTCAGTAGAAGAACGGAGTCGCGGCCACGACGCGACAAGGGCCGTACCAGCAAGGGGCGAAAATCATTCTAAAAAAAGCATAACCAACCTGATCGGCCAGGAGTTCCCGAACCGTCTCAAGGACAGTGCGTTGACCCGGGCGACCCGCTCGCTGTCCATTGCCGTCGCGGCCTCCAGGCCCCGGTACGTGAATCCCTATTCCACGACGGCGCAGTGGCCGGTCTTCACGGCGTTGTCAGAACTGACCTCTGAGCTAGTCACCGCGCTGCGCTCGATTTTGCGGCAGCTGAAGGAGCGAGACCTACTTGGACAGGACTGCGAGACCAGTCTTCGTGTAGGCCACGGGGTCGGTTTGGACGGAAAGTATTTTGGCGCAACAGAAAGCCTTCGGGTGCAGTGCTGGGAAGTGCGGAAGCGAAAAGTTTTGGAGTATTTGTCGAGAGCGTCAAAACCTACCGCAGGCGACACTGTTGATGACGGCTTGGAGCGGCTCGCTGACATTGCGGACTACGCCCGAAGGAAGAAGGCCCAACTCGCAAAAGAAGCTGCGACTGCTGGTAGTAGTGATACTGCACGGCGAAACACCAACATAACAACTGCTGCGATCGATATAATTCCCAATGACTCGTCTGACGACGCCGACAGCCAGGAGGATAAGGAAGAACGCGCTCGACATGCGATAATTTTTCAGGAGCCCATGGCGAGCCTGCCTTCGATGGAGGAAGTGAAGGAGTGGACCCGTGCGCAATTCTTCAATACGACTTTTCTCGACTTTTCTGATAAGCGGAGTAGACCAAATAAGGCTGGAACAAACGCACCACCAGAAGCAAGTAAATCACCCACAAAGACCAAAAAGACTTCGTCGGCGGTACTGAGCGTGCACGATTTCCTGAATGATTTCTTCAATAAGACTCTGCAGGAGGCGGTCAGGGAGGAGATCCTGAATCTGGGCGAACGCGTGCTGACGGAAGAGAGCACTGCCCTGGATTTGCAAGAGAAAGTGCTAAACGCAGGACCAGGAGGTGCCTTGAGATATGACTCCTACGACCCCGTTTCGGCTACCCGCATTTTTCTACATGTTGTGAAGCAACAATCCTCTGCAGACGGGCCGGAGGAGAAAACGGAAAAACTGCAAAGCGAGAATTCGCTCGCAGCAAGACCTTCTCCTAGTAGTCATGCTGACGACCACGGGCACCAGCAAAATGCGCAAACAGAAAAAGAGGAGCAGAGGCCTCTCTACTACTACCCTCTTGACACGATCCGACACCAAGAGTTCATTTTTCGCTACCGGCGGCCGCAAGTTGGGGAAGACGACGGGTTGGCTCATGTGTATGGTGCGGAGCGAGCGAAGAGAGAAGGGAAAAATCCGATGTACGTGCCGGACGAATTTCTACCTGGAGCAGCTGTGGGTGTTGGAAAACGTCGAAAAGAACCTTCTGCAGCTGCAAAGGAACCCGCAGCGGCTGGGTCGATGTCGGGCAGCATTGCAGTAGTTGGAGACGAGACGAGCAGTCCTAAAAGTCCACCAGATCAACTACCCCGGCGCAAGCTCGACCCGGTGTACGAGTTTCTGCGCCAGCCTCTTTCTGCAAAGACATTTTTGCACATTGACAACGTGCAGGCCATGTTCACGGATCTGGTCGAGGTGGGGGACGGAAAGTTGCGCCATGTTCCCATGTTTGGCAACATTTGGAAGCGCATGATGTTTCGCGGACTGACGTGCGACGAGCTAGATAAGTACATGGCCTGTGGCCCTTTTTTGATGTACGTCCACCTCATGTTTGGTAAGATGGTCGACGGTGGGGGACAAGAAGTAGCTGGGGAGAGCAGCCAAACGGGCCAATCCAAGTCTGACATTTTATCACTGCTGGCAACACTGGAACGCGATCTCCGGCGGGTGCACAACCCACTGAAAATGATTTTGCAGTACTACAAGCCACCTGTTACCGCGGCACCATCTTCTCCATTGTCAACACCTGATGGCACTTCTGGCAGCATACCGATGATACGCGTTGCCGTGGTGACGTGTGGGACTTCGCAACTCCACTCCCAGGCCGACATCAGTGACGCTGCGGCAGCCATCGCAGAAGCGGGCAAAAACGTCGGCCAGGAGGCGCCTCCTAGCGTCCGCGAAGTATCCTTCCACATGGTCGCGGTACAACTAGACCCAAGGATCCGGCTGCGCGACAGGGCCGCGTGCTTTCGCCACCCTATCGCTGCCGGCGTGATGAAAGCGCTAGAGTTTGCAGCGGACAACTTCGACCTTGTGCTAGTTTTGTCCCCGTTGCTGCATCTTCAGAACTTCCGTCCAGGTGGAGAAGCGCTGGTGAAGCCGGCGCGACTAAAGAGTATATTCCGAACTCTCTTCGCACCGGCAGCGAGACTGATGGTGGCAAGTAGAGAAAACCGTAATATCGCGGACGAAACGTCTTTCGATTCGGATGAACGAAGTCAAATGACGCTGAACGTCGTCGGTTTTCCAACGTGGTACAACGATGCAGACTTGGACGGCAACGCGAACACGAAACACTGGCGGTGGCCGGTCCGGTACATTCGTCGCCAGTACTGGAAAGTCAAATACGAAATACCGCCCACGGGAAGCTCCACGGTGCTGAATGTTGAGTCGTCCCCTGAAGTAGATGTTGCTGGCGTGACAGAAAAGCGCTCCATAACCGGTCCTGAGCTGCCTTCTCCGGAATCCATGACGTGCTTCGGCGGCCACAGCACCAGCGGCACACGCATCTACCGCTCGGAAACGCTGAAAAAGCTCGTGAAGCGGCTGCAAAACCAGCTGCACGTACCCCAGGATGGAGGTTCCTGGCTAGTCGCGCTTGACTTGGCGGCACACGAGGCTGCGGAAGCGGAGCTGGAGGTGAAAAAGAAATCAAAATCGGAAAAAGGCATGAATTTCTCTTCCAAGGACCCGCTGACCGTTCGCATGGTTCCGACGGCCCACACCTGTATCGTAAGAAGTGCTATAGGCGGAATCAAAACCACGTCGGAGGAACAGCAAGCGACGCACAGAAAGAACGGAAACGAGCGAAAAAAAGCCGGGAAAAGACCAGTCACCACCACCCTGCACGAGCGATCGTATCTGGAGGTGGCAAAAATGGATCGCTTTCTCTCAGAAGTTTTTGAGGTGGAGCAGGCAGAGTTCGTGGTTCCCAACCTAGTTGTGCGCGGCGCAGCTGCAAACTTGCCGACCGCCGCGCAAACTGGAACCATCCAAGAGGAAGCACGCAAAAACCTGCAGCAGCTCTACCAGGCTACCCACAAGGCCACCGGTGCGTCGGACTTTTTCTCCGGGTTTTTGCGGCGGCAAGAAGACATGGAGGTGTTGCTGTGGCATCTGGTCGCGAAGCCCGCGCTCGGAGACGACGAACTATCGTTACTCACGGCGGTGAGTTTCGACGCTGACACGGGGTATCCGATCGTTGAAGATTTGCTCTTTCACGGGTACAGAGACAACGTTGGATCTACTGCGGCTCAAGCTCAGGCACGTGCGCGACCTCCGGACAAACCAAATACAGACGCTCCAATCGCTCATCTGTCGCAATCTCAATTGGAGCCGGTTCTGCACCGCCACTGTCTTTTTCTGTCACCGAAGGCTGGCAATTTGCTCGGAAAGTTCCTCGGCGTCGTGCAGCCGGTCTGTGTTCGACAGGCGCAAAGCAATGCCTTATCGAAAGTCGTTGCTTGGTGGGAAAGCTACAGCGTTGCAGGTTCCTCGGATTCGCCAGACGTGCTGGGGACTTCAGCATCAGCGAGCGGGGATTTGGTCTCACAAAGCAGTTCCACGACGAGTTTCTCAACTCCATCGACACCAATTCGCCGCGCCTTGCTCTGGAAGTCCTTCGCATTGAACGCGTTTCGAGCTGTTTCAGCTGCAGGAGCACCAGGAGCTTATCAGTCTGGGTCTTTTTCTGCTTCAAGCACTGGCGCACCGACTGGAACAACGGCAAACCTGTTTCCCTGGTCCCCGGACCTGGACCTCGAGTTGACAACCAGTGACCCAAGCGGTGTGCAGAAGCGAGTGCTGAAGGACCTTTCTGCGTCGTTGAAGCCGGGAACGACCTCCTTCGAGTGGTCTTCTACTAGCATGGAGGAAGGAAAAGACGACTTCAAGGACGAATTCGAGACGAAATTTCTCTACGCCCCACTGACCTGGCACGACGAAGACACCGCGGTGAATCTCAACGTGGATCTGAGCTGGAAAGTTGCTCCAAAAAGAACGAATCATCCCCACGATGGGACGGACTACGACGCAACCAGAGTGGAGGGAGATGATCGACCGACAAATCAGGGCGGTGAGCGCCACGATCTCAATGCAGATGAAGGTGGTAGTCCGACATCAGACGAAGATCTTTCAGACGAATTGTTTTCCCTTCCGATACGGAATTCGGCCGGCACTGCTACTGCAGGTCATCATCGCACGACGGGGCGGGAAACCGTCGCGCCAGCAAGCCGCCTTCATTTCACTGAACAAACAGACGAATTCAGTTTGCAAGAGGTCCTGGATACGTACGGGGCGGAGAAAATCTTCAGCGACCCAGATTACGGCGTCGAGCACTTTGGCTGCAAGAGCTCGAACTTTGGAAGTGAAAGTGATGGTGATGGCGAGCATGAGGTAGGCCGAAATACAAATTTCGGTGATGGAGGTGTAAGACTCTCAAGACACAACGCTTGTCCTCCGCGCCATTGCACCGCGACTGCATGTGAGTTTGAAGATGATTTTGTACACATTTGAAGAAATAGGGAAAAACAACTCGATTGGTAAGTGCTATCATCGACAGGACAATTTTGAGTTTTTGCAGCCTCTGGCGTCCGGAGTGTGCAGTCTTGGTGCAGTTCTTCTTCAATGTGATACTCTATTCAACACTCTAGAACTAGACAAAACGTCTATCCGCAAGTGAAAATGATCGACCCTGTTGTAATTGCCGGCTTGTAAAAGCAGTTTCATGATGTCTTTGCCATTCCACAACCTCCGCGATTTTTTAGTGTTCGTTTTCAGTTGCAACAGCCGTATTTGACGTTGGCAAAATGAAGCCGCCGGACTCTGCGTGTTCAGTTTGACGGGAGAATCACGCCCCTCTGTTGCAGCAAGAACATGGTGCCTCGCGGCATCTTCCGCGAAGCTACTCCCGTCATGGGAGGAACTTCCAGCTCGAAAACAAGATTCCGCGAGACGAGTTCGGTCGTTCGCACAAATAACGTGTGTCTTCGGTTGTTGGGACTGATTTATTTCAGTCTCCGCACGGACCTCTCCCGCGCCAGCGTAGACGAAATGGACAGCGACTTCCTCGGCGAGTTCTTCCAGAAAAGTGGGAATCACGAGCAATTCCTCATGCTGATTTACTCAAGTGAGAATCAGAATTGCTTTGAAGGCGATGCGGCCAACTGCAGAGAAGCGCTGTCGTTATTGAGCCGCGCAGAAGACCTGATTGCCGATCAACCAAGTGGCGAGATGGTGCCGATGGGAAAGATTGGAGTCGACAGCGAGGAAGGAAAGCACGTAGAGAACTGATTCACATTTTGCTCCTGTCAAATGAATGTAGTACCGTATACAAAAAAGAAAAACTAAACCGTTTTTGCAACGTGAAACTGAAAGTAGAAGCTTGTCTTTTCTAGTCGAAAGAATGTGAATGAGAAGCGAAGAAGATCCGAGGTTTTTCGTCCAAACTTGGTGTCGAATTAGGAATGCGCAACAAGGCAAAGTAAAATGAAACAAACCAGTTCGCCGCGAAGGAGGGAGTGGTCTTCAAATCAGCTGCGGACAAGTTGCCCCAACTGCGGTTTTACTACTGGAAAAAAGGCATGCCAAAAGTCAGCTTCGAGGAAATCGCGATCCCGTTGCCCATGGAGCAAGAAACGAGGTCCGCAGAGGAGAACGCGGTCACCTTGGTAACGCGGATAAACTCGGCACACGCGAAAGTCGGCATTCCACGTCCCGCCCTGGTGGTGCCGCCAACATTTCGCAAGACGCAAGCTATAGCAGGGGAGAAATCAAGTAGTTCCAAGAAGAAAAACAAAAAACGAATTGATGCACCGCAGGTAGATCAGCTGCAATTCGGACCTTCGATTAAGATCTCACAGTCAGGGGCTGATCTTTGAAGGAAATGTTTACTACTCTGCTCTCACAAGCCCTATCGCGCACGGCTGCAGCATTCTTGTAGTTACAAAATCGCACACAATCATGATTTTCTCAGCGCCCACGCTTTCTTTCAAACGAAGAAGAAGAAGAGCCACCAGAATCCTTGAAACTCGGAAAGTTTCTCAACAAGGAATCTGATATGTCATCTGTCGTGTTTGTCACATCACACGGACACGCCAACGTCATATTATACTGTGCCTATGCTAGACACTGAATTTTGATCAGTTCGACAAGACCGACGATTTCGATCAACGTCTTTTCTCGTTTCGAAACCCTGTCACACATCTAGGCTATTGATCCCAAAGAATTATTTTCGTTCGTAGAACGCAAAACGAAAAAAATGTTGCGACTCGTCCTCGCGTCGCTCATCACGCTCTCCACACAAAGGACCGCTGTAGCCCTGAAGGAGGTTTCTGCGTCTATTCTGGATGACCTGAAAACTCCGTATCTGGTGGAGTTCTACTCTAAATTTTGCGGTTCCTGCACCGAATTCATGCCGACAGTGGAAAAGACGGAGAAGCTCTTGAAGAAAGCAGTGCCAGTAGGAAAAATCAATATCGAGGACAAACCTGGAAGAGAGGTAAGTTATGTTGAATAAGACATTGAGCGTGCACAACTTGTACTTTTTCTTTTTGCCCCACCGCATCCTATAGATCCTGGAACTGCAGCACATTGCTTCTCTGACTCTGTGTTTTTCCGCGATAAGAAGGGCACAAAAACAATTTCATTTTCCATTTCAATCCAGCTTGCGGAGAAGGAGGGCGCGCTGGAAGATGGCTTGCCTTCCCTGCGTTTGTACTACAAAGACGGCGACACAGTCAGTTTCGAGCGCATTCTCGAGCCAGACACGGTTGACTTCCCCCCCGCGGAAACCCTTGCGAAGAAGGTAAAGGCCACTTTGAAGAAAATCGGTAAGAGTGGCGAACTGTAAATGCGGTTGTGCCGCGGCTTTGTTGATGATGCCACTAGTTGTGGGAGATCTTGCTAGATACAAAGCGCTAAAGGAAGACTGCGCGCTTCTGCAATACAACAGCCAGACCCTCCTGTCATCTGTGGAATCATTAATCCAGTAGACCAATTTGTCGCATGAAAAAAATCCTGGGTGCAGCTCAAGGTCAAGCGCACATACAAGACTACCGTGCGACCAGGTTCAGGAGGACTTGGACTGGCAGAAGGCGACTTTTCTGTCCACTGATATGAGAACAACCTGTACTTCACAGGATGTTGATTCTCGCGCGAAGGCAATCACGATTTTCGCTCATCTTGATCGTTGATCGTCCTCCTTGTTTCGGCTGTTGGATACATAGAAGTCGTGCGTGGATAGAAAAAAAAAGGCAAAGAGCAGTCGAGCAGATCTTCATTCCTATTCAGTGACAGTGATTGCCGAAGATCTTCTGGACATGAGCAATTCGTCTGGTGTAAGAAGTTGGTTGCGTAAGCTGCAGCAAGAAAGATCTAGCTAGTAATCGCGATGCGTTTGCTTACGGCTTTTACGCCACAAGATCCTACACGGTACTTCACGCGCCATCCAGCGGTAACAGCGAATTTAAAGATTTGATAGTGATACACTTTTTACTATGTGTGCAAAGGGAAAGGGATGCTGGAGCTGGTTTTCTTCACTGCGATGGCTAAGACGATGAGCAATCGCAATGTACAACAAAGCCCGTGCCAGCTTTTGATAGTGAAGATACTTGATACAAGAGTGTCGGCATATTCCATTTGATTTTGATCTTGTCAACTCTAGAATGATCGTGCAAAAATGAAAATCGTCTTCATCGTTTGATATATTTCATCTCATCTCCTACCTTTAGTTTATGTTTTGGTTTTGGATCATGACTTGTTTTCCGTCCGTATTTATACGTAGACACTGCAAGCTATTGTCATAGATATATTTACTACGTACGATAGTGCCACGAGCACGACTAAATTCTTTATTTTTCTACATCACAAAGAAAGGCCGGCATTTGCATGCCACCTCAGCCCTGACCTTATGTCAACAGACAAAAGAATGTGCACAATTAGAAAGATTGAAAGAAGCCGGGCTAAGGTCCTGCATTGGATTCTTTTTCTCGTCGCCGGGGGATTTTTCGATACCTGGCAAGCAATCGCAACGGGCATTCGTGGAAAAACCGCCACGGCTTCTGCCACTTTAAGTAGGCAGGAAGACGCTTCAGCTTTTTCCAGACCTAGCAGTGCCGGCGATGCACATCCGGTCGCTTCTCCGGTCCGCAAAATAAAGACTGACGCGAAGCAGATCCTGGGCGGCCCCCGCAGCTGGGAAATGCAATCTTTCGCCCAGCAGCTCCTCGCCAATGCTCTTGACGAAGGTAAAGAGCCAGGAACTGAAGGCACTGGAGAATCATCTGGGTCGACTTCCTCTGCTTCGCCGGCTTCCAATTATGCAAATGACAGTGTAAGTGTTGTTACTCCAGATGCTGACGTGCGGAGGAACCATAAAGGTAACAAAATCTTTGCGCCAAGAGCCTGGGCGGCTTCAGGACGACGCGCCGCAGACGAGCTAAACCGAGCGGCGTCGCAGGTCGTGTCATCGATCACTCCAAGCGACAGTAACACAGAGGAAGATGCGACCCTCCTCATCCATAGCGGACGAGATGTAGATGATCCCAGCTTGTTAATGTCCTTGCTTGCTAAGGCGAAGGCGACAACTAGGCAAGATGAAGCACTAGTAGCTAAGCGCCGCGAAGGTGGTGAATCAGCTTTCCCGATCGTCGAGAAATACGCTGCTCTAGAAGGAAAGGGCTCGAGCATCCTCGAGCGGCAAGCCTCTCTTCAGGTTCAGCAACAAAGTTCATCTACGACTGGTGCTGCTCCTGAACTCACGACACGCACCGTGCCTGAAGTGCAGCAGTCGTATTCGCATCCAGAAGCAGGAGGAGCAAGTAACCCAAATGGCTCATATTTCGTCCAACCCGAGAACTGTCTGATGCCCATGCCACCTTTTCCGGGAACAGCAGCAGAACGACTGTACAGTAACGGCGCACCATCGATTCGTGTTCAGGACGAATTGTGCAACTCCTCTTATTTTCAGTGCAGCGGCGAGCCACTCGATAACTTTTTCGCACAATACGGCAGTGCGTACTTCGTCTGCCCGCCACAAAGAGGCGAGCGAACGCCATGGCCACCGGTGCCGGAGATGATGAACTCTTCTCATTTTTTCCAATCTTCGTGGTCGGGACCTTCAGAAAGCGCTGCTGGCGCAGCTAGCACACCGTTTCTACATGAGAGCATGATCGGCCGAGGTCCTTCGTCAGCGATGCATCATGAAGACTGGCATGTGAGACAAGATTCCGCCATGGCCGCTGCTGCACACGTCAAAAGCTGCATCGAACATGTCAGAGCGCTAGCGGCGCAGGCTGTAGAAAGGAAAACGACGACGCTTGACCTGAATACCTCTGGTGCGGCTTCAAGCTCTTGCGGAAGTGTTCCTCAGCCCGCTGGATTAGGACATCAAGCACGACAAGGGGCATCTGCCTCTAGTTGTGCTTCCGACTCTCTCCTAGCTAGGCATGATTCGGACGACCCACAATTCGACTACGCAAATCCAGATCATGATCAGCAGGTCTTCCGTGACTACAGCTACTTTGACGTATCACCAAAGCCTCCTGTGATCTGTGACGATCCAGCTTTTCATGATGCGACAGGAAGTGCATGGGACGACACATCAGAGACAGAATCCCGGCACGGGCAGCCGCCGGAAGGATGGATTTGGGTTCCGAAGGCGAAGCAACAACTGGCTGCTGACGTTGAGCCCGAGGAAACTGCAACCAGCAACATGCGAGACGGCCGGAAACGCAAATCACCCAAGAAGCGTAAGCAAGATCATGGAGATGCGCTGTTCAGGCGTCAGTCTGCCATCGCAACCACAGGCGTCAGTCCGCGAACGCAACCACCAGAATTCATTTCGAGGGATGGCACTGGCCAGCATGAACTGCAGTCGGCTGAGCAGCATGCAGATGCAGCAGAAGATGCAAATAAGGAACGGGAACGGCCAAGTTCTGGGGGTCATCCATATGAGGCTCCTTTCTCACACGCTGGAGCAGCGCACAAGACCACCGGATGCAACGGCTATACCGCAGGCCAACGCACTGCCTATTACGCAGGCCAGTCCATTCACCACGTGGAAGCAGGGGCAGGCACCAGTCACGTTGCAGATCGACAGCCAGCGCCAGACGAGGTACCTCCTGAGTACCAAGCGTTGTGTTCCACCTACACGCAATCACGGCAACAGCTCCCGCACGCAGGTCGACCTTATCCGTCCCCTGCAGCTGCTCCGCCCCCGGGTTTTGTTTTTGCCGACGAGTACGGGACGCCGCTTGCTTCGGGAGGTCCTTTGGAACTGACACGTCAACTCCCTCCAATGCCGACGCCTCCAGATTTTTGGGTCTGGAACAACCGTACAAATCACTACGAAACAATCATGCAGCCCGGCACCAGTTCTAGTTTGTGCACAACGATGTGGAGCAGGGGCCGAACTGAAGTTGTCAAGTCGGGAATATTGTGTTGTGCAGCCGAATCGTTCAGGCGCGCAGATGCAGCGGCTGGTGCGCACCACAGCGGGACCACGGAGAGCCATTTCGTGGACCGGACTATGGCAACGACGCTGCCAACGGTCACGGTGCGCGAAGCGGCGGAGAGGTGGTTGGCTATGCAGGCACGGCAAAGCTTGAAGGCGGGAGCAGAGACGCGATCGAGTTCTGTTCACAATCAAGGTTCTTCTATCACCAGTTCCAGTTGTACCGATCAGGCCAACATGACTTCGCAGCGTGCGGGCACTTCGTCGTCATCATCTGACGTTACCGGTAGGGAAACTTCAGTGACGGCGGCCAACATCCGGAAAAAAGAAAGACAGAAGGCAGACAAGAAACTGAAATCAAAGGCTCGAGGTTCTTGTGAGGACCATGGGCTTTTTGCAGATGGCACCTACACTACGAAAGAAGACGCGAGGTTCAGCGGTAGTGCAAAGAGCGCTCCTGCTGCAACAAAGACCAAGAAAAAGAAAAAGCGCGCAGCGAAGAAACCTACCGCACTTGAACTTGTTCGACCGGTGTTACCTGTAGGCGAACAATCGCGGTACTTCTACGGAAGCCCCCAGAGCGCTTCCGGAACATCAGGAAGCAGCGCAGCTCACCTTTCCGATCGTGCAATCGCAAGGCCAAAACCAAGGCCGAAGTTCCTCTGCGGACCGGGGAGCCACATTAAGTCGCTCGTACGGCGATGCGGCGCTGGGTCTTCCGGACCGTTGTCTGGCTTTTTGCCGCCCCTACAGATGATGGAACCTGTCCCGGAAACTGACTCTGTAGACGAGCAAGAGGAATCGCGAGAGGAAAATCTGATTTTTTCCTTTCCAGGACCAGGCATGGGCGATAAAGATAACCAGGGTAAAATCAAAGCAGACAATGGCACCGTGCTGGAGGTGGAGAAAGCGCAAACAGAAACATCAGCCCCGTCTATTGGCTCTGCCTCCTCTTCTTCCAATAGCGGATCTTCGTTTGAATTCCCGCTCTCGCTAGAGAGTCCAGCAAGTACAGGAGAATTTTTGGAAGATTCTGCAACAGTGTCTACTCTGGCTGTCTCAGGCCGTGGCTCAACCCAACAAATAGGCTCAGCGCCGGTCACGTTGAATCCTGCCGCCTGGCTGAACGGCGCCACGCCTGAGGTTTTAGCATCAGACATTGATCAGCGAGATGATCAAGATCATTTCCCGAAAGACATGCACATGGAGTGGCTCACGTCGAGCTCGAGCAAAGAAGACCTGAATCCGCCCGAAAAATTGTCGATATCGCGCCAGTCCACTGCTTCCCCTGCTGGTCCGCGACCCATGGAGACTAGCGCTCCTTCGAGTCCGACTGAGATGGAGAGAGAAGCCGGCCTCCCCGAGGCTGGTGCAACATTCGACCGAGCTCCGACCGAAAAGTCCGAGACCGATGCGTTAGACTCAAACGCAGATTTTTCCGATGCGTACTATAACCCCTACGACCAATATCTGCAAGTGCGCCCTGCAGAGGAGCTGCGAAGTCTGTTCAGCCACTTACCCGAAAGATACCGGAGCTGGGTGGAAGGAGAGCAGCAAGACACTAGAACAGGTTCCGATTACGGACGATACGAAGCATGGACTGGTCGGTCAGGCTGGACAAAAAACCACGACGATGTGCCTTATTCTAGTTCTATTGCTGTCTCGTCACGGTGGAATCATCACCGACCTGAAAGTCGCCACGACTATTCAACCGGTCGCGGTTTCGATACCGGAGACGCATGGACCCAAACCCAGCACAGGGCGGAGCGCGCGTCGACAGGTGGGGGAAAAAATACTCAGTGGAAATACGGGGCGGGGGGGCCACACCCAAGTGATGAAGGTACTGCTGCTTGAGGATTCCCCTCGGGAATGTATACAACGACAACGTGTGTATTCTCCCTTTTGAGTCTGATGATCTTTACGCACCGCACTTATTTCTATCGCTTGATGCTTTCAGTGACTACGTACGAGTACAAGAAGACTTTCATGGTTTGAACCCGGCTGATTGTGATATTCTCCTCCTCTTAATCCTTCAGGTTCCTGGTCGTCCTGGAAAGCAGAGGGTGGCTACACCACTGCGCACGTCGACGAACGGAATACGCGAGAGCGTTACAAGGCATCTTCTTCTTCCGGCCCTCGACGACCTCAACGCAATGGCCACAGAGAGCGAGAAGCCACCGCACCAAGGACAAGGACGAAGGCGTACACAGACAGATATGGCAGGGAATGGCGGAAAGTTGCATAGATTGATAAACAAGCACGGCGGCTGTAGTCTACTTCTGTCCTCATATTTCAGAGCTACAAGAATAATTTTAGGCGAATTTCTTATTGTCGGTCGTAAGGCCGTAAACATGTAATTTCATATGACACCCGAGATTTTCTTATCTTTTCGCTCTCGAGGCGACACACCAATGTCCTGGCGCAGCCATTCTTTTTCATGCATGTCGCTTCTAGATGAGTCGATGCATAATTTTGAAGGCAAGACAGCTGACCGCTGCCTACTGTCAACATGTCTGATCATATAGAAGCGCCGTCTTTTTTTGTTTTTCTGCTTCTTGCGCTTACGTTCCTGCTAAAATCAATGCACATAGCAGGTCGTATGATCTTGTTCTACAACTTCGCACAGTTTTTAGATGTTCAGACGCACCATTTCACTTCACATATAGTAGGTACTTATGTGCTTACATCTTTCATCTTTAACTGTGCCTACTAACGCCTGCAAAAAAAAAAAACGAGGACATCGAATTTTCCGTTTTGTGATTATCAAAAATCAATCTGGATATTTGCGAACTTTTGTCGGCCGCCTGTTAAAACAAAGCAAAGGCTTAGGTATTTCAGCCAAAGCGAAAACAGAAACCAAAAGATGCGCACCCGCATCATCCTTTTTTTGTCGCCCCACCGGCATCAACAAGCCAGCGAGCAAAAGTTTTGTGCTGGTGTTCGTGTTCGCTGCAGTCTCTACATTTATTTTTACTCCTCGCACAGTGTCAGCGCATACGCATAGTGGTCAGACGCAAATTCTTTTGGTCATCGGCTCGAGCTAATGTTTTTTCGTCACATCCTGCATAGTTCGTCGTGTTGTTTTTTTCGTTAAGTACACTTCGTTGGTTTTTTTATGTCGGAAGCGGAGGGTTTTTTCATTTAAATTTTGTTCTCCTGCAGCTGTGTATTCAATGCAGAGCAGCGCCGGTTTTTCATCACGACGATCGCAGTAGGTTGTTTGCAGGGAATCAAAAAACCGGGCGGCAGTAGACTCTGTTCGACGTGCTTTCGATTGTTTTTTGGCTCTCTCCTAGTTCGCGTGAGGACCATCGAGAAACCACATAATTCGTTTTTCGTAGTAGTCGTCGTTCCCGAAATATTAGTTCAAATTCTGCTAGAGCGTAATCATCAACATCAGCAGCATGGGGTGTTGCGCTAGTGCGGACTTCCGCGCAGCAGATCATGGCGCGAACAAAGCGGAGGATGCAGTTGTTGGCGGAGCTCATAAGGAAAACGAGAACAACGCTGATGTGAACGTCCTCGGAGCACCACTACTCCTCACCGATGTCGACGTCCAAGTGAACAATAAAGCAGGTGGAGGCGCCAAGGCCAATGGCACAACGAGTAATTTTGAGGACCCCGAAGCGCTTTTCTTTCAGTCTCTCGACGAACACACCAACCAGGTTCTGCTGGACTCGCCCAAAAATGAACACCACAACGAAGATGTTGAGCAAGAGCAAACCGAAATGAAGAATGAAGAAAGCAGCAACAGCGTCCTGCTCGGGTCGCCAGTCGAAGGTAGCACGGCAAAAGGCTCTGCCGAAGCCGATGACAGCGCAAATACGATCATGAGAGACGACTCGGCACCGGTCCGCACCGATAGCATGACGATCGTCCCGAACAAGACCAAGAACAGCCCGTCCGGTGCCGGTGAAGCCACAGCATCTACTTTCGCGACGCCCTCGAATCTGTTGGACCGGAAGAAAGTCGACGTGGATGCTGCTCTGCAGGTCTACCGGAAGTATGGAAGCGTCAGGTGGGAAATCGGCGACATGGACCTAACGTGCAACGCATTTGTTTTTTTAATTGCCAGCCTTAGTTAGCGTGTTTTCTTGGCTCCTCGTCAAATTTAGTGTTGCATGCGATGGACATGAAATTGGCCTCATTCTGAGCTTGCTACGATTCTTCACTTGACGAGTTGCTGAGAAGCGTGGCACGAAGTTCTTTTATGACGGCTTCGGAAAAATTTGAATTTTCCTCGCGCCGCTTAGCAAGCAGAAATGGTGGCCGCCAGCAGCAGCACAACTCGTGTCGATTTTATAAGGCACAACAGAGGCCATTACAACTTATCAAGTCGCTTCGACGATTTTCCACTTAGTACCACTTTCATAGAAAGGAGCTGGCGAGTAGTCCGGATCGCACTAGTAGCGTCCACGATGCAGAGGACTTTGCAGAAAACGTGAAGCCAAAGACCCTCGGTCTGACCGACACGCGGCCCAAGGGGGGTGTCCGGAAGGCCTTAGCCACCGAAAAACCGTCGAACTGGGTATCCAGGAAAAAACACCCATCCCCATCCATTTTTTGTATGACAAATAGTGGATTTCATGCATGTCTTGCATGACAAATTGGCTGGGGATGGGTGTTTTTTCCTGGATACTGGGTCCCCTTCGTCTCCAGCATCCACCTCCGGCCGATTATGACATCGGAGAAAAGATAAAATAAGTATAAGGCTGTTGCAGCTGCGTCGCCGGTTCGCAATAGTCTTTGCGTTTTTCGATTATACTCCTACCTCTTTCTCTTTGCATGCGGACGGTGGCTCTGAAGCCTGTTCCCTGGGAGTAGACCAAGACCGCATCGTCCATCAAGAATTAGCATAACAAATTGACGAGGAGGTTATAATCAAAGCCAAAAAAAAGGCATGCAGCACATGCAGGAGGGCGGGTCCACAACGACAAGACGTAGAAAATAAACGAAAACTGAAAAATCAAAACGGCGATCGTGTTGAGCATGAAATATGGCCTTCAATTTTTCTTCCATATTTCTGAATTCCAGGAAAAAGACTACGGAAGAGCCTGTGGCTGAGGGCGACGAGGACTGATAGCCACTTTCGAGATAAACGAAGAAGACAAATTGCAGGGTGATGATAGAAGCAGAAGATTTTATAATCAATACGAGTCGTATTAGACCAACATCAAACTCGTAACGATCGCATTGCTCGTATTGGTCGCCTCGTATTGACGTGGCGCCAGAACCCCCAAGATAGGCCGTCTAGTAGCTGGACCCGATTGGTATACCGCGACTGCGCCGCGAACGCCGAAGGTTTGGCACTATGTATCACTATGACGCTTGCGATAGAAGATATGGAAAAAAAAACGGGGCCGCGCCTTCGGCGCGGCGGGGTGCTCTTTAAAGTATAGGCGAATTTTTAGGTTGGTGCTTAGGCTCTACTAGTCATCTAGGTTGAAGGGCGGGCGCGAATTAGGTTTGGCCCATCTGTCTCTGTCAACCCTGCGAGCCCTCCATGTCCACCACTGCGAGCCCTCCATGGGGGCTCAATTCTAGATGAGACAGGTCGCGCAAGTAGACTAGCAGTAGGCTTAGGGGCCTGGGCCTCAGGTTCAAACCTCCCTGCGTGGGCAGTAGGCCGACACTAGAAGCACGTCGCGCATTCTGAAGCCGTTGCGCGGTGTTCAATAATGATGATTGAATGATTGGCGATAGTATATAATAAATGGGAGGCGGAAGCAGCTGGGTGCGCTCGTACGGAGCTCGTATTGCTCGCATCGCTCGTATTGGTCGCCTCGTATTGACGTCAAAACCTTATAAAATCCTCTGTAGAAGCGAAAATGAAGTATATGCGGCGTAGCTCTCCGTAATTCATCAGTCGCACCCACTTAACATCGTAGCAGTATTCGCATCATATAGACTTAGGCAGCAGCTAACAGATACAGAAGATGTGATGGCGATTATTTTGGTTCGAAATGTAGTGTAACTACCCGCCAGCAATACCTTACCATAGCTACATTGTTCAAAAAATCAATCTCGTTCAAGTTTTCAGCATTTACTCTGGCATCTGATCGTCCCGATCACTACGATAGACCAACAACTTCCATTAAAATTGTGTGTACGATAACGGTGAGAATGGTGCATAGACGAGAACTATAGAATGGCAAACGCGATGACTTTGGCTGCGTGACATACATCTTCCTGATCTGACGTGTGCAAGTATGAGTAGCATATAAGAGTAAAGCGAAGCATCAACTATGATGATTTATTGGTTCGTGCTGGTCGTGCCGTCTAAAAGATCGAAAGTATCCTACTAACATGTAATAAAAATTTCTTGAAGACGAAGAATTGAGATTGACTTACATACGTCCTCCATGCAACGAGTAACCGAATGCACGCCCATGGCGCTGCAATCGCAATTCCTCTGTGCGCCGGTGTTTCCCTGGACTAGCAATGTTGCCCAAGTGCACGTGCCTACCTGTATGCCACTTTGTCCTTTTATTTTCGCAGGACGGTATTGAGTTTGGTCGTTGATAGGACCTCTCTTTTTTTTGAATCTTGACACCTTGACCTTCTTTTGCGTTTGATCGTCCGTTTTGGCTGTATAATCTTCGCCCTCGTTTGACTTTTGCTTTGCGAAGCCGCCTAGTTATGCACTGCCACGCCCGTGATCCCGTCATCTTTAAAAATGTCTCAGAAATGGCCTCAGGAATGTAAGGCGGAGGCAATTCCCACAACGCCGGCGCCCCTCATTGTGGTTGCAGGGAAGAGGGGCACACAAGGCGTCGAGCCGGGCCATCGCAAAGCAGCTTCCTCGAGACGCGGCGCCCGCTGCCGTATTTGGCGCATTTTTGTGGCGCGCAATGCAGGCCGCGGCTGGCGTTGACGTTCGGGCGCCGCCCGTTTGCCCCTTATCCCTTTGCCGGCCTCCCCTTGCATATATGGACGCGAAGTGCCGCAGCGCCACACTTGTCTGTGTCGGGCCTATCTTTGCCCGCTTTCGTTTTGTCGCAGGCGCGCCGGCGCCTTGTCCGCAGCCCGGTTCGAAGCATTGCAGGCGCCCCGTCTGCCCCTGCATTTCCGCCGCCCCGGCGGTTCAGTGCCTGCTCTGACAGGTTGGGACCTGCAGCGGGGCTGCCTCTGTAAGAAGGCAGTGTGCTGGCCTTGCCGCTGTTCCTTTCTTTGTTTCTGTGGCAGCCAGGCACGGGCCCGGCCTTGCTTTCTGCGCGGCGGACTGCTATTCTGGCCCTCCTCCCTTGTGGGCGGCAGGCACGGCCGGCCTCACCCGGGAGGGCAACCAACTGCCGGCCTCCCATTGGTTGGCCGCCTGCCGGCGCCGCCTGGCCACAGCCGGGCGCTTCGTCAGCCCATTGTCGTGGCGCATTGCTTTCGCACGCGCAGGCGCGCCCCTTGGCGCGAGGGGGATTTTGCCCTGCTTCTCTAGATCACAGGGCCACCGTGTCACGCGCGTGACACGGGCGGGCCCGGCTTCGTTTTTTCTCGTCTCTTGTTGGTCTTGGGTGGTTTGGTGGCAAGCAGAATTGCTGCAGTCAGTTTCCCTTCGCTTCTACCGCCAAAGCCCAGGGCGCTGTCGCGTGTGTGTGTCTATGATTGGCATCCAAGGCAGTCTTGGACCTGGGGCGAAGGCCTGCCTCAGGTCAGCCCGCGAGCCCCTCCCGGCTTCTGCCAGCCGGACCGGCCGCCGGCCGACAGCCAGGCAGGCGCCCCCGCGCGGGCCGTGTTGGCCTTGCTTGGATGCAAGTGCCGGCGAAGGCGTTGCAGCGGCTTCTGAGCAAAGCCGAACCGTATGAAGTTCACGGGGCTGCTGAACTCATTGGCGCAGCTACTGGCGCCATGTGTGGCGCCGCTCCTCTCCCTCGGCTGGCACGACTTAGGCGCCCCCTTCACCAACAAGAGCGGCGGCCAGCAGCCGGATGAAGCAGCAGCCGCCGGAGTTCGCGAGCCAGCGCGGCCCTCAGACCCAGAGTCCGACGATGGTGAGCGTTGAGGAGCCTGAGCGCCCCGATTACAGCTGGCCCTTTGTAGATATTGCGTAGAGCAAAACTCTATTTGGCTTGTGGAGGCCACACGTTGTAAGCTATCTGGCTTGTGGAGGCCACATGTTGTGAATCAGAATCAGAAACGTCGCGAATGAGAATCAGAATCATGGTGAATGTGAATCGGGCTACGGTAGTAAAAAGGCCGCGAATGAAGCGAAAAAAATTGAAAGGACCGGGCCAAGAAAGTAGGCAAAAAAAAAGGCCAAAGCGAAGCCACACGCGCTGCCGGGTGCCGCATTTCTGTAGAGGGAGGAAAAATGCCGAGGCCTTCGCATTTTTTTCTTTGGGGAAAAAACCTGAGAGCGTTTGCATTTTTTTCCTTCAGGGAAAAACCTAAAAAAGTTCGCGCGATTTTCTATTACAAAAAAACCAAAAAAGCTGCGCGCGATTTTCTATTACAAAAAAACCAAAAAAGTTGCGCGCGATTTTCTTTTACAAAAAAACCCAAAAAAGCTGCGCGGGAATCCCCCCTCGAAAAAAACCAAAACCGAAGACGGGCCATTTTTCCTGCCTTTCCCCGATGGTATGAGGCCGATCAGGCCGGCGATTTTACACATTTCTGGCCTTTAGAAAATCGCGCGCAGCTTTTTGGGTTTTTTTGTAATAGAAAATCGCGCGCAACTTTTTTGGTTTTTTTGTAATAGAAAATCGCGCGCAGCTTTTTTGGTTTTTTTCTAAAAGAAAATCGCGCGAACTTTTTTAGGTTTTTCCCTGAAGGAAAAAAATGCAAACGCTTTCAGATTTTTTCCTGAAGGAGAAAAATGCAAAAGCCGCGACATTTTTTCCCCAATAGCAGAAATGGCGCCACGATTTTCCGCGTTTCGGCTTTTTCTGGTGTTGCTTTTTCGCGGGTTTCGCAGTGCCCTTGCTGGTTTTTTTTCAGCTTTTCAGGATGCCCCTCATTCGTCTCTTATATTCGGCAAGAATTGCCGTACGGATCAAGTTCATAATGATCGCCACAGCCACCCGAGAGTGAGGGAATCGATGGCAAATCCGTCCGAGATTGGCTCGATCGATCTCGGGCGCGGGCCGTTGCGCCGTGGCGAACGAATCCGATCCCGTGAAAAAGATGCCTTTGCGTGAAGGCTGCAAAGGGTCAAAATTTTCGCGAAACTGCGAAGAAGATCCGCGGCGCGGCAGTATTGACTTCTTTTCCGGTGTTATGTTGCAAGGCCGCGGCATCTCCAGAGCTAGCAGTTGTGGAGTGATCTACAGAGCAGGCCCAGAGCGCTCCTCGCGCTTCTCATATCTCGGATGGATGTCCTGCAGAGCACGCCCCGGCCGATTGCTAAGACTGGGCACGTGAATACTGTCGGCCGGTCCGACGGAGGGGGGCCGGAATGGGCGGCCGGCGCTTCGGGCAGTTCTTCGGGATTTGGGCGCGGCCAGTGAGCACGCAGCGAACGAAGGGGCGAAGAACTGTGGCGGGCGGAGAGTCCGGCGCAAGATTGTGCAGGTTTTTGCGGGTAAAGAGCAGGGCTGTGGAAGCCCGGCCGGCCCGGCCGCCGGGCTCAGGATGTAGAAGCTTCGCGTGCCGCAGCTGTCGCTTGCGACCTTGGCCGGCGACACCTACCGACACCTACCGCACTGCGTTGATGGTAGGCGGCCCGGTGTGTGCCTTTGCAGGGGCAGGCCGCTGGCCCGGCGCGCTACCTAGCTGGGCACCTAGGGCAAGGCCGCCGATTGGGGGACGCGGGGAGGGTTTGGCCCGGTTTTTCTTTCTAGAGGGAAATCGTATGGGGGGGAAGAAGCCAGGGTCCCTCTCGGTTATTCCAAGGAAACCCGCGTGGCGTGTTTCTTACAAGCGCACAAGCAAAGGCGCGCCGGCGCGCTGGTTTGTATTTTCGCAGAAAGAAATTAGGAAACACGGCCCGCGCAACAGACGCAGGCCGCGGCGCGTGCTCGGACGGGCGGGCCGCACTGTGTGGGCCGCGCGCTCGCATGCGCGCCCTGTCAGCCGGCTACCAGCCGTCGCTCGCACGGATTGCCAGCCGGCCAACAGCTTTGCGCGCTGGGCGACCACCTTTGTCCTAACCAGCGCACAACACCCTCCGAGGGGCGCTCCCCGTTTTTCCGAACCGTGGCGCCATCGTGTCACGCGTGTGACGCGAGCGGCATGCGCTTCAGTTTTGCAGCGTGGTGGTGTAGGGCGCGCGCCCCGGGGGTTCGCCGGGTCTGTGGTTTTGGGCCTATATCTATTACCCGCGCCCAATCTTCGCGCCGGCCGGCGGTCCGCCCATGTTTGTAGGTTGTCCAGGACGGCGCAGATAATTCCCGTGGCCCGCCATTCCGTTGCTATGGCGTGCTCATCGTGTCGCGCATCAGTGATGTGCGACGTATAAAAGCGACCAAGACGATGACTCCGATGCGCGGCGATATATGCAAAGTCGGGACATTTCTGAGCAGATTCCTGGAGCATTCCTGAGGCATTTCCAGACCTCCTCTGATCACGGGCGGTCCGTGAGTAACCTAGCTTTGGTTTAATTTCAACGAGTCTTTTTGGACATGAAGCAAATTACGTAGTGCAGCAGGAGCCTAAGCAGCTTTTACAACTTTTTTTTGCATGCATTCAGATTGAGCTATATATGTTTTGGAGAAGCGCATTTTACTATTTGACTGGCGGCCATTATGCCTGTTGCCCTTTTGACTTTCAAGTTTTCGTTTTGTGATATAAGTAATTAAAACCTTGAGCACGCATCTGCTAAAAACTTTACCTTGACTCCGGAGGTACCAATACTTTTTGGTCAAACATAACATGGGAGACGTCCATCAGATTCAGAAACCTCAACGACTGAGGGTTCAGACGAGCGGAAGTAGACACTACGCGCACTATGCAGCCAGGCAGGCCTCGAGACAAAGACTCTTCGGACTCGCAACCCTCTGTTCCTCGACCTGCAGTGTCGTGTTTGGCCTTGGCGCGCTGTCACCAACGCCTGCGAGTGAGGAGCCGGATGACGTCGATTTCCAGACCGCGGCGTCATCCGCTTCAGCTGATAGCTACGCAGTATCGTTTGCCGGAGAAGACGAGCGATTCACACCGGTGATTCACCAGCGTGGCGTAGACCTTCCACCCACCTGCGGGTCGTCGTCTGGCCGCGACTCTTGCCCAGGAGACCAGCATCAACATCAGGAAGCACGACGCTTGCCCGACAACATCAACCAGCACCACCAGCCGAATGACGAGGCAGACGCTGCAGCGGGACACGGTAATGTCGTGCGGCACCTCCGCGTCCCCATTTCTGGTTCGGCGCCCTCTCCTCCTCGTCCCCGCGACTCTCCTAGGCACTCCATCTCCAATCCTCGTGACCCTTATGCAGGAGCGCCACTACTTCTACATCAGCGTCGACCTGCCGGCGTCGCACAGCTTCAGGACGACGAGGCGGAAGTCGCTGCGGGAGCACAGTCAAACGGCGATACTGCAGCTGCAAGTCCAGTGCACGCGCAGACATCGATGACATCTTCTGCAATAGATGCCGTGACAAGGTCTCGGTTAAGCAGCGCGCGTGAGGACGCCGCTGCTCCTGCTTCACGACCGGGCTCACATCTGCAGGGTGCCACAATGCCAGGTGCTGCTGATGGTTCGACGGCAGCTACGTCACCTTCTACCGTGACTGCCGCAGCGGCAGCAGGAGGAGCCGATATTATTGGTAGCGCACATCCACATCCAGATCGTCGTGAACAACCTCAACCACGGCCTGCACAAGAACTCTACTACACCAACTTACCAACAACTCCAGGCCCCCGGTTGGTGCACAAAAACACTTTCCTTGAACTCGTGGACCTGCCAGCAGAGGACGGCGAGGAAGACCAGAACGGAGAGCCGCGCGCTGGCGGCGTGGGGTTCCCGTCCCCAGTGGAAAAAACATCAGGCAGTACGATGACCTCCTGCACGCAGACGCCGGCGAGCTTCGGTCGTTTCCCTTCCTCGGCCTGCTCCGGCGGATCGAGCCGCAGCAGAGCCTTGAGCACGCCCCCCGGTTTTTTTGCAGAATTTCTACGACTGGGAAAAGCGCGCGAGAGGCTGAGCATCACTGAGGCAGACGGCGCGGGTCGTGGTAGCAGAAATTACGTAGTTGGCGCGACTACACCCATCGACGCTGCTTCGGAACAACAAGCCTTTGAGACCGACGAAGAAAGACAGCTCTATTATTCACACAACGCACGCCGTGACGGACACGACGAAAACGCGACTGCGCAAGTAGCGGATCTTTTTCCTCCAAATGGCGCTGAGTACAGACCCATTTCCTCTAGCGATTTCCTTCCGCGGTACAGACGAAGCAGCGCCGAGCTTGGGCTTACAGGCTTTCGCACTAATCGCCGCGTTCAGGACGGTCGAGAAGATGATTTGCCCGATGCCGCCGGTGGAACGAGTCGCAATTACAACTCTTCCGTCCAAGATACAGCGAGTTTTTTCCACGGCTCACCTTCTTCCGCTGCCGGGGAACTGCAGGCGGCGCCGTCTTCTAGCGGGAATAATTACACCGCAATGGAGGACAGAGCAGATGAGGGTGCGCGGATGTTGTGGCACGATTCGCCGCTCAACGGGCCGAGTAGCACGGAGGCGCCCTCGCCGGACGACGTCGGCTTGATGGACATCGACTTGTCCGGCGCGAATAGCACCGGCGGAGACCGATACACAGAGGAGCTTCAACCCGGGCAAGGCGCTCTTCTATCCCATGAAGACGAGACTGATGTTGATGCAGCGCACATATGGGGCGACGGCTTTGCGACGCCCGAGCCTCAGTCACCCACAGCCGGTGGTTCCTACGCCCCATCATTTGGACATGCGATGCTGCACCAAATTCCCTACGTCCTCGTCCCGTCGGGAGGTGCAAGCAATCCTGTGGAAGAACATCACATGAACCAGGGTGACACTGTTCAGCAGCACAATCTCTTGCTCTTGGCGGGGCCAAGGGCGACAGAATCTTCTGAAAATCCACCTCGTGATGGTCCACCTGGAGTACAGCAATCTACGCCACGTACGCCATCCAATCGCGACGAGCAGGACGATCTTCACTTACTACCAATCGCGCCTCGACTCCATGATGTCCATCAAGAGGCAATTGCAAGCGTCGAAGCCGGCGCAGACAAGATATCGTCGGCGCGACCCAGCTCCAACGCGACTCTATCCTCGTCTCACCGCGAGCTCAACGCGAGCGCGAAAACTTTTGATCCTACTGCCGTCGCACATGACATCGTTATGTGTGCAAACGTCGCCGCCGCAGACGGTGCGAGATATTTCCAAAAGCATCTTGCCGATTTTCAAAGGGCTCGAGAAGAACAGGAAGAAGCTCGCCTCTCTCCTGAGACTGTAGAGACCTCAAAGGCACAGCAAGTTGAGCGCTCTAGTAGTGCGTCGGAGCCTCCCCCTTCTATGCCTGCTCCTGCATTGCAGCCGGAGTCCGCCGCCTCGGATCATCTGGACTTGGTCACCGGCATGTTGCAGGAGCAAGCAGAGTTCCAGGACGCGCACCCTGCAGCAGCGCAGAGCGCCGCGACGCAGTTGTACCAGGAAGCGTACGCGCAGATGGAGCAGCAGCGGCAGCTCGCTTGGCAGCAGCACTACTGGCACATGGTGCAGGTGTACCCCATGCACGAAGGTGAGTCCGTGGAGAAATACCAACAACGATTGGTGCACATCGTCGAGATGCTCCAGAAATACCACCTGCAAACCTGTCTCTACCAGCAACTCATCTACCAGCAGGTCCTCTTACAGAAAAACGACGGGCATCAGAGAGAAAATGGAGCTGGATCTTCTGCAAGCTCGGGCTTGCCAGGTTCCTCTACCGATTCACATTTTCCCTATCCGCATCACCAGCAGACGGGGAAAAATGCTACTACTTCGAGTTCTTGGAGCTCCTCGTCGCAGGCATCAAAAATGATCCCGGAAAGGATGCGGCAGAATCAGACGGCACTGAGCAATCTGCAACAGCAAATTCAGAAGCTCGAAGACGAGATAAAGAGTGCGATAGGGTATTCCTCTTCCCCTCAGCGTCAAGAAGAGGAGGCAACAGCTCGACGAAACGTGGTTGAATCAGCCAAACCGGTTGGCCACGTTCGGACCCGAAAGGCAGAAATAAGGGAGCGCCAAGCTGAAGAGACGTGGCCAACAGATGTCACGGCACTCGAACAAGACGCCGCAGGCCACCAGAGCGTAAAGAAGCAAAAAGAAAGATTGCGACGCGGGAAAAAGAATGACCAGAATGTGAATGAAGGGCCAGGACAGGAAAAAGTACATGAAGATCTGGAGGTGTTGCACTTGGATAATTTGCAAAAAGAAAACGGCGACGAAAAAGTCAATGTCGCTACTCCAATGCTGGAGTTGGCATCTCCAAATGCGAAAAGCAAAGGTAACATCAAGGGAACGAACAAGAAAGCTGGGCCGACATGGGTCCCAAAGAAAGTTCCAACTGCTCTTCCAGAAGGCAGTGACAGTAGCGCTTCTGTAGTTCCTGCTCCGATCGAAACTGCAACACCGGGCGACACCCATGTAGCTGCATTCGTTCAATCACCAGCATCAGTTCCGCCAAGTACTGCCTCGTCGCGGGCACGGAAACTTGGCAAAGACGCTTGGTTCAATCTTTCCAACGAAGCGGAAGACGAGGACGACATTGACACCCAAATTTTCAAGACGAACCCGCAGATTATGCCTTGGACGGAAAAAGAGACACCTTCCCCGAATCTTTCAAACGAGGCAGAATTGGAAGGCTTATATGACCCCCAAAGTGCTGAGACGGACCTGCTGGAGAGAAGAGCGGAAATGCAAAACGCCGAGACCGAACGATTGGAACAGCAAATGCGAGAGCAGCAGCAGCAGTCCCTGCTGCGCCGGAAACAAGAAAAAGCAGCCCCGCCTGTAGAAGGTGGTGGAGGCACGGCTCCACCTCCTGTGCAAGATCTCTATGGACAACAGACGCAGGGAATGTTGGCGATGCAGCAGATGAGGCATTCTCAAGACCTTTCGTCCTATTCGTCCATGCACTTTCATCATCTTGTACCATACCAACAGGAACAGCTGCACGACCAGTACGGCATGCAGTTGCAGATGCAGGGCGGTGCCGCGGCGCAACTTGTGCAGCAAGCGCCTCCTGGTGTGCATCTTCCGTACCAGTGCAACTTTCTTCAGATTGACCAGTACAACCACCGAGGTCAACTCACACCGGAAGCAGACCGGATATTGTTCGCCACTGCGGGATACCTAGCGAATCCCGCGGAAGGGGCGACCACCATCTTTATACCGGCGCTGCCTGCGCACTTCAATCAGGAGGTACCTATAAGCATTTTTGGAAATTTGAACGTTCGTTGCAAGCCGAACTAATAAAAGTAAAAGAGATGCATCGACTTCGGGGTTGCTCTATTCAACATTGACTCAATGCCATTTTTTCCATCGAATCAACATAGCGACTCCGATCGGCTTCGATGTTGATTTCGATTAGATTCACAAGCACAATGCAGTTGGGCATGATTTTCTTCTTTTATTCTTTTTCCTCTTTCTCACTTCTACAGAATCTCGCTGATTTCCTTCGTACGGTGATTCCAGAAGCGCGGTTCAACATGATTTACATGCCGTTTCGCATGAAGGACTTTGAGTACATGTGTACCCAGCCGCCGTGGTCCGATGAGGGAGATGACTGGGCACCGTACTACACCGAACAAGCGAGACGGCGCAAGGGCGATCCGAGAAACGGTTGGAGCTGGACCAGATGCGCGTCGCACCCTTCCGAGGAGGACCTGTTTCCCTGGTACGCCGACGATTTCAAAGTACGGCGCGCGCGCCGGTGGCACAGCGGGTATGCGTTTGTGAACTTTGTCTCCCACAGCGATTTTCTGCGGGCGATGAACCATCTGAGCCAAAATTGGAGCAGCTTGGGGGTCTATCAAGACAACTACGTCGACAAGAAAGCCGAGAGAGAGAAACTCGAAGCTACCGCTATGGGCAGACCGGTGCTTGTCGACCCACGTCGTAAGCCGCGCCAAGCGGCCGATCAGGTAAGAATCTTAGTTTACAACTTACTAGTCGTGTGGAAGCGTGGGCCCTTCTTCTCGTGGGCTTCTAGGAATTTTGATTTGGTTGTGATGCAGTACAGGTTTCAGCCAAACGCTTGGCACACAAACTCAAAGTGCCTTATTTTTGAACAGGGGTAACTAAAAGAGCATCCGTGTAGTTCTTGTGATCAAAGTATTTCTGTCATGCTCATGCCATCCCATCACAATAATCTGTCTCACATCAGGGCATCTCCATGTACCTTTTGAAAGACAAAAACGCGCTCCGATCACCGATGATGCGGATGACAAAGTCCGTTGCGCCGAAGTTTTTCCGGTTTTGGGGCCAGCCTCAGTTCTACGACTCGCCTGCCGTGGACGCGCAGGCAGTGCCACGCGAACAGATAAAGGCCTATTGGGACAAGCTATGCGCCTTTCACAGAGCATCGTCGAAAGCCCCGCTGTCGCTGCCGGCGGCGCTCGGGGCAGATGGAGGACCCACCATTACATATGCACCGACTCTTGCAGCGTCGTCTTCAACTTCCGCTCCTGCCGCAGGGCAACAAAGTGGAGGACGTGGAAGAAACCACCGGGCTTCGCGCTCCGGTCGAGGCCGCGACTATCATCACAGGTCGCAGTTAGTAGAAGAAAATGGTCTAGCGGAAGATTACTATCTTCAGCAAAAATTCCAGTAGGTAGAAGATGAGCGAAGGACCTCGACGCCACGCAAAAATTTTGACTAGTAGAACGCAGCAACCGTTTTGTTTTCGGGAGCGATTCCTAGTCAAATTTTTACGTCTCTGCTGGAAAATAGACCGGAATACACGCTGATTAATGGATGTTCGCCTTTTCCGATAGGATAAAACAACAGAAGCGCCATCATTCACAATTTAACATGAAAAACGAAAATGTCGGGCACATGCTAAGAATAAAATAGAGAATATGAAACAAAATCACACATGAGAAATAGACAACAAGAACAGGCAGCGAATATTTATTTTGAGAATACAAAGAGAAAAACTCAAATTCTTTTCACCATGCATGAAAAGTTGATGTAAATTAGATGAAATATTAGGTTGAAAGATAAAAATGCAATAGTTTGGAAGGATTGCATCATAATGGCCGGCAAGCATTGATTCTATGCTGACATACACGATAAACCGTACTGCGAATAGGACTGACAGATGTTGACAACAGAAAGAACATGACGATTACAGAAGATCGCATGAGATTGCAAAACGAAACAAACCTTACACATATCGGTATTTTGGAAGAGAAAATGAACCAGAAGGAGAAGCAGCGCAAGCACTCATGATCATCCACATCCTGTTTACAACAAGACCTTTGGCTTTGAAATTGAAGCAATACAATTTTTCGAATCGAAGATAAACGAATCACATGAGATTGAGGCATGCCACATATGAGTGTATCCACCAACATCAACATGTTATGGTTCTCGTGTAGTGGGGGTCAGATCAATTTTATTACATACAATCCCGTAAATCTTTTCCGATATATACAGGACATGAAAAGTAAAAAGATATTTTGGTTTCGGATCGATGCAATGGAAAAATGATTCAATCATGAAGTTTTATTTTTCTTTCTTTCTTTCTGATGTTTCAAGTTTGTCGAATCGGTGTGGGATTCTCTTTCTCAAATCTTCAAAAAAAAATTATTTTAGTTTTGGGATTTTTGTGTTTTGGTTTTCTTCATAATCAAGGATGATAGATGAATGTTTGATTTTATTGGATTTCTTTCCACAAAAAATATCAATATCGATATTTATCAATTTGGAAAAATTTTGCAGAAATTTAATGTGTTTTCTTATTGGAAAGATAAAAATATTATGCCAAAATCTTTATGCCATGAATTCATTGAATAAAATTTTAAAATTATTAGAGTTTTTTTTTTTCATGATGAAATATCATTTGAATTATCTTCACAACAATATTTGAGTTTTATCCTTACAGTCCTTATCTTATTTTTGAGAGAGAACGAATTGATGATGAAAAGACAGAGGACAATCTCGGAACGGGCCTTCGACATATTTGAGTCATGCCCAGATATGGCCAGAAAGAAAGAAATGAAATATCATGAGAGATCATTTGAAAGATAATTGGAAAAAAAAATCAATAGATCATATGAAAACCCATGATCCAAAAAAAAAAACAAATTTCAAAGTTTTTTTTGGAATTCACATATCATTAATCCAAAATTATTCAGAAATAAAATCAATGGGAGATATGAAATCTCATATCATGACAGAGAGATCAAGAATGAATCACAGATATCATAATTTGTAGCGAGATCAAGAATCAAAGATATCATAGTTTTTTCTTCATGAATTTACAATTTTCCAATATATTTATGATGATGAAGATGAATATGGGATGATCGATTGGATAGAGAAAAGATTTGAATTTGATACACAAAGATCCATAGAATGGATTCGAATTCATGAATGACATTCAAGGACACCCACATGATTAGAATAATTCACATATTAATATTGAAAATAGAGGTGATGGATGAATTCGAATTGGATTTAATTATTATGGAATCGATGACTTCCGAATTCATGTGTCTGTCTTTGCAGGAATAGAATCTTTCTCCAATAACCACACATATCTCCTGATATCAAGAGGGGGAATAGTTGGAGTAGATGTTTGGAGTAGGTTATATTTGGAGTAGATAGTTGGAGTAGATGTTACGGTTATATTTGGAGTAGAACAAGAGCAAGATGTTTTTTTATTTCCAATTTTAGTTTTCAGAAATAGAAGAATATGAAGTTTTTTACTTTGAGCTGGTTCTGACAGGAAAGATCACTACAGAGGAAAAAAGAGATTGCAACGGAACTTTTAGGGCCTTGAACATTTGACGCCATGCCCGGGCATGGAAAGAAAGAAAGAAAGAAAGAAAGAGGGGGAATATCATTTTGTTTTGGGATCGCTAATCAGAATCACAAATCAAATTAGATATCTACGTTGATGTCGCTGTACTCGGGTCCGACAAAGCCAAGATGCACAAGTATGACAACCATGGCCTTCTAGATCTGTTTGTATTATCTCGATAGCATTTTCGGCTCTGCCATCGAATTCATCAACAAGTTGGTCTTTTGTCCAAGCGCAAATGCACTCGCAGAGCAGGTCGCATACGTCAAGGTCATTACGTTTTGAACCATTTGATGATTGCCCGTTTGATGATTACATTTTGAAATAGAAATAACAATATCGTCAAATCCTACAAGAGCGCGGTAACAATTAAATCAACTAACTCGGGACTGTAAGTGGGAAAGCTTTTCTACAAGGCTGCAGCTTATGTCGCGTAGTGGGAGGGTGAACGAGTGGACAGGGGGGAAAGAAAAACGCCAGAGGGTGGGCAAGGGAGAAAATTTTTGATGCAGGACGGGGCCAGGCATCTGCGCCGCTTCTTGCTGAACGAACGAAGGCGGAGCGCCATGGGGCGCCCGTGGTTCCCGTCGTTGCGCGAGCGCGAGGACCCCGCCCGCACTGGGCGCGCGTTTGCGTGGCGGCAAGCCTTAGGCCCAAGCAACAACGCAAAGCGCGGCAGCGGGCGGGCGCCAGTGGACGGGGGAAGGAGGCAAGGGAACTAATAGTCCGCGCCATGCGAGGCGCTGGCACGTGACGCCCCGCCCGCGCGTTTGCGGTGTGGCCCGCCCGTGCCGCCTGCCCCCTGTGTGCCCCGCCCCTGCGCGCCTTGGTGCCCCCCCCGCCCTTCTCCCGCGCGCAGCCTTGCAGAGAAGGGGCTCGCTGATGCCCCTGCCGCGCGCGTGGATGGAGGACGGGCGCCGGGGCGGGGCAGCCATTGCCCCCCAGGCGCAGGGGCCCACCACCCTCCCCCAGCACCCCCGGACAACAACGGCACCCCCCGCGTTAGCTCGCGCGAAATCTGCCCCGCCCCCGTCTGCCTCCCTCGCGCGCACCCTCCAAGACAGAGACGGCGGACGGTGGCGCCCTCTGCCGGCCTCCTCGTGAGCAGAGGCAGGCAGGGGGGGCGCCGGGGGAGGGTGGTGGGCAGCTGCTCGCCTGCAAGCCTGGTGCTTGCTGGGGCGCGGTTTCCCCTTCGCGAACAGAGGGAGGGCGCCGGGGGAGGGCGGTGGGCAGCTGCTCGCCTGGTGCTAGGCCGCCGGCGCCGTTTCCAGCGAACCCATGCCCCCCGCCTTCTGTGCGCCCTCCGCCCGCCCGTGCTTCCCGCTTTCCCCGTGCTTCC